TTTATTACATTCCACACCTTGACTTCAACCTAACTTTGCATCCTGTCCAAATGTCTCCAGCCTATGATTTTAAAATAAAGTGTGAATATCCCAGATGCTCTTTCTGAACTCTTTTGTTGTTTTTTTGTTCTGGTTTTTGGAAAGTAACTGATTCAAGCTTAGCCCATCATCAGATGGGAAATATTAATTTAGCGAAGCATCCGAACATTTGGAGTAAATTTGAAAACAGAGCCATCTGTTATATAAACTAATCCAATAGACTCCACACTTTGTATCACCAGCTGCTGTCAAGTAAGAGATTATGAAACTGAGTCATAAATCTTATTTTTATTTTTTTTTAAGACTCCCTTCCCTCCTCCATGTAAGAAAGGGTTTGAGATTTCCTTTTTTGAATGTAAACTGCTTGCAGGCTGCCTATGGTTGTGGAGGGGCATGGAATATAGCATCCATCATCCCTTTGGGAGACTGAGGACAGCATGTCACTGAGATCAAACGAAAGAGATACAATGGGATGCACCCCTTGTCTGTGTCTGTGATCTACTTGCTTTCCTGCTGTGTAGAATGGCTAGATTTGGGTCCCAGGGTGTTAAAAAATTCAAGAAAGCTTTGTCCAGCTTTACAGAGCATAGTCACAATATCTTCAAACATCCCCCCTCCAAGATTCCCGACGGTCAGGATTTAAATGAAGAGGGTTTTTTAAAAGAAAGAAAGAAAAAAAGTTGCCTTGAGTTCAGTTTCAGTTCCCTATTGTGGATAAACAAACATGATTTCCAGCAGTCAAAATGTTTAAACTGAGTTCAACAAGGTTTTCTGCAGCCAAGCTCTCGCTCTCTCCGCCCCTCCTGAAGAGCAGATTTGGTCACCAGCCCCAGCCTCCATCAGCCCTTTCCTGCCTCCTCTCTCTTACAGTATGATAGGGAATTATTCAATCCACGACAGCTGGCTCAACTCTGTTACCCTGGCAGTCCTTGTGATTCTGTAGCAGTAGTCTTTCCCCTACTCAGGGAGGGATAGAGGAAGAAGCAGCACCTTTTAAAGCTTCAGTTGCATGTGATCTATCTACTACATTACACGAGATTTACAGAACTGTGGAAAAACACACAACTTTTTTTTTTTTTTGCTTTCTTGCTCGTCTCCACTTGATTTTCATGTGTCAAGATGACAGTGTGAAAAAACAGACATCTTTCCCAAAGTCATTGTGCGTATGCAAATACCAGCTAAACCAATCATGAAAGTAGTTTTTTTCCCCTTTGTTGTTTTCAACTTGATAAATAATTATTAATTCACATTCTTTATCTCCTCCTCCTCCCCGTGTACCTTCTCTTCCTCCTCTTATATTCTGTAAAGTGATCAGGACTGCAGTACAAAACAGGCCAAGAATGGGGGATCCATAGCCCTTTAGCAGTTGTGGGACTACAACTCCCACCATCCCTGACCATTGGCAATGCTGGCTGAGGCTGATGGGAGCCAGAGTCTAACAGTAACTGGAGGATCACAAGTTCCCCATCCCATGTCTAAATCTGATTCCTCAGTCCCAGCTTCATATAAGACTGCAGCAAACTCACAATTTAAACAAATTTATCAGCCTCCGCTATATCCAGTTTTGCCCAATGGATGAACAAAACAACAACGACCATGGTATATCCTAATAAATGAGAAATTGCCCTTCATTTTGCATACCCTCTAACACTTCTCCGATGAAAATAGGGACATCCAACTCCATAATGATAATTTTACTACTTATTTCCAACACATCTTACTGGGTTGCCCCAGCCACTCTGGGAGGCTTCCAACATATATAAAAACATAAAAAAAAATTAAACATTAAAAAAAACATTCCTATACAGGATTGCCTTCAGACGGCTCGGGGGTCAGATAACTCAATACCCTTCAACAATTCTCCAGTGAAAATAGGGACGTCCTAAGGAAAAGTGGGACATTCCAGGATCAAATCAGAAACCGGGATGGCTTCTCTAAATCAGGGACATCCCTGGAAAATAGGGAAACTTGGAGGGTCTAATTTTAGAGTGAGTACAAGCCAGGGCAGCAGACATTTCATTGATTTGGTCACCTGATCTTTACAACGAGCCCTCAGACAAGGTAATTTTCTTCTTTTCAACATAAATTTGTAGTGCTGTACTTTGACTAGATTTATTTTCATTATCAGTTACGATAAAGGCTATTATTGACTACTCAAGGAATGCAAGGGGGGGGAGCATTGGAGTTTCATGGATATAGGCACAGCCAGCCTGTAACTCAAGTCATTCTGCTACCTAGGAGAAGGACAAGATGGTGCCCTGCCCCCATTCCACATACAGGAGCTGGACTGGCAACTGAATATTAACTTCTTCAATGGGAATGAGACAGTGTCCTCTGTCACACCTGAGGGCAACAGGTTAGTTGGCTGGATGTAGAGCAGACTATGTGGTCCACACAGCTCTGTCTTCCAACAGACAGTAACAGATGATGTGGCTACCACAATTATTATGCCACACAAACAGCATCCACCACCTGAGGCAGTTATCTCACTCAGCCTAATGGCAGAGCTGGCCCATAGTAATTTGTTTTCTGCTTTCTAAAAAAGAAAGAAAAACCAAAGAAGAAGAAGAAGAAGAAGAAGAAGAAGAAGAAGAAGAAGAAGCCTTAGCCACCCATAGTTCAAAACCCTCAAGGCTTTATGGTCCCTCTGTCAAGTTCATCTCTTTCAGTTTTACAAATTATGAGTTCAAAAGTTCTTGCTTTCCCTCATTACGTCTCCCTGACAGATTTTTCATTCACTGAAACAGTCTTTTTGTTATTCTGACAAATCTCCCACACAGCCCTGACAATTCCCCAATATCTTTTTTCTCCAGGCCTTTTCTCATCACTTCTCATCCTAGCCTCTTGCTATTCTCGGAACAGCAGCCATTTTTACTAATATATTGGAGAGTCAGTGTGGTACAGTGGTTAAAGTACTAGAGCAGGAATGAAGAGATCCAGGTTCAAATCCTCAGTAAAGCTCACAAGGTGAATTTATGCCAGTTGCCTTCTCTCTGCCTAAGCAACCTCACAGTGGTGTTATGAAGTTAAAATTGGTGGGGAAACTTATGTAAACACACAGAGATAAAAACTAAAACTTCCCCATTAATAAATCCCATGGGACATTTGTAGACTGTTCAGAGGATTGTGCTAGGAAAAATTACAGAGGTACCTCAGGTTACATACGCTTCAGGTTACAAACGCTTCAGGTTATAGACTCCGCTAACCCAGAAATAGTGCTTCAGGTTAAGAACTTTGCTTCAGGATAAGAACAAAAATCGTACTCTGGCGGTGCGGCAGCAGCAGGAGGCCCCATTAGCTAAAGTGGTGCTTCAGGTTAAGAACAGTTTCAGGTTAAGAACGGACCTCCGGAATGAATTAAGTACTTAACCTGAGGTACCACTATACATGATTCTCTTTATTTCTAATGTCCATACATGTTTTGTTGCTTATGTAGCAAAAATGGCACTATCCACTGGAGGAAGGTATCAAGAAGACTGGAGAACCCCCAAGGTTTGCTGAAGGACAAAAAGATTGGTGGGGGAGATCTCCAAATTGGTCCCACTGTTCATTGACCATGGAAAGTTGACTGAATTTTGGGAGGGGGTGAAAAGGCATCTTATGGAGGGAGGCATGGCTGGCAGACTGGAATAATGAACAGGAGCAGTCCATACTGCAATATCTTGTTGCAAATCCAGTTGTGACTAATTCCAAACCGGTTTGTCCGTAAGTACATGCACACAGAACAATTTCAGTTTTCCTGTGGTCAACAAATGTCCATGGACTGTGGACTATTTAAGTACATATTTGCCTCCTTGCCATGCTTTTCTGCGGTCTTTGTGACAAAGATGAGTCATCGGCGTTAATAGGACCAGGCTAGAAAAAGTGGCCATATATTTTAAAAGCAAAATATGTTAATGCTGCCTTGGCTCCCAAAGTTGAACATGATGAGGTCTAATGTAGATTACCAAGTAGCATGTTAGCAACCCTTCCGTTTTTATGTAGCTCTTAAAGAGCTGCGGTTGGAAAGAGTCACCATGCACACGTCTGTGATACTCATTATCCCAACGTTGGCCATTAATCGGTCCTGCCATATGGCATCAATAAGGCAATCCTCCTGTACACTCTAAAATATCTACGTGTCAGTTATTCCTGACCAAAACAATATTGTTATTCTTTGGCACAAATCCTTACCAATTAGCTACCTTTGAGTAGCTGGCCAGATCTTTGTTACTTGGCAAACCAAAGCCATCTCAAAGGTATATAGGCTATAATGAGAGCCAGGATATTATTATTATTTTTTTCTAAAATATTAAGAGTAATATTTCTAGCGTCCCTGATCTCCACCTCTTGCATATTCATATTGTATGTTATGTACATCTGTTCATTATCTGGCCATTTCAACAGCCATCAATTATTCCGCTGACATGGAGGGAAGCAATAGTGATGCACAGTATTTTCTTCACTGGTGCTGCATTGGGACAAGGTGGGTATCTCAATGCACCTCTGGATGTAATAAAACTCACAGTTTAAAGGACATCAAAAAATTAGGAAAAGATTTACTTCAAAGTACGCTCACTACACTACTCAATTAATATGTGTCCATCTGACCCCTATGGGGAGAAATTATTCTAGAGTGGAGAGGGTACACCCTCTGATAGGCCCTCTCTTCTGTTGGTGACTCCTGGAAGCTGTTAGGGCTCTGGTAGCAGCCCAAAGATGCCAGATTTTGGTGCGGGACCTGCCAGTGTAGGCCACATGCTGTCCGTGCACTAATTTTCCCATATGTCTGATATGCAAATACAGAATCTTATCGTCTTAGCAACTCTGCAGTCTAAGCTGTGGCCCAACCAACTTTCTTCTTCTGAGAAACAAATCACAGACCTGGAATAGGTCTTGTAGGCCATCTGGTCCAGTGGAGGAAATCCAGAGCTAAGGCAACCCAACTTGTCTCTACAACTGCAGATGCCACAGTAGCCTGCCACCATTTTAGCCTCCTACGGAAGAGCAGCAGCAGCAGGAAGAGAGACCTGTGAGAATTCAAAGACATTATCATGAACAAGGCATGTGCCAGATGCAGTGGCATAGCGTGCATTGGCAGCACCCGGGGCAAGGCAAGGGTTGCACCTCCTAACCTCCTTGCAGGCATTGCGTGGGAGGCAACAAGTGGTCTTCACTGTACCCCTGCTGTACCTGCTCCTCATGGAGGTTGCCTGCAAGTCACCGCATTCGCCCTCTCAGCTTAGCGAACTCCCAGAGGAAGCAGTGGCTGCTGCTCCTTGGTGGGTTGGGTGGCGTCCCAGAAGCGCTGGAGATGCAGCTGGTCTAGGAGGATGGCGGTAGAGAACAGGCTGAGGCACCAAGTGCAGCCCGTCCCTGCCCACCTCTCTTTGGTCGTGCAGCACAAGGGTGGGCACCAAAAGGTTCTGGGTGAGCAGGCAGCTTTCCTCTCTCTGTTCCCACTGTGGGGCACGTGCTTTGCCCAATGACACATGCTGGGAGGGAGGCACCGGGGAAGGACCGATGTGGGCCAGGAAATGTCCAGGAACTGGCTGGTGGGAATTCCACCCAGGATGGGCTTCTCTTCGCCAGCCACAAGAAGGTGGTGCCGCCGCAGCCTTGAAGACCTAGCCTGGGCCCGGCTTGCCTACCCGTGGCTCCAGAAAGTGGCAGCCACACAACCTTGGCGAGGGAGCCTGTTGTGGGCACGCTGGGTTGTGCCCCCTCAGAATTCTGCACCCGGGACCACAACCCCCCTCGCCCCCCCCACACTATGCCACTGGTCTGATGCGCACAGAGAGAGTTTCCAGTGGTCTCTGCCGTCTCGTGAGAAATGCTTCTTATATACAGTGGTACCTTGGTTTACGAACTTAATCCGTTCCGGAAGTCCGTTCTTAAACCAAAGCGTTCTTAAAACCAAGGTGTGCTTTCCCATAGCAGCGGGGGACTCAATTTACAAATGGAACACACTCAACGGGAAGTGAAACATGTTCTTATTCCAAGGCAAAGTTCACAAACCAAAACACCTACTTCCAGGTTTGCAGCGTTCTCAATCCGAGTTGTTCATAAACTAAGCTGTTCTTAAACCAAGGTACCACTGTACAAAGAAACATAGACAGCTGCCTTTGATCTGAGTCAGATAATTGAACCTCAGCGTTGTTTAAACTGACTGGCAGCATCTCTCCAAGGCTGGAGGTAAGGAGATGTTGCCAGTCCCAGCTGGAGATCTCAGAGTTAGAACCAGGGTTGTAGCGCCTGCAAAGTCATATCTCTGCACTCAAGCCCTGGCCCTTCTCTTAACTTTAATTCAACCGGGGCCAGTAAGACTGAACTCAACAGAACTAGCTTTTCAAGCAAGCCTGCTAGAAAAACATATATCAAGCCTAAATCTTCACATGGATAATCAGCATGTTGATTAAGACTTTTATTGTGCATGGAGGTCTGTCAGGCGGTTCTGGAGCCAAGTCTGAAGAAGTCGTCTTAGGGCACTGAGCGTTTTGCCAAAAAAAAGGAGGGGAGCAAACAAAACAAAACAAAAAACCTACCATGACCAAGAGTGTCATGACCACTTAGAAAACTTTCTTCAAGGATGAGAATTCTTCTGCTGGCAGCATGCTATCAGGAACATCTGGCCCAGTGCTATGTCACAGTTTCTTCTGTTTATTTTACAAACAGCCAGCCACTGCAACATTTTCGGGTTGTAGTAAATCTGAGATAGGAGAATAAGGAGCACAGAAGAAAACATCATCAAGTAGTAAAGTATAAATTAAGACCGGGGGGGGGGGTCAGAATGATGTGCATTGAAAAAAAGAGTATTTTATTTGCCACTGCAGCTGCAGATTTTCACATCTGAACCAGCTTGCCTCTGGCCTACATTGTCTACTTCCCTTCACGATTCTGGATAAAACAAAACCAATCTGTACTTAGAGGATACAACCACAGCTCACAGAGGGTAGAAATAAGAAGGATAAAAGGGGTCTCTTTAATTAGTGGGAGATGGTTGGGGAAAAGATGGGGTCAAGGTGAGTACAGACATTTGGGTTTGAGGAGTGCAAGGGTCAGCTAGCAATTGTGTGTCAAAGAATATCTAGAAATGCAGTGGCTTAGAACAGTGGATCCCTTCCATTTATGCAAGGCACTTCCAGGGGCAATGGGAATGACTTCTGATTTTTCAGGTTCCCCCACTGCAGCCCACCCATTTCCCATCCAATGCCACTCTGATAGGTTCTCCAACCTCAGGAGCGGCTTTTCAGAGGGTAGTAGTGAGAAGGACGAGCTGATGAAGCCCCATGCCATGAAGGCAACTCCACCTATGGGTTCTAAGCTAACGGATTTTGAGCAATACATAGAACCTGACCAGTGGTATGCATGAAAATAGGAGCTGACATGAAGATATATCACTCAGAACAATGCAAATTGCTGAATCAGCAGCCCACTGGCTTCATCAATCCCCCGTCTGTACGATTCAGATGCAAGACAGACAGAGCTAGATCTATCAGTGTGGAAGAAACTGAATCCTGAAACAACAGTGTTTATTGCAATTGCTACTCCTGATATGTGGATTGAAATACAATGCCACAATCTATCATGTGCATTTTGGGTGCAAAGAACTTTGCAGTCCTTCTGTCATAACAAAACCTGTAAGTTAGGTCTTTGCTATGCATATTTTCAACGAAAGTTAAATACCGTGGTTTGCTCAAGGCCATACAGCAAAGCTGGAATTTAAATCTGGATCTCTTTAGTCCAACATGATCACCTACATGCCTCATTTCCCAGAGTTCTAGTCACCTTGGTGTTTCAGTAGCGTCAGGTTGGTATGTGTCTGTCTTCAGTACATCTAATAAAAGAGTTACTGTTGATTAGGCTTTGAATAATAAAAATAATAAAAGAGTTACTGTTGATTAGGCTTTGAATGTCAAGTTTCCTTTGGAAGAAGTTGTGAAACTTAAGCAAGGGATAAATGCAATTTTGCCCCCAGTTACTATAGGCCATTTAACTTTATGGTTTATCAAAAATCTGTTATTTAATGGGATGATTGGGTCTGTGTGTGGTTTCTACCTTCGGCTTTAGCCAATTTTCATAGTTTCTAAAAATTTACTGTAAGAGGTTATGGCTTGACAATGGGAGACCACTAAGGCTGCCAGCCTTGCCAAACTATGCTGAATTATAGTGGTTTTGTAGTATTGGGCTGTAAGCCACAGGGAACCAGAGGGCTATAGCGAGAGAAAATGCTTTTCTAGGCAGACCTTGTTCTTCTTCAAATACAGGATTCTAACTAGAGCTTATTACTACAGTTCATAATGGAAGATACTAGTATTTATTTGTACGAGTACTAAATCCGAGAAATGTGAAAAAGACAAGGTATGGGAGGCCTGCAATACAAGGTTGCTATGTGGGCTGCTCCTGTCCAGCTTGCAAGCCAGCCAGTCAACCCTTCCAGGATGCTCCAATCCATAATTCTCCTTTAACAGACAGTCAGTATTCCATGCACTATGAGCACGCATTATTTGCCCATTTGGGGAGGGGAGTCTCTTCTAAAGATTTTCTGTACTTCTGCAAACGTTGGGGTTCTCCTGAGCTTGCTGATCTGCTTGCATAGCACCATGTTGGCTGGATAAAGATTGGCACTTGCAAATGTGTTTGCTATTAGTATATAATACAGGTTTGTATAGGTTCTGCATGTACCCCAAACTACAAGAAATGAGGTAACTTGGGGAAGGTTCTCACATTTCTGAGTTGGATGTTACCTTTAGCAAGGTTAGTGAGATCAACTCCTGGGTTGCTCTGTGGCCCAACCATGTTTTCTTTTCCAGAAAAACAAAAGCAAGCTGACTAGGGAAATGTTCAGAGCATGAGAGGGGAGGGGGACCAAAGTTTTATGGCAACGTTTTTGACCAGATTATTAGCCACTTTCAGTGTAACTAATACAAATGCAGAATATATTAACAACAGTAACAATAATAAATAATGCAATTTAAATAATGGTGGTGGTGATGTTCAGTAGTAATGAAATGTTGAGTGTTGCTTGAAGAATATACACAAAAGTGGTGAACAGAGGGAATGGTTGGCTAGAACCCCCAAAGGGACCACTCCTTTTAAGAGGTGAGGATGCTTTGCCATGTCTCATTGTGGGTCCCACTTGTAATATTTAAAGTAGGATTCCCCAAACTTCGGTCTCCAGCTGTTGGACTACAACTCCCATCATCCCTAGCTAGTGGTCCAATGGTCCAGTGGTCAGGGACCAGTGGTCAGGGATGATGGGAATTGTAGTCCAAAAACGGCTGGAGACCCAAGTTTGGGTTACCCTGATCTAAAGCATAAGAAAAAAGGGTGCTGTGGCTCACGAATTTTAAAATAATTTTTGGCACGGCTTACGTCACACATTCCCCATATCATAATGCAGGCAAACAAGGCTACAACTATACCTGTAGAAGGCAAAGAGCAAAGCAGAAGTACACGTCAACACACGCACATATAGAGATGGACAAAGATATTCTTTGGAAAAGGAGTATGAGGTTCCTATAAGCATCTACACAGGAAGTCCATAAAAGCAGTCTTGATGCTGAACTATTCTTAAGATGTATTGGGAGGAATTCAGCGCCAAGCTCTTCTGATCACTCCATCTGTGCAAGCGTTCCTGCTTTCTGGGTGGAACAAACCCCTCCTCCTCCATCCATGCACTGCTCTGGGGGTTCTTCTGACCCTCCAGAGTGGATGTTGCACATGGGTATGTGGTGGAAGGAGAGGAGGCAAATTTCTGTTGTGCTAGCAAGAGCCTTTGCGCTAACTAACGCTAGCATGTCAGATTGGTTGAATTCAGGCCACAATATTTTTTATTGATTATTCATTATCCCATTAACACCTACATACCATTCATCTTTTCCAAGTTCCAAACCAGGATGCGCATCTTCTGGGGCATGTTCCCAGGCGAGTCATGTGACCTGTGCCTCACTTTCCCCCCCCCAAGCACTTTTTGAGGGTGAGATCTCACATGCTTTTTTGAAGAGCGCAAGAAATCACAGCACTCAAAATGGCTGCCGTGATCTTGTGTGAGAAAAAAATGGGATGTCCCTTTTTTCCCGGGGCACTTGGGGAAGTATGTACCTGTAGATTGAGGAGTATAAAAGATATCAAATTTGACTGAATTGCTCCAGCAACAGTATGTTCCTAGGTGCTGTTCAGAAGTCACATACAGCACTGTCATCATTCGTAGGTTTTAGGCCCCCACTTCTGAACAGCAAGGCACTGAGTTCTCACCTACACTGAGAGCACATTGTTGGTAACAAACACATAACAGAGCCATGCTGGATCAGGCCAATGACCCTTCTAGTTCAGCATTTTGTTTCCATGGCAGCCAACCAGATGCCAATTGGAAGCCGGCAAGCAGGACGTGATGAGCGCAATAATTTAATTTCCCAATTGTTGACTCAGATAACATCTCCAAGGAAGTCAAGGGATTTAAAAAGAGACACGGGATCCAAGAGAGAAGTGTAGGAGGAGGCTGAATGTGAGCAGGCATAAGAGACTCAGTGACTGGACACGGAGGCTAAGGATGTATCCTATTCTCTGCAGTAACCCAGAAGATGCCTCTGGTAAAGGCACAAGCAAAGAGGATCACCTCTTCCTTGTTTTTCTGCAGCACTTGGGACCTGGAAACATGCTCTTTCTGAACTTGAAGGACTCCGTTAGATAACATAAAAAATTGTCACTGGTAGATGTGCCCTCCATAATTCCCATTTAAAGCCCGCTAAGGTTGCATAAAGGTAAAGGTAAAGGGACCCCTGACCATTAGGTCCAGTCATGGCCGACTCTGGGGTTGCGGCACTCATCTTGCTTTACTGGCCAAGGGAGCCGGCGTACAGCTTCCGGGTCATGTGGCCAGCATGACTAAGCCGCTTCTGGCAAACCAGAGCAGCACACGGAAATGCCGTTTACCTTCCCACCGGAGCGGTACCTATTTATCTACTTGCACTTTGACGTGCTTTTGAACTGCTAGGTGGGCAGGAGCAGGGATCTAGCAACGGGAGCTCACCCCCTCGCAGGGATTCAAACCGCCGACCTTCTGATCGGCAAGTCCTAGGCTCTGTGGTTTAGACCACAGCGCCACCCACGTCCTTTAAGTTTGCTTACCTTATCCTAAATTCAAAGAATGTTTAAAGCACATGACATGACTCCAATGAAACATGGCCCCCACCCCAAAGATATTCGGGACGCAAAAGGGCTTGTCCCCCTGGAGCTGGTGCCCCTGCTCCAAAGCTAAGCATTTAGGAGCACTAAAAATACAAGGTGCTTCAGCCTCGAGGGAATGATGCGCAAGTTCTGTTATGCACAATGGAACGTCACAGAAAACACCATATAAGTCACTCTGAATTAAGATTTCATAACACCCCAAATCATTTGCAGATAAAATTGTAGATCAAGCCAAAAGGCAGTGCATGGAGACCTGCATTGATTATTGCAAAGCAGCCCTAATTATTATTAGTCCAATTCCCATTATGAGGCTGCATAGGCACCGACTCCTAGGGGCTGAGGCAGTCTCCCCCTCCCCCATTTTTTTTATTTTTATTTTTAGAGGGCCGGGCCCCCTCCATGTTCAGAAGGTGTTTGGTTCCACCCCCTGGCTCCTCGCAATGTCACACGCGCAATGTCAGGGCGTCACATTGGGCCCCCTCAATCAACTTGAGAACATGGCGCCTCTGTGAGGCTGGTTCCTACATTTCACTCTCTATATCGTATGTGTTATAAAATCCAAAGATAGCATTTCCAACAGTTTTAAGGAATCTGTTCAACTGGTGAAAGTTGCATTCCTGGCGTAAGTCAGAAAGAGAAATGCGATTTATCTGTGGGAAGCAGACAAGGGACTTCTTGGCCTCTCTTCTACTGAGTCATCTTTCTCTCCCCCCCCCCCGCCTTTCATACTGACAGTGGTTTCTAGGAAATTTGTAGACCTTCAAACATGAGTCAATAAATTGCTTATCAAATCTCACACAAGATCCTTTCAGACCACGATAAGATAAAAAGTGGATAATCTTGCCAAAGCCCAATGCTGCCTCTGTGGAAATGTGTAAACTGGCTACAGAACAAGTCAAGGTGTAGAGTCCTTGCTGAATGTATGCCCTTTCCTTCAGCCTAGCTCATTGGGGAAGGACTGTAGTGCAATGGAGTAAAAATGTATGATGCATTCATCTCCTGTTAAATGTGTCGTGGGGTGGCCAAGTCGGGGCAATGCAGGTGGAGAATTGACCAAGGACCAAGAGGAGAGCTCCAGCAGGATGTGGTGGCCTCTGATGGGAGTGGGGGAATCGGCTAGTGAGGATCCTGGATGGGGGCTGCCTCAAGAGCTATTCAACAGTGGAACAGGCTCCCTCAGAAGGTGGTGGACTCTCCCTCATTGGAGGTTGGAGATTCCTTTGTAGCAAGGAGTTGGACTAGAAGACCCTCAGAATCCCTTTCAACTCTACAACTTATCATTCAACATGCTTCTTGTCTCATCCATCCCTGGGTGTGCCATCACCTTCTCTGTCCCTGCCTCCCTCTCCAAGCATGGCGGAGCCTCTCGCTGATAAACCCACTCCTGCGCCATCAGATACTGAGAGTAGCCCTGCCTGCTCAGAGGGAGAAGAAGGAGCAGACTGCGGGGAGGAGGTGTCGGAAGCTGTAGAGGCAACAGGGTTTAGTGGGCAGAAGGCAGTCCAGAATCAGGCAGAAGTGGTGGCTGGAGAGGAGTGGGGTTAAGAGGCAGAGATCAAGCAGACAGCTGAAGAATCCAGGGAGTCTCCCCCTCCTGCTGCATCCAACTGCCCTCCAAACCTGGTCTCTCAGAACACAAAGAGGAATGAAAAGTGTGGAGCAAAGAGAGACAAGAAGAAGGAGCCTCAGGTTTCTGGGGAAGGACTGGGGGGAGCCTTAGAGAATGGTGGGAAGGTGGACCCATTCATTCCTCGCAACTGCCTCATTGGGGCAAGACCTACTGGGAAGAGTTGCTGAGATTACTAGGCGTGAGCTATTTGGTTTATGTAAATAGAGAGTTAACATCACTGACATCTTATGAGTTATTACTGGCTTGCTTCCAACTCCCGCCTTGACAGCAGCACCTCCAGCAAAATCGTAGCCAGAGTTCTTTGCCATCATCTACCTAGGAATGGGAGAGAAATTTGGTTCAGTTTGCATTTTCAGCAGAATCTATCAAATTCACAACACTTCAAAATTCACACTTACCCAAATTTTGTGATGCAGTTCTCAAACAAAGCACCACTTTTCCCAAGCACCCCTTCAACCCTCTATTACTTTTTTTTTTTTACACAGAATAAACAAAATCCCACGAGGCAGCCACTAAAAGAAATGGAAGTGCTCTTTGCTATAGTCAGAGAGGATAGGAAATCACATTAGCCTGTAAGGTAGGACAGGTTGCAATGTGATTTCATGTGATTTAATAAAAGTTAGAAAGCCTCCAATCAAGCATTCTATAACAGATCAGTCTACAAACTTGTGATTCCAGAGTTAACGTTAGCAGGAGCATGTTTTGATGGTGGGCTCAAGTGTGCGTAGATGCATCCAGCTTCTCATTTCATGCAGCTGAAAGGTAAACGACAGCTGATCTCTGGCTGTGTGTGAAGCCGGCTGAAACGTGACCATTCATACATTTCATTTCCCATTGCAGCTTCAGTTTCTTTGACTTCTTAAACTGTTTTTCCTCCTCCCCCTGCCCTTTGCTAATGTACATTCTTCTAAAGGGGGGGGGGGGAGAGAACATGCTCCAGTGCTCCAGTTTCAGAATGCAAAGGTATGATGTTATTTGTCACCATGCCCAAAAAAGTCCTTACTCAGTAACTTTGCCAGAAGAGGGAGAGGGAGAGAGAGAGAAGGCAAATGTTCCCCCAGCTGTTTCCTGTCTACAGTGTCTGTGTAATGTAGATAAATGTGAGGATTTTCTCTAAATCCCTCTTCTGTTTGCTAAATCTCACTGTCACTGCTAAAATCAGTGCAGATAGAGCCTGCGCAATGGAATAAAAGTCCTCAATATTGAAATGTGACATTGCTCTCAACATCTCACCTCTCTCTGGATTTCTTTTCTTCCCTTTTTTTTCCCTCCCCCACCTCATTACTGCTAACCAATTCATTTCCAGAGTTTGCACTTAAGAAGCAATGGAAAAAATCAACAGTCTTTCAACACAATTATTTAAGTGCTGCTTTTGTGATTTCTTGAAGGTAAATCTTTCTTCCTATTTGATTTTTCTTTTTAAAGAAAATATTATGATTATATTGTGTGTAATCTGATTCTGCTTAGAAGAGTGTTATATGCACTTTTTTCAGTGTCATTATTTCTGTACTGGGAATTTTATTTCTAAACTGCTGAACAGACAGTTTTAGCAGAGCTGAAGAATGACTGCATGTGATGGTTGTTCTGAACACAGCTAGGTAACTGAGGAGGTAAAGCTATTGCAGGTACTTAGGAATTCAGCTTGTGTTGGGGAAACTTTTTTTGCAAAATTCTGGCTAGGTTGTCATATCTGAAATTTCTACTAACATCATTTTCTGTAGCTAGTGCTGCTAGCATGGAGCAAGAAATTTTAAAGTTTCTCTGCAGGTGCAAATGCTGACATTGTGATAGTCATTTGACAGCAGGTAGCTGGTTCACTTCTGTAAGACTGCTATATGCACAGAATTAACATTGAAAGTACAGCTGTTTTCTGACAGTGTTGTACATTTACTTCTTTTTAATGCTTTCCTGTTAAGTCAACATTAAGTTTGTTTTTCCTTTTCTAAAACAGAAACCATGTACAGCTTTTGCTGGCTATGCAGATTGATGATAAGATTAAGTTATTCTGCATTAAGGAAAGTAGAGATATCTTCACGTCAAGCTTTATTTTGCACTCTGCAAAGAGGCTTTTGTCAGACAAAGTTGGAGATGGAATTTTTATACCATATTACTAGTCATTGCTCCTTAAGAACATAAAAAGCTTTTAAGGTTAATTTTGGCTTCAGTAGATGCACTGACCTCTGTTTCTCTCAGCTGGCCTTCACTCAAGTTTCCATTCTCAGCAAGATTATATCCTTCAAGAACAATTTTTTTGTTTTGTTTTTCCATTTGTAGCAGGATTTTGTACAGCTGACACAGTCTCTAAAGCAGTAGGTGCCAATTTAGTTTTGTTTTTTTAATTATCTAAGTAGAATTTATCCATTTCATTTTAAGATGGGGGAATTTTGTAACAGTAGAAGCAAACAGAATGCAATGCAAATCTTGCTGAATTCAGTAGCCATTGGAGAGTCAGAGTTACAACTCCACAACTATGTGCATCCTTTGCTCAGTTTACTGAAGAGTTGGAATTAAACTACTGAGGTTGTTTATATATATATATATATCCAATATACTACAGATACCAAATTGCTGTCATTTAGCCATGGTCTACTGAAATCAACTGAGCTATCCCAATTTGTAAGTGGAGACAGCTTCTGCCAGTTTGGTGTGCATGACCTAAACATGCTAACTGAGAACCACATCTGACTAAGCTCTAAGGGACTTACTCCCTAGTGAGGCTAAGAAGGACTGCAGTTTCAGTCCAGAAGTTCTAAGAAGGGTAAAAGGCATCTTTGGAAAGAGATAAGCAATATATTGTATGGGTGCTTTCCCAAACATTCTGGATTCTGCTAGACCCTTTCATATGAGCTAGAAGCATGGGGGTGTACCCCCAACTTTCCTTTACATTCTGCTGTCTGCACTGATTTTGCTAATCCCTTTCCATGGGAACTAGAGGCTGTGTGACTTGTGATTGTCGGTTGGGAAAACCATCCGTATAGACCTCTTGTTTAAATCTTCCACTGCATTACTTTGATTGCATCCACTGTGTTAGGTTATTTCTATATCACAAGATGTGTCTAGTAACAGATTGATGATTTGTGGTGCTGTCTTTGAAAGTAGGGCAGTTTGCATGTGTATTTACTTAGCATAGACTGATACCTGGTTCTTGGGGCAGCCAGACAAGTTTGGAAACATACAAATGAATGCATTTTAATCTGTGGCATCCCTGCTGCCACGGCTGTGTCTCTGAGAAATGTTTTCAGTCAATTGAAAGCGTCATCCGTTTAGACGAATCAGCGCTCACCCAAATTTCGCTGGAACATTCATATGTGCTGCTTGATTTAAAGCTTGTTGAATGGGAGGAGTTGCGGAAGGGCAAGGAAGGTGTAAAAGCCATGGAGCAAGCCATCTGTTGGCTTCCTTAAGTGCCACTGTTTTGGACCGCCGCTCTCCAAATGTAGTAGACACTGGATCTTCTCCTGAAGGAGAGATTCGTGAAAATCCCAGCTGTAAACACAATTGGTCATTCATTATAGGGGTGTTTAGCCTGCCTTGCACTGTCCTGAGTCAGACTCAGAGTCCAAATGTAATCAGATGCTTCGATAAAACTCCACCCACATGGCAGTGCGTGCTTTTAAAGGCCTCTGTTTCCCATTCAATTTGGACATACAATAAATTGGACACACCCCGACCTATTGAAAAGACCAGCGGCCAAATTGTTAGATCATCGTAAGTATTTTCTTATGAATCCCACCATCCCCATCTAAATGAAAAAGAACAGGAAAGGTACAGAAGAGAGTATTATTTCTGTCAGATTCCTGAATAATCTTTTAAGGGACAATTTTATGTTTTTCAGAGCTAGGTCCATAGGTCCATTTGGCCTAGGAGCATATGAATCCATCCCTTTCCTCCAAGTCATTGATTGTTTTATAATTTGTCAGGGTGGGGGAGTGTTGAAACTCTTGGCAATTGCATTGTGTCATATTCTTGGCTTGCACTAAAGAAGGGGGAGGAACATGGAGACTCTGTATCTTGTCCCAGAACTGATATTTCACTTACAACGTAACTCTCCTGCAAAGTCTTTAAAAAATATAACATTGCTGAATGAGGCTTATGTTTGAGGCAAGGCCAGATGTGAATTAAGAACACCCTGCTAAACACACAGTGTTCTTAGACAGATACATAATGCCATTCCGTTGAGACCATGATGGAAGAGCTCTTTGAACTGCATCCTTGGAAGCAAGAGCATGAAGTCAGCAGGTGATTTACCTCTGCACGCAACAGCTTTTAAGATATCATTGAACAGAGGAAGTGATATTATTAAAACATAACCTCTTCAGAGCTTTAAGAATGAAATACAGAGGGGCTTTACTGTCATGTTCACGCATTCAGGGTTTTTCTTTTGTTTTGCCAATTTATTTTTTAACGTTACAAAGTTGAGGGAGGACTCATGTTGCAAATGCGAAGAAGGGGTATTTTCCAATCCCTCCTTGGTGTATCTCATTTTGGACTTTGTGTTGGATGTTTTCATTGTATCAATGTCATTATGATGAATGAAAGTGATGGTTCCAGCTTCTATACTAGCTGTTTTAATACAAACTAGCAATTAACCCACCAGTCATAGGTGGACATAGAGTGTTGGCTTGCAAAGAGCAAGGACCTGTGCAGGGGCAATGGATCCTCACTCGTTCTGTATTAACCATGAGCTCCCTGAATGGTAGGACCAGTCCAAGTGTTGCCAAGGGTAGATTCTGCCCTTATGCTAGCAGTGGGGAACCATGTTCCAGATGTTGCTGGGATCCAACTCCCATCATCCCTGTCTGTTGGCCATGCTTGGTGGGGCTGACAAACACCTGGAGGACCACAGGTTCTCCAGTCATGCCTTACAGAATAAGGTTGCCATGTACTTTTCCAATGAGAGTGAATGGCAGCCATATGGGGCAAACTGAAAGAGGACACTACTGAGACCAAACCTGCTTTACAACCATGGTGAACCCAGCCATTGAGAATATCCCCTTTTCCTATTTGCATAGGCTCTTCTGGATCTGGGGTTTTGGTCATGTTGGGGTATGATACAGTCCTGGGGGGGAAAGTTGAGAAATGTCTTATATATGAAGGATTACTCAGTATAACAAAGGTGTAGGATCGTGATGTTAATGTGGCCAAAACAGCTGAGAAACAAGATGGAGGTATCAGTGTGAGTGGGTTGGGGGTGGAGAATCACAGAATTGTTGACTTGGAAGGGATCCCAAGAATCATCTAGTCCAACCCCCTGCAATGCAGGAATCTCAACTAGATCATACATGACAGGTGGCCATCCAACTTCTGCTTTAAAACTTCCAAGGAAGGAATGACCACCACCTCTCATGGGAGTCTGTTCCACTGTCAAACAGCTCTTACTGTCAGAAAGTTCTTCCTGAAGTTTAGTTGCAATATCCTTTCTTGCAACTTGAATCCATTGGTTTGGGTCCTAGCCTGCAGACCAGGAGAAAACAAGCTTGCCCCATCCTCCATGTGACAGCCCTTTAGATATTTGAAGATGATTATCATATCTCCTCTCCATTCTCAGTAGCCAGAAAATGTTGAGCATCTGTTGCAGGGAGCTGGAGAAAACCAAGGAGATTCAGAATGGAGTGTCCTGGAAGAAGTAATTAGCAGCTGACTAGAACCGGTCCCAGCTATATTTCAGAATTCCTATCTAGCAGGTGTTTAGGTGTTCCCAATTGCTTCTGAATCTAACAAAACATAAGAAGTGTTTTTGTGCTTTGATGGTGCTTGTGTTTGCCATTTCCTCCTGGTCCTTCAAACGTTCTGGGGAAGAATGTGACTAAATTGTCACTGATGTCCAGGAGAGATCAGTTCACTGCAGCTGCTTTGTGCTGCTCCAGTAACACAAAGCAGCTGCTAATCCTAATTTAAACAGCATTTATACAAGGGTTTAGAGCTGCTTTGGTAGCTGGACCACACCCAATCCATTTGGCCTTGCCCTTTGCAGTTGAACCATACTATATCTGTTGATTTAAACCCTCTGCAAACTGACAACTGTAACACTGCCTGGGTTTACCTATTAGCTGCCAGGATCAATAAGATACTCAGGGTAGGGCTCCTGTGCTTTTAACTGTTATGCAAAAGAGAGCATTTTGGGGGAGGCAGGGGCAACTCTGTGAGTTACAGTGGTTAGAGAAGCTTTGTCTTCTGTTGAATCTGGCAACTCTCTTTTCCCTACACTTTCAGGAACGGTCTTCATAACAAAGGGACTGGAAAGCCTTTAGAGACTTTGGACTCCGGACATTTTCCGTGTTTTTCTACCCCTCCCCACCCTACAACTTCCCTCAGCGGATTGATTTGCATGACCTTTGACTGCCTGGGATGTGGCTTGGCTTGATCCCTGCCCTGGTTGTCTCACACATGGTGGGAGAATGTCCATTTCCAATCAATGGAGGCTTGAGTCCAGGCCTCTGTCTGGAAGCCCTGGGCTCTCAGTGCCTTTCCCCCACCAATCCCAGATATGTGTGGGCAAAACGCAATTACTCAGGGAAGAACAAAATGCACCCAACACATGTTCAGTGGTGCCCTGTTAATGACTTCACATGTTCCCGGAATGAGCCCTATATTTGAAAGTAGCTTCTGTGACTGACCCCGCAAACAAAGTTTGGCTCAAGTTAAACCCTGGTGGGTGCAGATGTGGTTTTCTAATTCTGTACAAGCCACACAACCGGACAATGCTGAAAAACTGACCAGGCAGGCAGGAAGACTCATTGCCCCAAACATTACTTATCCTAGGACCTTAGAAAATATTTCCTTATTGTGAAGGAAAGCAAGGGTTTTTGTATAACTTAACATTGTCACATTTATGCTGCATTCACATTGCAGTTTATTCTATTTTCATGACTTTTCCCTGTTAATGTCCACATTACATTTGAGCTTTCGCATGCTGTAAAAACCACTTCCAGCATTATAGTGGAATATAGTGCAAGTTTAGCACTCATTTCCATACTAGTTATAAACAGATTATTATTTTTCTGGAAGCAAATAATAAGGAAAAGAGCATTGAACTTGGAGTATATTACATTATAGTCCCAGAAGTTGCTTTTACATTGTGTGAAATCTGAACTATGATGAGGAACTTAACACTTAGGGCAAAGTCATGAAAATGGAATGAACCGCCATGTGAATGCAGCCATAGTCTCTGTTTCAATATAATGTGAGCTATCTTGGATGCAACTCTACCAAGTCTGAATCAACATCTGGGGACCCATGGTTAGAGAAGACTGGTGTAAACAATACTGAGCTAGGTGGTCCAATGGTCTGCCTGTGTAAGGCAGTTTCCTATGTTCCTATATTCTATGTTCCTATAACCTGCCTCTGGGCTTCCCAGAGACATCTGATTGGCCAATCAGGAAATGTGGTGATGGACTGAATGCAATAAATCCTCAGCCATACCCAGCTATTAGTCATAAATGGGCCACTGAAGGAAAGATTAGGCCTGGAAGCCTATGTCCTTCTCCCACCTTCGTTACACCTTTGGCCTGCCAGCATCTGCATTCTCATACAATATGTTTTAAGGGTTCACCCAGAACATAAAACATGACTGCGCAGAACATAATTGCAAGCATGATATGCAGGTGCTCTCGCCCCGGAAACCAGCAATGTCACTTTCCATTGCTCCTGTCATGGTGGTGATGCCCTGAAAGCTGGACCAGCTTCTTTCTGTGGTACAAGATGAAAAGAAAATGTATCTCTTTAATCAGACCAGCATCTTGATATTCCCTCTGCATGGATCCTAAGTCTTATTCTTAGCCCCAGCAATTAATGAGGTGGGAAGTAAGGAAGGATTTTAATCTACCGAAGCTTGTAGCCCCTGCCGTGTGCTATCTTGTCTATGGAACCAGGCTTGTGTATCCAATAACACAAAAATTGGTCCAGGACACCAAGTGCATAGTGGGTTCTCACTATCAGCCAACTAGCTGTTGCATTGGGGACAGAATCACCCCAGCAGAAATTGCCTGCCAAGCAGAAATTACTGGACGTGTGCTCTGTGATTATGGAAACAACATATGCGCTTGGTAAAAATGCACCCTGCACATACAAAGAAATTCCTCTACTATCAGGTCAGCAGGGACCTTTTTCAGCCGAAGGGCCACATTTCCTCCTGGGCAACCTTCTGAGGGACCGTGTGCCAATGGTGGGTGTGGTCCAAGGCAAAAAGTGGGTGACGCAATGCATCTTCAGCAGGCTGCATTCCAGCCACACACATACACACCTCTTTCAAGAAACTCAAGATGTGTTATTACGGTTCAAGGATACATTCTACCCAGGCAAAAGCATTCAGATCATGGAGCAGGATGGCTATGGGATGTGGCCTGGGGACACTCCTGAGATGCCTTGAGGGCCACGTTGAACCCCCAGGTCAGAGGTTCTCCACCAGTGCTCTAGTCTACCAAAACTCTTTGGGCCCTCAAAATTCCCCAGATGTTATCATTTGAGGCCAAATGCTTCTGAATTCACTTTTAATGTCACTTCAGGAGAAATCTAGTGATGTTCCAGACTGTGTGAGACCCGTTGATTAATTTATTTTATGGATTTGTTGCGTTTATATCCCACTTTTTCTCCAAGGTGGCGTACATGGTTGTCCCTCTCCTCATGTAATCCCCACCACAACCCTGTGACGTAGATCAGGCTGAGTGTCAGTGACTGGGCCAAGGTCACTCTGTAAGCTTCATGGTCAAGTGGGGATTTGAACCCTGGTCTCCCAGGTCCTGGTCTGACACTTTAACTGCTGCACCACACTGGCTCTCTAATGCTAATGCTCTTATCAAATCTCTAAGTTTTCCCTTTGCCAAATTTGCTTTAAAGTTCACTTTTGTCAAAAGCACCAGGGGTCCTCCGAACACATGGCACATGGCAACCAACTCTCACAGTAAATAGGAGGTGGGAGAGGAACAGTGTGGACCTGGTGGGTGAAGCAGAATGGGAAATTTCCCAAAACAGGCCATGCTTCAGGATTCTACTGGGAAACTCTGATGCAGTCTCTCTCTCTCTTTTACTTCTTTGGCAGGTGAAGATGCACACTGTGTCCTACATTCATCTCTTCTACTTTGGCCTGTGTTTGCTTACATTAACCAGCTCCTCTGCTGCTGCTGCCCCAGAGACACTTTGTGGTGCTGAGCTGGTTGATGCTCTTCAATTTGTCTGCGGAGAAAGAGGATTTTATTTCAGTAAGTTTGAACATTTGCTACCATTTCCCTCATACAATCAGTTCTAATCCCCTCTCCCCTCGCTTTTCATGGGGATACAGTTATTTGAGGCTTGCGTATGCATAGTTCTAGCAAACCATGCACAAAATGTGGCTTACTCTACTGAACCCCAGAGCTCTTCAAAATCCAAAGGTCAAGCAAAGCACAATATTTGGTCTAAGTTCAGCATCTTCCCTCTGCCCTCCACTCCCAGCCGGATTTAGGTTTGATGAGCTACTGAAGGTAATGGGGCCGTTTATATGTCCAGCTGTCCTTCGTCAACAACAAAGTGTTGCTTTTTTGTGTTGAAGATATGCTATATGGTAATTTATGGACCTAATAGGTGTCTAAAGCCATTTGCACATAACAAAATATGTATTTTATCAAAGTAATTGTTGAACTGAAATACAATTAATACAGGTGTTTTCCTTTACATTTTTGGGGGGCCCCCAAGAGAGTGGGGCCCTAAGCTATAGCTTGTTTAGCTTATATGTAAATCTGACACTGCCCAGCAACCTTTAACACTGTTATTTCCCTCATCCTCCTGTTGTATTTGCTAGGATTCCCACCCCCACCTCCGGTAGAACATGTTGCATCTGGCAACTCTTGAGAAGTGCAGCACAGCACTTTTAAGCAAGTGACAAAGAGGGTTCCACCTTGCATTGCCAAACTCGCTTTACTACAGCATCTGGTCTGAGCGGTTGTATGAATTGACGTTTATTGAAGTGGGAAGTGTGGGAGACAGGAAATGACTGCATAAAGCAACTGCTAGGAGATGAGTGTTTTGCATTGATCAGTCCTTGCTATTGCCTTGGCTTCAATAGGTTTGGGTAGCAGGGATAGGAAAACACCTGCATTGGATTCTAGAAAGCTAGGTGATCATGTGACTGCATGGATAAAGGCCATTGCTTGGCCGGAGAAGAGCACTAGAGTAGCTATGTGGCTTCTCCTCTCTGATCCTTAAGGTGAATTCAGCTAATATCTATAAGAGTTTCGGTCTTTGATTAAAAGGATTTGCCCTTGGTTATCAATAGTGGATCAGTTGCAGAGTAGTGATATTTAGCAGCTAGGAAGCTACAACATATGCCAGGGTACAGTGTAAATGCAGCACACACAAGGCTTCCATTCCAGAGGCAGTGTGTATAAGCAAAGTCATATATAGCCGAATACTGCTGGTTGGTGGAGGGTGGAGACACCCACATGCAAAGGCCCTCCCTGTGTCTCCACTGCTTTCCTCGATTTCTTTGTTCATTTGTTCTCTGTTGCTCCAGAGGGCTGGGCTTGAACCCATTGGTGGAAATGGCAAGGAAAGTGATTTGGATTAAACATTAGAAGAGACTTCCTAGTGATAAGGGTTATTTGACAGTGGAACAGTGGACTGCCTTGGGAGGTGAAGGGGTCTGCTTTGCTGGAAATATTTAAGCTGAGGCTGGACAAGCATTGTAGTTGAATCCTGCATGGTGGATATGGCATTGAGCAGGGAGTTGGACAAGGGTCACATCCATGCCACGCATTTAAAGCACTCTTATACTCTTTAACAGTCATGAAGAATCCTGAGAATTGTAGCTTTTAAGGGTGCTGGGACTTATAGCTCTGTGATGTTGATACACTTCACAAACTGCACTTTTCAGGTTTCTTTGAAGGGTGCCATGACTGTTAAAGTGGTATAAGAGTGCTTTAGATGTACGGTGTGGGTTGTGACAAGATTGTGACTGTCTCTCTCTCTCTCTCTCTCTCTCTCACACACACACACACACACACACAAAGCCACTTCCTTAGGAAATCAAAAAGCATCACTCTTAGTGGGGAGGTTAAAACTGAAGCCCAAACAATGGATATTTTACTATCAGGGAGAATACCCAAGTAGAAAACTCTTGTCTAACTTTAGGGGGTTCTTTATCATGCTTGGCCTCACTTCTGAGGTCTGTCTCAGTTGCCACCACAGGAATCAATGTGATGACTGAAAAGGTAGAAGGTGTGTTCCTGATGCCGAGTTAAATCAATTTCACATCACTGGTATGCTAAGTATGAGTAAGTCAAAACTAAGTGTTGAACTACTGGCTCAAAATGAGTAATGTGACAAGGTTTGAAATCTTAGCTATGGGATAATAGACAAAAACGTTACTTGATTTCTGCTCCTGGGGTGCAGAAATCTTTCTGTAAATGTACCCAAATAGAGAAGAGAGAGCAATGGCGGTCTCATTCCTATGTGTGATATACAGTGGTATCTCTGGTTACAAACGCTTCTGGTTTACAAACTCCGCTAAACCAGAAGTAACTGCTCCTGGTTGCGAACTTTGCCCCATGATGAGAACAGAAATCGCACGCCGGAAACATGCGTGCAGCGGGAGACCCCATTAGCAAAAGCACGCCTCAGGATAAGACCGGTTTCAGCTTAAGAACGGACCTCCAGAATGAATTAAGTTTGTAACCAGAGGTACCACTGTGTACAGTTACAACTCCCCTTGTGTAATCTTTTGAAGTGTATATTAGATGAAAAAATAAAAGTACTGGTGATTGCTATGCTATTATATCTCAGACATACATCCCCACACCACCTGTTTTGAAACTCCACACATTTTGGGGATTAAAATATTAACAATTTTTTTCATTATTAATCACCTGAGTGCCACATTCATCCTAGGCCAACCCTCCAGGGCCACATGCAAATTTAACGGGAGTTGCATTCCAGGAACATTGGGAAGGGCACGGATTTCCCTACACCAAGCCACTGACATATGAATGAAATCTAAATGCATTCTATCTCTATAGACAGCCATGATATTCAAACTTTTTACCAGTGTTCAAGCATTAAGCGTCTGGGAACTTTGAGTCATTGCAATGGACATAATAGTTTCTGGACTGAATGTCCGGGAGAATGAAGTTCTCTGTTTGTTCACAGAGCCAGTCTAGCTGCATGGGCTGTGGGCAATGCCAGTGCAAGCTTCTGCCCACCATTCCACCAATGGGCCTTAACCCTGACACAGAGAAGCAATCTCTAGGGGCAAGATGGCAGTTCATTTACATGCTGATTTTGTTCTTTAGCTTCTCTGCCAACAATGCCAACAAGTGTACTCATTAATTAGTGCTTATTTTGTTGGTAGGGGTTTGGGTTTTGGGGGGAGGGGAGAGGGTTGTGACGTAGACATAGGTCCATTGTCCACTAGACGGAATCCTGCAGTTGGGGGTGTATCACCTTATGGCTGCCAGCTATAAAATTAATGTTCCATGTAAGGTCAGGTCCAGTAGTTACTGCTTGGGTGGAAGTTCTCCAAGGAAAACAAGCTGCTCAGGAAATGCTTATTCAGTTGACCTTACTTTGCCATCTGAGTCAGTCCATGCTCAGGGTTAGAGAAAGGCCATCATTTGGCTGACAAAGAGACATCCTAGCCACTGGAGAGAGAAAAATCCAGTACTGTGGTTTTTCAAGTGTACAAGTAAGGCTACCTTTAGGAAAGCTGAATTTTATCTTTTCCCTCTGCATGCCTGACATTGCAAATGGGATATGGTACTCTTTCTTCTGGTTCCTTTATCGTAGCCTTTCCCTCCCCATTTCCTGCCCCATGCCACTTATAAAAACATGCATGGAAATATCAATGATCTGTACTCCCCCCCCCATCCCGTGTCACAAAATTCAGCTCCCAAATATAATTTTTTTGCTAGGGTAGGCAGAGATCCTGAAAATGATTGTATCTGGTGTCAAAACGAAGAGAGACGGAATTCTACCTACTAATTAAGCACACTGGACAATCTGCTCCCATTCTACTGATAAAGCTGGTCTTGGCAGGAACCACATTCTGATAACACTGAGAATATGAGATGGCACTAAGCCCTTGAGGATGTGAGGGTTTCAGCACACGTTTCTTTTTGCTAGGCATCATTGGTTGTTAATATATAGCTTCTAAATCATTACCCACCCAGAGGTCTTGGGATAAGGTGGGCTAGAAATAAAAATTGATCTTCTGTTAGAGGGCTCTTGCAATCAGATATCAGGTGGCACTGCAGCAAATTTTATGATGCACCGTATTTTTTTAATGCAAAAAAGAAAAGAAAAAAATCCTGCTTCCCACTGTTTCACAATATTTTCCACTCACATCCATTGCTCCCCTGAACTGCTGCAGCTTTTGAGCCATTTCTTTTCTTCTACTTGAAAGGACTGTGTTTCAAAGAGCAGGGGAATTCTCCCTGGCCAGAGTTCTAGATTGCATTTTGAGTCTACATGAGTAAGGGTTCAGCCCCCAATGTGTGTGGAGTGACAAGTACTGCAACAATGGCACCAGTGCCCATCTTTTCCTCCTTCTTACCCCATTGGAATTTCATGTAAAAATTCAGGGATTCCTGAACAGGGCTTCAGTTTAGCCCTATTAAATTTGTGATGAGCTGATTCACATCAAAAGGTTGTTTTGAAATGAAACTATTGCCATTCATTGATGTGCATACATACCGGGGTTTCAACCCCATGAGATGGCAGTGGGATGAAGGACAGTTTATCAATGAGGTAAATGAAAGAAATTAAAACAATGGAAGAATTAAGTTTCCCTTTTTTAAAAAAGCAACATTAATGTATGGAGGTGTTTTTTGTAAAATAATAAAATAATAGTAGTAGTAGTAGTAGTAATGATTTATTTCTACCCTGCCCATCTGGCTGCGTTTCCCCAGCCACTCTGGACGGCTTCCAACAAAATACTAAAATACAATAGTTCATCAAACATTAAAACCACAGGCACTCCCCTCCCCACCCATTTTTAGTGCCCCCTGACAAAGATTGCTGAAAATGGGGGTCACTTTTTCAGTGAGGTAAAAATGTTGATAAAACTCGGTCTCACATATTAACTATATTTTCACTGAAGCACTTTGCAAAGTTTAAAGCTACAACAGAAAATATGGCCTAACAATTAAGGTATGGCTTAGATTTAACACCTGAGACGTTGGACTGGTTCAGATAGGGTTTATGAGAATTTGCATACCCTCCCCCTGGGTTTGCTTGCTCCCCCTCCTCCCACTGCTTCCTCCTGTGGTATGACCTTAAGGAAGAGTTCAAAAGCTTTCCCTTCTGTTTTAGATTAACCATAAATTATCATAGTGACTGAATCCTGGCAAACGGTGGTAAATCTTAACTTTAGTGAGTTGAAATAAGCCAAACCATAGTTTATGAAGCTGTCTTGTTTCAACTAACCATAGCAACAGTTAAGGTGTCAGATGACACACTTAACTGCAATTAATCTAATAAAATCACTTCTGATGCCATTCTTATGATTTCAGCAGAGGAAGAGAAAGGAGGGAATAACATTTGAGCCCAAGGCTCGTTGATGTATGTTCTCCTTGTGCCAATCATAAAGTACATTCTGTGCTACCTGTAACCTATACAGTGACAATAATGTTACCTAAGTCATGATGTAGCATAACTTCCATGAGAATCCTGACACATGAAAGGTTGTGGAGGTGTTGTGGGCAGCCTTGCTTCTGCTATGAAAGGTGGAAAGGCTGTAAAAAAGAGGGGGAGATGTAATTTTGTGCAATATTCTTATTCTTATTTATATTTGTATACCACCCTTCATCCATAGATCTCAGGGTAGTTCACAACATAAAAATACAATATAAAAACACAAAATGCATAATAAAAACAAAAACAAACCAATAATCCCCCCACAACCTATTTAAAAGGGCACCAAGTGTTAATCAGCCAAAGGCCTAGTTGAAGAACATTTTTGCCTGGTGCCTAAAGGTGGTTCCAGCTGAACTTTCCTGAGGACAGCATTCCACAAGCAGGGAGCCACTGCATGAAAGGCCTGCTCTTGTGTTGCCACTCTGATTCTGTCGTGGAGGAAGCACACAAAGAACCACCTCAGATTTTGATCTCAGGGTCCAGGTAGGTTCATATGAAGTTGCATTGAATTGTATTTTCTCAGTTTCATTGTTATACCTATTGCACTCTGTCTGCTAAGGGACGGTTTAAAATATTAAGCAGCATATAAATATATTAAATAAAAAACAAACCAATTGCTTTGCTGTAACCATGGATGAGGAGCCTGGGGCTCTCTAGGTATTGTTGTATTCCAGCTACCATCAGCCCTGTCCATTGGCCATTCTGGTGCAGGATGGTGACAGTTAGCGTCCCACAACATCTAGAGGCCAACGGAATTCCAATCTCTGGTGTAAACTCCTTTTTAAAAATCAGAGAAATTCACCTGCTCCCCCAACCCTCCTAAACGTTCTCCCCCTTCATGGGGAGTGAAGCAGAGGCATAGGAAGGGGGTGCGGTGGGTGCGGTCCGCACCGGGTGTCATGACTGAGGGGGGTGACAAAATGGCAGGTGAGTGGGTGGTACACCTTGCGCTGGGCGGCAGCCGTTCTTCTGACCCAGTGGCCAAGAGCAGCCCTCCTCAACCTTGGTGAGGTGCACTCAGCCACAGCAGCTCCAATGCTGGGTCATGTCTGACCCACTGAGGAGAGTAGGAGGAGAGTGAGCAGCAGCGAGAGCCAGTGTGGTGTAGTGGTTAAGAGCGATAGACTCGCAATCTGGGGAACTGGGTTCGCGTCTCCGCTCCTCCACATGCAGCTGCTGGGTGACCTTGGGCTAGTCACGCTTCTTTGAAGTCTCTCAGCCCCACTCACCTCACAGAGTGTTTGTTGTGGGGGAGGAAGGAAAAGGAGATTGTTAGCTGCTTTGAGAGTCCTTCGGGTAGTGATAAAGCGGGATATCAAATCCAAACTCTTCTTCTTCAGTTTCCCCGCCCCTCTCCTACCCTGAACTGTGGCGAGTGGGAGGGCACCCTCCGCACCCCCCCCCCAAGAGCACACCCGGCCTGGGCAGTGCAGGCATATGCTCTGCCACTGGGGTGAAGGGCCCCATTAAAGAGGAAGAAAGATTATCTCAACATTAGATACTTAGCAGTAAAGATTCACAACACCCCAGCAGGAGACTGAACTGTGGACCCTAGGAATCTGGGTGGAGTTGACACCTTTGATTACTTCACTGCATGTTTAGATCCTGAAGGGATGGATGTTGCTGGACTGCAAATTCTATCCTTTTTGTCCACTGGTCATGCTGGCTAGGGCTGATTGGAGTTGTAGTTCAATACATCCAGAGGGCTCATTGGCTACCTGTGGTGTAGGCAATATAATGCTAGATATAATGGTCAGGCCAGATCTAAGACAGCTTCCTATGTCCCCATATTATTCTCATACTAGAGACTATGGCTAAGACAGTAGCAGCTTGTTTAAGGCCACCTGGTAAGACGCAAGACTTCAAGCAGAGACTACCTATTCCATGGTTCAGCCTCTTGGCCTCTATGGCACTGAAAGACTTGATTTATATGTAAACCTATACACAAGTAAAGAGAGAGGAATATTACTTACACACACACACACACACACGAGAGAGAGAGAGAGAGAGAGAGAGAGTTGAGAAAATTATCCAAAGATACAACAGGCAGGGTGAACCAAAGATAGATGTAAAATGCAGAAGGAAAACTTGGCCATGAGCAGCTAGGTGATAAAGGACAAGTCATATTTCACTGAGTAAAGCAATCTCAAACTGGTTGCCAAGTAGCATCAGACGTTTCCAAGTTGTCTCTCTCTTCTCTCTTTGACCAGCATTCCATTTTGCTGCTAAAGCAAGCTGTTTGGTCGCCCAAATTCCATGGCATGGTGAAATTGTGGCTTTCCAAGCTCACAATAAGATGCCTGACAACCAGTATAAAGCTTTGTATTTGAGCCTGTTGGCCCCTGGGGCCCAAACAGCTGGAAAATTACCTGAAATCTTATGTCTTTTTCAGAAGGAACCACAGGTATTCAAGGCAGGATTTTTGACGTTTGTGCTTTTTATTATTTCCTCTCTTATAATCATGCTACATATCTATAACTGATGCACTAGATTTGACCCAGCAGGGGTGCATGGTTAGCAAGCATGCAAATAATTAACAAGTCAGGGTTAAAAAAAAAAAGGAATTAAATATAAAGCTGGTATATAAAATGGATCCTGGGATCCAAAGTAGGATAAGAGGGAATGCTCAACTAATCTGTTCAGAATAGCAAGCTGTCTCTTGCTCTCCTCAAATTTAACTCTGAAATAGTCATTGAATTTAACTCAGAAATTATTTTCTCTCATACACAGCTCTCCAACCCTCAGGGATAACTCAATTTTATGAGCTTCAAAAAAATGAGCTCCCCATCAGCCTCTCACATACTCTAAAACACACCCTTGCTTTCTCTTCCTTGGTGATCAGTGGGGTAAATAGTGGCACAATTGTGGGACAAGGAGAGGAAGGAGATTTGTCCTCTTTTCTTCTCATGTGATGTTTTAGCAATAGCACAATTTCAGAAGCCTGCAGACATTTGCCATGACAAAGAGGCTGAGCAATAAGGAGCAACCCTTTCTCTCCCTATGTGCTTCCGCTATGAATTGTCATGTATGAGAAACAAGGAGGGCTTTGGGAGACAGTGAAGGGCTGGTGTGGAAGGGAAATTGGGAATTCTTCTCTAGCTCAGATTTTGATCCTACCTGGAGAAGGATTGAAGCAAGAATTAAAAGCTCACCTCGCATTTGAGGCTGGCTTTTACAAACTCTGGGTTTTTAACGGAGCCTGGCTCAGGAGAACTTTGCAAGCAACTCTGTAGATTTCACCTGACTGCGACAAATTATAATAGCTGATTCTCTTTTCCTAGTATTTTGCATGTGATCAAGATAAATAGCAAACTTTTAAAATAACCAGTTGTAGGAAGGGGCCTTCACGTGTTTCGCTTTGGTGTTCTGCCTCTTATCTCAAGAACTCAAGCAACATGTTCAGCTTTTATGGTATGTTGTACACTAGGCAGAGAAATGGTTCAAGGCCACCTGTGAACTTGAAGGTTCAGAGGGAATTTGAGCCCAGATCTATGCTCAACATTCTCTTCACTCTACCAGGAAATGCCAACTTCATTGAGAGGTGTGGGGGGAGAGGATCCCAGCCCAGTTATTCACAGACCAGAGCCTCTGCCCTCCCACTGATCACCCAGATGTAGCAGTTTAGCTAGGGAAAATTCATTCCACTAAGAAAGGTGCCTGCCAGGTTAGAAACATTGCTTTTTAAAGATGACGTCTTACCATTCCATTTCTAGAGGAAGATAATAATTTTCTCACAAATCTATAGAGGAAATAACACATTTTTATCATTAATTTGTTTTTTCAAGGTCTTGTTACCATTTCCCCGTAAAATAACATCTCTTGCTCCACCCATGATGAATCCTATTGACCAATCTGGGGAAACGGTGGAAAGTCAGCAACATAGTATGTAGTTACTTGTAAGAAAGGGGACAATAGTCCTTTGGAAAGTGGGTCAGAAGCAAATTAATGAATACTTGATTCATTCATTCAACAAACCTAGCGTAAATCTAAAAGCAACCATAGAAGTTTTCATTTTTACAAAATGAAATGCATTTTTCCAGTTACAAAAGTCATCTGTGTGCTTAAAGCAAATCTTCTGAGGCATTGCTGGCTTTAAAAATGAAAATCACAAGTTGGAGTTAAAGACTTGGCACTGAGCAGGAAGAATGATCTAACACATGCTTCCTTGAACAGAAAAAGGAATTTCATAAAAGAACTGGGCAGATTTTGGTTTCTCTGATATTCAGCACTCGGCACTGCCTGAATCCATCCATGACGTCATTTGACTGTTGGCTTTCTTGTCAACAAGACCATAAAAATCCCTAATAATTATGACTGACCTCCTCCAAACTTTGATATTTTGATTCTCTATTCAAATCCATTGAAAGTAGCTAATATAATGACACCAGTTTTATGTTGCTCAGATGAACACGCTTCCTTATTTACCATCCTTGAAACTCCTCATTGAGTTGGTCCCCGTTTCCAGCATCAAGGTGTCTCCCCTATACCCATGATGCAATAGACATCAGTATTTGAGGAACAGAGGGATCCATTGTGTCTCGTATGAGATATTTTATTGCCTAAAGCAAAGGACAAGATGGGGCTCACTATCCCATTCCATATACAGAAGCTTTTGTCAGTTGAATCTTACTTCAGTATTTGTAATGGGATGGCATCCTCCACTATACCCTAGGCCAGGCCTGTCCAAAGTCCGCCTCAGGGGCCCTAATCTGGACCGCTGGTTGGTTTAATCCAGCCCCCATGGCAGTTTATTTCCTAAAGAAACCTCAGCAACTTCAATCCTTAAAAAAAAGCTCAACACGTTCAGTCAGCCCTTACGGCCCTTCACTTCATCAAATGTGTCCCTCTTTGAAAAGATGCCACTGCCCTAGGCCATGGGTTAGTTTAAGGGGGCAATGGCATGTTGTGCAGCATACACAGGTCTGCCCTCTAACAAATGGGAATGGCCAGAGGGCTGCCCCTGCTGCCCATCATCACCTGCGGAGGTCAGATGTACATGGAAATATTCATGCTTACAGTTGCTTTCATAGGTACCTGAACCCCTCCTTCATCTAAAAATTATCCACATGTATGCTGCTTGAAACAATGCAGCGTATGTTTGTTTGTTTTGCTTTTGACCATACAAAATTTCAGGAAAGAAAGAAAAGTGGATCTTGTTTATGCTGGAACTGATGACCCTTTAAGAATACTGAATCAGTAGGACTCTTGAGTTTGTCAGCATGTCCCAAAGCCTGACTGAGCAAGAATTCTGGTAATGAGAGCCACCATTACACTTTTCCAGTAGTATCCAGGAAGAAAGTTTATATGGAGGAATTTGAACCTTGCAGAGAAGAAAAACAAAAAAGACCAGCAAGAGGCAATGTTGTGGTCATGTAGGCTTGCATTTATCGCTGCTTTTTCTCAGCCATTTCTCATTTATTTTGTTTAAATAGTCTTCTTGAGGCAGTGTTGGTGGTCACTTTTTGAATCTGAAAGTAAGGTGGAGTAATAGGTGGAGGAGGGACCTCAGTACAAGTACTTGGGGTTATTTACATGTGTGCATGTCATGAAGTCTGGCAGAAATATATAAATTATAATGGCAATTTTCTGTGAGGGGTAGCTGCTGAACAACAAGATTTAAAGACTGTATGTCAGGTGAAAATAGTTAAAAGGTACGAGAGAGGGACTGAGTTACTTAAGATTAGACTCCTTAACCACCGTTTGTTGCGCTGAGTGTGTCATCCATGCCTTATTTAGTGTCATGGATCAGTGCTGCCCTTGCAGCCACTTGGAGCTTGAAACAATCTCTCGTGTTCACCTACTGTGGATGTTATCAAAGGGTTAGAGAACACATAATGTATCACCTTATTAGGAGGCGGCCTTAGAGACTCTTTTGAGTGCCTTCCTTGAGGAATCCAATAAATCTGTTACTGAACAGGTGGCAATGTCTCCGAATGCTGTGGTATTTCTTAGACCTGCTGTGATGGTTAGCTCCTAGTTTTGTCTCCCTAAATAATAATGGGTTCCACTGAGGCTGTGATTTTTGTACTGGTTCATATTTTGTACTTTGTTTAATGGTCAGTCAGCCGTAATAAACATTTGATTGATTGATAGTGTCATGTTGGCAAAAGTTACTTAAAGAAGCACTTGGCAAGCTCAGCCCTGGTTCTGGCATGACTAACCCCGTTCACTTTTTTCACAGGACCTTAAATACCAAGACAGCCTTGACTTGCTTTACTTTCTGGCATATTCTATTATGTAATCAGCCAAAACCTTTGCACATGATCTCCTCTATTTGTCCTGATATTATTAATGGCTTTGCAATATTTGACCAGGGGTAGCAAGAGTCATTCAGACATATCATACAGTCAACCAAGACCACACAGTCTCTTAATTAAAACCTTTTGCTCAACATGTTGAAGCATATAAGGCAACTTACATAGCAACTCCAATCCAGAGCCTGGTTAACATGGACTTCACGTGCTGTGAAATATATAATGTACAGTAGATTGTGTCCTGCCTCTGGGCCTTTTTCACACCTTATAATTTTTAATATAAATTTTATATTACATGCTGAGATGTAATATCATGAACTGTGAATGTTTGAAAACATATGTTTTGTTTGGAGACACCCATTAGAGAGATTATCCAAGGTTCTTTGAGTAGTCACATGGTAGGAAATCTGATTTTATTGCCATCTTGTGTGTGAAATGGCCTGCCTGGCTACCAGGCTTTACAACACATCTGTGTCTGCTGGTACTTCACTGTCTTAAAGAGTTGGACAGTGGCTCCTCTGAGAGGGTTACTGAAGAGATATAAAGGAACAGGAATGAAGTGTTTGTGATTTAGAATTTTCTGCATTTAGTTTAAGTAAACTAACAAAGGTCCCATCTGCACTATACTTCTAAATCAGTATCATCACCTTAAACAATCATTACTTCCTCCAAGGAATCCTGAGAACTGTAGTTTGTTAAGGGTGCTGAGGAGACCCCTATTCCCTTCACAGAGACACAATCCCCAGGGCTCTCTGGGAATTGGAATTTGTTGTTAAGCCACTCTTGGAATTGTAACTGAAGCAGAACCAGCATGGTTTCTTGCAAGGTCAAGTCCTGTCACACTAACCTATTAGAGTTCTTTGAAAGTGTCAACAAGCATATTGATAGAGGTGGTCCTGTAGACTTTCAATGATACTTTGACAATTGCATTTGCCATTTTACCGTCCATTCACCCAGTATGGAGAGATCTTTTTGCAGCTCCTTGCAATCTCATTATGCTTTAACCATCCTGAACAATTTGGTATCATATGCAAACTTGGCTATATCACTGCTCAGGCCTAAGACAGTTTTTGAACAAGTTATAAAACGCAGGTCCCAATTGCAATCATTGGGTGACTCCACTTTTTCAGTCAGGAGAATTATCCACTTATTCCCACTCTGTGCTTCCTGTTACTTAACCAGTCCCTGAACCACAAAAGGATCTCACCTCTTTTTCCATGACTGCTAAGCTTTCTCAGAAGTCTTTGGTGAGGTACTTTCCCTGTAAGCAAGTGTAAAGTGATGCACATTGGGCCCAAAGCCCTAATTTCACATATACACTTATGGAGTCTGAACTGACAGTGTCTTGCCAGGAACAAGAACCTATAGCCTTGCTGGGTAGCTCAGTTCAGACATTGACTGAGTGTGCGCCAGCCGTGAAAAAAGTGAATCCTATGCTAGGGGTCATTAGGAAAGAAATTGAAAATAAAACTGTCAATATCATAATGCCTTTATACAAATCTATGGTGCAACTGCACTTGGAATACTGTGTTCATTTCTGGCTACCTCATATCTCCTCAGAAAGGATATTGTAGAGTTGGAAAAGGTTCAGAAAAACGGCAACCAAAATGATCAAGGGGATGGACCAGTTCCCCTATGTGGGAAGGTTACAACCCTTGGAGCTTTCTCGTTTAGAATAAAGGCAAGTATGGAGGGACATGACAGAAGTGCATGTTTAGGAGAAAGTGGATAGATGTTTTCCTCCCTTTCGTGTTAATACGAAAGTTGTGCTCATTCAATGATGCAGGAGATTCAGGACAGACAAAAGGAAACACTTCTTCATGCATCGAGCAATTGTTTTATGAAACTCACTGCCACAAGATTTGGTGATGGACAATATCCTGATGGCTGTAAAATGGGATTGGACAGATAACATAAAAAATAAGGCTGTTAGTGGTTACTGATCACAATGGCTATAATGTAGCCTTGAGGTTCATAGACCGTTTGCACCAAAATATCAGCTGCTGGCAGCCTTTCTTATGGCCTTCCCAGAGGCATTTGGTTGGCCACTGCAGGAATCAGGATGCTGAAGCAGCCATACTGCTGGTCTGATTCACGACGGCTTTTGTTACATCCTAATTATGTCCCAGTAAGCTTCCCCTTGCTTTTCTGGCTTTCAGCAGGCCCACAAGCATCTCATACTCAGCAGGGTCCCACCCCCCCACTCCCACCCTCAGCTGCAAGCTATTTTGTAGAAGCTAGCTCACTTCACCCTAATTGAGGAGGCATCAATGTTCCCCTCACCCCTTAGCTCTTTCGTCACATCTCTGCTGGACTGGCTTCAAGCATTATTTTGAGGACAATTCCCCACATGTGCATCATGCCAATGAGGTTTACTGTTATTCATTATCCTGACATTTGTTCTTTTCACATAAAGACTTCCTTGGATTGTTTGTTTTTTTGTTTGTATGTTTGTTTATGAGAGCCAGTGTGGTTAAGAGCGGTAGATTCGTAATCTGGTGAACTGGGTTCGCTTCCCCGCTCCTCCACATGCAGCTGCTGGGTGACCTTGGGCTAGTCACACTTCTCTGAAGTCTCTCAGCCTCACTCACCTCACAGAGTGTTTGTTGTGGGGGAGGAAGGGAAAGGAGAATGTTAGCCACTTTGAGACTCCTTTGGGTAGTGATAAAGCGGGATATCAAATCCAAACTCTTCTTCTTCTCTTCTATGTGATTGGGCAACTGTGTTCACTGCTCCAGCCCCTGGAGGTTAATGGAAAGCTAATTATTGCATCTATTTTATTTTCAATTTAGCATGGTCAAAATTATTATCTCAAAAGCCCTTTAAATCGAGTTATAACATCTCACTTCTGCATCCCTTAAATTGCTGAATTATGATTCAACAGACTTCATAGAAGAGCCTGATTCCTCCCCCCTCCCCTTTACATATTTCAAGTTTTATGTTTCTTTCCATTAAAGCTTCCAACCTTTCTCAGACGTATTTAGTTTGGCAAAAGGAGTAATGTTGAGTCATGGAAAAGATTTGAGAATGAGCTACTGAAAATGTATCTAATTTCTCTTTGTGTAATTTAGGAGCAGGCAATGGATAAGTGGGTAGAATCACAAAGTAACAAGTGGTTGTTGGGGGGGGGGTTCAGTCTTCAACCCTACTTAAATTTGATGGCCCAAATGTAGCCTTTCAAAAATCTCTAGGCTAGTGCTTCATTTTCTCTAAATTAGATAGTGTGTGTATGTTCTTTAAACACCAAGAGATTAAATTCTCTTGTTTTTGATAGGGGTGATGTTGCCACTGCTTAAGCTGAATCTCAAACTCTGCAGTTCAGTGTTACATCAGTGCCGTGCTTGGAGCAGGTCCCACTGTGTTCAGAGAGGCTTTCTTCTGAGTATACATGCATAGTGTCAGTCCTAAGCGCACTTTGGAAACCAGTGGGATTCCCTTCTGAGTTAACATAGTAAAGTGGTTTCTGTCTCTTGCAATCAGAATGACAGAACCTCTGCATAATTCCTCAGACCAGTCCAATGTATTTGGGGGTGTCTAGAAATGGAGCTCTAAGGGACGCGGGTGGCACTGTGGGTTAAACCATAGAGCCTAGGACTTGCCAATCAGAAGGTCGGCAGTTTGAATCCCCACGACGGGGTGAGCTCCCATTGTTCGGTCCCTGCTCCTGCCAACCTAGCAGTTCGAAAGCACGTCCAAGTGCAAGTAGATAAATAGGTACCGCTCCGGCGGGAAGGTAAATGGCGTTTCCGTGCGCTGCTCTGGTTCGCCAGAAGCGACTTAGTCATGCTGGCCACATGACCTGGAAGCTGTACGCCGGCTCCCTCAGCCAATAAAGCGAGATGAGCGCCGCAACCCCAGAGTCGGTCACGACTGGACCTAATGGTCAGGGGTCCCTTTACCTTTACCTTTAGAAATGGAGCTCAACATTTTTGTGGATTCAGGGCTGTAAGCCCAACAATTTTTGGCAGTTCTAGGGTGCAATCACTGTCTATTCACCTCATTTAAAGAAAACATGAGGGGAAAGAAGCCTCAGGCTTGCCTGTTGTCTGTTGCTTGTCTGCCAATTAGCCCTAAAGCATCTTCCTATAACACTCACTGGGTTCTCTCACTGCGAGAAGTGAAGTTACAGGGAATCAGGCAGAGGGTCTTCTTGGCAGTGTCACCTCCCTGTGGAACACCCTCCCATCAGATGTCAAGGAGCTAAAGAACTACACAAGTTTTAGAAAACATCAGAAGGCAGACCTATATCATGAAGTTTTTAAAGTTTGAAAGCAGCTCAGAGTGGCTGGGGAAACCCAGCCAGATGGGCAGGGTATAAATAATAAAATTATTATTACTAATATTATTATTAATTACTACTACTACTTCTACTACTACTCCTCAGGGTTCAGCTGTAAATATTTTTTCTTAGTTCAGTTTTCATCAGTGGATTGATATTTACTTATTTATGCCTATTTCTAAGCTGCCTTTCAGGGAGTTTCTTTTTTAAAAAATAGAAATTTAAAACATCAGAAACATGTTTTGTCATGATTGATCTCTTTGTCTAATGCAGAGGTGGAAAACCCCATAACAGCCCCATATGTTGTTCAGCCCCATGTTTGTGGACCCCTGCTCCCCAATAGTTTCTACCAGCCTGGCCAATGATTAGGGAGAATGGGAACATCTGGCAACATCTGGAGGCTGCATGGTCCCCTTCCCTGGTCTAATGTCGTATTGAAAATATTTTATATTCACTTATGCGGCAATCCTATAGACCAAAAGTCATTTTATTGTCATATTATATGGCTCTTCCCCCAACCCCAATGATCTTCAGGACAACAACCTATCTACAACACAAAATGGCCACAGCACCTTCACACATCTACAGTTTCTTAAGATTCCTTTGGGAAACCTAAACTTGTTCAAACCTGGTTTAGGATAGTAATGTAGATGTGATCCAAGTAACAATAATAGGCCCTACATAAAGAGTCCTGTCCTGGTCGAAGGCTTCCAACAGGCCACTGTGAGAATAGGATTCAGGGCTCTTCTTGAATGAAAGCAAATGAGTTCATCACTATGTGGAAGACAGACAGCTGACTGAAGTAAACAAAAAGCTGGTTGAGGATAAGGTTTCATTGAAGTTTAAGCCAATTCAAGAGTGCAAAGTCTCTCAGACTGCTGCCTTTCCGTTTTACTTTTTCCTTTGAGGTAATATACAACTGCTCCAAGGATAACCCCACTGCCTGACCTCCTCTGAACTGGAAACTGGAAATGCTAATTGCTGTGGTTGCAATTTCCAAACCAGTGGTGTGGGCCAGAAACTGTACTAATTTAGTCCCATCTTCCCATTTTGTAATAGTTATATTCTTCAAAAATGACAGAAAGGGAGAAAATGAGAGAGATTTATGTCAGCAATGAGTAAATAAGTACGCAGTCCCTTTACTTTACATGCCTTTGCAATTCATATCTCACTCGGACCATTTTGGATCTAGTTTGTTCTCTTGTCACTATAGTATCTTATCACTTTCAGTTAGAGTAATGAAATCTCATGCCACATGTATTGATATATATTATCAGTGTTCCCTGGCTGGGTCTTATATACCTTGATGAAGTGCTGTGATTGGCCACTGAGTTAATTGTAATCCTATGCTGCACTGTGGTGTCGGGTCAGAGAAGAAGTAAATAGAGGGAGAGGCTGGAGAAACCCTTTGTGAGGAAAGGTTACAAAAGACAGTGGGGGAGTGGGGCGTATGCAGGGCATGATAGAGATACCCAGTGTGGAGAAACTGGATAGATAATTTTTCTCTGTCTCTCATAATGCGAGACTGTGGAGAACAGACAAAAGACTTATTCTCACAGTGCATAGTTAAACTAAGGAATTTGCTGTCACAATATGCAATGGTGGGCCACCAATTTACGGTAGATGGCTTAAAAGGGGGATTAGAAAAAATCACAAAGGATAAAGCTATCAGTAGATACTAGTCTATATGTTATATCCAGCACCAAGTTGGCAGCTATGGAACAGGAAGCTGAACTAGGTAGATCTTTGGTCTGATCCAGCAGGCCTCTTAAGTTATCTCTTGAGAAACTCCATTTTCCACAAGAGACTTTTAACTTACACCACCTTTTGTTACAGGTATAATGTTATACCACCATCAGGGATAGAACCAACTACTAAGCAAACATGAACACCTGTGTTGAGAACAACACCCATTCCACCCCTTCAAATGCACTTAGCTCTGCTAAATTTTTATCCTTTTACTGCAGGACACCCACTCTCATAGTTTGCACAAGTGTTAGTCATCACTGCAAAGGGTTCACAACACTGGTGCATTTTTCCCCATAGGGAAACCGCTGGTGCAAGGGAGTTTAGGAGCAATTCTATCATAGATGGCTATCCTGTGCCAGGTCCTGCTAATTTTGTGTCTTTTGTACATAACTGTACAAAATAAATGCTCTTTTAGTCTTTAGCTATGCATTGTGGCATTATTTTACTGTTGTTTTATTATTTAGTACTCTATATTAAATTTGTATACTGCTCTATACCCGTAGATCTCAGGGTGGTCCAGAACATATAATATGTTGCAGTAATCTAACTTAGAGGTTACCAGAGCATAGACATCAGTAGTTAGGCTTTCCCTGTCCAGATAAGGGCACAGCTGGGCCACCAGCTGAAGTTGATGGAAGGCATTCCACGCCACTGAGGCCACCTGAGCATCAAGTGACAGCAAAGTATCAATGAGTTCCCCCAAGCTATGTACCCACTCCTTCAGAGGGACTGTAACCCCATCAAGAGCAAGCAACCTCCCAGCCATCTGATCTAGGGAACCACCCACTATCAGTGCCTCAGTCTTATCTGGATAGATCTTCAGTTTGTTGGCTCTCATCCAGTCCATTATTGAAGTAAGATGACAGTCCAGAACATCCACTGCCTCCCATGCAGGTGTACAGGAGAAAGAAGTAGAGCTGTGTGTCATCAGCATATTGCTGACAACATACTCCAAACCTCTGGATAACCCCACTCATGTAGATGTTAAACAGCATGGGGGATAAAATCGAACCCTGTGAACCCCACATTGAAGGCTCCATGGGGCTGAAAACACTCCCCAAGCAACAGCCCTGGGGAAAGTCCACCCAAGTAGGACTGGAACCACCGCAAAGCGGTGCTACCCACTCAGATTGCAGCTCCAGAAGGATACTATGGTTCATGGTACCAAAAGCTGCTAAGAGGTCGAGGAGAATTAACAGGAAAACATTTTCTCTCCTCACAGAGGTGACCAAAGCAGTTTCTGTGCTAAAACCAGGCCTAACCCCGATTGTAAATAACTGGTTCAAATAATATTTTGGTGAAAATTATAGTGCCATCTTCTACTGTGTGGTGTGTGTCTTTTCTTTGATTTCCGAAAGCTCTGATTATTGCTTTCACGAAAGCGGCTGTACATTTCTCCTGTTACTAAAGTCCTGATGAACAAACAAGGGCGATGCCAGGAAGTTTTATGTGTTTGATTCAAATGCATGTCCTCCCAAAGATCATCGATGAGTCAAAACAGATGAATCTTAAAGATGTCAAAACAGATTTAAATTTTAAAATAAATCCAATTTGATGGCACTATTAGCAATCAAGTAATAGACAACAGATTTTTATTTCAAATCGTTCTTTTTTTAGATTATGACACAAACAGAGGCCACCCAGTTTAAATTAAAACAGGGGGTGTAATTCCCAAAAATGCAACTACAGTGGTACCTCGGGTTCCATACGCTTCAGGTTATAGACTCCGCTAACCCAGAAATAGAACCTTGGGTTAAGAACTTTGCTTCAGGATGAGAACAGAAATTGTGCTCCGGTGGCGTGGTGGCAGCAGGAGGCCCCGTTAGCTAAAATGGTGCTTCAGGTTAAGAACAGTTTCAGGTTAAGAATGGACCTGCGGAACGAATTAAATACTTAACCCGAGGTACTACTGTATAGTTGCTCAGGACAGATGTCTCAAAGATGTTAGAGAGGCAGGGTTACTGGACAACAGGTGATTAGCAAATTAGAATATATATATATATATATATATATATATATATATATATATATCTCATACTATTCCATACTGTTAGTCTTGTAGGGGTAAATAAACATGTGACAAAAAGGTTTAACTTATCTTGAGCTTCATATTATGCAGGCCACAGTCAAACTTTGAAACTGTATGACTCATTCTATACAGGTAGCGATGGGGGAGAAATTCAATTCAGTTTGCATTTAAAGGCAAAACTACTTAATCCACACTTTCTGTAACAATATGAGAACCAAAACACAGCCATCATTTGAACTTTGCACTGCTCTGAATTTTGTGATGCAGTTCTCCAACCAAAGTTCTCCGACCAAAAAATAAAATAAAATGCATAGGTTGGGGAGAATATCCATAAAATGCATATAGCATACAAAAATGCACTATATTAGGGAAGTTGCTTGTGTGTGTGTGTGTGTGTGTGAACACTGCATACAAAAAGGTATTTATTAGCAAAAATTCACACTAATATATTGACAAATTTTCATGATTTGATTTTTTCCCCATCCCACAAATTGCTGCAGAAAAATGTGGAGAACCAGATCTTAGATTAGAAAAATGGGAAACTGAGAGGATCAAAGTTGATTCTCAATCCATCCCTATATACAAGCATAAATTAAAAGTCAGAAACTTCCTGATGGAGAGGAACATAGAGTGGACAGCTTAAAGGTCTGACAATGTTAATGATGAGGGCAAGAAAAGATCTACACAAAGTCAGTACAGTATCTACACAGCTACCAAATAGGGATCTGTGCAAGGCACGCATGCCATGGTTAAGAGGGGGAAAAAATGGGCTGAAAAGGAGGCTAACTCATTTGACTGTTCTATACAAAACTTCCAAGGAAACTGAAAGCTTATGAGTGTCACCCTACTGAGCCAATATGATGCCACTGGCCTCGTCCAATAAAAGCTTTCATTGGATGGAACATTAGTTGAAGTGTATATTCTCCAAACATTAGTACAGTCGTATTCAGAAGTCAAACAGAATCCGTTCCGGAAGTCCGTTCAACTTCCAAAACATTTGACTTCCAAAACGCGACTTCTGCAGCCAATCGGAAGCTGCAGAAGCCCCGTTGGATGTTCGGCTTCCTAAAGAACGTTTGAAAACCGGAACAGTCACTTCCTGTTTTGATCGTTCTGGAGCCGGAACGTTCAACTCCCAAGGCGTCGGGAGCCGAGGTATGAGGGAACCTCAAATGAGCTAGCATAGCTTAGGGCTGCTTTATGATTTGTCTAGAACTGGCTGTTCTCTCAGCTGGTCAGATTTTTGAAGACAATTGTAGATTATTAGATTATTGTCAAGTTAGTTCACATTTCTGTTTTTCTGCCACCAGAAATTGACGTTCTCTCAGATCTTTTAACACTTTTTGAGACCCAGAATCCAAATATGTATTGCACCCTTTTGATTACTTCACTGCATGCACCCTTAGCTTTTCAAAATTTGACTGCTCCTCAGTATTATCCAGGCTAGGTGTTTAAAGCAGATAGGTTTATTGCTAGCTACTGAATCATCAGCAATTGTCCTACTTGAACTTCAAGATACACCAGTCACGTAAAAAAGAGAGAGAGAGAGAGAGTAAGGGCTGACCTAAAGATTTGACTTCCTGTCACACAGAGCATCCAAATACACTTAAAATGAATCTTCTGACAAGAATATGAGAGGCATTCAATGAAAACTAATAATTCATGACATGACTTAAAAATAATGATTGCTGAAACTGAAGGGACATATAGTCTGCATTTGCATTTTAAAAATTAACAAAGGTTACTCAGGGTTCCAAGTGCTGGCTTTTCCTAGAAATTTAGTTATTCCTCTTTTTTAAAAACAACCCACAAATTGGGATTCAAAGTACACAAACAACAGGAAACTGTAAGAACAATCAAAATCCATTCAACTACACTTAATGCAAGTTTTCTGGCATAATGCATGTTTTATAAGGTGATTCATATCTTCTTCACTGAACATTAAAAATACCAGGTAAGGAGCGTTCTGCCACTGTGGTAAAGTGTCTTTTGTCCTCGTGACTTGGAGAAGCAAGAATAGGTATAATTTGATTGGCTGATGCCAGCAACAGATGCTATTTTAGTGCCAGAGAGCAAAGTTAAATGCAGACATACCATTTTGCAAGCAAAAGATCACTCTGATAAGTGATTTGCATGCTTGTATGCATGGAGAACATGATGATGATGATGATGATAAATTTTATTTATACCCCCCCTCCCCAGCCAGAGCTGGGCTCAGGGCAGCTAACACCAGTAAAATCACAATAAAAACATAATGGGGGGGGGGAACAATTTAAAATATGGGTTAAAATACAATTTAAAATGCAGCCTCATTTTAATAGTAGCCCATAGTTCAAAACCATAAGGGGAGGGAAACATAAGGTCAGGCTGAGTCCAAACCAAAGGCCAGACAGAACAGCTCTGTCTTGCAGGCCCTGCGGAAATATGTCAAGTCCCACGGGGCCCTAGTCTCTTGTGACAGAGTGTTCCACCAAGTTGGGGCTAGTACTGAAAAGGCCCTGGCCCTAGTTGAGACTACTCTAACCACCTTGCGACTTGGGACCTCCAAAGTGTTGTCATTTGTGGACCTTAAGGTCCTCTGCGGGGCATACCAGGAGAGGCGGTCCCGTATGTACATGAGTCCTAGGCCGTATAAGAGGAAGTCCAGCATATTTGAGTTGTGTGCATATCCACAGTTTCCTATGGGGAATGAAAATGTATACTGAATTTCTAGAAGTAAGAAATTTATTGGACTCACACTTAGAGACGCTGCCAAAGAAGGGTGTGTCATGTGCTGCTACCTGCCCTTTTGACTTTTGGCATGTCCAGAGTGCACCCCTGGAATTGTCTCAGCAATGTAACTTGCTTATCTTAAGAGCATATACTAAGAGCATAAGAACATAGAAACATAAGACAAGCCCAACTGGATCAGACCAAAGGCTTACCTAGTGCAATATCCTGTTCCTCACAGAGGCCAACCAGATGCATCTAGAAAGACTGTGAAATTGCCCCCTGACTCTCCCACCCTTGTTCCCCAGCGACTGATATTCAGGGGTTTTCTATTTAACTCTGCAAAAAAGAAAAGAAAACAGTTTGTGGGAAAGCAAGTTATGCACCTTTTGTTTTAAATGATATTCAGACGCAAGAATCATTTTTAGAATTTGTCCCAACTGTAAAATGTAGCCTTTCAATTTGTCCTGAGGGATTAAAAAGATGTAAAATTATATTCCTTACTGGATCAATGGTCTAAGCATAGACCCTTAAGCCAGTGTGTCAGTGGTTTGAAAACTGAAACAGTACACAAGAGGCAATTAGGAAGGAAAAATGTGTGGGTAGAGAGTTGGAGTCACATAATACTAAATCATGAAAATAACTACTAACATTCCCACTGAAATTACATTTTTGATCATGGCTTTCCTGCATCATATGCGTACAATGTCAACAGATGAAACAGTGTCAAATGACAGCTTTGCCAGAAAAAAAAATTATCCATTGGTGTGCTGTCCAGGCCAGCACTATGTGTAAGGAATATCTTATATGAAACTTATTATACCAGCTCACCTTAGAATTCTGTAATAGAATCTACTGAGGGAGTAGATTATTGCCCAGCTTCCATGTAAACAGTGAGAAATCTACTCAGTGACCCCAGTTCACTGAAATTTCTGGAAAACAACAATGCAGGTTTGGAAGGGCCATGCTTGAGCATGAAGAGAAATATACTGAATGCTTTTAAAGATATAAAATTCCTAGAACTGTTGGAAAGACTCTTGCATGTGAACCCTCCCGTCCAAGTTGCTCAATAGTGTGACTCCAGTCGAGGAGGCTGACATCAGACTCTTGTGTAACCCATGAGCACAGCAATGCCAGTTTTGCAAACACATTCCGTAATTTTAAAATCTCACCAACGTGTTATATATAGTTCAAGGTAGTTTTCCGAAGTATGAACTCACTTGTGTGCAGAGTTACTTCCTCTTTATTCAAAGGAAAGAGGCAATATAAAGAACGTAGTCAGGGGCAATAGAGCTTCCACAAAAAGGGTTCCATCTGTTTGCAGAAGAGCTGGCAACCCAGATGCTCCTGGAAGGGGAGGAGATTTGTCTCCAATTCCTCCTTCTGCTTCCCATGCCATTCTGGAGAGTCTTCCACTCTCCTAAAGTAAATGATAGCAGGCTGCAGTGGGAAAAGAAATCAATGGCAATCACTTTCCTTTTTCCGCGAGTAAAAGGTTCTGTGAGTGGAACTCTGCTTCTGGAATCTCAGAAACCATCCTGTCATATTTGTGGCAAGCAGACTTTTTTTGCTCAAAGGAATAATTTCATTTATTGCAGGTGCATCAGTATAGCAGGCAGAGTTCCATAGTAGGTGCTAATGGAACAGATGAGTGGCTTTTCCCACAATATCTAGGATTCCAAGTCTCTTTCCCTGGAGTTCTTCATGTCTGAAAGTTGTTGCATCCAATTTGATTATACATTGTACTTGTGATAGCATAGTGTTTCAGCAATTGGCATGTGTTTTGTATTCTGCTCATCTCTGCCACTTACTTTATTACTTAGATACAGTTCATACATAACCTGACTGCCCAATCTCTCCCATGGTGAAGGAGTAGGAATATGTCCCTCTCCTCCCAGAGTCACTTCCTCCCATAGTGTATGACACAACGGCTGCATGTACATCATATTCACCCTCACTTTACTTGCAATCTCAACATGTTTTAGAAAATCCCCATAAGTTGGGTTCTTCCCTGTGATTCTGTATAACCACTAGGGATGGAGGAGAAATCAATTCACACTTTCTGAAAAAAATACACAAACAGAAGCACATCCATCCTTCAAAATCTGCACTTCTCTGAATTTTGCAAAGCAGCTCTCTAGCCAAGTAATGTGTACAAAACTGCACATATTAGGGTAACTTGTGCATAAAAGCACATGTATTAGTGAAAATAACATACAAAAATGTGTTATGTAGAAGAAGGCCTCTTTGCAAAAAAGTGTATGTTAGGCACAATTGCACACAAGCATATACGTTAGGAAAAATTCACACTAAAATCCTTATGAAATTTTATTTATATATAACTCTAACTCTTACTCTACCTAACTACACACACACATATATATAACAAAGGGATGTACAAATGTGGAGAACTGAACATCAATCTGGAAAAATTAGAAACAAAAACTGAAAGATTCATCCATCCCTAATTACCACACAAGTGATTTGAGAGAGCTCCCAAAATAATGTTTTTGGGGTCCAACTCAAAGCTGGAGACAATTTTCTAGGGGGAGTTGCAAGCAGCAAAATACAAATACAGAGACATTTTCCACTTCCATTATAAAATTAAATTTCTGACTTCCAAATTAGAGTGCTTTCTGAATAAAGGCAGAGCTCATTACCTCAGCCAAATTTGAGTGGCCCAATGATGCCAGGTGGTCCTGAGAGTTTGGCTGAGGAACAGGCCTTAAGTGACTAAGCACGTGGTGAACAGTATAGTTCAAAAGTATTGTATAGAGGTGTTTGCTAGTGGTGGTAACTAAGGAAGGGACTGTGGGGGACTAGAAAGCACATGAGGGATTCTTCAGAAAAGTATGGGATTTGCTCCAAATAGATCTTAACATGATGTTGCGACCTCAGTTGCTTCTCCTGTATTAGAATGGAAGTGCCATATCACTGCTACTCAATCTTCAGCCAGTACAATGTCTGACATGGAAGCTTACAACCTGAACTCATAAATTAAGAATGTCTACTCTATTAAATGACTTCTATAATTATTGCCAGCTTCAGCACTGAAATGTAAGCAAATAGGTTTGTATGCCTGAAATGCTGTGTTCTTTTTACAGCAAATCAGTTTGGATGATATTCTAGATCTTTGCCAGATGTGACAAAGGAACACTGAAGCCCAAAGCTTGCTTATCCTTAAATCACCCCTCTCACTCCTTTCCCCCTCACACACACACACTCCCCAAAGTGGGGAGAGAGAAAGATTTGAATTCTGATCTTTCAAGATAAATATTAATTTTTAAAGCTCTGCTGACCCTTATTACATTAAAATCAGTATGAGTAGATTTTAAAATGCTGGCGCTAAGAACATAAAACCTTTCCTAAGTCCCGATTATCAGCACAAAAGACCTAATGTAGTGACGTCACCTTGGAAAGAAGGCAAGGATAATCTCCTGCTCATTGCCACATTATTGAGGAACTGAGAGTATTTCTGATGAATACACCTCTCGGCTCATACATATGCTTAATTAGGATTGACTTGGAACAGGATTGACGGTGCACAGATGGAACAAGTTACGGATTGTATAAGCGGCAATGTCTCTGGTTTTCAGCGTGGTTAAGTGTCTTGTCTTCCTACTGTACTGCAACACTTTCCAAGCATTTTTGAATATTTAACAAGTCTCCAATGGTGATTTCCTCCAGAACCAGATGTCGGCTTTGCAACTTTCTGCAGTATAAAGTTGACAGAAAAGGGTGGGGGGAGGAATGGAGGGAAAGAGGCACAGATGCGAGACGGCAATCCTAATCACACTTGCTAACGAGAAGCTCCACTAAATCGCATGGGGAATTACTTCCAAGCAAATGTGCACAGGTTTACACCGTCAGTGCTAAGTAAGAATATGATGGTTCCTAGTGTCACATTATTTATTTGTTGTAATTCAATATATACTAATAAGCTGTATTGTGGTTTGTTACACCTGCATATTGAAGGTGCAGATGGGATTCCAGATTGCACTACTCTTCCTGATTGCATGCCAACCACAACATTTTGTTTGCTCCTTATCAGCATTCTTTAGTCAACCTTTAATTGCTGGAAATTCTTTAAAAAGATGAAAAGGTGGTGGGAAAGCCTTCCAAAGATTGCAATTTATTTTTAATGGCCTGCTGTCTGACTGCTAGAGGGATAAACAACATTACACAGAATGCAGCAGCCAACAGCTCCATTTCCAGAAAGTTATTAATAATTGTGAAGAGATCCAGTGACGTGCAGCAGAAACTAGGCTCAGACAGTTGGCATGGGGGGGGGATAGCGGTGATGGCAAATGCTTATAACCTTTCCTTTGTTTTGGCAAAAGTGCTCATCTCTCTACATCTACTTGCAAGTTGGGAAATGCGGGGAAAATATTTGTTTACTTATTCAAGAATTATAGATGCATTAGCCACAATACTGAATCAGGCATGTGCCCTATGGCTCATAGGGCTGTCATCTGAGTGCAAGGCTCCCTTTCAGCTTCTAGGGGTACCAATGGGAAACCCAGATCAAGGCACGAGGTGCAAACTGGATAGAGTTTTATTTTGTCTGGGTAGCATCAAACATCCCTACTCTAGCAGCTCTAGTGTGTTTGTGGAGCTTTCCATGTTTATGTGTATTAATCTATGTCAAGGATGGGCAGGGACATTCTAAGGAGTTGGTTAGGTTGGCCCCCACCAAGGGCGCAGGCTCAGGGAGGCACAAAAATTGTGCCTCTGGCTCAGAGTGGCTAGTAGCCCGCTCGTCTCCCCATCTGCATGCTCCCTAGGGCGCTCCTACACTGCTCTGGGCAGCCAGATGAAGCATGCAGCTTCCTCTGGGCATCTTGGCAGAGGAATTTGGTCACTGGTTTGGGCCAACACAGCAGCCCCCCAGTGCCCCCTCCCCAGTTGGCTGGCGGCACTGTTAGAAATGTGAGCAGAGTGCTCAGGGAAGAAAGATGAGAGAGCGAGCAAGAGTTGCAGGAGGATGAAAGAAGGGAGGGAGGGAGGGAGGGAGGGGGCAGAAAGGAAGGCAGCAAGTGGAGAGAGGCAATCAGGCAGGCAGGCAGATGGAAGAGGAGGAGGAGGGGAAGAGTGGAGCAGACCCTGATGACCATGGAGGAAGTCACTGGAGGAGCACGAAAGGCGACGAAAAGCAAACTTTTTTCCCGTTTTTGGTCCATAGTCTGTCCCAGCTTTGGAGGGGCCGATATGTCTTCTTGCCAAGAGCACAGGGGAGCCTAGGTACACCTCTGAGAGTGGGGAACATGTAACCCTCCAGATACTGTTGGACTACACCTCTCATCATCCCTTACCATTGGGTCACGCTGGCTTGAGCCAATGGGAGTTGGAGTTCACCAACTTCTGCGGTGCCACAGGTTCTCCAACCCTAATCTTTTTCTCATTCTCTTCCATGAGCCTGGGAATGTTCCTTGGATGCCAGGGTGGTTCACAATTAAATGAGTGGATTATTCCAGGGCATAATTATCAGGACAGCCCCTCCATGCAGAAGTTCTAAGAGCACATCAGAGCCCTCCGGGATTTGGATCGTGCCTTCATTAGAAGTTATAATTTATAATGAGTGTTACATCTACTTATTCTCAGGAGGCCTCTCCTTTGTTTCCGACTTAGCTAAAGCTTCAGAGTCCTGCTGTGTGTCATGCTAAACACAGATGCAATACGTTCAAGGTTCAGTCGCCAGCTTTTCCAGGTAGAGTTGAGAAAGACTCCTGACTGAAATCCTGGAAAGTCACTGGCCAGTTTCATCTTTCAGAAAAAGCAGGTACACAGTGCACCAATCAGGACTGGGGTCACAGGGAAGTTGGCTTAACTCTTTCCTGTACTCAGTTTTACCCACTGAAAATCCCCACCACTTGTTATTTCTTCCAAAGGTGCTGTTAGAATAACGTGTAGCTCACCCCCTCAATCTGTACTAGGTAAAGGTAAAGGGACCCCTGACCATTAGGTCCAATCGTGACCGACTCTGGGGTTGCGGCGCTCATCTCGCTTTATTGGCCAGGGAGCCAGTGTACAGCTTCCAGGTCATGTGGCCAGCATGATTAAGCCACTTCTGGTGAACCAGATCAGCACACGGAAACGCCGTTTACCTTCCCGCCGGAGCAGTACCTATTTATCTACTTGCACTTTAACATGCTTTCGAACTGCTAGATTTGCAGGAGCAGGGACCGAGCAACGGGAGCTCACCCCATCGTGGGGATTCAAACTGCCGACCTTCTGATTGGCAAGTCCTAGGCTCTGTGGTTTAACCCACAGCGCCACCCATGCCCCCAATCTGTATTAGCATCACAAAATGTAATATGGGAAGTCGTCCTGACTGTGATCTGTCATGGTATCATCCTGAGAGATGCCCAAAAGATAAAATGTGTGTTCAGGTGTTCATCTGAACATGTGTGAGCTAAAACTGGGGATGGGGGACATAGGTATGCATACAAGCTCCACACCCCAGCAGCCTGGTACTCCTCTCTCAGTCCCCAGCAACAACTCCCATCAGCCCCAGACATTTGGGCTGGTGAAGGCCGACAGTTAAGGAAGTGGTACATTTCTAAATAACCTATTCAACCGTCCCCAAAAACCCTTTGTGTGCTTGTATTTGAAGGATGCCATTGAAACACCAAACTGCCTTATCTCACAGGAATGGCAGGTGCTCCACACTTCCACAGACTGAATCCTTCCACTTTAAGGATGACAGGGCTACTGGGCAAAAAAAATATGACTCCAAACAGTCAAGAACAACACGGCTAGTGACCTCTTCTCTAAACAGTGCAGTGAAAAGCTGTGACAGAATAATGTGGGCAGAGCCAGGAAGGTGCCAAGACTGATTACACAATAATCCTATCATTATACATGTATGAACTTTATTCCCTTTCTTCGTTCTGCAATACTTTTACAGCAGTCGCTTTCCACTTACTTAGGGTTTAATTTGAAGGGAAAGGAGGTGAAGACTCTTCTTCATATACTGCATAGTAGGATTCAAATACCGTCTATTCTATTGTGGACCAAATGTCTTGAACAGTGTTATTATTGCATTTATTATTTTTTAGCCTCATATTTCCTTTCAGGAGCTTAGGCTGGGTAGACAGGGTAGACAGACTTCAGACTTGTTAAATCTACTTTGCTTTTTATTAGAACCTGAAGTGTTTGAACAACATGCACTTTGCAACATTTGAGAAGTGGTCTTCCTCAGTTATGAGAAGGGCCATAGCTCAGTGGTAGAGCACAAGTCTTGCATACAAAAGGTCCCAGGTTCAGTTCCAAAGCATCTCCAGGTAGGATGGTGATGGACCTCTTTCTGGAATCTTGTAGAGCTATTATCACCATAAACCAGAGGTTGGAAGCCTATGATCCTCAAGGGTTTGTTGGACTTCCAGCAGCCCACATGGCACAGCCTACATGGCCAATGTCTCAGGAAGATGGGAGCAGGAAGATGGGTCCAACAACATCTGATGGACCACAGGTTAACTACCCCTGGAATGGGCAATGCTTAACTAGACGGCATCTCCCCATCTTTCACACCTCTCAGCTTTCTGAGCCATGGATCCATACTGATCAAATCAGTTACTAGACTGGGGAGTGATAACTGCCCCCTCAGCACACTGTCACAGCTTGTAGCAATATTGCAAACCATTAAAGGGCATTTCCATGCTGATACATTACAGTTAGCAAACAGTAATGTTACATGATCATACATGTACATCAGGGTTGGAGAACCTATGAACTTCCAGAGGTGGTTGGACAACAGCTCCCATCATTCTCAGCCAGCTGATGGTCACAGGTGATGGGTGTTCGCTTGTATGTATGTATTATTATCATTATCTATGTATTACCTGCCCTCCACCCTAAGGTCCCACGGTGAGTTACAGCATTAAAACACAATATTAAAACAACTTGCAATCATAAAAATGTAGCCCAACAACACCTGGAGGGCCACAGGTTCCCCACTCCTGATATACATAATGCACAGTAGTGACATAGGGCATACCAGGAGTAAAATGGGGGTGGAACAAGGCATTGTTCACCTATCCACTTTACAAATTGGTTTTTAACCAATAGGGACATGACTATGTCTCTGTGCAGACCTACACAATGTAGTTGAAATATAACAACAACATACAGGCAGTACAGTAAGGTGGATGCTCCACTCCATTAGTCATGGAAACCACAGTGCAAGTCAATCCTTACTGAGTCACTGCTATGCAAATCTTTCAGAATTAGAAATTATAAGGAGCTGCGGCCTTATATTGAGGCTCCTTACATATTAACCCACCTACAATGTCATTGGGCGGGTGTAGATGCAGCCACCCCACTGCTGGGACCACCTACATCTGTTTCGAAATGGACACACTGCAATGAGCTTTTATTTTTGGCATGAATCCAGCTTCCCACGAAGTACTTCCTCAGAGGAAAAAATATGCAATACAGTGGTACCTCGGGTTAAGTACTTAATTCGTTCCGGAGGTCCGTTCTTAACCTGAAACTGTTGTTAACCTGAAGCACCACTTTAGCTAATGGGGCCTCCTGCTGCCGCCACACCGCCAGAGCACGATTTCTGTTCTCATCCTGAAGCAAAGTTCTTAACCCGACGTAATATTTCTGGGTTAGCGGAGTCTGTAACCTGAAGCGTATGTAACCTGAAGCATATGTAACCCGAGGTACCACTGTATGTCTAGATTGTATGTAGACTATGTAGAACCAAATAAGAAAACTGAATAAAATGTTATGTGTATGCAACCCGAGTCAGACCATTGGTCCATCTTGCCATCTACACTGAGTGGCAGTGCACTATAGGATTTCAATTAAAGGCCTTCCTGGGGATGCCAAGGATTGAACCTGAGACCTTCTGCATGCAATGCAGATGATCTACCACTGAGTCACAATCCCTCACCTCGAAGACTGAAAAACTTTGGGAAAAACATCACACAATCAGACTTCACCCCCGCCCCAGTGGGGTACACAAAGTACATTCACTATGTAGGTAAATTCTAAAACAAAGGTTTGGCACTTTCAAATAAATATAGGGATGTTTTGACCAGGCAAAGAAAATTTTGCGTGGAAACATTATTCTTTTCTAGATCTAGCTTCAGCGTGATCCAGCTTTTCTATAATTTATGATGTTTGTTTAATCCAGAGTTTGAATCCAATGAAACAAAGGAAAGAACAGTTGCCAATTAAAAAATAATAAAGTACTGCTGAGAAACATCTTTAAATGTTCTTAGGATTCATGTCAAACTCTCAGAAAACTTGGACTGGAAATAGTGCAAGAAAGGAATTACTATGATTACTTTAGAAGCCTAACTGTAAGGGAAAACTGAATTTATTGAACATTAAAAAGACTAACAACTGAAAGACCAACAAATACGAATGTGGAAAAGTCTCAAGAGTTTTTCCCTGTAAGAAGTGGAGGAAGAAGGGGGGAAATTCTTTTTCTTTTCCAATTAAAAGCTTATTAACTTATTAGAGAATGTATGGGAATACTGTGGCCAGGATTCAATGTCTTGCACCACTAGTTCCACGCACTCGGTGGGACTTGGGGACTGTGTTCTTCTAACAACATCCCACTATGCCACATGGTAAATCACTTTGGAAACAGAAAGCACTTTCTAAAAAATATCAAAATTCAACTGAGCATACCCAAACCCCTGATGTGCCTAATGCTGCAGTTTGGATATGATTCCCTTTTGGATTTCTCTCTCTCATACATATATATAGAGGGGGGGGAAGAGTTCTAAGATGTTTCCATCAGTTGAGAAATCAGTGTGGGTTGCCCTGAAATACTACCCAGTGAGTATCTCAATCTTGAGAGTTGATATCCTGATGTTTTTGCACTGCTACCATTTGTGTCTGGACAGCTATAGCACCACAAAATCAGGACCAAAAAACAATAACCAGAACTTTTGTAATATAAAAAGTTACAGGATTTCAGTAGGAAGTTACAGCATGCGTACTGCTTGGAAATGAACCAGTGTGACTTCCCAAAACCTATTGAGGTGCAAACAGTATTGAATGAAGGTTCGCATGTGACTGTCTTATGAGCATGAATCATAACGAATGCACAACAGGACAGATTAAATTACACAATTGATTTTCTCTGGATTGCACAGATTGGCCTCATACAAAAAGCAAACTGAGTTGTCAGTGATCGAATTGATAAGCAGCCTATGAGTCTCACACACTCACACAATAAAATGAAATAAAGGAAGTATAGATTGATAGCTCTTTGGCACTGCACTGTAACATATAAGAAGTGGATTTACCCCTTGGGAATTGTAGTCCAAAGTGTGAGCCACCCTTTGATCTTCTCACGATGAGCAGTATAGAAATTAATTAATAAATAATAATAAAGAAAACTGGGCCAGCCCTAACATTAGGCATGGTGGGACAGCCTATCTCAGAAAAATGATTGTCTGGTGCATTGTAACAACAAATGGTCAATTAGTTTATTATAAATTTTTTTTTACCACCATGGTGGGGTGCACTGTTTGTACTTTTTCTGCCTGAGCATATCTACAAGGGATAGTGAGGGATAGCAGACACACCCACAAACTATTTCCTGTTATCCCAAACTATTGCCCATTGCCCTCTTTCCTCCTCAGTTTTCAGTAACAGTATATTATGTTCCCATATAGCTTGAATCAAATTCTTGTTCTGTTAATAATGATCTTTGCAACACCTTCATTTTCCCTGACTAACTTTTTTTAGATTTGCTCCTGTGTCTCACTATTAGGAAGTGGAAGAAAAAAATGTTTTCTTCTTTACCATTCATTTCAAAATGCAACAAAGGTCTGCAGTACATTTGATAGTATTTCTCTGAAATTATTGCAGTCAGTGGAATTATAGAGGTGTCGGTGACACAAAAATATTTGTCAAGTAACGATTAGAGATGTAAAGATGAATTCTTTATTGACAGTGGTATTTGGCATAGAATTTAGATACTGGGGAAAAATCAACCTTTGATATTTTTTCCTGTATAAAGACCTGGATTTTTAAATATTGCTAATGTGGATTCATAGCCCACTGAAGGGTTGAACAAAACTTGTTGAATAAAAGCATTGTATGCTGATTTCTGCTGATGTTGAACTTTGATGCATCTCCAGGGTAAGGGAATTCCAAGACTGTTGAGAGGAAGATATCAAGAATGCCCAGCAGTTCAATCCTATGCAGAATTCTTACTGAATTCAATGGGATGCTTGAGGAATTTGTTTTCTGTGAATTCTGATAGCAGCTGGTCCGATCTGTGTATCCCAGAATAATGTGTGAATCAGAATGCAATTATCCATGAGATTTGTGAATTAGTACGTTGAAATATACTTGAAATTTGTGAATTAGTACATTGAAATATACTAAAGTACTCAGCTTAAAAAAAAATCCATAAGAAATACAATTCTCAAATGAAAGCCAAACCAGGATAGAACAGACTTAGTAGTTAGCAATTCAATTCAATTTGCATATCACTTCACACTGCCAGAGTGTGTTTTACAGGAGCAGCATACAAATATACAATAAAAATCCATTAAAACAAGACAAATATACTAAAAGTGGCAAGATGCAAAAGTGACACAGACCAGAAATAGATCAGTCTGTCCCTACTGCAAAGTAGAGGTGTATACAGCCTCTGTGTCCTTGCCATCCTGATTTGGCTTTTGGGTGATTTAAAATAACTCAACTGTATGCATCAGAGCCCAATGGTACTTTGGGTGAGTGCTCACAAAAGGCTCCAGTTGCGTGTCGAGACCCCGAGACCACCCCCTCATTGATGAATAAGGCACTGGCTGGCAGGTGAATGACATGGCTGGGAACCTCCGGGGGACACGGGACTCCATCCCCTGCCCCCAGAGGGGAGTGGGTGGCCACGTGGTCCACCGCAACTCCTCCCCACTGGGAAGTGGAGCGGATTTGTCAGGAGGCAGACTGAGGAGAGGTGTGAGAGAGTGAGAGGAAACAAAAACAGGAAGAATACAACAAATGCCATAAAATATTTGGCCTTACTGTTCATTTCTGAACCAAAAACACGACAACTGGCTTCATCAGCTTCTAATTATGTTATCACAGTCCTTAATAAATCTGGCAATTCCCTTTTTTGTGTCCAACACAGCATTTTTCTTGCCAAAGTATCATATTTGTTTTCTGGCAACCTTCAGCTTTCCAGCCATGGAATCTGACCTAGGCTTGTAAACTCTGACGAGCTGGCAACACACTCGCCCTCTAGAGCATTATATTGGTCTAAAGCAATACATCATATCAGCTCCCACTCTCTTGTTGGCCTTTATCTCGAAAGAATCCTGAACACTATAAAAATTTCCGCCTCAGATCCCAGATCAATACTGCCTATAGGTTCTGCTTTTCACACCAGCACAGCTGGCTCCAGAAACTACTGTGTTGAGGATAGAGGCCATATCATGCGCTATGTAGACTTAATAGCTTCCCATCAGCAGCAGCCTTAGAAAGAGGGCATAGTGCAGTGCAACTATGTGTGAGAGTAAACACTTTCCAAAGTACAGAGTTTACAGCAAGATTGGGAGAATGAGAGATAAAAAAAAAAAACAAAGATTAAGCAATTTGGGAAAGAGGCGGGGGGGAACTGCTACTGGAAGCAGATTCCTCGAAGAGGAACGTCTATTGCCCTGTTTGATTGTGAGACATGTCTAGCAACCAAATTAAAAATTAACACAACCTGTTGATTTTATAACCTATTCTTCCGTAATGCGTGCAAAGATGTTGGCAAGGCTTTCTGTGAAAGACCAGGGTCATCCAGGTGCTCCAAGATGGGCAACAACCTCAAACAAATATTAGAAGAGCCCCCTATATTCATTCATGAGATTTATGCCCTGCTTCCCAGACAAAGCTCCCACACTTCACTGTCAGGAAGCATCAAGATTCTGCAAATCACCAAGAACAGCCATCTCCAACTTGGTGAGCTCCATATGTTATTGGACAACAACTCCCATCAACCCTGACTGTTGAGTCTGCTGCCTGGGTGGAAGGGAGTTGTGGTTCAAAGCATCTGGAGGACCCTGGGTTAGGATGGGCCAGCCATGGGGGTGTGGTGGTCCCAGAGGACCACCAATGAACAATTATTGAGAATTATGCTTGCCTCTACCTGGAGCTTGATTCCATGTCCTCCTAGAAATGCTAGGAAACAGGAAACACATGGGCCATAGATGATTTCATTCACATTGTTAGTTGTTCTTAGCAGAGGACTTGGTGATGAAGCTTGATATCCCCTGGCATTCTGAAAGAGAATTAACTAATCAAGGCTGTAATTCAATACTCACTTATTTGGGAGTAAGCCCCACCAAATTTAATGGGACTTATCTCTGAGTAGTGTATAGGATTGTGCTGTAAACTACTTTAAAATGTGTATCCTGCATTTCTTTCTGGAGGTGGGGGGAGCCAAAGCTGCTAAATAAGAGGCAACTAAAAACTACCACCACAAAGGTCAAAATTGTGGTGTATGAATAAGCAGCAGGTACAGCAGCAACTGAGAATACAATACAGCAGTGTTAAGAAAACAAATCGACAACTAACCAAAGGAGGCAGGGAGGATTGCGGACCCCCTGTTTTTCAAAAGCTAAGTCATGAATCCCCTACTTTTGAAAATGTTTATACTTCTATGGTAGTTTCTATGTGAATGGTGCCTTGGATCCTCTGGGTGGGCTACAAGGAACGCCTGGGGTCCGTGGACCACCAATTGGGAACTCACCAACCCCATTCTGCCTTCATCCAGCCCTCACCTGCCTGCCTTCTTATTACATCTACTCCAGCTGTGGCACTGCTCAGTGTCCTTGCAGTATTCCGCAAGGAAGAGGATGGGGACAAAACTAGAACGAGTTTGTTCTGCTCGTCATCGGCTCTGGCTTCACTTACCATTGGCTCCCTGACTTCATTTGCTGTTGGTCTCCCTGCCTTCCACCCTTCCAGTCCCAGTGAGCATCAGCCACCACTAAAACCAATACAGTTGTACCTTGGATCCTGAACACCTTGCAACTTGGAACGTTTTGGCTCCCAAACTCCACAAACCAAGAAGTGGGTGTTCCGGTTTGCAAATGTTATTTGGAACCCAAACATCCGCTGTGGCTTCTGCGGCTTCCAGTTGCGTGCAGGTAGCTCCTGCAGCCAATTGGAAGCCACGCCTTGGTTCCAAGGTACAACTGTAGTAGTAAACCAAGACAGAGCCCTTAGCGGAAAAGGCAGCAATAAGGGAACCCAGTCAGGTGACTTCTGAAAGCTTGCCCCCAAAGAGTGTTTGACAGTGCAAGCCTATACATTTCTAATGAGTTTAGTGGGACTTACTCCCAGGTCTGTGGGGTAGAGAATTGCAGCCTTAGCATTCTGATAGATACTTTATATTCTCCTTGCAAGCTCAGCATACATGCTCTCTTGTGATAACTCTCTTAGGATTTATGAGAACAAAATGTTTCACAGTAAGTTTTCTTTAAAAAAAAATCAGTGTTTAATGCAAATAAGTTCATTCAACATGTAAACATATGCTACATTTGGCAAAGAGAAACTGTTGCAAACACACTTGTTTTACAACTGTTGTTGCTAAAATTTAAACGCAAGTTTAAAACAAAGCCCTCAGGAGGTAAAATCCAGAGTGGGCTTTTAAAAAAAATTAAATGAGACTGAAGTGCTTCATCAAGAGTTTGCATCTTCGTTGGTGACATAACCAGTAGGGAATTTTTGTTCAAAGCAAGAATATAAAGTAGACAAGCAGAGCTTGCAACAAAACGTTGCCAGGCAAAGCGTTCCTCTTTCCAGGATACAGTGGTACCTTGGGTTACAGATGCTTCACGTTACAGACGTTTCAGGTTACAGACTCCGCTAACCCAGAAATATTACCTCGGGTTAAGAACTTTGCTTCAGGATGAGAACAGAAATCGTGCGATGGTGGTGCAGCGGCAGCAGGAGGCCCCATTAGCTAAAGTGGTGCTTCAGGTTAACAACAGTTTCAGGTTAAGAACGGACCTCCAGAACGAATTAAGTTCTTAACCCGAGGTACCACTGTACTACAATCTATGTCCCAGGAAAGAAGGAACTATGTTGCCTGCTGGGCTGAATCCTGAACTCCTCCGCCCCCAGCCAGTTACTTTAGAAGGCACCTGACAACACCATATCATTGGGTGGCCCATTTTTTATTTTATACTGTGGCTGCAAGGGAAGATCCTAGCTGATCCAAGTGGGACTGGATCAGCTGAACGACAGCAACTTCCAGTTCTGCTTGGTTGAACTCTATTCCAAAGTTCGCAACTGGAAACTCCAGAGTGTAGCTGATCCCAGCTGGCCCTACTATTAGACAGAGTGAATCGCCCACCTCAGGTGGTAGATGCTGAAGGGCAGGAAGCAACAGGAACAAAGCTATGAGAGCCACATGGCCCTAGCTTACACCTGCAAAACTAGCCTGTCGCCCTCAGCTGCAGTGGAGAACTCTGCCTCTTGTCAGAGTGTGGGAGTATCCTGTCCTTTACCTCAGCCAGCAACATATCTTGGACCGGCCCTGTCTCAGAAGAGATGGTTTAGAAGAAACCACGGTCAGAACTGTCACACAAAAAGACATTTATTATTTCGGGCACTCTGACAATTCTCTTAAATTTGACTAGTATGCTCTAGCAAACCATTTGAGCATAATGGCTATATTGTTTCAAAGGCAGCTGAATCACACTTACTAATAATTGCCTATGGGTACTCTGTGGGGTTTGCTTCTGAGTAAAACTACGAAGCACGTGTCTGCAAAGATTCTGAACATCTTGGTTTACTGATGCTCTGTCAGAGATGCAATGCAGGAGTTTCCATTTCTGCTGTTAATGCCTTGGATTTGATCTATAAATCTGAACAGCAGGAAACGTAGTCTGCAGAAGGAAATGGCTAGGAGGTACAAAAGTCAATACAGCACGTTGCAAACTTTCTCAAAACACTGGCTAGTTAGCATGCTGTATGACACACAAAAGCAATGGCCAAGCAGTTGTTTGTTGCACCAACAGTTAGCATAGATGCTGGAAAAGCAATGTCCCAGGACCTCTGTAATTCTGCTCTTTGTACTAGCACACATACTGGTTGTGGGGAATGTACCACCACTTCAAGGACTCAGTGTGCTAGAACCACCATCCCTATGTGCATTATTAATATCCGCATTAATAATCAGCAAATGTCGGGCTTCTTCTGCCCACTCAGCTGAAAATGCAAATTCTTTGATGAATACTGATTCTCCATTTTAAGTAGTGCAATCAAGGCTGGATTAGTCATTATCCTAAGTACCGTATTTTTCCGGGTATAACAACAACCGCAACAAAAAAATTGGGGGGGGGTTGCCCAAAGTTGTTGAGTTTTTTGGGGGGAGATTGCCCAGAGTTATAGAGCTTTTGGGGGGCAAAAGGAATGATCAATTCAAGATAATGCGTTTTCTGTGGCTTCTGAAGGCAAATTATCAGAATTATTTAGACATTTATTTTTGCAAGCTGGCACTGGAGAATGGTGGTGTGACAACGGCTAGCTCTAAGTAGAGAGCCCTGCTGGCTATTACAAGTCCCATGGGCTTTACATTAGTAATTACTTGGACAAAAAAGAGTGCAAAATGTCACTAACAGCACAATTCTCTGCACGTTTACTTGGAAGTGGTTCCCATTGTATTCAATGGGGCATATTCCCAAGTAAGTGTGCATAGGTTTGCAGCCAAAGTCTTTTCAAGATGTGATTTGAGCAAGGTTTTTAAAAGAGCACCTTGCTCCTATCTATGACAACTTAATCTAGGGCACAGGTTAATGATGTAATACACTGAGATGTGCTCTTCATGTTGTAATTTATCACCAAAGCCTGAAGAACACATGCATGACATGGGTATCAGATTAGCTTGCATGGTACTCCTGATCCTTCAGACCATTTGCTCATGGGGCTTCCAGAGCACACTGACCACCAGTCAGTTAGAAAAGCATAGGGTGGCCAGTTACTGATTGCCAAAAAAGAGGACAATGATTTGCATAAATTGTGGATGTGCACCTTTAAGGCCCCAGCACTCCCTTCTTTAAGATTCCACAGCCTTGCCATATACACTGGCAGGGGCTGGATGTATGGGGATGGGGAGGCAGATTGTCACACAAGCCTGGAGCTCATGCAGCGATTGGGCCAAAACTGGGCATGGTGCCATTGCATAATGGCAGTGCGGTCACCCCAGAATGCTCCGGGTAAATAGGATATTCGGGGGGGGGGGGGACCTAATGAACCTAGGTATCAATAGAATTAATTTTACATTGCTTTTAGTGGAGTTACTTTGTAGTTGTTTTTCTTTCATTAACCACGTTCCCGTGTTCTCTTTTTTTTTTGCACTGCTTGCTCTATTATTACAATTATTTTATTATGATTATAACACAGTGCAAAAAATGATTCCTGAATGAGTGAAACTCAAGCATTCGTGTGTATAAAATCTATATACGTTAATGCGGCCACTTAGTCAACACCAAAAATTACGAACCGTGGCATCAAAAAAGAAGGCTAAAGAGGTAGAAATTTGCATAAAAACAAATATGCTAATTTATATGCATAGATGCAAATTTAGAAACAATGACTACAACTTAAATAGAAATACAACATCTCTCACCATAGTGGTGAACAAGACTGTGCCCAGGTGACCTGTGTGCCCTTTTTAGTCTGCTGTCCAGGTCTTAACTTTTGACAGGCAACTTCAAGACCATTGCTGCTCCCTTTAAGGTTTTGTAGCTTTAAACTGCACCTGGACAACCCTTCAAACAGGGTACTGTAAAGTAGGACACAAAACTATTCCAATATATAGCCCTGTTTGCAGACATGCCTCGAACGGCCATGTGCCTACTGAACTCCAGCAAAGTTTTGGAGTTCAGCCAATATTTTTTAGCTACTGAATCCAGTAAAAAATATTATAGCACTTGCTCTTGTGGGCCCACTCAGCTAATAATACTCTAATGTTAGTAGTGTGTTGAGGCTTTGGCCATCTCAGACCCTCCCAGTGTCCCTATTTTCCAGAGATGCCCTGATTTAGAGAAGCCATCCCGGTTTGTGATTTGATCCGGGAATGTCCCACTTTTCCTTAGGATTCTCCCTATTTTCACCAGATAAATGTTGGAGGGTATGGAGTTATCCAACCCCCGAGCCGTCTGAAGGCAATCCTGTATAGGGAAGTTTTTTGAAATGTTTAATGTTTAATGATGTTTTTATATATGTTGGAAGCTGCCCAGAGTGGCAGGGGCAACCCAGTAAGATGTGTGGGGTATAAATAGTAAAGTTATCATTATGGAATGGGACGTCCCTATTTTCATCGGAGAAATGTTGAAGGGTATGCCATCTTCTCTAACAGTGACTGGTTTTTGTTATACTTAGGTAAACCTGCAGGGTATGGGGGCAATAGGCGTCCACCTCCCACCCGAGGAATAGTGGATGAATGTTGCTTCCAGAGCTGTGACCTGAGACAGCTGGAGATGTACTGCGCTCCTGTTAAACCACCTAAATCGGCAAGGTCTGTACGTGCTCAGCGCCACACTGATATGCCTAAAGCACAAAAGGTAGGCAGAATATGATCAACTGTAACCTCCCAATATGTTGCATTTGAGGATTTCCAGCACTGATGCAGAAGGATGTTCATGCGCCATTAGTTCTTCATGCATTCATGCTCCTGGGAACTCACACAGATAACAAAATCCATTATTGAAGATTGCTGGGCATTGTTTTAGGGATTATTTTCACAGCAGCGGCACGGCCATAGTTTTTTGTTAACTTTTGTTTGTTCATTTTCTTTATTTAAAAAAAGATGGTCAAGTACAAAGGGGGATAGGCCTCCTTCACCTTTTAATTGTTATAGAGATGAAATTTCACTTAATGCAGCTTGTCTGCCTCAAGGCTTAGAAGGCCTCAGAATGAGCAGGCCATGTGAAATAACTCAGTTTTACAGCAGAGACACGTGTGAGTATAACTTGCCAGGGGCCTAAACAATGTTTGGCCCAGAATGAGTCTGAACACTTTAAGGCTGGGGACATACAAAATCATTAGCAGCAGGTCCTGCTAGCTTGTTGGGGCCTTGACACTTGCTCTGTGGACACTACTGCAGAACACATATGAAATTTAAAAAGTGTTATGAGAATACCAGTTAGGCCCTATCATAGACCTATGTATATTCCTAGAGTGCACCAGAGCATACCCAGCAGTTCCTTGTAGCTATGTATGACAAAGGAAGATCAATAGGGGTGGACAAGCTGCCTTTCAGAGAAGATGATGATTATTAATTATCATCAATGGCAACAACACTCCTTTGGAACTCACTGCCAATTGAGATTAGATGGTCCGTGTCCCCTACCCCGCTTAATGTCAGGTGCTTGTCAAAGACTTTCCTATTTCAGCAGGCATTTTAAGGTGGATTTCTGATCATTTGTTTTCATTTAAGAAAATTTGTATAAAGCGTAACTGTAAATAAAACTTCCAAGCAGTTTACAAAGAATATAAGACATGCCATAGAACTGTCAGTAATTATCAGTGTTAAAATGAGCATATAAAAAGTGAAATGAATAAAATCAACAGGTAAATTGCTAAGATTATAGTTTAAAACACACAGCAGCTTTACATGTCTGACTAGACTTGCCTATGCAGAAAAGTTTTAGATGAGCACTGGAAAAAAAATACAGAGAAAACACCTGCCCAGTGTCAATTCTTAATTTTAATTACTCTTATTCTTTGATTTTTAAAAACATTTTTTTAATATTTTAAAAACATTTTTAAAACACCCCTCTTATAAATTCTTTCTTTTTTTAAAACTACAATCCAATGCACAATTATCCAAGTGAAATCTGTGGGTCTTATGTAAAAAAGTAATATTAAACAAAAGTTTAATGGTGGTTTTTTAATATTCTAGCCTTTGCCAAGTCTTAGGAACAAGGTGGCCTAGAATTCCAAATCAGTCAGATAAATGCATTGGCTTATTTAAACCATCTTTCCCAGGCTGATCAGGAGCCAGATGTGGACCATAAACCAGTTTGCCTCCTGCATGAACAGACCACAGCCTGTCAAGAAAACTTAGAGTGATCAAACTGAGACAAATCATCCTATGGGAATGAGACCAAGCTCTCAGAGTGATTTTGTTCCATTGATATCATTGGCTGCATGGAAAAGTCTCATTAAGGCTGGGAGGATATTCAAACACAAACCAGATGCCTCCATTGATTTTAAATGATCTCAGCTGTTCAAGTTAGTCACAAAAGTTTGTCACTCAGACAAAAGTAGCATTTGTACACTGCACTGTCATTGCAGACACTCCAGTGATAATCAAAGCAAAGAAAAGGGATGTTATTTCTAGAGGTTAACACCATCATCTCTCATGTTCAGAGAGAGGTTTCTAAATATAATATAGTTTGTGAGGGTGAATAACATTTTTTTAAAAAATAATAATTGTGAAGTGTGCTGAAAGGTCTCTATAAGTAAATATTTTCTTTCATTTTCAGGAAGTGCATTTGAAGAACATGAGTAGAGGAAACACAGGAAACAGGAACTACAGAATGTAAGAAAATATCATCCATAAAAGTGAAGAATGAATGTGCCATCTGCGGGATACTTTGCTGTAAATAAATTGTCAAACATTGGACAAAACACTAAAGTTCAATAAGCTTGATGAAATTTCCACTAACGGGCATTCTCCCAATGAACAATGCAAGTAAACATTCCAATAGAAATCAACTCAGTGCTAAAATGTTTCTGAGACTGGCAGATCGCTGTTCTAATTGTTCACCTGCTATAAATGTCCTACACACACACACACATACACAGAGAGACACAATGAATCCTGTGCCCCTCAAAAGCCACCAGATGTACAGGCCTTTGATGGATCCAATTGCACTAAATTAACTTATGAACCCTGCTGTTGGAGTCATTCACCAGCCTTGTCTAAGTGGGTTATGTTTTTTGTTTTTTGTTTCCTAATATTTGCACTTCCATACAAGCAACAGACTCTGTCTTGCAGTGTCTGATACCATTGTTTGTTTGCCCCTTTTATATTTGCACAGTTTGGCATTCCCAGTAGCAGCGACAGTAACACGTCAATTACATCAGTAGCATTCTGACAACATATGAGTTGCATGCATTCACCCTGGTTAGGGATCCTTACATGGTTCAATATGCACACAGAGCTCCTGTGTAGAATGGAAGCACCATTTACTTTGAAGGATAAAGTGGCTACACACATTACACTCTCAGTCACTGAAGTGAATGGGACCGACTGCATACACTTGAGCTCCACATGTGCATGAGAAACCCTTGTTTGCAACAAATTGCTGGATCAGGGTAACAGATTTTAAGACAAAGGCTCACCACCACAACACATGAAGATACAAATAGACACAACATGGACAATTGGGGTGTTCTTTTTTGTTGTTTAGAATCAGTTAAGAGCACACAAAAGGCTATCTTAAATCCTTGGTGATTCTTTCAGGTGATGAGTTATTTTGCCACACTATAAATAAAACGTCTTTTCCTCCATATAGTGCAGTATGTAAAAAATTTAGCATATCAATAACACACATATAATCAACATTATGTAAAACTGTTTCATAGTACAATGGTGCTATTTTCTAGCTTGTTTTATGGAAGGGTCTGGCAAAAACAGTAAGAGGTAAAAGCAAAATAACAGTGGAGTTGGGTGAGAACTAAGCCCAAGGTGAAACGGAAGGAATTTGTTGGAAACACAGGCATAATTTTAAAAAAGGCTTCCAAATAATTTAAAAAAATTAACTACCAATATCAAGTAATAACATTGCTATCCCATACTGATGAGATTTTTGTCTGACTCTGTTTATCCAGCTGAGTGGCAACATACAAACCAATGCATGATGCCACTCCAAAGAAACTGGCATCTTGATCTTGGCTAGTGGCAATTTGGGAATTAGCTCTGAGTGACATTGAAAAGATACAAATTATGGCTTGGCAACACGTGTACCCAACTGGTGCTTCCCTAGTGCGCCAGGTCCTTGGTGATTTCCCTAAGTTCTTCTAGGCTCTGGTTTATAACACTACTTTCTTATCACTGTAAACTAAATATCTGGGACATCATCAAGTAAACCTGAGTAACACAACCAGAAGAATCTTGCTGTACTGTACCACTTAGGACTGCAGATGGGAGATTGCAGGTCTGAAATGTTTGCCTGTATATAAAACTGCCTGTATACAGAAAAATAGCAATAAGGAAAAATGATTTTAACCTCATTTTCTCCCTGACATGCTACTTTTTCGTTTGCAGGGTATTCCGTGCCCAGAGTATTTCCAAAATGATACTGTCCAGCAAGAACCTCACCATGTGATTCTGCTGATTATGTAACTTGAGTCCCAGGTGGTACTACCCTCCAACTCCCCCCACCCCCAAAAAAAGATTGCAATACCTACCTTGGTGCTCCGTAAGACTTTGTTTAAACTGTGACATGAATAGGAACTCTAACTGGAGCCAAGGTGAGAAGCAAGCAAGCCACAAATCATTTGACTCAGTAATGTTTTAGGAAGGACTACAGTGAGGAAACAAGCCAATAAATAAAATAACATCATGTAATTTTAGACTGTCCTAAAAACACTTGCATGCAATAAGTATGGTAACTGCGTGCAAATAAGCCTCACTTGCTTTCTATGCACCCCTTCCTGGGAGAAGGTCTCATTCAACTCAATGGGGCTGGGATTGCATTGTAATCCTGACCTGCCCATATCAACAAAGGCATTCAGTTCAATGGGACATAGAGAGGTTTACTTTCTGCATAGGATCATGCTGCATGAGGTCAGATTTAATGCAAAACAGGCTCGGATGTTGCAACAGTCTTGTGTTGGCCCTCTGAAAGGATATCAATTTTATTCGTACCTAGCAGTAATTTTTACATATCTTTGGATGGTGGCTGGAACCTATGAATGTATATACATATGAAGTCTTCTGCTGTATTCAAGGCTACTCCATTTTTACAAGCAAGAGATATACAAATGAAGGATTTGGGTGGGGCAGGGGAGACCGGTAGCAATTTTGCTTTACCTTTTACTGATTTGGTCAGCTATGCCAAAGTGGTGCTATTGTTTTGTTTAAGAAAGTACTTGACTTTTAAAAAAAACTATAAAAGAAAGTATATGCATATTTTTTAAAAAATAAATTGACAAATATATAGATTTTGCTTTTTAAAATAGAAACATGCCTAGCCATAATTTTTCAACTTTTTGTCATTTTAAAAAAGGGGGGATTGGGGACAGTACTTACATTTAAAAATAAAAATATGAGAGAAAAATAAAATTGCCAAAATTAATACTAATGTTAGGTGTCACATTATCAGAACAGAAGTGTAGGGCTTACTAAGTACTGCTGCAGCTTAATCTCCATTTGTTTTGGTGGGATATACAGGGATACTGCTCTAACCCCATTGGGATGAATGAATGTTGCAGTACAACAGTGCTTAATGGATTAAATCCGTAAGCCGCACTCAGAAGCTCCAGTGTGCCTGTGAGTGTTCCAGGACACCCTATAAGCTCCCATTCTGTTTAATGGAGGGGACAACACTATGCTTGTGACAGGATGCCTGCATGGAACTTTGGGTCATGGCACAGTCCTCCACCCATTAAAAGCATCATGCATTCTTGCACAGGAGTAACATTGGGATTGTTTGTATGCAGTGGTTACATTGCCTTGGTGGAAATCACCTTTCACTTGATTTTATTCAAATCCCCTTACCCACTTAAGTCCACCACCTCCTCCAGAGTCCATCTGGAGCAGAATACAATATGGCACTTTCCACTAAGGCAAAGTCACCATATGGATATAATCCATTCTAATTACACCAAATTACAAAAACCTTTCATCCTGGCCTTGGTTAAGACCAGAAGTCCAAATTATCATTCAAAGGGTGATAATCCCTGGAGTGTTTTCACACAACAAGAAAGACACACTTGAGCCTTACTTGCGCCTTCTGCATGCATGCATGAAGTCCTAAAACACAGAGTGCCGTTAAAAAAAAAAAACTTTTTCTATCCATGGTTCCTGAACTACCAAGTAATAATAATAATAATAATAATAATAATAATAATAATTTTATTTATACCCTCGTCCATGTGGCTGGGTTTCCCCAGCCACTCTGGGCGGCTTACACTACATAAAAAATTGTAAGACATCAGACATTAAAAACTTCCCTAAACAGGGCTACCTTCAGATGTCTTCTAAAAGTCAGATAGTTGTTTATTTCCTTGATTGGAGGGCGTTCCACAGGGTGGGCGCCACTACTGAGAAGGCCCCTTGCCTGGTTCCCTGTAACCTCACTTCTCGCAGTGAGGGAACCGCCAGAAGTCCCTCAACACTGGACCTCAGTGTCCAGGCTGAACAATGGAGGTGGAGATGCTCCTTCAGGTATACTGGGCTAAGGCTGTTTAGGGTTTTAAAGGTCAGCACCAAAACTTTGAATTGTGCTCGGAAATGTACTGAGAGCCAATGTGGGTATTTCAGGACCATATGTCTCCGCAGCCACTCTCAGTCACCAGTATAGCTGCCGCATTCTGGATTAATTGTAGTTTCCGAGTCACCTTCAGAGGTAGCCCACACATAGAATGCATTGCAGTAGTCCAAGCAGGAGATAACCAGAGCATGTACCACTCTGGCAAGACAGTTCACAGGCAGGTAGTATCTCAACCTCCGTACCAGATGGAGCTGGGAGACAGCTGCCTTGGACACAGAATTGACCTGCACCTCCATGGATAGCTGTGAGTCCAAAATGACTCCCAGGTTACACACCTGGTCCTTCAGGGGCACAGCTACCCCATTCAAGGTCCCCCACACCTGACCCCCCAAAACAGTACTTCTTTCTTGCCAGTGATCCATGCATAGAAGCCTACTTACATGTATGGATCTCCTTAGCTGGGCTGAGACAAAAGTGTACAGTGGTACCTCGGGTTAAGTACTTAATTTGTTCCAGAGGTCTGTACTTAACCTGAAACTGTTCTTAACCTGAAGCACCACTTTAGCTAATGGGGCCTCCTGCTGCTGCCGCGCTGCCAGAGCACGATTTCTGTTCTCATCCTGAAGCAAAGTTCTTAACCTGAAGCACTATTTCTGGGTTAGCGGAGTCTGTAACCTGAAGCATATGTAACCCGAGGTACCACTGTATTGAGTTTATTTTATCTATAACAGATAACTCAAGGGTAGGCCCACAAACATAAAACATATATTTATAGAGAAATCGGTTTAGGTACAAATCACAGCTACTTTTTAAAAAAATGCCTTGAAGTGAAAAGAAAAAAACATCCATTTCTAATGGGGGTGGGGAGAAGAAGTGACATATTCTGTAGCTTTTGAGAAAGAGTTGAAAATATATGGCTAGCATTCTGTGAAACTGAAATTGTGTGCATGCATTGAGTCTGTATGTGTGATTTTTTTTTTTTAAAAAGAAAAACTTTATATGGTTTTCACAAACATCAAAATGTGCAAAAATGACACCTTTATGGTTCTTTTTAAATGAAAGTTAAATCTGACTGGAGATACTTTGCATTTAGATAGGGGGGAAATTGTTCTGATGAAAGTATACTCAGTCTATTTAATGTGTTTCAAAACTACTTTTAGCCTGGAAATGAATTGTAGTAATTTATTAAAGACACAATATATACCACTGATTCCTCTTTTAAAAATATCATTGCAGTCCAAACAAGTATACCGTATATTTTATAGTTTATTCAAAGAGACTTTCCGTTGTTCTGGTTTCAAATGGCTTCTCTAGTTTAAATGCCTGTGCATTTGATGATTATTTTTAAAAGGGGGATTAGGATTTTTTGCTCTATTTAACAAGTCACAAATCTTCATTGGTGACTTTCCTCACAAGCCATTAACTATATAGAAGCACCATTTGGTAAATCGTGTAAATCAAATTCCTGTCTTGAAGGAGAAACAAATCCTAAATGCAAACCTATATTCATTTTAATCCTGCAATAGACATTTTTCCTTATCACACTATTACAGTATTCTACAAGGACTATCATTGCTCAAACACAGTATCTTGTGTACAATTTTTTTCTGTTTGACTTTTACATGAAGGAGGTTATAAGAATATCTGAAACTTGACTACATATAATACAATATAGAGATACCACTCTAACAAAGACAAAATTAGACAATATTTTCATTTCCCTTGAAAGATTGAGGCTAGGTACAGATAGTGGTTCCAGCTGACTTCAAGTTAATTGTGACAAGTTAGTCTCATAAACTAGCTGAAGACCTGTTGCTTTAATGTGATTTAGTCACAACTGCTGGATCAGGGCCAATAGTTTTTCACATGCTTGAAGGCAGAATAATTCAACGAACACTGTCCATAGGGCACATCTTTACTCTCTCTGTCCCACATTGCCACTGGAGACACTTGGGCTAAACCTAGCCCAGAGATGCTGAGCTGGCCAACCATCCCTCATCAAAGTAGTTCCAAGAAAGCGAGTTGCTGGCCAGGTCACTACAGTCTCTAGTCATCCGAATGTTTAAAGCACAATTAGATTTTTGCCACCTTCCCAAGTGGGGGTGTGAAACTTGAAATTTAAAACATACTTATGAAGTTGTATTATACCAAATCATACTCTTGGTCCAACTAGCCCAGTATTGTTTTGTCTGACAGGCAGAAGCTCTGTGGGGTCTCAAAGAGGGAGAGATTTTCTCCTCCCTACCTTATCTTTTTACCTGGAGATGCTAGGGATTGAACCTGGCACCTTCTGAACCACTGAGCTATGCCATCTCTCTTGCCATTTATTACATGGCACATACACAACTACAATATGGACAGGAGAAATTAACATATGTGCCCTTGGACATTGATAGCTCTATCATGCTACCTTAGAGATATACTAGCATCTGTGCCTAGCTCCATACTGATTGCATGAAGGGTGCATGTTTTGATTTTTTCTCCCACTTTTCAATAACCTGCAACATAACCACAACTTTCTGCTTCTCACTTGCATTATTTATTTTCAGAAATCTTATGCTGTAGCTGTTTTCATTGGAATGTATCAGCACAGCCTTATATTTGCAAACCAGACATAACCAACACTTCAAAAACACGTGTTTCATTCACTAGCACTTCTTGGATAACTTTTCTGTGCTACTACCACAGCCATCTATTGAACGGTCACTGTGACATCACGACACCTAGCCATGCACGTTCCTTCTCTGCTCACTGGTTCCATTTTTGAAAACTCTCTCTCTCGACAGGTTTACTTTGTCTCACGCACACCAGCTGTGCACTCCTGCTCTCCAGCAGTGGAATACATGTCTCTTTCAATATGTTTTTGCTAGGCAACCCCACTCCAATTACACAGAAAACGAGATCATAATGGAGAACGGGACTACTGTTAATCCTGTGTTTACTACAACAACAACAAACCTGGACTATTTGGAAAAGGCCCTTGGCTGCAGGGACATCCTGTTTCAGACAATAAGGAAGATTTACCTTGTGCTGCTTGTTAGTTGCAGCCCCGTTAGACCACAGTTACACCTCTACCTCTACCTCCTGTTCATACATCTGGTTACCCATGCAATTGCCTTTGGGAAATTGTGCAAGTGGCCACCATGATTTGCATACAGCAACCTGTGTGCAGTCATAATTAGTTCCCATTGAAATCAATGTGGAATATTCATCATGATTAACTTTTAAAACAGGGCCATAGCATGACTAACTTTGCCTGGATCCAACCCACTGTTTATTCTTGTGGTCTCTCTTTTCTGGCATAGTATTGCTCACTACTCTATAGCGTTGCCATGATTTCCCAATTTAGATCCTAATACCAGATAATAACCAGATGTTTCACAGGTCTACTTCTAACTTGCTTATTTGCTGCTACAACTGCACATAATATTGGGGTTGACACCCTACCTCTGTGTTTAAATTTCACAGATACCAATGGAGTGGCTCTACCAAATAGATCTACTGATAATTGGCCACCAATAAACATAAGTCCAAGGATGCAGACTATCTGATGCATAATCAAAAACATTATAAAAGGGGGGGAAACATTAAAGAAAGACTAACTGAACTGATATATGAAATGTTGGTTGATGCACTTCTTGCTGAAAATTAATAAATTTCTTTTCTTTTTCTTTTCTTTTTTTGGCTGCTTCTGAATAATGTCTTGCTTTGCTAAGAAAGCCTGTTCAGTTTATAAGGGTCACTAAATGGGGTGATTTTGCTGCTAAGTAACCTTAAAAGTAAGGCTGTAGGTTATGTACAACTTGCATGCAGAAATTGGCAACATACGCTTGGCATGAGGAGTCATCCTACTTTCATTATGGGAAGGAAACAATGACCCTTGAAAGTGTTGACTTTCAATATAAAGTAGCATTTTCCCACATTAAATGAAGCAGACTTAGGTTTTCTAAAGGGTATATGACCAGGGTACATGACAAGGAGCCACAGCCAATCCTGGACCCTTAAGAATTATAACTATATGGTACCCATGTTTTTCATTCATTCATTTTTTAATTTATTATTTGCTTTATCTCTCTCTCTCTTTAAATTGCATAATCCCTCAAACTAAGCTACAACAGCATTAAACCAGAAAACTTTAGTGTTGGTTGAATTGCCCTGCCTCACTTACATCAATAGGGTTTGTTATTGGTACTCAATGGCACTGATGAATTATTTCAATGCTTAATGTGGCAATACACATAGCACGATGACTGTAGATAGAGATGGATGCCCCAGTTTTGAGTACATTCATACATATTTCACTGAAGGTACTGGACTCACACAACCTGGAGCCTCACATGTGCAGAAGTGGCCTCTATTCTCCTTCATGGCTGCAAATGTTCTGTGCACATCAGTGGGAATCCATACTACATATGCAGAACATTTCCTCAATTCATGGAAAGGAATGGAGCTGCTGATGGCCAAGATGTAACTTGACACATGTGTTTAGTTGGATGCTCCCAACATCAGCAGTGGCAAAGAAAGCTTTACTTGAGCTTGCAGAACTTCATATGCCCCAAATATGGCAATGGTGGTCCTATTTAATTGGCCTGTGGGCCGCAGCCTATGTCCGAATCCTGCCTAATGAGACCTTTCTTTTTTTACTTGCAAAGGAGAAAATGCAGTACTCCATTGCCCTTAATTTATGAACAGCACTTTGCTATTGCAGAATGAAATTTACGGGGCACTTTGAACATGTCTTTGCTAGCCAAGGTTGTGTGCTGGGGAGGGGGGAGGCTCCATGCATGTACATGATTTTGCACGCCTTAATTGTTGTTGCTACTTTCTTGTAATCGATTCATTAGCTTAAATGCCTGTTGTAAGCAGTCTACCAAAACTGTTTTGTAATTTAGGTTTATTTCCACTTGCAGCCCAATCCCCAAAGCGCTCCGCCGGCACAAGCCCCATTGAGGACTGGAGCCTTAAGCAAGGAACTTGCCTGCATCAAACTTACACAAGGGCAAGCTTCCTTACACTATACAGTAAATGAGAACAACTTTTACTTTGAGGTATGACAGAGTGACTCTGATGCATTTCTAACCAATTCCAGTGATGGAAATCAATTGTGACCCAAGGAGAGTAACGAAGCAACTGAAGCAACCAGCTGGTGTGTTACAGCATGTTTTTTTCTGAATAGGTTTTGCGAGCCAAAAACAAGATTCCTTAGTGGGAAAGGACATATGCTGCTTTAAAAAAACAATCAGAATGTGGTGAAGTGTTTCACATAGTTCTGGGAGACTTTGAAGTACCACATGCTTGTTATAAGTACCGTACATCCCTAGAGGCACAGCTAACAACAAAACTAAATGCAAATTTCCAGTATGCCTCCAGCTGATATTTTTCTGTACATGTCCAGCATAATCTAATCTATAAGACAACAGGATCAAGGACTGACTGATACCTGGATAAGTGACCCTCTGCAAAGCTAGAATGTCATAATTAGCCATCTAGCTTATATGTATTTTTAGTTACTTAGCTGCCCAAGTGCTAAATGTTGAGATTAATATTCATTTGTTTTCCACAATGCCATTCTTCCAAACAAAAATATGAGCTGGCCCACTTACCTTAAACTAAGAGTATGGTCAACATCTGAACATGAACTGGCCCACTTACATCTTAAGAAAAGGTATGTGCAACCTCAGGGTTTAGATTATACAAGCATGGTTGTATGTGGGCACTTGAATTCCTAAAAATTCACTACTGAAAGCTATTGACGGCAAGCATATAAGCAAAAACCATGATGAGGGACATCGTTTGCTCACCCTGTCAGCTCCTCCCACACACCAAAAAAGTCCATAATCCTTGAAACACTTTGGCGGCATATGTCGTACTGAGATAGATGGGCAATGCACCAGCACAATGCTTTGTAGATTGGGCTGTAAATATTTGGATTTGTACGGTTTTTATTTTCCCTGCGCTCATTCAAAATGCAAACTGTCATGACCTAATGACAAGTAAATAATATTTCATACTGTGTATGTAACATCAGTGTGTTGCAGAACCCCCCACCCCACCCAAACAACTACTTCAACAATAGAACTCACCCCATTATTCTCCCCATTTAGCACTGGTAAGCTTTCCACAGATAACACAGGAATGCCAAGTAATGAAGGTTTTGGGGCTTGCAAAAAGAAAAACTGATCTTACTATTTCACAGGTCCCTCGGAACCATTTAGCCATGTCCCCCACTCTGTGCAAACTTTCTAACCCGGTAAACATTGATCCATAAACCAATAGTGTATTCATGCTTCTTAAAAGGCTCTTTATATGCATTTATCATGATAGGTCCAAAAGATCTCAAGAGCTAGTTGTCTGGTTTTCATTGTTTGTTTTTCTAAATATCCACTGCTGCAGTAAAAAAATAAAAAAGGGCTTGGTCACACTGTATAATAAAATAAAGACTATGGCAACCTTAGGTTGGTAGAATGTACTGAACTGTTTGCACCCTCTTGAGATCCAGTCCAAAATGTGAAACATTACTGTAAGAGGGTATCTTTCTAATGTATTTGTATGTATAGTTGACACCTCTGTGAGGTCTAATAAAGAATAATGGTTAATAAACATAACTGTGCTAAGCATCTTTCTTGCTCCAGGATAACTCTGACTTCTTTGGTTATAAAGCAATTGCTTTAGACTCAGGCTCTGCACATGTGAGAAAAAACACAGAAAGAGTGTTGGCTGGTGATCTTAAATTAAGATAATCAGTACTCCCTCTCCCTCTCTTATCACCACCCACACTCTTTCTTTCTCCTGCCCCCCCCCTTTAGAAAGAGAGAGAAAGAGTGTGGGATGAATGGATGATAGATGAATGGAGGCTGTAGACTGTGTGAGTGAGAATGAATGGAGCGCATCCTTGTATGCTTGTGTAAATAAATCAGTGCTGTGTAAGAAAGGGTATGGAGCGGCTCCAGCCCTGCTAACTGATGGTATGCAGAATCTGACATATTACTCCCAAGGGAAGGGAACCTTCAGAGGCAAAAAAACCAAAAGATTATTCACCCCTCCTTTAAAGCGAAACAAAAACATGACCAATGTTAACCAAAAATACATATGTTAGGGGAATGTGTGCATAAAAATGAATATATTAGTGAAAATAACATGCAGTATGTTAAGAGAAACTGCTTGCAAAAAGGTGTACATTAGTCAAAACTGCACCCCAAATGTGTTTATTAGGAAAAAAACTCACTAACAATACAGTACAGTGTTTTTCTTTTCTTTTCTTTAAAACTGCAAACTGCTGCAGAAATGTGGAATTTAAGATTGGGAAAATGAGAAACTGAGTGAACTGATATTGACAGATCTTTCCATTCTTTTTTATATATATATGATTTTTATTAATTTTCCAATAAAGACAGATCTTTATAAAGAAAGAAAGATCTTTCCGTTCTTATTGGAGTGGCCACACTCAGTGCCAGAATGTGGCCACTGGAGGACTGACCAAGGTTGAAAGAGGCCTTCAGACCAAAAACAGTTACCCGCCATTGGTCTTCTTCTTTGGCAACCACTTGTAGCCGAGTAAGATTGTCTTCCATGAGCACAGTCTTAATGGTGTGTCCACAGATGACTTTGAAGGCCAATTCTAGATCCACATGTCCTTCCACAGTGGGGACATAGGTTTCCGGGCAGGAGTTGATCATGGTGAGGGTTTACCAAACATGTCTTCCTTTTAACCCATTTCTCCCTTTCGTCCTGCATTTGAGTGTCTTCAAAGTCCACGACACCTTTGGTAAAGGCTGTTCTCCAACTGGAGCAATTGCAGACCAATATTTCTCAATTGTTGGTGTTTATACTACATTTTTAAAGATTTGCCTTGAAAGAGAATCTTTAAACCTCTTTTGTTGACCACCAGAATTACACTTTCCATTTTTAAGTTCAGAATAGAGTAGTTGCTTTGGAAGACAATAATCAGGCATCCACACAACATGACCAGTCCAATGAAGAATCATTGCTTCAACACTGGTGATCTTTGCTTCTTCCAGTACACTGACATTAATTCGCCTGTCTTCCCAAGTGATATGTAAAAATTTTCAGAGACACCGTTGATGGAATCTTTCAAGGAGTTGGAGATGGTGTTTATAAGTGGTCCATGTTTCACAAGTGTACAGTAAGGTTGGTAGTACAATAGCTTTGGAAACAAGCATTTTTGTTTCCCTGTGAATGTCCCAGTCCTTAAACACTCTGCACTTCCATCAGGAGAAAGCTGCACTCACAGAGCTCAGGCGATGCTGGATTTCGGCATCAGTGTCAACCCTTGTGGAAAGATAACTGCCCAGATAGGAAAAATGATTGACATTTTCCAACGTTAAAGCGTTACACCATTAAGTTGGATTTGTGGCACTGCGAAGGGGTTGTTTTGTGCTTGTTGATACTGCACTTTGGTTTTTTGGATGTTGAGAGATAGACCAAGCTTTTCATAAGCTTCTGCGAAGATATTTAGGATTGTTTGGAGGTCATCCTCTAAGTGAGCACACACTACGTTGTCATCAGCATATTGAAACTCTATGACGTAAGTTATGGTAACCTTACTCTTTGCTTTCAGTCTACTCAAGTTAAAGAGCTTTCCATCTGTTCAATACATGATTTCTACCCCAGTGGGGAGTTTACATTGACAATGTTTAGGATCATGGCAATGAAAATATTAGAGTTGGAGCGATAATACATCCCTGTTTAACACCTGATCCCACTGTGAATGGTTCACTTTGACAGCCATTGTTATCCACAATTGTTTCTGCCACATTATCATGGAGGAGCCAAAGAATGTTCACAAATTTATCCAGGCAGCCAATTTTCAGAAGGAAAGTCCACAGAGCATTATGATTTATAGTGTTGAAGGCCTTAGTCAGGTCAATAAACGCCATATACAGGGATTGGTTTTGCTCTCTGAATTTTTCTTGAAGCTGTCAAGCGGTGAAAATCATGTCCACTGTTCTCCCTAGAAGGTTGAAAACCATTTTGGGATTCAGGAAGTGTGGCCTTGGATATAGTTGGGAGGCGGTTTCCTAAAATCCTTGCAAGAATTTTGCCAACTGCAGCTAATAAAGAGATAGTTTCCACAATCCATTCTATCAACTTTTTAAAAAAAGAGATTGCATTCTCTTCAGTACCAACAATTTGAGACTAGGTGCCAGCTTCTAGCTTAAAACAACTGAAAAATTCATCTCCATGAAATTTCTTTGTCTGTCAAAATACTTACATCTCTTCCCTCTCTGCACTGCAGTCATGATCCTATCTCTCCCCTCCTCCCCCATACACACATGCATGGCTACTTACATTTTTAATGCAATAATACATTTAACATCACATCAACTTTGGCCCCGGGAGATGCAGTTTTGTAAACACATTTCTTCATATTCTAAAGCTAGGTTATCTGTATCCCACTTCATCATTTTTATTTCAGCCAATTATTTGAGGGAGGAAGCATGGATAAATACTTAGAGCTGTTCTACCTAAATCCTAAAACCAGGAGGTTACATTCTACAGTGCCTTGGCATTACTGCAGGGATGGAAAACCTCAGTCCCAGGGCCTAGATGTGGCCCTCCAAGCCTCTCCATGGGGCCCTCAGACTCTCCCTGGACCATGGCACTGAAGCGCTTTGTGCCTGGAATATGTCTTGATTGCCTGGATGAAGAAGTGTGTACACAGATAGGGTGTGTGTGTGTGTGTGTGTGTGTGTGTGTGTGTGTGTGTAAATCTTTTAAGTTTTGTGTGACTGGAATGTAGCTTAGTGTAATAGAGATAAGAATCACATTCATTCCTTTTCCCAGCCTAGCATGTGGCCCCAGAAGGTTGTTCACAAGGAAACATGGCTCTCTGATTTAGTGAAAAGTGTTTTCCACTCACAGAACAGTGATTTTCATTCCTCCTCCCCTACCCACAGAAGCCCTTCACATCCTACACTGTTTTTGAGAGTCCCCTATCCTCACGACCAGCTTTTGGCTCAATGGAAACAGGTTGCCACACGGAGGCACACTTTCCACTAGTACAAAGCTACCATTAGTCACAACCCAGTAATGATCAGTGCAATCATATGCTAAGGTTACCAGATTTTTTCAATGAATCCGGGGACACTTTTCAACCACAGTAGGAATGATAGGATTTTGTCAGGGGACTGATTTGTAAATCCGGGGACTGCCTCCGAGAAACAGGACGTCTGGTGCACGCCTTATCTTATGCACGCCTGCTCAGAAGTAGGCTTCACTGACTTCAATGGAACTTATTCCTGGGTACGCATAGATCACAACCTAAAGAAATTAAAACCCATGCATAAGCAACCATAAAGCCATCCTTCCATCATTCAGAGACCCATTGTGTGTCAAACTAAAGCTTATGTACAATCACAAAGAGCAGTCCTCTGACAATGCGTGGCAGCTGCTACCCCCACCCAACAAAACTAGATTATGGGGCCAGTTTCAGGGGTGAGAAGGTCCAGCACTTAAGCAGCCTTGATCACCCTCTGCAGAAGCTGCAGCCTTGTTTCCCCAGCACCTTGAGTCTTAGAAATGCATTGGTGTCTAACTTGAATTCAGTTCAAAGAAATTCTCTCCTGACATTCTCATTTTGCAGGAAAGCTGAATTCCATGGGCAGAAGTTTCAAGCCAAGCTGTCCTCGAAATGACTTTGATGCTGATTTGTAGAGCGGGGGAAACAACCAGCTGTCATTCCACAGATGCAGAATGAGCCAGAAACAATTGGTACTGATTGTAATGATAGCGTTTGCAGCCTATGTGGAAGTCAAAAGCTTTTTGGACTAGGGAGCCTTTCTATTCGGAAGGAGGCCCAAGTGCTTTACTCTTCCTGTTGTTCCCTTCCAGCAGGACAGTTACAGTGCTAATATCTTAGCATGGTGCCTGATCTTCTGACGATAATCATAAAGGCAGACGGCTATGGAAGAACAATAGACTTTCTGTATTGGGATAGGTGACATCATGCCTCAATCTACTGGCAGAAGAAGCAAGTGAGACGGGCAGCAAAATGATGCCATATGGAGTGCTCCCTGTTCAGGGTTTCAGTTACCCTGCCCCCACCCCCAGTTTTCTATTTTATCCCCACCCCACAGTCAGCATCAGCAGAGGTCACTGAGCATGCTCAGTCTTCATTAGGCTATTGGAGAGGTCTTCCCTTAGGGTTTTTTTCCTTAAGATTTTGTATACTTCTGTAAATCTTGGGGTTCCTCTGAGCCTGGTGACACCTCTGTTAGGATATAGTTCTGTTCCACCTTAAAAGGGACAGGCATGACTATTGTGTGTCACATGCCTGTTTACATTTCCAGGACAGTCTGCTGGGAACTTCCGTTTTGTATATTGCTTTTGTGTTGCTGTTTTGCTGGAGACGAAGGGAAGCAGACATGTTTTCCTTTGTTCCTGAACTATGCTTAAAAAATATGCTGTACATATGCTTACACGTGGCTCGGTCTGCCTCTTCCGTTGTGAGAAGATTTATTCACTCTGCTGATAGAGCACGCACAGTTCTCTTAACGTTTCGGAGGCTCATTTCGCTGACTGATGCTGTTCCAAAGGAGACCGGTAATCGCCTGGCTGCCAGCCAGTGGCTGGAGCCAGCTGGGGCACCGCCTGTTGCCCCCATCTCCCCGGCAGTATCCCAACAACCTCTGTCATCTGTGTGAGCGGTGCCATTTTAGATACAAAGACTAGCATCCGGAATATTAGGACTGCTGTTGGTGTACACAAGTGGGATCTACAACAAGATGCTGCAGAGCTGAGAGCTTCTGTTCCAGCCAGCCAGTCAGCCAGCCATGCCCTCCTATACAGTGCTGCATTTTGCCACCACTACCTGGCCCCAAGTCAGCCAACAATCCAGGGTCATCAAGCATGCTCAGGTCTCATTAGGCTCAGGGGGGCAAAAAGTTACTTTTGCCAAACTTTGGTATTCCCAAAAGCCTACTGTTTAGCATTGGTGGCACTGTTTTAGCTTCTTACAGCCTGCATACTGGATATACAGAATAAACGTTAAACAGTAACTATTCAGTCTGTAAGAGGAGATTTCTATAACATGTAGGATTATTTTTAGCAACCTTGCTTCCCACCACCTCTCCATTTCTGTCATTTGGGTGGGGTTTATAAGACTTTGTCGCTGTAATAAGTATGCTTTTAGCAGTCTGGTCTGTAGCCCAAGTCAAACTGACCTGGCTATAAGCTCTGGGGAGCTGTTCTCACACAGCTCTGAGACTATATATTATTTTCTGTGACTACAGCCAATTTGGGCCACTTCCAGGTTAACTAGGGAGGTTTACACAGTTGTCGTCAGCATAATCATGGCATGGCCACAAGCACTGATGTTCTTAAGCATCCGGGACAAGCTTCCTCCCATGGCATTAGGAAATTATAATTAAGCAAAATGAAATTGGATTGGATTCTAGCATGCTTTGAAAATTTATATCTCAATGCCAGGTGTTACTGGTTTCAAAGCCTGGCCTAGAGGATTACCTTGGGATATTCTTCCTCATTGCATCACCAGGGAAGCCTAGTACAGGAACCACAGTGATAAAATCTCAGTCCTATCCACAGTAATAATAATAAATAATAATAGTGTGTGTGCTGTGTTCACAAACAAGCTGAGTCATGCTCGCCTTGTTGACTCCCCTGCTCATTGGTCTCCTGAAAAATCACAATTCATGTGCATATCTCCTTGTAGGTCCTCATCCTAGCTACTGCTCTGGACCATCCATCCAGGTTTTCCACCTTCACCTGATCAATACTCAGTTTATGGCAGGGGTAGGCAACCTAAGGCCCATGGGCCAGATGCGGCCCAATCGCCTTCTCATTCAGGCCCAGGGACGGTCCAGGAATCAGCATGTTTTTACATGAGTAGAATGTGTCCTTTTATTTAAAATGCATCTCTGGGTTATTTGTGGGGCATAGGAATTCATTAATTTTTTTTCAAAATATAGTCCAGCCCGCCACATGGTCTGAGGGACGGTGGACCGGCCCACAGCTGGAAAAGATTGCTGACCCCTGGTTTACAGGATGAAGGCAGCACACGACTCAGTCACTGCACTTCATGACCACTCTCCAGACCAAGGAAAACTCCCAGGCAGAGCAGTTTTGCAGCCAAACTGGGCAGGAAATGCATGCAAGGTTGCTGTCTGTCCTGCCCTCTCCCCATACCTGGATATTTGTCCAGATTGCAACTGAGGAGGGAAAGATTAAACCTCTCCCAAGTGCTGTGGTCTTGATAAAAATCATAGGTTGCTGGCACCTGCTATTATTATTATTATTATTATTAAAAATCTTAAGATGCTTCCTAATGACCCATTTAGCATCATATGTGATTGGGCCCTCAGCAGTCTAGGACTGATATATGGAGGCAGAAAAGGACTGTGCCTGCTGGCCTGTATATCAACAACATTGTGTCCCCCACCACCCTCAGCCCCCAACATCTGCACATTGTGTGTGCAGTGAACCTCTGCAAAAGTGTGTCCATGCAAGAGGTCACAATTGTGTTCAAGGGAACAATATGTAGTTAATACAAACTACATTCATACAGCTATTTATTCCATTTCTTGAAATCTTCCTGCTAATTTTGGCATTTTATTTCAGCTTTCACGTGTCGTAAAAACCACTTCCAGAAAACTAATGGATTCTAGCATGAGTTTAGCACTCATTTCCATGTTATCTGATTCCAGAAAAAGAAAAAGAAAACCTTTGCAGCCACCGTAACCCAGAAACTCATAGGAGTAAAATGACGAGATTTGGGGCAGTATATTGGCATACGCTTCTTTCCTGCAATTTCCATGGGGGAATTGTGGGGGAACAAAAACATCCATGTGCAGAAACTGTGGGGGAGCAGCAATATTGTCCAATGACATTTGTTGTGGTGTTGTACCATGCCCACTGCTGTGAATGAAATTTAGCTCAACATGCCAATATATTAGTCAAGAAGGCACAGTTCCATACAAAGGTGCCGTCTTGTGCTCAACATTGGGGGGGGGGGGGGTTTGCAAGTGTGTGATGTCATGTGCACACTGCCCCCCCCCAACTTGGCCTGCCATCCCCCACCCAACCACCGTCCAACGCCATACCTGTTTTTGTTGTTGCTGCCACAAGGCTGAGGCCGCCCCAGCAGGGCCACCTGAGGTGCTTTGGTACATTCCTTTGGTACATTCCAGGGAGCACACCAGTGCACCTTCCTGGGCCCCCTGCCCACAAATAATGAGGGGGCCAAAGATGCTCTAACCCCTGGAGTTGGTGTGCCTGGTTGGTGTGCCATCAGAAAGGAACATTGGAAAATGGGACAGAAGCACTAGCATTATAATCAGGAAAACTAACACAATATTCTCCATGTCTGAATGCATTCTTACTGAGCCTAAATATATTGTATAGTCACTGGTGCCTAAAAAAATGGGTGTATGTCAAACACATATTTTTCACATTAATATATAAAGCAGGGGTGTGGAGGTTTATTATTTCCATTAAAAGAAGCCCATGGGGAGGGGGACAAACCCAGGGAAGGGAAGCAGGGAAGAAGAAAACTGCTCAAAGCTAGGGACCCCTTTTCTGTGTAAGTTTGAGACCTCATTGCTTTTACCTCTTTTAAAAATAAATGGGGGGAAACACGTATTTAGCATGCACATGGTTTTCCCTCCATGTCTGGTTTGCATTGCTGAAGAGAACAGTAAACAGCTTTCTCCTTGCCCCATGCGTCCTGCTGCTTGCAAGGTTGGACTTCTGCCTTCTCTTGCATTCGGATACATAGATTGATAGATATTCTTTATGATTTTCTTCTTTTACACACTGCCTGACCCATTCCCTCTCACTCTCTCTGGACATAATGAAAACAGCAGAGCTTCAATAATGGTTTCAGATTGTGATTTGTTTGTTTTTAATTCCTCGAGAGAAAAGAGCCAGACAGCAATCCCCGATGTACACTAAGTTTTCAAAATTTCCTTCCTCTCTAATTTGCTCATTTTTCTTTTTGTCCTCAACTCCTTTCATTCTTTAAACTTCCTTCAGCTCACACTTTGATAAACCTCCATTGCTTTTCCACTCAGTTTCTCTGTCAGCATTTCTATTCCTTCTACTCTAGGCATATTTTCCCTTCCTGCACAATTCTTTCCCCTCATCACCTGGGCCAGCATTAGGGGTCTGCATAGTCAGGCCCTTCCTGAAGGTCTGGGGGCCCAGAAGGGCCCACTGCCAACCGCTCTGACCTTGCCACCAGGATCCCCACCCACTTGCTATCAGTTCTACAGTGCAGAATCTCCTCTCACCCCATGTGTGTGCTACTTGTTGGCATTTATTATGGGAGCCAAGTCATAAGAAGACTCCGTTCGGATATAGGCACCCACCACATTATATTCCCCAAATTGCAGTGACCAACATCAGATGTTGCCTCTTGGGGAATTTAACATGGTGGCCAACCATTGTAGCACAGAGCTGAGGACTGGCTCAGTTCCCATAATAAGTGTCGCCGCCACCAGGTAATAGTATTACGGGCTGTCCCGTGAATCCGCTGGATGAAATAGTGGAAGAACATTACCTCAGGAGAGTGAGGAAAATTCTCAGGGATGATTCACACCCTGGCCGGCACTTTCTTGATCTCCTGCCCTCAGGCAGAAAATATAGAAGCATGATTAGTCGCACCAACAGGGTAAAGAACAGCTTCTATCCGTGGGCTGTTAGGCTACTGAATGAAAAGATAACAGGGCAACTGACTTTCAGGTTTGGTGGGTGTGCATCAGTAAACGAGGGGAATTAAGACAAAGAGAGCTGAGTGGTGGGTGCTCGTGTAATCTCACTGTATACAAGTTGTACAAGTGACAAAGTATTTCAAATTTCAAATATGTTTGCAGGGAGAAGAAGGCTGAGGTAACTGACTTAACAGCAGCAGACTCTGATGTGGAAGCAACAGCAGCAGATGGGTGGGTGGGCAGGGTCATATCTATGTCATATGTTTAAAGCACATGGCTTTCCTCAAATAATCTTTGGAACTACAGTTTGTTAAGGGTGCTGAGAATTGTAGCTCTGTGAGGGGGAATCTTCGATTCTCAGGATTCTTTGGGGAATCCATCTGCTTTAAATGGATGATGTAGAAGATGTGACCCAGGTTGACACCAGGCAGGGGCCCATGGGCAGTATCAGCCTAAAGGGCCATTAAAGTCTGGCAGTGGCCCTGCTTATCACTCTTTTATTCCCCATTTTGCCATTCTTTACATCTCCATGCTATTCCTTCCCCCCTCCACATCTTTATTTGACCCTAATCTGCCTTTCTTCTTTTTATTTTCCTGTTTTTAGCTCAGTATGACCCCCTACTTCCTGCCCTCACTCAGTTTTAGCCTTTACCTCTCCCACCTATTCACCTCTTTCCTCATCTCCCCCTCCACACACAGAAGCACCACTTCCCAGAGCAATGAGGTCACACTTCCAGAACCTTCCATTGTAAGGTATGTAACCAGTGTTTTTTTCTGGGGGGGACACAGGGGTACACATACCCCTAAACATTTTGTGAATCTTTGTACTTTTGTCCATTTACTGTATTTAATTCCCCCAATTTGAACTACAAAATTGTGATTTTCTTGAGTCAAAATGAGAGTACCCCTAAATATATTTTTTAGAAAAAAAGCACTGTATGTAACAATGGCAGCCATAAACCTTAGGAAGCATGCTTTTTCCTCACCAATGAGCAATCTTGGTCAGAAGCTGCCTGTTGGAGCGGGGGGGTTGTCAATCCCAGCACATCTCAGGGGAAGATTTGTCTGAAAGGATGGCAGTTGGGGGAAAGGGAATATTTGAATGCACCAATGAAAACAGGATCTCTCACCTCACTGGCATGCCCAGGTAGTACCTCCAACACTTCAAAGGTGAGCAGCCATCTTCTTGTTATTATCGTTCTTCCCCACCTGCTATATTTTTCTGCTTTGAATCTGGCTGCAATTTCGGTCAATGACAGCCTAATTTGACAGCTATTTGAGCAGCTATTTTTTCTGCAGGTGAAGATGATACAGATGTTTTTTCTCATGAATACACATTGAAAATGATGAATTGAAGACTGTGCAGTATACAAAAGCATCTGATGAAGAGGGGCCGAAACTTGTTCAGCTGTTTATACTGGACCAAGCTGACTTCTAAGATTAAATGGATTTGGGACTTTTTGAGTTGCAAATTACTGTTTCAAATACCAAGATGTATTTGGGTTGTTCCTCCTCTCCCCAATCCACTGCTCCTGTTGATTGGAAGGTCAATATAAGAAAAAAATTGTACTTTTACTAGCAAAATTTTAATAAGATATCCCCAATGTCTACCCTAAACAGGGTCACCATAAGGGCACTTAAAAACAACAACCCATAAACCACAAGTTAAAGTATATAGTCTGTGTCTCTTCCTTTGGGTTTGCAAACAGTATTTTAAGCTAAGCAGAGATATAAAGCTGCAGCATTATTAGCTCCTAAACTAGCTTTAAAAATATTGTTCTTACAATTATTCAGTCAAGGGTTTGGTTGTGTTTTTATCATGGTTACTGTACTGACACTCTACATTGTCTTTGTGTGAATAAGCAGTATATAAATTTTGTTAAATAAATAAAATAGGAATAAAAACCTATTAAACAATCTAAAATAGTCATTTAAAAGTACCAATAAAAGCAAACATTAAAACAGGTTACATAAAAGCTTTAAAATATAAACTAAAATCAGTAATTTAAAAACAGTTATAAATAAATAAATAAATAAATAAATAAATAAATAAAAATAGCACATGCTAAAACTGCATACTAAAATTAAAAAGGTAAAGGTAAAGGTACCCCTGCCCATACGGGCCAGTCGTGTCCGACTCTAGGGTTGTGCGCCCATCTCACTTAAGAGGCCGGGGGCCAGCGCTGTCCGGAGACACTTCCGGGTCACGTGGCCAGCGTGACGAAGCTGCTCTGGCGAGCCGGCACCAGCGCAACACACGGAAACGCCGTTTACCTTCCCGCTATAAAGCGGTACCTATTTATCTATTTGCACTTAAGAGTGCTTTCGAACTGCTAGGTGGGCAGGAGCTGGGACCAAAAGACGGGAGCTCACCCCACCGTGGGGATTCGAACCGCCGACCATGCGATCGGCAAGCCCTAGGCGCTGAGGTTTTACCCACAGCGCCACCCGCATCCCAATACTAAAATTAAGTTACAGTAAATAGCTTTAAGACTTTCTCTTCTAGTACAAAGTGATATATAAGTTTAATAAGTCAAATACAAAATAAAAAGAATGGTCTGGAGAATGTAGGATAGACACACACTTTTCTCCTCTTACAAGATTAGAACCTGGGGAGACTCAGGGCAGAAAAAGAGGACTTCTTCATGCAGCGCTTAATTGAACTACAGAATTTGCTTCCATATGGTATGGTGATGGGCACCAACCGAGACAACTTTAAAAGAGGATTAAAATCATGGCGGGTAGGCTGGGATAGCTCAGTTGGTAGAGCAGGAGACTCTTAATCTCAAGGTCGTGAGTTTGAGCCCCACATTGGGCAAAAGATTCCTTGCATTGTGGGGGGCTGGACTAGATGACCCTTGTGGTTACTTCCAACTCTACAATTCTAGGATTCTACAAATGGCTACGAGTCATAATGGCTACACCACCACCAGGAAAATACAACATACATCTTAGTATTACTTGCTGCTGGGCAAAGCAAGCAGGAAAGGACTATTGCACTCACGTCTTGCTTATAGGCAAGACATCTGGCTGCCCACCGCAGAAGAGTGGAGTCTGGACTAAACAGCCCTTTGGTCTGGTTCAGCAGGATGCATAATTTCTTAACTATGGCTAGAAGATTGGGGACAGTTACATCTACACTAAGGAAAACCTAAATTTCATCATTGTGTTTTGCACACCTATATACTTTACTGTCAATAAAAATGAAAATGTTTCTGAAATAATTTTTAATGTAATCGTGCAAAAGTTTGAAATTTAGGTTTAAAAAGATTATTTTAAAGCTTGCCATAACATTTCTGTTCTCTGATTATTACATTGGATCTCTTCACCACAACACTAACTCCAGACAGGAAACATTTTGGCTCCTTGTCATTTGGATGCTTGTCTGAGGATGTTTATGGAACTTCTGGAAACCACTTCAGTCCTGGACAGACTATGGTAATGATGCACTGAAATATTGTTTTCAAAGCTGATATAGCTCTTCAAAAAGTCATTAGCAGTTTGCACTTATAATGCGTCTTGTATATTGTAGATTAGATTCACAAAAACAGTACATTATGGTCTCTTTTTGAGGCCTCTCGGGGGAGATGGTTTGAAATTGTCATTTTTATTGTGAATTCATTGCTGCTAGGAAACTGCTGACAGAGAACTCTGCTATACAGTGGTACCTCGGGTTAAGTACTTAATTCGTTCCGGAGGTCCGTTCTTAACCTGAAACTGTTCTTAACCTGAAGCACCACTTTAGCTAATATGGCCTCCCGCTGCCGCCGTGCCTCCGGAGCACGCTTTCTGTTCTCATCCTGAAGCAAAGTTCTTAACCTAAAGCACTATTTCTGGGTTAGCGGAGTCTGTAACCTGAAGCATATGTAACCTGAAGCATATGTAACCTGAAGCGTATGTAACCCGAGGTACCACTGTAGTTATCATTTGTATTCACGAAACATGAAGATGATTTGAGCCATTTTACCATCATGTTCCCACCAACAGTTTGGGCCCCATCTGTACTGTACATGTAAAAACAGTATTACTTTGTGGCTTCCCCAAGGATGCTGGGAAGTGTAGTTTGTTAAAGAGAGTTGTTAAGAGGCCCTTGTTCCCCTCACAGAGCTGCAATTCCCACAGCTCCCTGGAAAGTGGAACTAAACCCGACCCTACAGATGACATCACATCCATCAGGATGATGTCATCTGATTTGACAGGTGGGCATGTTTTCAAAAAGTGGCCTTAAGGGTCAAATTGTAACCCCAGTCCAACCCAGACTGGTCTGTGGGTTAAACCCTTTTAAGCATGTTCAGGTTGACTTTTGGGGAGGGGAGTGGATAATCAGGGGACATGGAATGGAAAAGCTGGAAACCTAAACAGGAGCACTCCACATGAAAATATGTTGTAGCCGAACCTACTTTGTTGATCCCATGTGCAGTTGTTGTGCAAGAAAGGTCTGTTGGTTGCCTTCAGTCTTTTTGATTTTTCATAGCCTTCCCTAAGACTTTGTTATTTGTTCATAAAATGTCTGTACCACTTAAATAAAATTGTGTAAGATGGAACAGGGCAGTGTACAAAACACAAAAGGGGGAAAAGGAAGAGCTTGGTTTAACAGGTATGCTTTTAAGAGGCATTTAAAGGTCATTACCATCTCTGCCTCACAGATTACCTGGGGAAGGGAATTCCAGATGGTGAATGCTATTGCCTGGAAGGTCCACTTCTCCCTTGTCACCAAAAGATAATCCACACTGGATGTGACCAGCAGGATCTATATGGAATATCTTCAAGATTAACCTGGTATTTACTTATGGTAGGGTCCCAACAAAACTCAAACATGGCTCAGTAGCTACTAGGCAGCCAGTGCAGCTGTTATATTTTTCTCTCTGGGCCACCCATCATAGCACCTGATCTCCATCAGCTCTCTGCTGTATACACAATGTCTCAGCCAGACAGAAGCAATGGTCTCTTCAGCCACCCCCTCTTCGTCACTGTGTGAAGAGCAACAAAGTACCAGTAAAGAGGCCTTGACCTCCATCTTTGTTCACCTGGTAGAAAGTCACTGAGTGAAGCTACCATCTCTTATAGAATCAAAACATGATGCAAGTCAATATTACAGGCTTTTGAACCCTGGATCAGTAGCAAATATGGCCCTGAGTTGTGAAAATAGCAGAAATCATCTGGCATGCGTTAGCCTTTAACTTTGTTTGTCTGTTTAAAAATGGCCAGGGAAATACAGTGCAAAATAAAATGGACTGAGGTCTTTGGCATGTAGCTTGATTGTTGGCAAGCTGGAGCATGTGCAAAGGAGGGCGATCAAGATGACCCAGGTCTGGAAACCACGCCTTATGAGAGAGCTGGGTATGTTTAGCCAGAGAAAGAGGAGACTGAGAGGAGTTATGAAAGCCATCTTCAAAAGGCTGTCACACGGAGCAAGCTTGTTTTCTCTTCCTCCGGAGGACCTGAACCAATGTCTTCAAGTTACAAGAAAGGAGAGTCCTACTAGGCATTAGAAGAACTTTCTGATGGTTAAGAGCTGTTCAACAGTGGAACAGACTTCTTTGGAAGGCAATGGAGGCTTTTAAGCAGAGGTTGGATGGTCTTCTGTCATGGATGCTTTAGTTGAGATTCCTGTGTTGCAGGGGGTTGGACTAGCAGGGTCCTTTCCAACTTTTGAATTCTATGGTTCTGTGTAACAACAGCTTACTGCCTGAAAACAGATTGTATATGTTACTGAATCCAAGTGCTGAAAAATTGCAGCAACTCTATTTGAACTCAGTAGTATCACTGGCATGCACGAAACTGCTGAAAAATGCTGGAAGGCGCCACAGTCTTAGGAACTAGTTACCACCAAAAGATCTGCATAGTCACCTCTGAGAGGCAGGCCAGTCACATTGTCTTGAGTGTGATGATACAGGTAGAAGGTGATTAAGGCAAGGAAGAAACAATTCTCTATTGGTAAATAAAAAACTAACCCTTATGGTACTAGCTAATTGTATACGTAGCACCTCAAAACTGTCCTGGATTTTATGATATTAAAGACAACTCTGTCTTCAGTGCACATAATCTCTCTCAGTATTGTTGCAATGTGGGTTTTTCAAATAAATTGTGTTTGAAAGCTGGACTATTCACCTACTCCCAGCTGCCCTTTGCTGTTTTCAATGGACAACACAGTTTCAAATCATCTGCAAAAAATCAACTTAGAGTTTTTGGTACAAAAATGAAATATTCCTGCCAGGTCTTTTTCTGGCTGATACACAAGTCTTGACAAGCAGCCAGATTAACATTACCAGACTACCTCTCTTTAACCCCCAACCTAATTACTCTACTTCTAGAGGGAAAAGAATATTTTACTGAAATATCTTATAAAATTCATCCTTCATCCTCTTCCTTTAATCAGAAAAGGGAAGAAATAAGACTGTGGATGAGATAATGAATCTTATTAAGGTGAACATTAAACATCATGGACTTTTAACTTGCTTTTGATAAGCTGAATAAACAAACTTTTGCTTTCATGGCATATCCAGGTGCTACTTAGAAGTTTCTTTTTGTAAGTATCAGAAATGTAATGGCTGCCAAACAATCTAAAAAACCTCAAGGGGTAGGGAATAGATTTTGCAAGTTGCCAGAAAAGTAAGGAGAATAACATTTTCCTGTTAGCTTTTTTAAAACTTTCATCCAGTTATGGGGTTCTAGAAACTTACCCCTAGAGCACTTTTCATTGTGCAATTTACACATAACTAGACCTACAGGGTAGTCTTTACAGGACATTGTCACAAACTGTCACCCATACAACATTCCCTAAATTTCAGCCAGTTACCACCTACTAGTTTCTGGAAACAAAACAAAACAAAAAAACACCTCTAGCATAAAATGACCCAGAAATGCAATGAATTTTGCCGTTCGGGTGTGTTTATTAATCCAGCCAATGTTTACGGAATGGGATAGTAAAGCAGCCCATAGTTTTCAATAGACAAGTGGCCAGGGAAAGGTCAAGAGTGTATCAGTAGGTCGGCACAAACCATATAATGTTGTTTGGGGGGCTGCTGTCTAACCAAGGACTGTTTTCTTGTGAGTTTCTTAATGAAGTTAGAAATACATCCCCCAAAAAGTTTGTTAGCTTTCAGTAGAAACAGGTTTTTATTGACAGTTTACAATACTTTCATAATATTTTTACTTTAAAAAATAGTTTTGGTTGTTTGTAATTAAAAATAAAAACCATAGCTTACTAAAGATTCAGAAACTGTGTTGTTTACTCAGTATGCAACTGGAATAGGGGAACAATAACTACACAGCCAGATTTTACCTTCTCTGAATAAGTGTTTCCTGGCTCTTGAGTGTTCAGGTACTGTCAAGCACACTTAATTTGATGTCACAGAAACAAATATTACCTGGGGTATACATTCTAAGTCGTGGGCCCCCTTGGCCTGTCCCTGTGTGGGAAGCTGGGGCAGCTCCGCTCTCGCTCGCCCATCTGCCTGCCTGCGGGGTCCCAGCCGAGGGGCCGGCACTGGGGCGCGGCGACGCCAACCACGCCAACCCATCACCTGACGGTCGAGGAAAATGAGGGACGAGGGTGGCGCTGTGGTCTAAACCACTGAGGCTCTTAGGCTTGCCAATCAGAAGGTCAGCGGTTCGAATCCCCGCGACAAGGTGAGCTCCCATTGCTTGGTCCCAGCTCCTGCCAACCTAGCAGTTCGAAAGCATGCCCAAATAAGTGCAAGTAGATAAATAGGTACCACTCTGGTGGGAAGGTAAATGGTGTTTCCGTGCGCTGCTTTGATTTCGGTGTTCCGTTGCGCCAGAAGCAGCTTAGTTATGCTGGTCACATGACCCAGAAAAACTGTCTGCAGACAAATGCCAGCTCCCTTGGCCTGTAAAGCAAGATGAGCAATGCAACCCCAGAGTTGTCTGCAACTGGACTTAACTGTCAGGAGTCCTTTACCGTTAGCTTTTTATACATTCTAACACACACACACCCAAATACACTGAAAATCTCGTTGGGGTATGAAATGCAGCCCCAAAATTATTACTGTGATTCCCACCAACCCAACCCACCCCCCCAAGATTGAATGAAGGCTAAGGGGATGGTCTGATTCTGAACTAGGCTCTGCCCTTGGATCTGCCAAAAGTTACTGAGCTCCACCCCATGGATGCACCAAACTTGGACCCACAAATGCAGCAGGGCTGGCTTGCCAAATTTTTAGGTAAATGAAGTAATGCATAACTAAGGGGATGGGGCTGTATGACCATTAAGTTCAGAGTTTAAAGTCATCTCAATGTATGCAAACACTATGCAAAGGATTTCTGCAGATATACTAACTAACATATATAGGTTGGAAAACCATTTTCTTCTATAGAAATGAAAGCGTTTAAAAGTGGGAGGTAGGCTGACATTTAGATACCTTGCTGCAGAAATCAGCCGTCTTAACAAACTGTAAATAATCCTCAAGGTCTCATTTATAGCATTGCTTTGACACCTTCCTTGTCATCATCAGTTGTCTCTCACTTTCAAAACTATCAGGTCAAACATACAAACAAGCAAAACATAGTCACAGCAAAAAAAATATAGCCCTTTCAGTTATGTGAGAGGCTCCTGACCTAATTAAAGTTAAATCATTTAGGCCTTTTTAATCAACTTAATGAACCACAGTTCTGGAGTGGAAAAATAAGTATAGTGTACTGCAAACCTGGTTTATTGAGGGCTCTTCCACAGTTCCGGTTGTCCTGTGATCTCTAGGCATGAGTCTGAGAGGTTTTTCTTTCGTCCCACTGCTTTGTCTGGGATAACCTGCTGTTTACCACTGAATCGAAACAAACATCAGTCAGGTTTTCTGTGGACTGATGTTTGTTCTGATTCAGTGATACATAGCAGATTTTCCCGGAGAAGGCAGCAGGACAAAAAAAACCCAAAAACTTCAGACCCGGGCCTAGAACCACAGGACAAACAGGAATATTGCAGTCTAGGTTATATTAGCTTCCATATTCAGAGGCAGCGTGTCACAAAAAGGGAAGGTTATTGCCCTCATACCCTGGTTTCATCTAGCTAGGCACTGTGGCAAACAGGATCCTGGGTGTTTGAGTCAGCAGGGTTCTTAATATGAGTAGCAACACACACACACACACACACACACACACACACACACGAAAATGTAACTTCCATGTTTTGGGTAGGCTTAATTAGGAGTTTGGGGGGCAGGGATTTGGTTGTTAGGATTTTAATGCAAACCTAACAAGCACTTTCCAAAACAGTGTGCAAACCAAAACTTAGCTATCCTTCAAAATCTTCACTTCTCTGAATTTTGTGGATCACATAGAATCCACAAAATGTTCATGTTAGACCGGACATCTGTAGACCTATTCATTAGCTATGTAATATATATATATATAATATATATAATTCTTGATCTCTTGAAAGATGAAGATTGTGTGCTTTCATTATAAACCATTCACTAAAGTGCCTAGACAAGTCTGTTATGAAATACTGGCAATATTAAAAGTACTTTTTGGCCCAAAGTAGTAAAAGTCTGGGGAGATGGAGAGAAACAATAAAGTACCCAGTCTAAGCTTTAAGTAATTACTGTCAATATTAAACCAAAAATATTTCTTCTAATCTAAGCAGCCAAAGGGGAGACACTTCCAAAAAGCATTAGGAAAAATATAGGTAGAAAACCTGCTAAAAAGTTTTAAAATCACAACTCACCTCTGTATCCTGCAGGGTATATACAAAACTCTGTCTCCTGCATATAGATTTTCTTCTGATTGCAGCAATTAGAATAGATGATAAATAGATAGATGATAGATAGATATATGCTATAGTTTGTGTATATATCTATAGTTTATGTAACATATAGATACATATATACACACACCCCAACTATAATCAGTTTAGAAAGTGCAGGCAGGGTTTTGAAGACTGTCTTTGAATGGCAAGAGAGATCGTGACAGTAATTTATGGATCGTAAAAGAAAACTCCACCCATTTGGGTTAGCTGTGTGTGTGTATTTAGTTCATAATTTGAAAGAAAGATCACTGCTCACCTGGAATAAACCTCAAGCCTTATTTGGAAAATAATACGTTCTAATTGCAGTTGGTATATTCAAATATGCCACTAGAGGCAACCATTTTTACAGTGACATAATTCTGTGTCATTAACAATCTGGAAACTATCTTCAGATGGACTACATGAATAGGTTTCTAGCGTGACTTAATATGACTCATTGCCTTAGCAGGCTAACATTTCGTTAAATTGTTTTGTTGTTGAATTCTAATATTTAATTTCATCATTCTGTCTGACATTCAAAGTCAAAACATTTGAAATCTGACAAATCTGTTACATTCTGCCAAACACAGTTATTCTGCAAACATTATATTCAGATATTACTGCTGACGAGAGATGCTCCATACTGAATAAAAATATCTTCAAGATATTTGTCATATTTGAGAGAGAACAGGCCTCCAGTTTTGGGGGTAAAGCCCATATTATAGATTCATAAATGTTTTCATTTAATCCCATAAACTTTTTATATATGTACAAAGAGATTTTTATATAAATGTGGGATGTAATCCTCTGGAGCAGTCAAGTACATCATTTCCTGTTTGCCTAGAGTGAACATGCATGGGGAATATTGGTTCAGCCAGTTTAACTTCCTGTTATACCTTGCTGGAGCATCCTTCCTTTTGCATGTGACTAGTAGGTGGATGTGACCTTTCCAGACCTACTAAAAGGCCAAGTCACATAGCCACCAACCCCCCTCTTTTTTTTCCTGCCTGCTTCCTGATTCAACTGGATTGCACTGCTAACTGTCAGCCAGCAGTCCCTAGGTTATCTCCCATATGGGGTAAACCTGTTTGTACATATTTGTAACTTTAAGCCTAAAGCCTGCCTTCAGGAATCACGCTGTGCTCTGCTGTTCGTGAGTAAAACTGCTTTTTTTTACTCATGAATAAGACTATTGTGTCTTTATTGCCATAGGAGTGATCAAAGGGGTCTTACCAGGAATAATACAACATATCTCAATCTGGGCAAGCCAGACTGAATTGCTTATTATTTTAAGAGACTCACACAAGTCTGCAACCAGCTTCCTGCTGTGTAAAAGGGGGGATGCACTCTGCTGTATAAAGAAACTTACTAGCACAAGTTAGGAAGGATAATATTAATCAATATATCCTCTCCAGTTGCCCACAACATTCCCACAATAAAAAAGATCCTTGATGCATAATAACTTTGAAAAGGGTTCAGGAAAGTTGGTACAAAAATACTCATCCAGGCTGCTGGTAGGAACTTAATTGTTTGCTCATATAACAATATTATACAAACTTCATTAGTTTGCAAATTGTTTCCAGGCCCACTTCAAAGTGCTGGTTATCACCACTGTATTCCTAAATAGGATGGGATGTAGATAGCTAAATGCCAGCCTTGTCTTACTGTATATGCATTTACCTATATAAATGCTTTAGTCCTCAGGGGAAGGCTTGCCCTCTTTTCAACTGTTGTCTGAGATGAGGCTGGTTGTGTAAACAACAGGTCCTTCTTAGTGGTGGTATCACCCAAGCTTTGGACTTTTCTGCTCCAGAAGACTTGCCAGATTCCCCTTCTTTCTGCTTTCAGCCAGCATATGCCGGTAAATACAATACAATACTATATAAATACAAGTTTTATTAGGGCTTTCTACAATATATTAATATCTCTTTGCTAATTTATTGCTTCTGCTACAGTTTGAATGATCTTTTTATGCTGTATTAAAATTGTTTCTATAATATTTGTTAACAGCCTTGATGTTCTGTCAACACAAAATTGAGGGAACTTTTTTTAAAAAAAGAAAAGAAATATTTTAACCCACTCTTCATTGTGGAGCAAACCTAGTAGTTTCTCAATTAAAACAAAAAATCTCAACACACACACATGTATATTTAAGCAAAACAAAAATACCGCAAAAATTGCAAGTGGTGAAATCTTTCAAAGATAAACATATTTGGTACTGTATTATGCAATCTGAAAACTATGATAAGGAGCAAACAGTAGCTTTCCCACTCAACATCTCTAACCACATATCCAGACAAGCATCCAAACACAAGAAAAATGGCAGAAAATCTTACCACTTGGTAAAGTCCCTATTGTTTCCCATACTTTCAAATATGTCACAAGGGAAAATGAATGCATATTTGCATGAGTATAGGAAACCAAGTCATCATGTGGTAGAAAAATGAAGCACATGGTAAGCAGGACATCAGATTTCAGCTTGTTTCAATCACTTTTACATTAAGGAAGTCTGCTAAGCAAAACCAGCTCCCATTTTGAAATGAGCCCAGACAAAATGCCCTCCAGGTGGGCACTCTCCTTCTCTGGTGACCTTACCTGACGATGGCAGTGCTGCTGTCTGTGCCATGCTGCCACCCACCATTTAATTTTTGTGTAATGCTCTCAGTGCAACATTGCTCTGGGGTAGAGAGTCTCCACCCATTTTGGTGATTGTGGCAGATCCAGGTTCAAAGACTCAGATCTGTAGATATCATCATTAGAAACATGTTTACTGGCTGGTGCTGATTTTTTTTAACCTTATTTGTTTTATATATCACCTTCTTCCCAGTGTAGAACCCAAGGTGATTCACAACATACCTTGAAAACAGATACAGCTTTTTAAAAGTACCAGTTAGTTATAAATATTAAAAACAATTAAATAAGTTACCATGTTAAAAAACAATACTGAGTTAAAACAAATTAAAACCTTTAAGAATGCAATAAGAGAAGAAAATATCCACCATTAAGAAACCCTGCCACAAAAGCCAGTTGGTGGCCACAGGCCTCTAGTAATTTTGGTAATGGGTAGTAATTTTTGCTGTTTATTTGCAAAAATATCCAAGTTCACAAGTAAATAATAGTTCTGAGCCCATCACACACACACACACACACACACACACACACACACACACACACAGCAATTATTGCCTATTTGACCTTGTGGGAATATATATTAGAAATCTGAATACAATGAAATCTGTCTTTCCAACTTTACAGTATTAGAACAATATTTCATCCTCTCCCCCTTCTTACCACATACCTTTCACTGTGCTTGGCAGCACAGCCATTTACGAACAGTCCTGCATCTGCAAATACTATTAGTTTAGAAATTTTTTCCTGCACTATGTTGTTATAAAACTCATTTTTGGCCCCATTTCTTGGTATTTTTTTCATGTTACAGGACATTTTCCCCCATTTTCTTTTCCCTGCATAATGACAGTTTTAAATTCAGCTATTTTGGCCGTATATATATATAAGTAGTTTTCCTGAGGCCAAATAAAATGTCAGCCTTGAACTACAACCATGAGCTGCTGTAGTTAATTATACTGTTAAGTGGAGCTGCTGAGGCAGACGGCGTTGTGTTAATGGAAAGACCTGTTGTATCCTTGAACTAAGCTGTTTGACTAACCTCACCCACAGGTCTGGTGATCAGGAAGTGGCCACTTGGCTTGTGATAAAAACCATCAAAACTAAACCTGTCCGAACAGGACTGGGGAGACCCAGGTACAAAACCTAGCTTGGCCATGTAGCTCACTGGGTAACCTTGGCTAGTCTGTCTTTCAACCTCTATGTCACCAGGCTGTGGCAAGGATAAAAATGGCAAAGGGAATCATGTACACCAACTTGATTGAGCTCCTTGGAGAAAAGGTGGGGTATTAACATAAGTAATATAAAAAATCCAATATAGCTGCTGCCTTCTGCCTGATGTTTCCATTTTCTTAATCTACTCCTGCTGGCTTCTAGTGTGCTCATCTTCCTCCACCACCTCTTCAGCCCTTTCAATTAAGTCCTAGTCAGAGAATCGTAGAATTGTAGCGTTAGTCCAAGCCCCGAAACACAGCAATCATAGCTAAAGAATCCCTGAGAGATGGCCGTCCAACCTCTGTTGAAAAACGTCCAATGAAGAAGAGTCTACCACCTTCCAAAGTAGTCTACTTGACTGCTGAACCACTGTTACCACCAGTCATTGGGCCTAGCTGTCCCTTTGCCTTGCCCTATTATGTGATTGAACTGATAGTCAGGCTCATAAATGGCAGTCACTTGGCATTCCCCAATGGTGTTGCTGTAGATCCTTTTGGTTGGACGGGTCCTACAGTACACAAACTGTCACCAGAACGAAGGCATGTGTGATCAGAATTCTCTTTAGGCACTCATAGGCAAACTACCCATTACCTCACATAAGTGGAGGGGGGCGAGGGCATTTGTAGGAGACAATCAGTACCTGGTGGTGAGGTGACGTTCTAGGCCTGATAAAATAAAGCATTCTCAAAAAATTCAAATGTGCAATTGCTGATCTTCTAACAAAAATATCTAATGACCATATTCATGTTTAGCTGTCTTTTCATAAACAAAAATGTTCATTACTTTAGACTTCCCTTATTGAGAGTCCCCTCTCTCCATTCTCAAGGAAAAGTACTCTCCCCCCCACAACACACACATTTCTTCCACATATGTGCAAATTAGTTCTTTTAAAAAATGCTTTCTATTTAGAAAAAGGAAGAAGTGATATAGTGTCCTGTGATGTTGATATATGATAATCCAAAGTATTTCAATATTATCTTACTAAATAAATTCATCACCTATGGTGTAAAATAAAAGAAATGTAATAGTATACAAAAGGTCACCCTCTTAACTAGTGGCCATCTGAAGAACACATAAGCCACTGAAGTGGTTGCTATTCACTCGGTAGGCTATATAAAGACCGTTTTGCCTGTGACCAACACTATTTTCAAAGTAGCCTCTTTCAAATAATATTTGAACTTGATTCTCTTCCATGCAAACATTAAAGCACCAGAGAATGTGTATCTCATCCTATGCATTAATACTAATTTTCTCTCTCTTTTCTCAAGGTTTCTTTCTTTCTGTCTCAAAGTCTATGCGAAAAGCAGAAGATGATATGCTGCTCAGTACATTCACGCTTGGAAAAGTAATACAGAATGGAGGCAAAGCTGAAAAGACACGGCCCGCATCTTCTCTTGAGCATTATAAAATGGAGGACAACAGTTTTCTGGATGAAGAGGAAGATGGAGCCCTCAAGTTCTCTGTGAGTTTCATCTTTTGAGCTAATATGGTTTTTTAATACATTAGTATAAATTATATGAAGCAATATAATCATTCTACTTACAAACTCTTAAGAATTCCTGAACAGTTAAAAACTGATAAATATAATCAATCCTTAATCAGTTACAAGTCTTATTAGTTTAATCCAATTAGATTAACTAGATTGCTTTGAATAGATATTTAAAAAAATCAAAATAATTCACTGGAAGTATTCTTCTGGGCTTTTCTCTGCTTGTAACCCAGTACTGTATTTAACTTTGCCAATTTAATCATTTTCCATCAATTTCTCAATTCTGTATTGCTGAGGCTTCTTCCTTTATTCAGTTCTGAGCAATGAGAACTTTAGCATCACCAACAAAGAATAAGTTATCTAACTTCAATTACTTTTACAGAACCTAGTAAAATTACAATACAATCTGCTTAAATCTTTACTTGAGTTGTAACCTCAATTTTCCTTAATATTAACTTGCAAAATTTCTGTATCACTGGGCAGTCCCAACATATCTGCTTTATGCTATTTAAAACCCCAGCATCCAGCTTTCTTCTCAACCTCATTCTCTTTATTCATTTATTTTAAAAAATATATAAACTGCTCACCCACTTGAAAAAAATGGCATCCTCCAAAGAGGCTTTCTTTAAGGAGCTGCAATCCATGTTCTGGAAATGGCTCATCAGATCGACTGAGATCACTACACTTTGCATTCTAGCCATTAATTTTTTTTCCTTTAACATCTAAATTACATTTTTTTTTAAATACAGAATATAAATCCTAAACACCATGCCATAAGTCATGGCCAACCCATGAACCTAGATATTAAGCAACTTCCTTATTTTGCACTGGAGGGACCTATGACTTTTCCATCTGATGCTGAAGTTCAGAACATTCAATCTGTACAACAAAGGAGAGAGACTGAAGATGATGAGAACTCAGCTAAATTACCTATTGGAAGAAGAGATTTTGACAGTAAGTATAACCTTCAGGTTATTTCAAGCAAGTAAAACAGCAGGATTGTTGCAGCATATTAAGGTATCAACTACTGAGACAAACACTTGGACTGTTAATCATTTCCTTTAAAAAAATTATTAAATAAATTGATTCAAAGATTTTAAGATTATTAGCTTAGTGAAGGTATGTAAGATGAAGATGTTCTTAAACCCAATTTAAATAAATGTTATGTCTGTTAACTATTTATCTACACAAAAATATCAATATTTATTGGATGTTTTATGCAGTGCTCAGATGCATGCTGGGAAGAGTCTACCGACCTTGTTGGCAAGTCTAACAACTGCTGAAGTACGTCATTTGGAAGAGACAAAACCATGTTCTTGACAATTCAGTAAAGAAGTAGTTGTGGTTTAAGTATTGTTTTGTGTTTGTATTGATCCTAAATATTTGTACATCAAAATACCACATGATTACAGTATACAAATGTAAAAGATTACAGTGCATTATTAAAACTGGGAATTCCGCAAAGCTTGTTGATCCATTTGTCCAAATACTGCATACATATCAATATTTATAATCACAAGGAAGATGTTACTGTAGCGTATGCATTTTTTTCTTTCAAACCTCAAAACGAGTCAACAATTGTTTGCATAAGAATCACAGCAAGAGCATTTATAATCTAAAGAAATGAGTTAGCTTTGCTTGACCAACAATCAGTTTATTTTTGGCTATAATCTTGTTGCATTTTCCAGCCCTCTTTATTTTGCTGTCCAAACTATTCTGGCATTTCACTGCAGTTTTTGGTCTCTTACTGTGTATGTGTTGAAGTGATTCGTTTTCATTACTGCATATGACATTTTCACTAGTCCTGTCCACCTGCTTCCTCTTTGAGCTCTTGTTTCTTGGCTGGCAACTTAGTTTTCCTATTTCTTTACTTTTACTTCCATTCTGATGAACATTTCCAGAACTAGTTCCAAGTGCAGCACTTTCAAGTTGTGAATGTAGGCATTCTGCTGGTTAAGAGAACACAACATTTTTATAAGAAAAAAGCAAGATAATATTATTTGAGTAATTTTTTTTCTGATGTGCTAGTCACTTAAATCCACATCATTTTTACACAGATTACTTTCTTATAAAAATAATTAGCCCAACCCAAATTAGCAGAGTTAATCCACTAGAAGACAAACATGATATAGGATTGTAGCAATGATTTGGGGGGGGGGGGGAATTCGGCAATTGCTATAGGAAATAGACACATAGAGGCCAGAAAACAGGAGGAAAGTTCATCTCTAAAACGTAAAACATACACAGCAAAATGCAACTATTTGTTGATGTAAAAAAATTAAACCAACAGTTTAAGCACCTTTGTCTTCATCTATTTACCATGGCAATACACAGGTTATAAAAAGTATGTGAAGTTTCAATAATTTTTCAAGAATATTTAGAGTATCACTTTTGACAGAGGTCAATTCACACAAGGTACTTTTACACATCAGAAATCCGTGTACTGAGTTATGCACCTGGGTGGACAAAGATAAAAGGCGCATCTGGTGACCGCAGATATAGTAGCAGCAACTTATAAGATCACATTGCACTTATTCTAGCTGTTGCAGCAACAGGATTTGCTGCAAACTGTATCCATGACTACATTATATGGGCCTTGCAGATATACAGTATACCCAGTGATATTCCAATTACTTGCTTGTAGAAGCAAGCACAGAAGAAATACAGCCCTAAGGCAACAAAAAACAACACTCAAAAGCAATGCTGTTTTCAACACCAGTGCTCTGAAGGTCTGAATGTTCATGGCCAACATTTATATAAAGGGGTTTTGTATTAAATAATTACAGGAGAAAGCAAGCAGTGGTTTCTCCTGTGGTTCTGCACTGAGATCAGTACTATTCAACTAATTCTTAACTGATCGTATTAGGAATGATCAGTGAAGTGGCCAAGTTTGTGGAAGACACCAAATTATCAAGAACAGTGAAACTCCAAGTGAACTGTGAAGAGATTGAAAAGGCATATCTATGAACTGTGTAAATGGGTAATAAAATGACAAATGATATTTGAATTATGTGTTCACTTTTACACATAAAGTTATGCACCTTGGGGCAAAACATCCTATCTTCACATATACACTTCACATATGCATATATAATGCTGGGGTCTGAACTGATAATGATGACCAGGAAAGAGATTGTGGGGTCATTGTGGAAAACTTGATGAGAACTCAGGTTGCATGGTGCAAAAGAAAAGGGCAAATTCCATGCCATATTGGACAGGCATAGTCTATTCCCACATCAACTCTGTAAAGTAGGTGAGACTGAGAGTAAGGTATACAGGAAGCACATGATTAAAATAACAAAATATACATAATAAAACAAGTCTAACAATAAGTTCCATGCTGGCTAAATAGAATCTGGATACTAGTTGCAGATACCAGAACCAGGGGCGTAGCTAGCTGCTCCGGCACCCGGAGTGGCAGGGGCAGGGTGAGCCGCCCACGGGGGTGGGACGATCCATGCACGGGGGTGCTGCAGCGACCCGCCCAGGGGGCGGCACAGCAAGCTGCCCACAGAGTCCACTTGGCGGACGCAAGCTCTACGCTGCCATTTCGGGCAGCGCGGGGCCCCCAGCCACCGTATCACTCCCAGGAGAGACGCATGGCTCGGGTGCGCTGCAGGCCATTTTGTCACCCCCCTCAAGGATGACACCCAGGGCGGACTGCACCCCCCCTTCCTACACCCCTGACCAGAACCAGCTGCTGGATATCAGAACTCTGATTTTCTTATACAAAACAATTTTAGATGTGATTATAATGGTTAATTTGAATTTGGCAACATACAAATCCATCTGGCTTATCAGAAAGATGCAACTATATAGTCACTGAAAAGGGGAAAGGGAAAGCAAAGAGGTCTTGAGAAGTTTTATTGCTGATTTGCTTACCTGCAGTTGATTCATCTTTAGAGTCTGGAACAGCCTTTTCTTTCAGTGCTGGATGTTCACATGTTGGGGCCTGGATTGCCTGGAAATGCTGACCCTTTGCCTCAGTCATTTGGTCATCTTTGTAGGTGCAAGAAAACTGAGACCTAATTAAAGGCTGCTTCGACTAAATTGAAAGAAGTGAAATTATGAAATGCAGGTGGTTGCTATGAACGTGGTTTCCAATATGGAAATCTGATGTGAAAATACTTCCAGAAATTTAGATAACTATATTTTACATTATATACCGTATTGGCCCAAATATAAGCCGCATCCCCCCCCCCAAAAAAAATTCTTACCAAGAAAAGTTAAAGTGCAGCATATATTCACAACCTTACAAAAATTGGCTTGGAGTGGGCTTGTCCCCAGATGTTGCCTGGTTTCAACTGGGCCAGCTCCCAAGATGGCGGTGCGGTGAGGGGGTCCCTGAGAGGGAGCCAGAAGGCAGCGAGGAGGAGGAGGAAGGAAGAGAGGAGCATGGACGAGAGAGTGAGAAGGTCTGCTAGGAGGAGGAACAGGAGATGCGGCTGGTGTGCTGGGACAGGCGCTAGCCTGAGGTGCTGCCTGGCTTTAGCCCGCCATGGGGCGCATGAGTCCCGCCAGCCACCGCCTCTCTCCGCCCATCCCATTGGGGGCCCATGGTGGTGTTGACCCTCTGGAAGCGCTGCTGCCCACTGCCTCAGGAGTGAAGGTGCTGCCTCCTTGGCTCCCCTCAGCCCCACTCCTCCTCAGGTATTGTCATTTCTTTTTTTCCCTTTAATTTTAAAGGTGCAACTTATATTCGGGTGTGGCTTATATTCGGGCCAATATGAATATAATCTGAAGTCTTATCTTGTTCCGCCCATTTCAGTGTAAACGTAACAGCATTGTATGATACTATATTTGGTGATGTTTAATATATGTAACTGTAGTTCTAACCTATCACATTGCATTATCACAATACCAGAGGTTGTGAGATTAGAATGAAACACAGAGTACCAGTACAATTGGTGCTTTACTGATATAAAGGCCCACAGGATTAGATCTAAGCCGTTAAGCTTTGCTTAAAACAGTTTAAATCCAAATTAACTTTAAAAAAACCTTGATACATATTTTTCTTCAAAGGACTCTAAGTATGCTTATTCCACTGCAGGAGGCAAACTAATCATTTACAGCAGTAGCTTCTGGAGACTGAAAAATGTCCAGATCCACCCCTGCTGTTAAGGTACTTTCTACAGACAAATAAGCAGAAGTGATCAGTTCACAGAGGACAAACCAAAATGCTCTGTTTTACAGCTTTTTCCATCTTTAGAAAACTTTCAGTATGCTAAAGCCAGGTTGGAGGGGAGCACCTCAGCCAAACACATCTTCCTAATCTCCACCCCATGCACTAACTTCAGTGCTTCATCCCTGGCTTGAATTAAGTGAGAGTTCCCCAGTCTGGGTTTATTATCATGCTTAGGAAAGGAAGTGTAGGAGCTGGTGCATGAGGGTAGACAGTGTTTACCCCAGTGCTTGTTCATTGCAGTTTTGTTGTTTTTTAAGGGATGGTGGGGAGAAAGAAGAGTGAAATAAAAGCATCATTTCACCTGAAATTGCAAATCAGGCCTCAGACACCAGACAATATAGTTATGTAATCAATTAGATTGATAATAGTTCTCCTCAAGGCAAGGATTTTGCAGTTATCATACCTTAAATTTTTTTTCACCAACTGCTGTCCGAATTCTCTGTCTCAAAACTTTTGGAGAAGATCCACTAGATTGTGCTGGAGATCTAAATTAATATAACAGTGACTGTAAGCAATAGTGACCAGCCCAATATATGAGAACATATTACCGTGAATTTTCATTACATGCATATATAGATTTGGCGTCTGTTTTTTAAAATTCCAAAATAAATGACTTTTTAGCATATGAACAAAAAGCAAACCTAGTCCCAAAACAAAACCTACTGCAGCTGCTCTGACTGGAGAGATGCAACATGTATTTTGATCTGCAGAGACCTTTGGCTGTGTGGGTGTTTAATTCATTTTAAAGAAGAGAGCCAATTCATATGTACACAAAAAATGCTTGTGTAAATAGGTTCCCGCCATGAAACAAATGCTTTTTTAGTTCAGAAATCTGCAGACATACAAAGGAGCTCTGTATCTATTGATGACAGCTTGATTGGAAAAGCTAATATTGGGTGGGGGGGGGAAGAGACAACTTATTTATTTATCATTGTACATACTTTTAGTTTTTTACCCTTTTTCTATTGTTTTTATTTTATCACTGTAGCTGTAATGACCATTTTGGGTAAAGTCGTAAGTTTACTAAACATTCTGCTGAAACTGAATTTTTCATTAAGGAAATATGGGTAGCAATAAGGCTTCTCAGTTGCCATATTTTATCTAACTCCAAGCAACATAAAACTGGCTCAGTTAGAAATTATCTTTAACAATACTTAAGTCTTGGTATGCTTCTTCTCAAGTGTTTCACTCCATTTTTTACTTTGCAATTGTTTCCCCCTTGTTGATGACATTATTTTTGTTATACAGAATTCCATGACTAATATTTTATTGACACAATATTGTCATCCTTTTCCACCCAAGAATACCATATTTTTCGCTCTATAACATGCACCCGACCATAACACGCACGTAGTTTTTAGAGGAAAACAAGAAAAAAAATATTCTAAACGAAACAGTGGGTGTATGATTTTTGTGGTTCATGCTGTGGCCACAGACATGTGATCTGACAGTGAGTTTGGGGTAGCCCAATGCAAAAATCCTGAGGATCCATGTGGATCCATGCTTTGTAACCACGTTTTTGCACCACCACTGCGGCCCCAGGCAACAGTGGGTGCGTGATTTTTTGGGTGCAAGATGTAGCCATGGACATGCCATGTGATCTGATGGTGAATTTGGGGTGACCCAGTGCAAAAATCCTGAGGATCCATGTGGACCTGTGCTTTGTAACCACGTTTTAAGTGGGGAGGGAAGGAAAAGCACTCAAGGGACAAGGAGCACGTGTGGGGTGGGTGGAGAAGGATGCTGCTAATAATGCAGAAGAGGGGTTTAAGGGGACAAGGAGCACGCGTGGGGTGGGTGGAGAAGGATGCTGCTAATAATGAAGAAGAGGGGTATAAGGGGGAAAGGCTCCTCTCCTCTCCCACTTTGCTCCTTTAAAGCAAGCAGGCTCTGCTTTTCTCCCTCCTTCCCGCTCATCCCCAGTTTAGCAAGCTGAAAAACTTTGCTGCTATGTAGCGAGCTGAGTGGGGAGGAGAGAGGGACAGAGAGCCTGCTTGCTTTAAAGGAGCCAACCAGACAGGAGCCGCGTACACTCGTGTAAGCGGCGACGCTCCTCTCCCACTTTGCTCCTTTAAAGAAGCAGGCTCTCTGTCCCTCTCTCCTCCCCACTCAGCGGCTCTTCTCCCGCTTTGCTGTTTCAAAGCGAGCCATGGAGGAGGGAAGGAAGGGGAACCATGGATCCTCTGCTCACGACTGCAGCAGATCCCCCCCCCCCGCCACCCGTAGGCATTCCCTCCATAACACGCACAGACATTTCCCCTTACTTTCTAGGAGGAAAAAAGTGAGTGTTATGGTGCAAAAAATACAGCAATTCCAGCCGAGGACAGTTGAATGAATCAACTTCCTGAGCCATTGTCTTCTTTGAAACACACATTCCACACTTCCCAAGTTACAGTATGCTTGTTGTTCTTTACATAGTCTTTGTATAGGAGATAACTGCATATGAGGTGGCCCCAAGTCATCAGCTTCATGGGAAAAAGTATTCTTGCTCTCACCTCTTCTGTGATTTTTCAGCGCCTAGCACTTACCTGAACAACAAAAAGGTACAAGGGAATCTGAATTCATCACCAAACAACATTTGGGCTTTGTTTTTGGGAGGAGGATCGGTAGCTGCTTCATCCAAAAGTGCTAATAAAGCCTTCACAGTATCTTTGCCACAATAAGCAGTGCCATGGTTTATAGCATGTAGCTTGGGCTGAAATTAAATATTGACTATTATTAGCTTTACAGGAGGGGTTTGCATCAATTGACTCACCTGATCAAAGTAGTTTTAGGTCATACAATTTAGGATATAAAACCTCTCTGATAAAGCTTGAAACCTGAACATAAATGTTTGTGCATGTGTATCATTGGATTAAAAGTGACCAGTTACAGGTTGGGATTATCAGATACATGGGTGGAGGTTGTATCACATCTACTTATCTTAGACCATGCTGTGCTTGTACTTAAGACAGCAAGAACCAACAAGGTGCACCACTGAAGGTGTTCATGCAGAAAAATAATGCCAAGGGATTGAAGCAAGGGAGGGCTTAGCAAAAAGACCTCCCAGAGTTAACAGCCAATCCAGCCAAGGAAAAACCCAGCATATAAACATTAGTAACATAATGGTAAGGGTAATCACAATGTTAACCATTACTAAGAATGAAGGGAAAATCATATTTTTTTCAAAATCTAAAAAGGTAGAAGTTTATAATGTTTGGGTAAAATTGCTGATAGCAACGTCTTGAGACACTAGACAAAATCTAGAATATTTCACTCTGATGTTAAGTTATCAGTATTAAATTACTAGAAAAACTCTTCTCTTTCATAATTCTTTAGAAGTACCTTATTTGCCAAGTAAGACTATGTGTGTACACACACACACACACACACACACACTCTCAACCCTCAGTACAAAGCAAATTCTTTATTTCAACTAGTTAAACCCATATTATAGGAAACCTAGATTGCATAGTTCTTACACTGTATTGCATATATTACCTATTATTGTATTAAATTTGTATTACTGAGTTAGTTTCTACATTCAAATCATTAAGAAAAATGTCTTTTCTTTTATATCCAACAATTTAGAAGAACAAAAGGAGGCCCCTTACCCGGGCTGGACTAATTCCAGTGGTGCTAGCTGTCACAGACTCATGCTGAAAGTTGATAATATTTTTAATCCTCAAATCCAAATCTTGTACAACTTCCTCTGCTGCTTGACAGAAGGCATCCCTGCTGTTTCTTCCTTTTATCAAATGCATCTTGATTGTTGATAGAATTTTCCCCCCTGCAAGTCTAAAAACAGACCTAGGGTCATCTCCATATTCATCTTGGCGCTATTTTAATATACTTAATAGTTCTGAAAACAGAGCGTCTTCACAGTTAATCAAAACTGTTCAGCCAACAGCTTTGATCTATTCAGTTGCACAGCATCATGCAATAAGATCTTGCTCTTTAATGCAATCTTTCACTTTTAAGAATTGGGAGATTACAAGAGTCAAGGAGCAGGGACAGTAGACTTCTCTCTAGTTTACAATTTTAAATAGAAAAGGAAATAATTAAAACTTGCTATGCCATCAGGCTATCATTTGTTCACTCACATTATCTAATTCTACTCATTAGCCACAAGTGGATTAAAGTTTGAAAAGAAGTGAAATCTGCCTGTTGTTATAGAACATTTCCATTTCCCAAACTTTTATAAGCTCATAAGCCAACAAAAGTTTTTTGAGTACTATATAGCAATAATTAAATAGCTAGCACAAACAGGTCATTTACAAACATATTTTTAATAAAAGTGTCTGACGTATGCTTCCAGCAGCAGAGGGAAAGACAAGATTTCTATATTTTTAATACAGTGCATACTTTATACAAGTCAGTTCTCAACATTCCATGATGCATACTAGTGTGTAATCAAGAAAACAGGAATTTAGCGAGGACCATGCAAATAGTGATTCTAGTGATTAGGAATTGAACTTATTCTAAGTATAGTGAGCAGCTTTAATCACTACCCCATGGCAATTCTTACATGATTGTTGGGTGTTTGTTGGTATATAGGTAGGAGTAAAGAATGTAAACTTTCCATCCTTCTCTGACCCCCACCATTCAAACTTGACAGGCCTTTAGCTAGGTTAGTAAGAAATGACGCTTCTGCTCTGTTAGCTCAATTACATAGTCAGGAAAATCCTCCTTTTCAAGAAACTCCAGTAGCCAAGCATTTTGTCCCAAATATGATCTCTTAGTAAGCCACTACTATGTTTCTATCTAGTATGGATTTTTACCTGCATAATTTCTGATCAAAGAGCTCTTAAGTGTAAAATCTGAGTAGTAAAACCTATGGTACCTTAATCCAGAGTTTTCCCCATGCACAAACACTCAGTGCTTTTTTTTCCTTAAAAAAATGTTTAGCGCTACTCTCATTTTCCTACTCATATTGAAATACTGCCCCTTAATGAGGCCAAACTTATATTCACAAAATGTTTAGGGGTATGTGTACCCCTGCATCCCCCCAGAAAAAAAGCACTGCAAACACTGCTACCTACCTTCCAATAAGGGACCATCATAATTAAAACTTCTGTTCATCATAGGTATAGAAAAGACTCTTTCCAGGCCAGGAAACCTACAACAGTCTTTTGATTAAGATGCTTACAAACCAATCTCCCATTAAAAGTCTGGCAATTGTGTATGAGGATCACACCTAGTCTGATTGGATAGTTCTACAAAGAGGGCCATTTAGCTATTATTCTTGTTCTGGCAGCACAACATTCAGGAAAACTAAGATCAATGTGTTTGTTTCTACCTAATATTGCTGCTCCAACAGCTAAGATCCCAATGCTCATTTTTCTTTCCACGTTTTTCATTTCCAGGAAAAATGTTCCCATTCCCCATCAGATATACACAACTCTAGCTGGAGCATTGAAAGGAAAACTTCATTCATTTTTCATATGAGGAGGCCAAGACAAAGTACTGATCTACTGTGTTTGGGAATTAAAGACATTATGCCATGGTTTTCTTCATTTTGCATTAAGGTACAGTATAAACAGATTAGTCTTCCCAGCCGATTCTACCCTTGTTTACTCAAAAGTAAATCTCACTGAATTAAACAGGATTTGCTCCTAAATAACTATGCAAGGGGTTGTACCTGAGGCTGATTTTATTAAGTTGCCCAAAGTATTAAATCTGTTCCTGATACATTGCATGAATGATTTTAAGCTGTACAAAAAGAGCCAAGCAGTTAAGATTTGGTCTACTTCACTTCCTGCTACATTACCTGTGCCACATTAAATTAATTTAAACTGATTTCTGTCCCACCTCTGACCTGCAATATTAACAACTGGAAAGTTACACTTCTGGTCAGCAGAGAGTGGAGCATGCAGTATGGGGTTGGCTCATCTTCAGAAGGCAGGGTAAGAAACAATTCTAAAAATGTTTGCAGTAGCAAGCTAAAAGAGGAAAGAACCACCCTCCTATCCTCTCACTTGGCCTTGATAGCACTGTGGCCATAGACAAAAAAAACTACACCGGGGAATGAAACCTTAACAGAATAGTATATGGAAACAGCTAGAAAAATATGAAGAAGGGGTGTATTTAGAATCCCTGCCTGGCTTACCAGAGAGAACTGCACAAATGTGATGTACATAGACCCTTGTATCCCACCACACTGATTTGACTCAAAAGGCAGTGCTGTCTGCTTTTGTCTGCTAACCAGAAAAAAAATCCTCTGCTTTACACTAAATCCAACTTTTCATTCTTCATCAGTGGATTATACAGGAAAGGGATTTACAAATGCAGTACCCTCATGGACTAGGTGGAAGGAGAATTAGTAATCACAGCACTTGTTGTAGGATCCTCCTCCCAAAGGCTGCTTCTGTCAAAACATATTTGTCTAGTTTGTAGTGCCTGGTGAATGTAGAGGGGTGAGCCCATGTGAATGCCCTGCAGATGTCCTCCATTGAAGTTCAGGTATGTAGAGCAGCTGAATAGGCTCAAAAAACTGGTTGATGAGTGTCCCAAGTACTAGGTACATGTCCCATGTAGGGAATCTATGTATAAATGCAGGGGGTGGCAACAGGAGCAGGGGGTGGCAACAGGAGAACAGAACCACATAAGAACTGCTTAGTGTGGCTATGGGACCTTCCCCCAATCCAGTAACATTCAGTCCAGGGCCACCAAGTGCTTCAAATCAAGACAAGCTTGCACAAACTCAAGGATCTCTCAGACGCCTGAAGCTGTGGCCTGGACACAAAGGCATTTCCACCAGCAATGGAAAGCTTTCCTGGCCATTTCATAGATTAGATTGGTGGACAAACATCTGGAAGCTAGGATTTTCCAGGCTACTTTACTGGGAAAACCCTTTGTCTAAAGCCACTCATGGTCTAAACACAGAGCTGCTGCCAACATGGGGGCTTATGGATGCACTGGAGTGTCAGAGTTCTTAACAGCCCATCAGGTCCAAGAACCACAGACTCTGGAGCCAATGGCAAGTCACTAGTTGGACCCTGTCTCAGAGTATTCTGATCTTCCATAAAAGTTTGGATAGGAGGAGAAACCGTCAGAGTATTGACAGGGAGGTGGCACGGGTACCAGGTGGCCTATCTTTCTCAAAACTGGGTCCTGGATAGGGAAAAAACTTGTAGGTGCACCATGCCCATTAGATGGAGCTGGATTCAGGTTATGAACTTCCTTGTTTTGTCCAGAAGGTTGTCTTCTTGCTCCTGGGACACAAATATTTTGAGCTGGATTGTGTCACCCCCTCCTCACTCCCAGGTGTTGGATCCTCTCAGCTGTGATGAGAAAGCTCTTCAGTTGATTTATCATGAAGCCATGTTCCTCCAGTACTAAAGTGGTGGTCAGGATGTCCCTGCATGCTCTGGCCTTGGATACTCACAAGTCTGATCCTATAGTAAACAAGTTGCTGGCGGCATAAGAAGAATACTACTACTCAATATGATTTTATAGTATGTACTCTTTCTGGGAACTATGTGACGGAGAGAGCAATACAGACTGTCAAGAATATGGACAGCATTCAAAAACCTGATAAGACATAAAACAGCTTCCCCAACATCTATTCCAGGAACAGGAAAGCATATATCAAAATCCTATTACAGAGGTATCAGCATTTTTATTTTTTCCCCGTCATGGCAGTTACAGAAAATACACATTGCAATTTATAACAAATATAATGTATTATATTACGGTATGTTGTTATACAATAGAAAGACAGCTCATGATAGATTGTGGGCAACAATCAGCATGAGAACTTATGTTATTTTACCAATTACTTATTTTAAAATGCACATTTTTATAGAATAGGTGTTTGAAATGCTAGCTCAGGTATTTTGACGCCAACTCTCTGGAATTTCCCCTCGCCATATTCAAAGCCTTGTATTATCCCTCATAGTTTTCACAAACCTCTTTTTACTCCAGGGTCAAAGACTTTGGAAAATTCCTCAGCTGGCTAATCAAGCTTTTTTATTTACAAAAAAAAAATACAGTGACCACTCTGGTAAACTCCATCCATAGGTACTGTTCCTCAATGGTTTTTATACTTGAACTTCTCATGTAATGACTGGTATGATGTAATGGGCATGCAGATTTATAGCTATCTCAGGTTAGAAGCATCTTCCATTATTTAAGGATGCCAGAAATATTTGCCCAGTTAATGGTTTAACATGTAGCTGGGCTGTTTGTCTTCTCTCTGCTAAAAAAGCACGGCCAACTAGAGGACATCCCATGTAGCTGTTCAAAGAGTTATATATCCTCAGCCCACAAACTGCTCTAGGATACAGGATTTTTTTCTGGCCATGTGATACTGAAATATATTTTCCTAAGGAACCCTCCATTATCATGTCACCTCTCCTCCCACACTGGCTCTCTGAGAAGCTTTGTAACTATAGCAGGGAAGGTCAGAAATTAAGGGAGCTGGAGTTGTACAATGTTTGGAGGGTCACAGGTTTCCTATCCTTAATTTATAAACTCATCTTCACTTGAATCCCACGAGCACCTCCCTTCTCTCTCCCTTGCAGATCCTTGCTCTGTCTGCAAAGTTGACCTTCTGTTATACAGCTAATTAAGCCGTCAGGAATCCACCTACTTGTCAGTCACAGCTACCTGCCAGTCCCATGACATCATGGCAGGTATATGCAAGTAACAAGATGCGAGAGCCAAAAGGGCTGATCAGCAGGGCTTCAATACACCCAGCTTCTGAAGTACAACCATCAGCTGCTCACTAGTACTCCAACACGCTACATCATCCAGTGTCATTGTGACATCTGGTGATTGACAGGTGAGTGGCCCAGCGCAGCTCAAGTTTGGGCAGCAGGGGTTGGGGAAGAGAGAAGTATAAGGCTCTTTGCCCTGCTAGATTGATCCAGTTGCTTCTGTGCTAAACAAGATATAGTGTGATGCGCAAACCAACTCAAGCGTGCGGGAAAGCAAGGAAAGAAAGAGACCAAGGCTGCAATTCTATGCCTACTTTCCTGACAGAAGGCGTCTTTTAACTCAATGGGCCTTATTTATGAATAGACATGTATAGGATTTCTGTGTCTACTCAGAAGTAATTTCCAATGCATTTGACGGGGCTTACTCCAAGTCAAACTATTTTCAAAAATTTTTTCACATAACCTCTCTTGCCCTGTCTGCTTTACTGCAGTTGTTACTAAAGAAAGCCTGAATAGATTCAGTCTTCATATTGATAGGCTTACACAGTTTGAAAACCCTCTACTGTATCTAAAATAGCTAAGAATGAGTGCATTTGTAATAGTTGCTGGCTTTGTTTTAAGAAAGGAATATACATTTTAAACAGTGCTACATGTACACATACATAGGAAAATTATTACCTCGGATCCTGGACTTCACCAATAATTTCTTCCAGTTTATCAATGAAGTGAACCAAGTGTGAAAGTCCCTTCATATGGGTTCTTAAAGGATCAGCTGGGGAAGGGGCATAACCTTTTCCTCCAAGTTCTATGGTTCTGATAAAAGACGTCGCCATCTAACAAGACATATAATTTAGCTAAGTAAAATAGTAATGCAAACATAGAAAACCAATACACCACACGTAAACCACAAATATTCCCACAAATATCAGGATGATTCATGGCATCAAAGAAAAGTCCAAATTATTCCTTAAAATTAAAGTAAACATAATGGCTTTCTATGCAATTGTAAAACAAAGACAAATTTCTTCCAAATATGATAATTGTGTGCTGTTGTGAAGCAAAACTACAAATCTTTGGAAAACCTAAGTATATTAATTGTTCAACCCATTCTACTGTTTCAAGCCAGAAGGACTGTGCCTGCATAGTAAGACAAATTTGATCTTCCCATTAGCCACCTTACATTTAAATGTTTTGTGCAGAAGTCAATTAAAATTGTGTCTATCAAAGCAGGTACTAGCATCATGTGATTTCTGGGTCAAAATTCTAACCCCATAGTTGCCAACTCAGAGCTGGCCTGTACGGAAGGCACATAGGTCTGCCTCAACAGGACTTGGGATATTCATTGACCCTCAACCACATCATAAAGTAATCCTTTAGCAAAAACATACACAAACCCAGTCAACCAGTGCAGCAGAATCTGGTGGGTCAACAAGTGTGTTCTTCTTATCTACATATTGTATAATTAAAAAAAAAAGATGGGGGTTAGATTTTTAGAGAACCCCCAACCTTGTAGAATAATTCTGCCAGTGTTCATGGATACACTGCAGATTGTGTGTGCTTCATAGGATCTTGACTACTCAATGGAAAGTATTTCGTCATTCTTCTTCTTTAGAACAAAGCTGCCAAAAGAAAATCATGTTTTTATACAAAGAAGTTTTCTTTCTTTGGTAACCATAAAAGAGTGGCTGATGAACATAGTCCAAGTCCATAATTCATAAAACACCAAATAATACAACTTTAGGAATTGAACTGATTAATCTTTCACATTTTCCCATACTTATTCAATTATAACACCCCAAAAACTTGACTATGCTACATCAGACCTGTTCCCAAGTCATGTTTTGAAAGGAATTAACATTTAAAACCCAAATTATGAATACATGGTACAGTGCTCTGGCCTGAGCAATTTCCTATGGCTCTGTCACTGATAATGGGCAAAGATCTTTGAGTAATGCCCATTTGACAGAGAATTTAGGAAACACTTTTTTCACAACTACTGCTTCATAAAGCAACTTTAGTGCTCTGAAGCCCTTCAGTTTTGATTTGCTCCCCTCTGGCTCCACCAAAACTATACTGATACAGATGGGCTGTCCTGAGAAGCTAGTATATTAGAATGATTTCAGTCAACTTTTTCAGTATTTGGTGTACTGACACAGCATACCTGACTACAACAATCCTCACAGAAACTATGCCTATATTCACTTATCTAAAATGGCAGACTGGAGGATTTGTACAACCAGCACGGATAATGCAGTAGAAATGGATGACTTCTGGCTGTTACATGAACAATCCCAATCCAGCTCCTATATAGTTTGCTTTAAAAAAAACAACCCAAAATCATCCTATTGCATCTCCTCAATGCCTTCAAATACAAAAAAATGCTTTGATTTGTCATACGTACCAAGAATATGGACATTTGTCTCTGCTGTGCAGCATGTTTTAGGTCAGTAAAAGCTTCCCTTCCAAGTCCTCTGTCAGGAACGTTTAAAATGTAAGCAAACGCCAGATCATTCTTGGAGTTAACCAATATACTTAAATATGCATACAAAATTTTCTTCACCATCAATGGTAGCTACATAAAAGAGAATCCTGTTAGTTTATTCAATAATAATAATAATAATAATGGGCGGCTTCCAACAAAATATTAAAATACCATGATACATCAAACATTAAAAGCTTCCCTAAACAGGGCTGCTTCATGAAAACATAATTTAGCAAAATATTAGGACACTCATATGTAGGAAAGCAAAAATACTACACTAGCTTTCAATTTACTAATCTCCATTTTGAAAAATCAGGTAAGCAATTAAAGAAACAAATATGGATTATAATTAATATATAAAAGTACACTGGACAAAATTTTAAATTACTTTTGTTCTTTCCAGCCTGAGATCTAGACTTTCCATACTGACCACCCTGGCAATAGAGGCTATTTCATCATAGGATTGTTCATCATTCCAATCTCATTAATGACTCCAAGTAAATTTTACTGTGTCAGGCATTCTATCTCCAGAGCAAGGTTTGAGTAACTGAAAGGCAGCAGGGGTGTACAGGTAAGAAAACATGGGTAGAAATTATGATGGGATTCTGAATTTTGGAATCTTTTACCATGCTTATCTACATGTTCTGAAATGTCTTTCCACAAAATAGAATACTAGTTTTCTTCTTTCAAAGAAAGCAGAGATGCAGCTAAATTTCAATACTGTATTAGAGTCCAAGTGTGATTTCTGTACATAACCAAATACGGGTTATAATAAACACTATGATAGTTGGGATATAGGACAATACTCATACATTTTACCTCTTCATGATCCTGGTTCACTCTGCTGGTTGGTGTTGAGGGGGTAGTAAGAACTGAATGATTCTCAATGGCTAAATCTGCTGTTCCGGCAATAAATTCTAACAGTTGTGCCTTTGGGAAGCAATAAGATATTTCAGAACTGTAACTAGACACTCTACTACCATTCTTTTCAAGGAACAGGTTGTGGAGGCTGTTTCGATTCTTGAGTACACAGAACAAAGTTTGCTGCACAAATAGATAGCAAAAATCCCAAAGCAGAAAAGTGGTTGAGGAATATGGGTGCTCAAAAAGAAAACTACTGGTTAGCTTTAAACTGGTCCTTGTTGAGAATGCAGGATTAACCATTAGTGCCAGAATCTCTCAGAGTGCTCCTTTTCTCTCTGTTCACGTTCTCCACACCATCCATAATCTTATATACGACAGAAGTATCAAAGATTATGCATGTTGTGGAGAAAGTAGATAGGAATTACTTCTTCACACAGTGCATTAATTAGAAGATTGGCTTCCACATGATGTAGCAATGGCTACCAACCTGGGTGGTTTAGACAAATGCATAGAGAATAGGGCTACCATGTATACTAGTCAATGTTCTCTCTCCACTGTTAGAAGCAGTGTGCTCCTGTACACAAGTTGCCAGGAATCCTAAGTAAGAATGCAATTGCACTCACATCTTGCTTGCGGGTTTTCAGTAGGTATCTGGTTAACCACTGTGAGAACAGGATGCGGGAATAAACATTTGAACTGATTCAGCAGGGCTCTTATTATAATTTAAAGGATGTAACATGCCACTATCACATTTGTAAAACAGAGGCTTGATGGGGAGGGACCTAAAAATTGATTCCAGAATACTGGTTGGAGATTTAAAACCAAATCGCAGCTTCTGATTGGCTGCAGGAAGCTCTTGCAGCCAATCAGAAGCCACGGAATCCCCATAGGATGTTCAGGTTCCAAAAGAACATTCGCAAACTGAAACAATCACTTCTGGGTTTGCGGCGCCAAAACATCTGAGTTCCAGGGTGTTTGGGATCCAAGGTACGATTGTACAAAGAAATCTCATAACTAGAGAAGTTTCTTTATATCCCAGTAGCAGAGTCCATGAACATGGACATATGTAAGGCTGGAATGGGCTTTAATTCCTTTAGATACAAGTTTCTGGTACTGGTTTTTTTTGTTTTTTTTAAGGTGATTAAGTGAATCAGAAATGTGTAGTCATTTGATGATAGGGAAATAAAATGATAAAAAATATTCAAGAATCAAAATTACAAAAAAAAATCAAAAATCAAAACTTCTAAAGCAAGATTTCAACAGGCAGTACTTTCCTCATCACATGCTCATAATTTAAAGTACCAGAGCAGTTTGTCTTCATAATGTTTCCGATTAAAGTGACTGCATCCCTGGAATTTAATTCTGAGTTACTCTGACATGAAAGAGCATCCTTTCCATAGAGTTGTGCCAGACACATTAAGAGGGGATTATCTTATTTCATAACCACATAGCTTTTATCCTTACCAAGTTTAGCACAAAAACTGAAGTAGCTTATATGGCTAATATGTGGCTTTGGCATGGATTGCAGGATTACTCTGTAGCTAATTTAGCTTCATCTACATCACTTTCTTGGCAACATTTTATTCCATTCTTTTAAATAAGCCCACAAAAGTTACTAGCCCACAAATAATGCTTACCAATCCTCATTTACTTTGTTAGCCATTTTTGTGGCACAGCAACAGGCTGAGATAAAGCAAATTTGAGGTGTTCATTTCCCTGCTTGGTCGCCTTAAAGTCCAGCTTACTTGTCATAGGCTATGAGTAAAGTGGCTGTTTTAATTAAATAAATAAATAAAATACTTACACAGGAAACCGATTCATTTTCCAGTGCTAGTGCCCTACATTTTTGATAGACATCTATTAGATCCATCATATTGCAGCGTTTTAAAAAGCTGGCATATGCACTTGTGATGTCAGCATAGTTTTCAGGAGCTTCCATATTTTTCTGCAGTATGCCCAGTTTGTCAGGTACCAGGTAATTCCAAGTTAATAGCAGTTCACTAAGAGATGCTTCAAAATCTCCACGGTTCTGTAAGTTAATACAAGAGGGGGAAATCTGCTTACGGTACTTATTTGGAACAGGAATTGCAGGCTAATAAAATACAAACCAGTCTTACAAAGTTATATTATGCTGAAAAGCAAAAACTAATCACATAGAGCATTTAACTATCTTTATGAAAGATTTTAGGGAAAATACCCATATCAATTTCCTCCCCAAGCCTTTTAAAAATGCATTGTTGTGTCATGGTTGGATTCTAATGAGACATTATATAGGAGAAAACATCAAGATAATATATCTATGTGGACTGGTCACAGTTTCTAAGGTTTAAAGCTACATTTCAAAATCATCATGTGACTTAGAGCCATGAGACATACTTTAGACTCATCTTCCAATGGCCACTTATAGCCTTTTCTGTTTTCCTCACTCTTCCTTTCCTCAGTTTTCCTTACATTTTTCGTATTTATAGCAATGCCTTACTTCCTGGAAATATCAGGCTAGTGTGGTGCAGGACATGGGGGACCAGGGCTCAAATCCTCACTCAACTATGAAACTCACTATGAGACCTTGGGCCAGTCACTGCCCCTCAGACTAACCTACATCACCAGGTTGTTGTGGATATTAAATGAGAGGAAAAACCATGTATGCCTTTAGCTCCTTGGAGAAAAGGGTGTGTGTGTGTAACAAATGTAATAAATAAATACGTATCTTAAAGAGTTTCTAGAACCTGGTCTCCCACAGACACTGACCCTTACATTACATATTTTATTTATTAAATTTCTATTCTGCCCTTCCCCTCAAAGGAGCTCATGGTAGCAAACACAGTAATAAAACTGTACATACAATAAAATAAAAACATATTTTAAACACTTAAGAATGACTAATACCATCTAAATACATTTAAAAGGCCTGCTTACCTTCCCCATGGTGGCAGCATCATATGCCATCAAACCATTCCCTGGACAAATGATTGGTGGAGTGGATTGGCATCAGACTAAAGCTGAACTTACATCCAGTTGAAATGATTTGGACAAGCAAGTCTTTATCTATACAGTGGTACCTCGGGTTAAGTACTTAATTCGTTCCGGAGGTCCGTACTTAACCTGAAACTGTTCTTAACCTGAAGCACCACTTTAGCTAATGGGGCCTCCTGCTGTTGCTGCGCCGCCGGAGCACGATTTCTGTTCTCATCCTGAAGCAAAGTTCTTAACCTGAAGCACTATTTCTGGGTTAGCGGAGTCTGTAACTTGAAGCGTATGTAACCTGAAGCGTCTGTAACCCGAGGTACCACTGTACTACATTGATTTCAATAGGAAATAAATGTCATCTGTGTCCAGTCCACTCACCATGTTCACATGTCATGCTATGCCAGTGTTTCTCAAAGGGTGTGGCATGCCACACTAGTATGTCAGGAGAGGATGGCAATGGCAGCAGGAAGATTTGAGGACAATCATTCAGTGTAGTATAGTATCATTTTGTTATTATTATTTGCAGAATATGGATAGATATCTTTTCAAAATGAGAGGAAGAGCACCAAGCGATACTGAGGACAATCCTAGCTGTGATCCAGAATTGCTGTTTGAACAGAGTGCTTGAAAATAGCATTGGCTATTCTTCTACAGTTCTCCACAACGTACTGTTGTGAACAGGGATTTTCAACTCTGACAAATATGAAAGATTGCAAAAGAGAAAAAGGCCTTGATGAAGAGATGATAGTTTGTCTGCTTCAAATTAGACATAATATAAATGAGATTACCTGACAAAAGCAAGCTCGCGTTCAATGAGAGGTGTGAGTTTATATACATATTTATGGTACATATGTAAGAGGCTCTTCTATCATATTTTGGGAATGTTTCATGTTCTTATTTAGCTGCATTGTTTTATACTTTCCGGATGCCCCCTGATCATATTAAAAATTGTTGTTGTTGTTTAGTCATTTAGTCGTGTCCGACTCTTCGTGACCCCATGGACCAGAGCACGCCAGGTACTATTATAAAGTAGTTGTGTTCTATTTTATAAATCAAGCACTGATAGGATGTCTTTCTTATTGTTTTCCAATGTATTTCTTATCAATAAAATATTCAATGTGGTCCAAGCAAATTTTTATTCTGAAAGTGTAGTCCAGAGAAAAAAGTTTGAGACCCACTGTGGTTTAGTATTACAGTATCTGCATGAGAAGAAATGAGCCACAGTGAGACTTCCATCATGCAACCATTTAGAAAAGTTTGTAAGTTTTTTACTTTCCTTTGCTTAACTGTGGTTTTGCTGTGACTGACAAATTGTTGCTAAATTAACTATAGTTATTTTCAAATCAACCAAACTCAGATTGTTGTTTCTGAAGTTGGCTTGTTTAAACCATAGGTGGCTTAACCAGTGGGTCAGGAGGCCACACCAGGTGGATTGTGGCAATGCTGCTGCTGCCATGTTGAACTTTAGCTAAGGCTAAATCCCACCTTCCTGTAGCTATGCCTGTATTGAGGTAGCTCTACATGGAACAAAGGTACTCTGTTCACTTTCTGGTCTATATCTGTGGCATTCTAGACTTCTCCTGGAATGAAAGTATGCTGGGAACTAGAATGCAGAAGTGTTTTGCTGGGATAGTTTGGCTGCCTGGTAGTTGCCATCATAGCAGCTGATGGGGGCCCAGGAAGTGATGGCGAAAGTCTGGTGGTTGCAGCTCTTTTTTAAAAAACACTGTTTTGAAACCAGTTCTTTGAAGTGTAACTACTAGTTAAACTTCAGAATAATTCAGTCAAAATCTTTTCTCACAAGATGAAGAATTTGCAGAGCTTAACTGTGTTTATACTGGTATTGTAAAAACATTTTAAATCCAAATAAAAATGCTGTCCAGATATCAGTTTTCATGATCAGGTGCCCACCGTGACAGCATATTATTCATAGAAAGGATTGTGAGAGTTTGTGGTAGGACTCAGAAAATGTTTTGCTAGGAATAAATGCCAGCTGGCTAATTTATAAAGGAAGTTCACAAAGTTCAACACTTTAATTCTCTGATAGACAACAGGAATATTATATTTCACAAGGGTAAAGTGAAAAAAATCAAACTTTTACCAATCTTGAAGCCCTGCAGTTCTTCAAAATGTTTTTTGGAATAATCATGTACTTTCTGAACATATTACTACAGAGCTTTTTTGTTCTAAATTCCAAATTTCTAACAAAATTTCTTTACAGAAATTATTAAATATATTTTTTAAATAATTACACCGAAAATGGAAGTATGTTGCATCATGTTACTATGGAGGAATTACAAAGAAACCATTCTACCTATATGTTAGTGCAATGAAAAAATAGGTATAAAATGAGAATTCCTGGGTGCCAATTTTGGGGCAAGTACTCTTTGGTGAGAGAATCCCAGCAGAGATTTAAAATCACTAAATATGCAGCATACTAAAGCATGGAAATATAGGCTGTTAGAGCTATAAAAGATGCCCTTGTGAGTTCCAAAGCTTCCTTCTTTCCCTAACATAGAAATTTGGTAAGTTAAAAATGGTTTACTTACAAACTCTCCAAAGGTCAGTTTCATGTGCTTTTCCATACAGCATTTAGAAAAGGTTGCACAGACAGTATTATTATTAGTATTTATTAAATTTTTCTACCACCCTTGATCTATATATTTCAGTAAAACGTGGCTTAGTTGCATAGTGGTGAAAGTTTCAAAATTATTGGTACAGGAATTCAAGAGAGGCTTGTTAGAGACATGCGGCTAGGCTGGAGCAACCAACTTAGCCTCTTCACACACTGCATTCATCAGGTAGATTGAAGTGGCTTGATTAACTCCCTCCCCCAAAGTGAGCTAAACCTGGCAGAAAAGTTTAACCTCTTCGTGCATTAACTAGACTAAGCATGTTAGTAATATGAGGCTGGCTATTTGTAAGTTTGCTAACTAAAATAAAATTATTATAAAATGCATATATAAAGCCTCTGCTGAACCAGCTGCCAGAGAGATGCAACAGAGGCCCATACAGGGTACCCTCCAATCACATGATTAGCAGCAGGGCAGGCCCAGGATCCAGTGGATCCTGTGCTGGCCCAACCCCACAGAATTGCAGTTGTTTCTGAAAGCAGCTTCCATACACTAACCATTTGAGCAAGCACATTGGGGTGCTCCCTGCAGAGCCCCCACACCAGCAGAGGGGTTTGGATTGTTCTCTGTCTCTTTTAAAAGTTATGTTAATTCATCGCACAGAAACAATGCTTATTTTTGGTCTGGTTTGATAACAATGTTTGTTTGCCCTTGCAAACCACCAGAACAGCAGAGGCCAATAAAAGTTCCAACTTTTCACTAAAGATCTTTGTTAAACAAAAATATATCATATGTCAGAAAAGTGTATATATAACTATAAGCATAATGTTACAGATGCAGCTGAAAAACAAGTTCCTCACTAACCCTCCCCACTTTTTCATCTGCTTATAATTTTATGATGTAAAATCCTTTTGAGCTGAAAATTTCCATGGTCAGTCTCAGCAGAAGAAAGTGAGCTTTCCTGGAAAAGTCTGCTGAGGTACTTCATCCTTCAGCTGCTTGCACTTGGACAAAGAAGAAAAAATTGGTTCCACTGTAACCAAGTTACACAAATGCTAACCTTGCAGTAATTGTAACTTGAATTATATGTACTTCCAACTTTATTAGAAATGTAGTCCTCATTAAGATCCTAAGTCATTTAAGTAGTTAGGCATATATTTAAAGACACACACATGGATATGCTAAACTGATTCCATTCCAAAGAAAAGAAAATTAAAACATATGTTATGTTAACAGCCAAAACATTAAGCATCTAACACTTCCCAACATTCTGTTACGCTTGAGTATGACAAAGAAACAGAAGTCAGGGGCCTTATTCCTCATCCATTTGAGACAAAAAGGACCAGAAGTAGGTTTATTCCCATAACAGTGTTACCTTTTAACTTTCTCCAGTGAGAATGAATGGTTTCCAGTCAATGGCATGGGGAAGAAAAAAGAGTGTTCAGTGGAACTCATACATATAACAAAAAAGCCACATTTTCCCATTGCATCTGAAACAGCCCAATGAGAAATATAAGCAGCATTTTGAAGAGGCTAGCAAGACTCCTGCCTTCTCAAGCATCAGAAGCAGTAAAGGTATCCTTCAGCCTATCTGGGCACCTTGTGAACGAAGTATTCAAGACAGAAAATTTCCCTAACTTTGTTCACTAACCTTTTTATTGACCTCAGCAACCGATAGGTACAAAGCCATCAGCATGCAATCTACACCACACACAGTAGTCCTTTCAGATTCTGAAAATAAGCGCCATTCTTTTCGAAAACACTGAATAATAGTCAAGATCCTTTGCTGAAGGGAAGCCATGATCCTAAAATTAGAAAGTAAAATAATACTAATTTTACTTAGTTTCAGTGTTAGAAACACAGATGTATAAGCTAATCACCAAATGACAGCTTAAACCTAGGTTGAGGTTGCCAAAACTGAATGTCTAGGTGTCTTTTTGTGCAAGAAGATGTATATATACTGTATTTTTCGTCCCATAGGACGCACCGGCCCATAGGACGCACCTAGTTTTTTTTGGGGGGGGGGGGAATAAAGGGGAAAAAAATTTCCTTTATTTCCCCCCCAAAACCAGGTCAGGGAATCCAAACCAGGTCGGGGAACAGCGGTATGGCGGCGCTGCGCCTCCCTGCTGTCCCCTGAGCTTGTGGGGCTGCCCGATGTCTGCCCAAAGCGCGGGGCAGCAGGCTGCTATCCGCAGCCTAGGGAGCCCTGCGGGAACTCCCCCAGGCTCCCAAGGCTTGCTGATAGCTTCCTGAAGCTTGGAGAGCGAGAGGGGTCGGTGCGCACCGACCCCTCTCGCTCTCCAAGCTTCAGCGAAAGCCTGTCTTCGCCCCATAGGACGCACACAGATTTCCCCTTCATTTTTGGAGGGGAAAAAGTGCGTCCTATAGGGTGAAAAATACGTTAATTATTATTATCTACATTTCTATACCACTTTATATTTTAAAGAAAAAATCCCAAAGCAGTTGTAACACATTAAAATGCTAAATAAAACAATCCAGAATAAAACTAATTCAAGCTTCAATGAAAATCTTTCAGACCCTTCTCTAAGTGCTTTCCCCATACTTATTAACCTACTTAATTTATATAGCTGCTCTATAGCAGAAGTACTCAGAAGTGTGGTTTAGTGGTTAAAGTGTTGGACCAGGACTTGGGAGATCAAGGTTCAACTCCCCACTCAGTCATGAAGCTCACCAGGCGACTTTGGGCCACAGTCCCTCAACCTACCTCACAGGGTCATTGCAGGGAATAATTGAGGAGTAGGGTGAACCATGTACTCCTTGGAGGAAAAGGTGGAATATAAACGCAATAAATAAGTTGTTCTGCTTACCTGCTTAAGAAAGCTGGAGAAACCAGCCAGATGGAGATGTCAGTTGCCAACTTGGCATCCAGAGATCTCATGGTAGCAATTGGACACATGCCAGTAGCAAAATGTGCCTGGCATCTGGCTAATTTCTAACACTGCTTAGTTTAATTTTGAACTACACAGGAGGGGTAAACCTTTAAAAGAACAGGATAAACATAATATTCTCCATGACTAGGGGCATGAGAAGCAAACACATCTTAATGATATTCAATAAGGACAGAACATGGCTCAAGAATAAATGTGACCTGCAAACAACAGGGAAATATGAAAGATTATGGTAAGATGAGTTACCAAAGTGACAGTATGACAGAAAAATCCTATGTCATTTGAAGGTACATAAAAATAACCTGGGGGCCAATTCTACATTGGCTTTGTGTGCCAGATCTCCATAGGGAACTGGTGCACGCAGGAAGATTTCAAAATCTCCACGGTTCTGTAAGTTAATACAAGAGGGGGAAATCTGCTTACGGTTTTATCTCATCCCTATTTAACTGTTGAATTGTAACTATCACTCACTTCAGAAAATCACGATGATTGAAAGGCTGGTTCAAAGTAACCTGAAACGAATTCAACCGTGCGGTGTTTGACACATAAAGCTCTGGTAAAACCAGCGATGTATCACTTTTTCCCTGTGCTGGCGGGGTGGCTCGGAGCTGTACCGTTTGGATCCTTGTGAAAGAATGAGCACAAAGACAAAATTTAAAAACTTTTAAAAGCGAGGTGGGAGGAGAAAATGTCTAACCAAGCACCTGCTAAGAGTTCGAGAAAGCCTTCTTCACACATTCAACATACAGTAATATGCCTAATCCTCCCCGTGTCCCCAGTCACCGCAGCCATGCCTTTATTGGCAGCGTAGCACATTCCCTTTTTCGTAAATAATTTTTATTTGACTTTAAGAAGATATAACAAAAGCAATTTAAAAACCATATAAAGATATTACTCTGAATCTCAGGACCCCTCCCCCCCATGGGTCCTAATAACAATGTTTACAACTACTTATCAGTTCGTTGTCCTTTTTTTTTATCCATCTAAACTCTCCATATTTTTTGTTACTTTACAAGCGTAATTAAAATCCTGCTACACATTCCTATCCAGCATGGGATGTACTACTGTTAGGAGCAAGAAGAGACCAGGGCGTTGTTCGTTTCCCCCGGTCAGTTGGCAACCCTAACTTCTAGCAACGCCGTTATTAACGTCCTCCCCGCCTCACCGCTCTCCCTCTCCTCGTCCGACAGAGCTACGGCCACCTCCCTACTCACCCTGCGGTCGCGGGACAGAACCGCCACCTTTCTAAGCAGAAGCTGGGACTCAAAAGGCCGGTGGGTTGCTAAGCAACCCTCAGCACGCTCCGCCAACCGGCTGTTCGCGGCGGTTTAATTTCAAACTAGCCAATCAGCAAGCGCGGCACTCCGTGACCCGGAAGAGGTTTGTCGCGGTTGCGGGGAGAAAGCGGAAGTGCTGAGTTCTGACAAATTCTTCGCGGGAGAGTGCCGCTCAGAGAATGAGGTGCGGAAGTTTGAAATTATGGTGTTTTTTTAATGGTGGGAGATCTTATGAATATTATGCTGGATCAGGGCACGTGGGGCGGGGGGTCTTGCGGTCTAACGGCTGTTTCCAGTCTCTGAGGGGTGGGAGGGTGGAGATCTGCGGAGGTTGCATTTCGTCAGTCTTCAGGGCAGGGGAGAGGGTAGATTTAATACCTCATCCAGATAGAAACATTGTTCTTAAGGCCGGTTGAAACGTCTAGGAAAATATGTAGCACGTTTCTGCCTGCGCTGTGTGTTGCACCCCTAGGAAATGCTGGATGGGAACTACGCGTTGCTCAAGATACAGCAGCTGTAACACTGGAAGCCGTTTTGTATTTGATATGAACTAATAGGCTCTCCTTTCTATTTTATATCAAAGGTTGCTGGCATGGAATGTTTGTGCACACTTAGGAAGAACCACTTGATAAGCAACTTTCAAATATTGCAGCCAGCCTTGATTTTTCTAAAAGCCTTGCTACTACCACCTCACTCTGGATATTCTACAGCAGCCTCCCCCAGTCTGGTGCCCTTCAGTTGCTTTATGCTACAAAGCCCATCAGCCCCAGTCAGTATGGCTAGGAAACGATGGTTCCAGTCGCAACAAGAAAGCGCCAGTTTGGGGCTGGGAGAGGCTGTTGTACAGGCTGCTTCTAATTCTCTCAAAATTGGCAGTCAAACCTGCACAATTATTTTTGAGGGACAGAAGAAGAGTTGTGAAGTAACAGCAACAGGAAAAACTACATGCAAAAAAGACCCACTTCAAATAATGAACAGTAACCTGTTGTGAAAGAATGTTTAGTTTCAATAAGCACTGGCGTTAAAAATTTAAAAAGTATCATAGATCTTTCCAAATGGAAATGAGAGAAATGTTTTGATTATTTGCAAAGCCCATGGTAGAATTGTTTCATTTTCTTATACAGTGGTGCCTCGCAAGACAAATGCCTCGCAAGACGAAAAACGTGCAAGACGAAAGAGTTTTGCGTTTTTTGAGTCGTTCTGCAAGACGAATTTCCCTATGGGCTTGCTTCGCAAGACGAAACGTCTTGCGAGTTCTTGCGAGTTTGTTTCCTTTTGCTTAAAGCCGCTAAGCCGTTAATAGCCGCTAAGCCGTTAATACCCGCTAAGCCGCTAATAGCCGTGCTTCGCAAGACAAAAAAACCGCAAGACGAAGAGACTCGTGGAATGGATTAATTTCGTCTTGCGAGGCACCACTGTATTTATATCCTGCCTTTTTCCCCATCATGGAACTCAAGATGGTGTACATGTGGTTTTCAGGCTGTCACCCATCCAGGTACTGATCAGATCCCACCCAGCTTATCTACAGTTCATATACCTTTAGACCACCACCACTGTGCTTTATGCCTTGATTCTAAAGGGTGTTTAAACATTAGGACCATCTATTTCTATGAATATTCCTTCAAAGTAAAACCTTTAGGGGAGAAGATAAGATCTTCATATGCCTGAGGAATAGCATCATTTATATATAACTTGATGGTACAAAACTACATATGTATCCAAACATAGTTATCTAAAAGAAATATTTTCCCATTATGGTGCTGTTCTATTTCCTTTGCAGCACAGTAAGATATGTATTCAGAAGTGAAGCCTAGTCTACACAGTCGCTTGTTTTCCTGTAACTCTCCATCTCTTTTCCTATCTATATCCATTCTATTAAACTGTAATAGATATATAATAAATATATTGCTTCATATGAGGAATATATATATATATATTTCATAGTACCTACGGTAAATAATATTAAGTGCTTAATTTTAAAAAAGATATTGCAGCAAGAATGTATTATTACACGCTGCTTGCTATTTCATGTTGCTTGTGGAACTATTTGTATGCTTTATTTAATTCAATTCTGAAAGTTTGTAGGCTGCCCAAGGAGCATGTTTGATGGGGGGAGTAAAAGTGCCTTAACTAAAAATAGCAGAATGAGGTGGACTTTTTAGACCTCAGGTGAAGGATGACATATTTTAAATGCTATGTGCAAAAGACCTTGTGTATGTTTTAAAAACCAAAGCTAGTATATCAAAAAGGAAAGGTTTAAGCCCAGTGCACTCTTGGCTATGCTGGGCTTTTTTCACATGTGCAAAGACAAAGTTCAAAACTTTACTCATTGTCCAGTCTACTACTTCTGAATTATATTGCATTATATTCCTGTGGGTGTAGGCAATATCTATCTTCCATTGATTTCAATGCAACTTCCAAGCATTTTTTGTTAGGTTGAAGCCTCAAACTGCATTTGCTTACTTGAGCAAAAGTGTTATTAGCACAGTGGAACTTAGCTCTGAGTAAAAGCAGATAACTGACAGCCCAATTGTATTCATGTGTGCGTTTACAATTCAGTACCTTCTCCAACTGAAGAGCCTACTGTTGACTTGAATCCATTTACTGAAGATGAAGCAGGAGAATTCCCGAAGTGCATCCTATACTGTGGAGTGTGAAGATTACGTCCATGTGGTAGAATTCAACCCATTTGAGAGTGGCACTGCAGAATCACTCATTGCATATGGTGGCAATAATTATGTGGTTGTTGGGACCTGCAGGTTCCAGGTTAGTATGCTTCATAGATCTGAAGCTTATTAAGAAGGCATTGTAACTTGAAAACAAATATGGCTATTAGTTTTGAGAAGCTGAAAATGTGAATGATGCACTGGGGAAGAAAATAAGTTCTATGTATAAGTGTGCACAATAATTTTGTATCCATTGGTTGTCATCTTTTTGTCTTTATTGCCAAAGATACCTACGGTGGCATATTACATTTAAAAGGCACAGTCTTTTTTAAAAATAAATAAATAAAGAAGCATTTATTTGGTTGTTTATTTAACAATATATATTTGCAATGCAGTTTATATTTGATTAGCATTGATTTATTTCTGGGGGAAAGCCCTTCATAAAGCATTCCATAGATAACACTCACTAGTTTGGAATACTTATGAGAGAAACCTGAGGGACCTGGGAGAAGCAACATGGCTTCTTTAGGATTCCATACATGGGGATAGAATGGTATTGCTGTAACACAGTCCTATGCATGTCTGCTCAGAGGTGTGTCCCTATGCGTCTGATATACCTTACCCCCAGGTAATTATATAGAATCTGCAATACCATGTAGTCGGGCCCCAAATAAATAATTCAGGGGCCATGTTGTTTGTCAAGTCTATCATATCACAAAATATTTGAGATGTTTTATTACTTGCTCACAAGTACATTGCATGTATCTGTAGGATGAGGATACAGAAGTGGAAGGAATTCAGTATAAAACGCTAAGAGTTTTTCATCATGGGATTAGAGTTGATGTCATTGCATGGAGTCCAGAAACTAGACTTGATGCTTTATCTCCCCAAATACGGTAATGTATCCAGCTAAAATGTAAACTTTCTTGGTCATTTTTTATTGTGCTAATAACACGTCTACAGTCGTACCTTGGTTTTTGAACAGCTTAGTTCTTGAAAATTTTGGCTCCCGAATGCCGCAAACCCAGAAGTGACTGCTCCAGTTTGTGAATTACTTTTGGAAGCCGAACGTCCAACAGGGCTTCCGTGGCTTCCAATTGGCTGCAGGAGCTTCCTGCACCAATCAGGAGCCGTGCTTTGGTTTCTGAATGTTTTGGAAATTGGACAGACTTCCTGAACAGATTCTGTTCAACTTCCAAGTTACGACTGTACTCAGAAGCAAGTCTCATTGAATTATATGGAGTTTACTCCAAGGTAAGTGTGTGTAGAACTGCAGCCTTAGACAACTGATCCTGGAAAGTCAGTTAGGAATGTGATGGATAAACCTCTGTGTTTAAAAACCAATGCTACTGAATATATAAAATAAACTCTGCACTTGACTAACAAAATGTGTGCTGGAACAGGGAACGAAACAATGTGGTGATCTGTCATACAAGCAGTACTTGAGTGTCTTTTGTGAAACAATGCCCATTCACTGAAAGTCTTAAAGAAATCTGTCCAGATAAGTATTAGCATTAATCTGTAGCAACAAGACCGGTGTGGAGTGGGGGAACTCTGCCAAAGTACCTTTTGTTAAACCAAGTTTTAACAAGTTTTTGTAAGCAGCCTAATTCGTCACATGCAATAATTTGCCAGTACAGAGGGACAGAAGCAATTGGTCCCCTTATGCTATGCTGTGTGCACAGCCAACCCAGAAATAGAGCCACGTCTGCTATGTGAACGGCACTTTCTCCTGTAGCTATCCAAGGCAGAAGAAAACTCTTCATGCGTTCCATGTGGTGCTGCGTTGTGCAGCTGGGTCTGAGAGCCCTGGTCGCCAGGGTAAATTGTCATTTGCTTCTTTCCTCTGAGGCAACTCAGACTTTGGTAAGGTGTCATAGAAGTTTTTGCCTTTTCAGTTTTTGCCTGTAGCATTTTATGTTAAATCTGATTAAGTTACAATATTAAGCTGAAGAAACTTGAGTAATTGAAACTTGAGTAATTGAAAGTGTTGAATGATATTTAATTATTTGACTAGCACTACTAGCATAATAGGCATTGACTCAGATCCCTTCTTGGGTTTTGTTCCTGCTATCTTCTTAATTTTCGTAAGTGTTTGGCTATCAGCTACAAGTCACATAAATGCTATTGATTAGCTCCACACATCAATACATATAAGTTGTTCCTAACATACTAACCTACAAAATCAGGAGCGGTATTATTTTCTTTAATTGCAAGTGATTCCTGCCTGGCTGTGATCTAATGTGTATGTTCAGAGAAATATGGCATATTATTTTTCATTTTATAATGAATAATGCAAATTTACTTAGAGAAATCCATCTTTAATAACATTGCCAACTATATTTCACTTGTATGGAATGACCGAATGTATTGCTTGTCTAATTACCTTAGATTTTGTACTGCAGCTGCTGATAAGAAATTAAGGTTATTCACCTCAGATCTCCAAGAAAATAATGGATATAAGGTGAGGAGAAACAAATTATAATGATAAATGCTATTTTGTGTTCTTTATTTAACATGCCAACTTTTTAAAAGTAAATATTGTTGGAGTGGTAGTTATGAAGTTACATAAATATTGTAAACCTTAAATCATTTATTTTAACACTTTTAAAATAAGTGTGTTCTTGCAGAACAAAACCATTGTATACTACTTAAGGCAAAATTTTAATAAAATGGATAAATGTTTTTTAATTGTCTAGTAATTGTTCAGTCTAAAATAGATGCAAATAGGAACATAAAGGTAGAGCAATATATGGCATGCTAAGGAATAAGAATACCAGAAATAATATGCAGAGTGGTGCCTGAATAATTTATGGAAATAATAGCCAGGGAACTGTTTTACAAGAAGAAATTAAAATCTTGTGTCTGATAAATATTCCTATTGAAGCAGCTACTATTTTATAATTGAATATCACTTTAATCCATGATTAAGTATCACTCTACTTATCCTTCTTCAAAACAACCTCCCGTACATATCCAAATAATGTTGAGATGCTACCAGTCATAGTTGTGATAGTTTTAAAACTACAACCTACACTATTGTGATTACAATGGTTTATTAACACTCCCAGGTTGAGCTGATAGTTCAAGCTGCCAGAAAGTCTGTACTGGTGCTAGACTTGATATATTAACATTCTGATTTATAACTAATGTCAGTGGAGCTTCTTTGATGAATGATGTTAATCATGTATCTAAACTGTTTGTTTTTACCATATAATTGATGTGAGCAATGCTTATTACAGCTTGATCAGACAAGAAAGAGATTTCCATAGGTCCTTGTGTAGTAAAATAAACAGTAGTTTGAATGTCAATTGATTAAACATGTAATTGTTTGAATTGGTAACATGCTGAGACTTGCAAGACTAAATACAAAAATGTATAATGATTATTCCGAAAACACTACAAATTATAACATGCTGGTTTTGAATGCCAGTTCTGTAGTATTCCTTCATTTACATTGTTCTCCAGTAGAACTATTTTAGGTGTATGGTTAAAGAAAATGATTGTGTCATCTTATGTTCAATATTAAAACTTTGCTACCCACTTTGTAGACAAAATGGCTAATATGCAGCCAAACATGGCCCAGTTAGTTTAAAAACACCAAGGCAGCAGGTGTTCAGTCTTGTCCTGGTTCTTCTGTTTCTCTGTTTCTGGATCACTGGATCACTCCCACCAATGGAGAGGCTACAGTTGCAGCTTGTATGGGTGATCATCTGCAAGTTGTTTGAACATGTTCATGTTGAAAGCCAGCTTGGAGAAGCTGGAAACTTTGTCTGCTGGTAGTGGTAACGGAGGAATAAAGTGCCAGTTGGCTGTAAAAATATGACTATTTGGCCCTTATTTGAAAGATTATATCTGGATGAATACCGTATTTTTCGCCCCATAGGACGCACTTTTTCCCCTCCAAAAATGAAGGGGAAATCTGGGTGCATCCTATGGGGCGAATGCAGGCTTTCGCTGAAGCTTGGAGAGCGAAAGGGGTCGGTGCGGGAACTCCCGCAGGGCTCCCCATGCTGCAGATAGCAGCCTGCCGCCCTGCGCGCGGGGCGCCCTGAAGCAGAGCGCCCCTCGCGCCGGGCAGACATCAGCCAGCCCCACAAGCTCGGGGGACAGCGGGGAGGCGCAGCGCCGCCATCCCGCTGTTCCCCGACCTGGTTTTAGGGGAGAAATAAAGGAAAACATTTTTTCCTTTATTTCCCCCCCAAAAAACTAGGAGCGTCCTATGGGTCGAAAAATACAGTACTTCTCTAACTAGCTATTTCCCTATTCCCAACTTTCCTTCCTAGAAACAACTGGATTTCATTAGTATTCAGACCCCATCAATACAGCTTTTAGATAGTATGAATTTGTCATCCATGGCCACAAGGTCAATATTTGCTTAGAAATCAGCAGGGTCAGTTACACCCTTCTTGTTCTCAATTATTTTTTCTGCAGCCTTGTTGATTATGAAGTATTAGTTATACAGCTATGGGGTCTGCAATGCTTTTTTTGAGCAAATTGTCCGGGAGCAAGAACCCTCATGGGCACCTTTCCCTGAACCTGAAGAACAGTGTCTCCCACACTCTCTCACCAAGGCAACTGTGCAGGGACATCAGCAAATGGGAGGCTATGGGACACAAGAGAAGTGCCTCTATGAAGGCTAGAGGGTTGGCATTTGAGTTCTCCAAAAGGGGGCAGAGCCCAGGAGGGTGGATTGGAGGCAGGGGCTCAAAAACCTCAGCTCCAACCCTAGTTGGAGCAAATTGCTCACTAAAATTTCTCCTTGGTGTTGCAAGAATTGATCTGCCTTCCCCCTTTATCCTTGGGACTATAATAGGACAGTGGTCATCTTCCTGTCATGCCCTTCTCTGTGGCATCCTATAAAGGTCTGCTTTGCTCCAACCCCACTTTTAGTGAGTGTCTGGGGTTGCTAGGTGAGGTTTTGTGCAGGTATGGTGTTAGGTTCCATTGATATGCTCATTTCACGAGGCTGCAGTTAGTGGCTGCTAGGCTGTCATGTTTTGAACTAGCTATCTCCTAAAACAGATAGGTCTCTGAGAGCCTTATTGTTATCCACACACAATTAAAGATAGTTGTTTTATGCTGCAATGCTCTAAATTGCTTGGGTCCAACACAAGCCATTTCTTTTGTCCCCTGTATCCTTCCCTGACAGATAATAATTAAGATCTTCACTTTACATTTGCTTGCTTGTACCAGTTGTTCTTTAACTTGCTTTGTTTAATTTATAACAAAAAATATTTCCACTTTCTATCAACAGACTTTGGAGGGCCACTCAGATTACATTAATGATGTGGTATTTTCACCTAAAGAAGGTCAGGAAATTGCAAGCGTGAGTGATGACCACACTTGCAGGTATGTATTCTTCTAAACACATGAATTTAACTCTCTCTACATATTTTGAATTAAAACTAGAACATTGGTCACTGAAGCAATTCTCTAAGTATGAACTACGTAATTTCTAAAAGGGCTGATATTCCACGCAGTACAGTTTTTCAGAAGATTGCATATAAAAACTGACTAAACTTATTTTATTCCCTGTGTACTGCTTTAAAAAATACTGTGTGTTTGTACTTCCCTGCAAATTACTTAAAAAAAAAAAAACTGGCTCACTTTGCTAAATATGGAAAGGAAAAACTTGTAATTGCAGGATTTCAAGCCGTTTTATGAAATTTTTTAAAAAAATAATTCATAGAATACATGCAGGTCCTGCTTTACTGATGCAATGCAATCCCTGGAAATTGTTCTTTAGGTGAGCGTTTGCATAAAAAGTCCGCAATTGCCATTGTTTCCTTTGGAAACATTTCTCATAGAAATTTCTGAGGCGGAATTTGTCCACTGTCTTTCCCCCCTTTCCATGATTTCTTCCTGAAATGGCTGCTGACAGGGTGGGGGGCGGGATGGACCAAGGAAGTAAGGAAGCTGGAATAAGTGAACCTGCAGAGCATATAGCAAAGTTTGGGCATAAGTCTTTAAGTGCAGATAAGCAAGCATGTGGAGAGCGAGATCTGCATAAAATATTTGTTGAGAGGAGTGGGACTTGGAAGTTTATACAGTTTTATGAATCATATAATTTACTACTCACTTGTTCTTGTGTCCATCCAGCATTTGTTTTCTACACACACACACACACACACACACACACACACACAAGCCTTTTACTTTAACTCATAGGATGATGTCCAACATTGTACGAGCAAGCTTCTTCTTATGCAGTGGGACTTACCTTCTCATCCCTCTCCCCAAATCTGCTCCAGAGTGCCCCCAATTTGGAACTGCAGGGACTGTGTAAAGAGGGAGGGAAAGCCCCATTCACTAGTGGAAGTGTGTTCTACAGGCAAGTGGCCACAGTTGATTTTCACTCATGATGTAGAATGAAACTAGATTTTTAAGTACAGTGGTACCTCTGGTTACGTACTTAATTCATTCCGGAGGTCCGTTCTTAACCTGTAACTGTTCTTAACCTGAAGCACCACTTTAGCTAATAGGGCCTCCCTCTGCTGCCGCCGCACGATTTCTGTTCTTATCCTGAAGCAAAGTTCTTAACCAAAGGTACTATTTCTGGGTTAGCGGAGTCTGTAAGTAACCTGAAGCGTCTGTAACCTGAAGCGTCTATATAGTGAAGTTAACAACAACTACATAGGCTTCAAACTCTCTCCCTTGAAGAGGGCCTGCTCTACACAAACTGAAGCAATGTATTTGGTTAGTACTGCTGTCTAGTAGTTGCTGAGCATGAATACATTCCCCATCACTCGTTGTAGCACTTTCCTCCAAGTCATAATTTCCATGTGGTAGGAAAATGTTGTAGTTCTAGTACGTTCCTGCATGACTGCTGCTTTTTGTTCAGGGTTTTATTTTATTTTAATTTTTTGCCGCTCCCCATTTTTCTTTGCTGGCCTGTTTGTTATTTGGACAGTTAGGATGGATACATGCTGTAAGAACTGAAAGAAGAGCTATACCCAAGGGTATTCTAGGCCGCTTTCCCCCTTTGCTCCTCTCATCACAGCCTCTGCCAAAACATGTTGTTCTGGGAGTCATCCTGCACATTCAAAAACCGTTTCAGCCCTTTGGCAGTGGTTGTGCAGTGTTTTTTGTCTTTTATTCTCAGCGGTCTTCCCTTCCTTCACCCCCCCTTTACCCCTCATTTTGCAGTACTTCAGCAGTAAGACCAGGCTAAATTATTTTTCAAAATAGCTTAAGAAATGTAGCTTGCCTTATCCTAAAATATGCTCAGGCTATATAAACACATGGAGTGTACCAGCTGTTTTGGCAGTGTGATGTTAAGAGGCCAAGATACTGCCCTAGTGTTGATTAGAATGTTAACTTTAGTATTGGAATGCTAGTTTTGTTTGCAAATAGAGCATTTAACATTTTAGTTGTATGTTTTTAATAGAAAAGTAATTATTTAACTTTTACCTGTGGTAGAAAAATCACCCGGAATATATAAACGCTTTGTTTTCCAATTGTAAATAAATCTTTTCTCTCTCTCTAAAGACATGAACTTACAATGTTCACCAATTTAGCTGTTATGTACTGTAATGCTTTACTAGGGAATATTTGGACTTGGATTAAAGATTGTGACATAAGGAGAATATTTGCTGATCCTTGGATTCTAGGGTTTCTGCCCACTTTTTGTTGTATTCAAATGTGTCCTACAGATGTGATCCATTCCCCCCCTCCCCAGTTTAGCACTTAATCATTACAAAGAACCGGACAATATGCAAGTTTGTGACTTGCTACAGTATCTAGGCATCTCAGAAGCAGAGTAAATTTCTGAAACAAAAGTATTACCTGATCCCTTATAACTTAGTTGTTAGCATTAATCATAATATATGCTCACTTTGCATAATTGTTCTGCTGTGAAACATTTTGTAACAAATGCCAAGTATTTTCTGCTTGTCATTTTTTATTACTGTGCCCAGGAAAGGCCTATTGCTAGACTGTAAATTCTTTAGAAATGAAATCATTGTCTTTAAAAGAAAAAAAGAAAAAGAGATCATAGAAATTTTAAGGTCACTGTAGAGAATCAAGTTCAGGTTGTAAGGATAATCAGGCTTGCAGTATGAGATAAGGATAAAAGTACTTTCAGCATTTTTTCACATGTGGCATTTCACTCGCCTCCCAAAGATTACATATTGGTTCTTCACTTTTCTTTAGACGCTTGCTGTATGTAAGTTAAAACAATATAGCAACCTTGCAAAGAAGTACAAAAAAATTACTATCCCAAAAAAAGTTTTACTTGCCCACCTGTGCAAAAATTAGCTATGTTAGAGCAGTTGTTATAACGTCTAAGCCAGCTCTCCCCAACCTGATACTTTCCAGGTATTATTGGACTGCAACTTTAAAGTCCCAGTTAGCCAATGGTCAGGGATAATGGGAGTTATAGTCCAACAATATCTGGATGGCACTAGATTGGGGAAGCTTGGTCTATGGAGTGGGTTTCTTGCATCCTTAGTGGCCACTGCCAGTGGGAGGAGCTGCAGGCTCTCCAGCTACCTGTGTGAGGAGAACCTCTGTCTCTTGGTCAGAAAACATTTGGCACTACCTGGCCCTGGTTGGCAAATAACACCCTCCAAGGGGTTTATTTCTGTTTCAGACCTTTTAAAGACCAGCAGGCAGCTAAGGACTAGGGAGAAGACCTTTTGTACCCCTAGCACTTAATCAACACTGCACTGTGGTTTGGGGTTTTTTTATGTAAGTTTTTGTGTGTGTTGATTTTATCTTAGTTGCCATGGAGAACAGATATAATAGCTATTTTGTGGGCTGAAGCTGAAAAAATGCCCCTACTTTTAAAAGCTTCCCTGTCTGGCCATCTGGAGGCCAAGTCTTACTTGCCACAGGCAACCAGGTGAGTGCCTATAAACAAGTTGGTGAGAGAATTGCCAGTTACTTCTTCAGCACTTGAATAGTCAGTGCCTTGCGTTGTGAAGTGTGCAGTTTAAATGCAAACTTTCAGTTCTCCCATGCAACCCTGACATCCTTTTATAAGGTTCCTTCTGATATGGAGACCTGAATGCACTCCAGAATTTTGCATTCCCAGGGTTAACAAGGACAGCCAAGATAAAGAAAAGATACAGTTTATTGTAGCAAAAATGGAATTAGCATATTCATTGAAGATATTAAACAGACTCTGTGAATAGCACTCTAGCAACAGACTACATTTAAAGGAGTTTAAAATTACTACAATAGTTCTAAATAATTAAAATGGTTTAAAAGGCATCTTTTTAAAAGTATGCATGAAAATTCATAGAAAAGCTAGGATGTAGTAAAATTGATCAGAGAAACAGGATGGGAAAGATGTTGCCTGGAGCAAAGAGAAGAGAAGCTTGTCTGAAGGGAGAGATGAGATGAATGATGACTAGAACAACTTGCTGTAGAAAGAGAAGAGGTGAAGAAGGAGGTTTGAACTGTGATTTTGTGAGGCTTTGGGAAAGGTTTTAGGAAGAAAGCAAGTGAGATACTTTGGGGCAATGGCTGAGAGTATAAGTTCTGTTTTTGCAGTGGGTGACTATGGGCAGCGAGTAACAGAGAATACGAAATTCTGGGGTGAGACACCCAAAGCATAGCAAGGGAAGGAAGAGGAGGTTTCCCAAGAAACAGGGATTTGATAGGTGAAGGGGAGAGAATGTAAGGGTTTGGGCATATGATAGACTGGCCTGTGAAGTGGTGGTGGGGGGAGTAGTACCTTTCCTTATTTCTGTGGCGCTGGTGTTGAGTACGGTGGAGGAGATGGTACCTCTTCAGCAACAGAAAGGGGATGAGAAAAAGAGAAATGGGTGGGGGAGTAAACAGGAGACCTATGCAGGAAAATGAGTTCTCTGGTATCCAAAGTGATATGGGAGGATGGCAGAGATTTACAGTAAAGGAGACAGCAATCAGTGCATCTAGCAGGTGATACAACTCATCTTTCTTGACTGTGCCCTGCCTAAGTTACTCTCCAGGCCAGAACAGTACTTCTGTGAAACAGAGCCTGGGATCAAGAGATGATCATCTGTGCATGTACATGGACATTTTTCTCTGGCAGCTCTTGGGGTGATATTTTAGAGGACACCCCCCCCCCAGTCTTCAAGGGGATGCTGTTCAGAGGGCAGCTGCTGTATTCGGGGGGGGGAGGACAACATGTTTGTGGAGGACACATTGGGTTGTATCCAACAAAGTTATACTCTGAGTAGTTAGCCATGCCCATTTATTTCAGTGAGGGCTATTCTGAGTAGGGCTAGTGTTGAAAGTAGCCCTTTATGTGGTGCTTTTGCTCCAGGCCAATATAAAATATGATAGGGAAGTTCCAAATGTATTTACTTAGAAAAAGAGCCTCTTGAAATCACTGGGAATTACTTGCATAGATAGGTAATATTAAGCACAGGAAGTCCTGACAATCTAAAACCTGTACTTAAGCTTTCTTCCCAGGTTAGTAATAATTTAGCAGTTTTCAAATAGAGCTTTCCAAATATGCATTACATGTGCCTCTGAATCAAGCCATCTCCCAAACGCAGTCAAAATGCCTGCAAAGAAACATCTGTTAAGGATGGTCCATATAATATGAATTATGACTTCTTTTGATTTAACAAGAAGGGAGGAAGGAGGGATTGTCGTCATAATTTGTGGTTGCCTGGAAATCTGAACTAAACACTATGAAGAAAGTATATTCCAGTTTATAAAAATTCTCCAAAACTAAAACTTGGATGTGCATGAAAATGTTGACTAAATGCCTGAACTAAAACGTTCTATTTGCATAGTTTTATGCTTCCTTTGGTACAAACCTCTGCCCAGTATTTTTTTTATTACTGCTTTGATTTTTCTTAATAATTTGTTTTTTCTTTTCCCTATGGATTCTGCGGCCTTTCAGTGATTGAACAATTGTTTTTAATGTTGCCTGCCTCTTATCAGCCTGCCTTCCATCAAGAACTCTGTGCTTAGGTGGACTGTAGAGGGGGAAACAAAGGAGAGCAAATTATAATTTTTATTGTTTAGCATCTGCAGTCAGTTTGTTGTAGCAACTAACATTGCAGTCCTATTTGCTCCTGATCTGAATTTTACCTGTTTTTTGTGCAGTTAAAATGGAGAAAATGGCAGGATGTTTCATTGTTAACAAACATGCCATATCTCAACTTTGAACTATCCTAATTTATTCAAAATTAAGTGCTCCTTGAATATATCACAGAAAATCTACATATGAAAAATTTATTTTTAGTTTATTTATTTATTTATAAAATATTTATATACTGCTGTATCATAAAAATGTATCACAGCTGTTGGCAACAATATAAACACATAAAACCAGACGATCATATAAAGTTAAAAACAAGAGCAAAAAGAAACAAACCTCAATAGTCCATTGTGGGGTGTACTCTTAATTGCCTGCATAGACCTGGTGGAATAGAATTTTTTTTAGCAAGGGTTTAAAAGCTGGCACAGAAGGTGCCTGCTGAATATCTATTGGCAGGGTGTTCCACAGGACCGGGCCAATGATACTAAAGGTTCAATTTCTCATTGTTGTCAAATTAGCCTCACCAACTCAGGGAACAACCAAAAATGCTCCTGCAGATGATCTTAGTGATTGAGCTGGAGTATAAGGGTTCAGGCGATCCCTGAGGTATCCTGGATCCAAGTTGTTCAGGGCTTTGTAAATCAATAGAAGAACCTTCAACTTGGCTCGGTAGCAGATGGGCAGCCAGCACAGCTGTTCTAACAATGGTGTCACATGTTCTTGACCAAATGCTCCCATCAGCAATCTGGCTGCAGCATTCTGTACCAGCTGGAGCTTTCAAACCAGACCCAAAGCAGACCCACACAGAGCACATTACAGTAATTTAGCCTTGAGGTTACCAATGCATGGACTACAGTGGACAGGTTATCCCTGTCCAGGAACAGTAGTAGTTGACAAACCAGACAAAGGTGAAAGGCATTCATAGCCACAGAGGACACTTGGTATCCAGGACTACCCCCAAACTACACATTTGCTCCTTCAAAGGAAGTGCAGCCCCATCCATAACATGTAACTTGCTAGTTTCCTGAACATGGGAACCACCCATCCGAAAAGCCTTTGTCTTCCCAGGATTCAAACACAGTTTATTGTCCCTCATCCAGTCCACCAGTGCAAGCAGACATTGGTCCAGAGCTTTCACAGGCTCTCTTGATTCAGATGTTATGGAGAAGTAGAACTACATGTCATCGGCATACTGGTGACACCTCACTCCAAAACTCCTAATGACTGCACCCAGTGGCTTCCGATGATTAATTGGTCTCTCCTGGGAATGCTTCAGTTGTTGTGCAACCACCCTCTCCACCACCTTTGCCAAGAAAGGAGTGTTGGGTACCGGTTGGGCTTTTTGAGTAGTGGATGCAGTGGGCACCACTCCATCACACAATGATGCATTTACCATACCTAATAAGCCAGGGTGGACAAGGATCTAATGAGCAGGTGGTCGGGTGCATCACTGGCACTATCTTGTCCACATCCTCAAGCCTCATCAACCGGAAATGGTCCCACAACACCAAGCTCGATGTTGCATTGGACGCCTCGGTTTATACTGTCTCAGTTGTTGTTTAGTCATTTAGTCGTGTCTGACTCTTCGTGACCCCATGGACCAGAGCACGCCAGGCACTCCTGTTTTCCACTGCCTCCCGCAGTTTGGTCAAACTCATGTTCGTAGCTTCAAGAACACTGTCCAACCATCTCGTCTTCTGTCGTCCCCTTCTCCTTGTGCCCTCAATCTTTCCCAACATCTGGGTCTGCTAGCGTCTCAGTAGCAGCATCTAAATCACAGCGGAGCCAAGCAACTTTATCCTCAAAGTGTTTAGCCATCCAGTTACAGTGAGTTCCCATGTGTTCCAGAGGTCTGCCCCCCTGGTCAGGAGCAACCTCTGGACCACGTGGAACAGCTCCGCCAGACAGCTCCTCAAGAATGCAGTGGAGGCAACAGAGTAGGATCTTTTTGCTGCCCTCATCACCACATCGAAGGCCCAGTTGTGAGCCTGAACACATGGTCAGGTGGCTCCAACTTCTGGTCCATCCCTCTCCCAGCCTGGCAGCGCTTTGCATCCCCTTTGGAGTTCCCCTCTTCCTTTGAGTTGATCTTTCTGAGACCAACTACCAAGGACTTCATAGTGGAACTGTGGTTCAATATGGAACTTCCCAGTTCTTCAGCTCATACTGTGTCAGCTTTCATGTGACTGCACGTGCATCTACAGTGGTACCTCAGGTTAAGTACTTAATTCGTTCCAGAGGTCCGTACTTAACCTGAAACTGTTCTTAACCTGAAGCACCACTTTAGTTAATGGGGCCTCCTGCTGCTGCCGCACCACCAGAGCACGATTTCTGTTCTCATCCTGAAGCAAAGTTCTTAACCTGAAGCACTATTTCTGGGTTAGTGGAGTCTGTAACCTGAAGCGTATGTAACCTGGAGCGTATGTAACCCGAGGTACCACTGTATTAGGTTTATATGTGCTTTTCTTTTTTTTCTGGCATAGGGATCTGGTCATCTACAAAATGTGCAGTATCTGAAGGGGCTCCAGTAGGACTATATTGTAGTTGGGGAGGTGGTAAAGGTTGTTGAGCATATTTTGCTCTTGGAGGATGTTCTGTTACTGAACATGATCTTTATACATCCACAAAACATAAAGCAGATACAGGCCTGACACTAAAGCATAAATCAGAAAAATATTGCTGCCTGCACCTCAACTCCTTTGCCTTTGGGAAAGGGACATGATGTTCCCTGGCCAAAATGATTCACCATCTTGAATTGTACTACGCTCCTCTTCCCTGCATAGTAAACACATCCAGAAAGTGTTGATTTGACTTGGAAAGACCTACAAGGCAAAACCTTTGGCAGCAGAAGAAAGGGCTTTGTCTGTAAATTACCTAATCAAGTAGATATTCTTTGTTTTCACAAAATGTGGAGTTTTTAAAAATAAGGATGCTGATCTTTCCAAATTTGGAGGCCCTAGGATTTTTGCAGGGAAAACAAATATTTGATCTGTTGAGGTTTGGCACAGAAAGGCTCGCACTGTTAATTAATTGTATTTATTTTATTTCACATCTATTTTGTCTAGACTTGACTAGACATTTTACTAAAGAGTGTGTTCCGATGCTAATATAAACTTTTCACAGCCCTGGTGAGAAATGAACTCAAAAGATCTCTAAGCAAAACTTAACTTATAAAATATTTTGCTATTTGGTATCTTTTAAAGGAAAGTTAAACTGAACATTTTCACTTAAACATTTACGAACAAGAATACTTAACACCATGGTAAAATTACACAATTAAGTCAAGTGAAAATCTATATTTGATATCATTTTTATATATTGAATGTGGGAGGATTATCCAATTGGTCATAGTCCTATTTTTCCAGTAATCAAAGTTATCATATTAAAAAAAAATGGTTATAGTTAAGGCATACTTTGCAGACACCCCACAGCAGCCTTCCCTAATCAGGAGCATGACTGTGCTTGCTAGGACTGATGGGAGTTGTAGTCCAAAAATTTTGGAGGCCACCAGTTTGCAGAAGACAGCCTTCTTTGAACAGCTTCCTGTTGCATAAATTTGTGAATTGAAGAGCCTGCAAATGCGAGGGAGATAAATGGCAGGGCATCTGCCTACAGTGTCTTCTGTTTTACATTGGGGAGCACACACACCCTGCCCCCATTTGGGGAAGTGAAACAAAGAGGGTAAAGCATAAGCTCTTTATAACCTGCAGGGGTATAAAACATGGCAGAAGAAATAGGAAGGAAATGGGTACATTATAGGGTTATTCAAAGACTCCCCTTGACATATACAGCAGGCCACTTTGCAAAGTGTTACTGAAGCCACCTCCAAGTTTTAACAGAAATCTTACAAAGGAAAATGCTTAAAAAGGAAAAGGACATGTAATCTCCTGCTACCCCTCCCTCAGTTCCATAGCCTTTATTAAATAGAGTATTTGGTGTGTTGGTTTGGAATTTTCTCTTCTAAAAGATTATCTTGTAGGATTTATTTTCTCTCCTACAACTCCCACCCTACATCTTGAAATTGCGGATATAAATGAATCTTTTTGGCTAAAGTATGGGTTGTATTTTATTATTATCCCTTTGTTATATAGTGATGTACTTTACTGTAAAGTTCATTTATAGATTTATTGTAGCTTTTTTATTGTTGGATTGTTTTCACATTTGGTTGTCTTGATGCTGTATTTGTTCATGTCCGATGTGAACCCCTTTGAACTTCCTTCTGAAGGCAACAAAAGAGTTACAAATAGGTGGCATGATCTCTGTCTTAGAGAAATAATAAATACCTACGGTGTAGTTTTTCCTAAAATCTCTCCTATAGGATATCCACCACCTCTCCATATATGTTTTCTCCATCTATTCAATTTAAATGTTAATTGACTAGCATATCCTGTCTTCTGCCAGCTGAATTTAAGGTCAAAAACAACACAGTTCTTCCCTGTTGTAACAACTTTAATGAGGTGGTTGTTCTAAACTGGGCATGGTATGAAACCTTTTTTTAGAACTCGACTGTTCTTTGGTTTTTTAGGGTCTGGGACCTGGAAGGAAACTTGACCACTGACTTTGTTCTACGTTCTCCTGGAGTGAGTGTGGGCTGGCATCCTGAAGATGCCTTCAAGGTCAGTGTGGAACAGGCAATTTTTCCTTTGTGAAGCACCTTTGATTTACCGGTAGTTGGTCATAGGTCACAAAACTGAAGCTTATCTGAATTCAATCGTTTTTTGAACAATCAAAAATGCCATCTCCAAAGCCAACATGAGATAACTCATTCCTATCCCCCAGCAACATGAAAGTATTCACAGACTTATGAATCAGCATCTTTTAAGCACTGCAGCAGGCTGAGGTCTGTGTCATGGCACAACAGAATGAACTGAATTGTCCTGGTACCTGATCCTACAAAAGAAGTTCAAGCTCTACAGATAGTTTAACCACCCATGAGTTCTTCAAAATAATATATTTAAAGTAGGGCAGGGGTTCATGAAGTGTAGACAAAATTAGAGATCAACCTGGCCTATCTGTCCCCAAGTTCAGGACTGGGGAGAGGGGGCAGGTCTTCATCCAGAGATATCTGGATAGTACCAAGGCATGGAGCAAGCCAAAGATGTGACCTCTTGTTTTGGGGAAAGGTGGGTCCGTCATTTACTTAAGTTTTACACCTTGGAAATTGAGTCCCTAAAAGGGCAGTGTGAACAAGTTAGGCTTTGTAAAATATAAATCCCTTAGCTGATATTGTAATATTTATTACAGGGATTCAGATTTAATTAGGTTTGGGAAGTAAAAATTTAAGGTTTGCTGTTCAAAAGTTATTGTAACTTCATTTTACTTTTCTTTTAGTTAATGGTTGCAGAGAAGAACGGAACAATACGATTCTATGATCTCGTCACCCACCAAGCTATTTTGTCTCTCACAACTGATCAAACACCACTGATGTCAGCAAACTGGTGTTTAAAAAATACTTTTAAAGTTGGAGCAGTTGCTGGAAATGACTGGTTTATCTGGGACATTACTCGATCTAGGTATTTTTATCAATAGCTTTGCTCTTTTTTCTATTTCTGTAACCTGTTCTTAAACTTTTACATTCATATAAACATAGGGGGTAACTATGTCAAAGATGAATGATCAATTCCTTTTCTGGGGTTTTTATAACTGTCCTGTAAACTGAAGTGTGGGTATCACTTAGAAATTGTTCTGTTTTCTTTTACAGTTATCCTTTGGATAAGAGACCTGTCCATGCAGATAGAGCTCGGTTATTCAGGTATTTTGTCCTAACCTGCATCTGCTGAAGTGGGCTCTATGAATTTTTTTGTTAGCATTGTTTGTTTTTGTCCTACATGTAGTATTTACTTTTCAGAAATACTATGCAGCTTCTCTTTTTGTAAGTATACCATGAATTAATTGTTAATATTTGCCCTGGTCTATTAAGTCTCTTGAAGAATAAGACTGTAACAAGAGAACGAGTAAGTAAAGGGAGAACTGCGACACAACTTAAAAATATTTTTAACAAAACCATTGCCTTCTAAATAATCATTTAAACATTTTTTTTTTGGGGGGGGAGAGAAGAGTCTTTGAGGTAATAGATAATAGTAAAAACCCTAATTGAGAAGCAGCTTATAGCAACCAGGTAAAAACGAGGTGGGGAGGGGGAGAAAATTATTTTTAAACAAGCAATATACTATCGCTTTTTTCCATATATATCTGATAGTGCTACAGATCAATTTGATTTCTCACTTTGTGAGACAGAAATACATATAAAGTATTTGCTGCCTGCATGATTGGTTGTAGGTAACGTTTATACTTATAAATGCAGAAAAAAAGATATTTGTGTATACATGTGTAAATACATATATACACATTCTCTCTGACTGGGAATCACCCAGTCAAATTTAAACATTCTCTTGAGTCTCAAGTGCTTAACTCTCATTGAAATCTATTAGATTCAAGGGTGCTAACTTTGACTGTATTACAACCTGTGTATTTAGTATACTCTATTTTAATATTTCTTTTAAGAACATTTGTGGTTTGGGCTTCTGTATATAGGTGGTCCCGAGTCAATGAAAACTTGTTTGCTACAACTGGATATCCAGGCAAAATGACCAGCCAGCTTCTAGTCCATCATTTGGGACATCCTCAGGTAAAGTTCATGCAAATATAACATGCAGAATAGTATTCTTACCTCCCCCCTCATAACAAAAATATAAAATGGGCTCTAAGAACTTAGCACGATTGCAAGGCAGATAAGACACAGTCCAGTGTGGAGGTTTTTGTTCTTTCGTCTTGTGTCTCAAAATGAATATAAATGGACTCAGTGTACTTTGAAACAACCTTATCAGAACATCTTGAGGAACACTGTCTGCAACTGTAGTGTCCAGAATAAAGGGGATGAAAAGCTCATAGGCTGTGATCCAATGTGCTACTTTAGATGTGATCAAGGGTTTAGGCAAGCCCAAGGGATTTTTTTACTTTCTCCTTTTAAACAGCAAACCCACCTGCCATATTGCAAACTGTTTTTGTTTTGTTTTTTTAAATTGCCTCATTTTCAAAAACAGTTTGCCAGATTGCATGGAGGCCTGCTGTTCAAGAAGCAGGCACATCAGAACGAAATCTGGATTCCATTGGCTTCACAGTGTAATAGCTAGTTAGAAGTTTTGTGACACTGTGATTGACTCTTTTTGAAATGATACCTCCACTCCTGAGGCTTCATCTAATTTCCATTGTCTGTACAAGTTAAACTGGCTATAAAACTGAACTTTAGAGAAGAATGTCCATTAATATACTGGAAAAAAACTTTTTTAATTGCCTGAATATTTGCAGTCAAGCTCTCGACTTTCTGTCTCGGAAAGGAATGCAAGGATGAAGGGACTCATGCACACATATGTATTTTGCACATCATATGTTACATACACATGGCTGAGCATGCATAAAGGCAGTTCCAATGTCCTGTTTGCAGGACTTCAAGCAGGCAAATTTTGAACCAGTTACTGAAATCAATGAGATGATAGCTTGTGAAGAGCAAAATGTGTCCCAAGTTTAACTGAATTTAAGGCAGGTAGTATAGGTTCTTATTTTATTATGTTTAAATGTATATTATTTAAATTGAATTGAAGAGTTTACATCATATTCACCCATCAATGGCGCTAAAAGGCCAGCAGGTAAAAGGAGCAGATTCCAGATTAAAAAGCAAAACTTGAAACCTGGGGGTATAAAAAAAAACTCTGCCTCCAGTACTGAAAAGACAACAAAGGGTGTGCCCAGGCAAGCCACTCCTTTGTTTTAATTTTTTTATCCATGGTTTATTAGGGTTTGCACATTATTACATTATTGGTTCAAGATGCTTCAGAGAGCCACCTTGCACCTGGACAAGCCCAGCTTCTCTCCAAAGCAGCCTGCTTTAACCTGAGATTCTCCTGAATCTAATATACACCCTAACACAGACTATAAATTTGGAGAGCGAGTGGGTCTTGGTAGTTCTTGGGTAAGAACTTTGAAATAGTTCCATCTACGCTTGAGCTGGCACAACAGATTTTTGTGAAGGGGTAGTAACAGGACCAGACTGAAGCAGTTGCTTCAGATTGCAGGTACTATAGATGCAGTGCCAGACTTGTAGAAAGCTATTGGGGGGGGGGGGCGGACACTCCCAATTTATTTAAAAGGGCTTGGGGCTGGAGACATTTCCAGTGGCTTTTGGCTCTTATAACCCTTTCTTTAAGTCATTCTCTTCTGGCTTCTTGCTGCAAGTTTACAAGCAAGTTCCCCTGAGATATATGAAAACAATTTGGAAGGCGAATGCAGGAGGTGATTGCCGGGTCATAGCATTGCAGCTGAAGAGTTCTTTAGAAATGATTTTAAAATTTATGTCTTGTTGTGCTCTAGATGTAAGATATCTAATCTCCCTCTCTCTCTCTCTTTCCAGCCCATTCTTATCGGTTCTGCACCTGTAGGATCTGGCTTAACATGGCATAGAACACTTCCATTATGTGCAGTGGGTGGAGATCATAAACTTTTTTTCTGGATGACAGAAATGTAACCATTTATATAAAATCTGGGATTTTAACGTGAAGATATTAAATTAAACATATTTTATATCGCTGTTTACTTGCCAAATGATAGAGATATACCAAATGACTACATACAAGGAACGAAGAATCTTTGCTGTACTTTTTCTTTTCAAGGCTACAGATGCAACCAGCTCCATCAAAGCAGGGTTTTTTTGTTGGGGAGGGGAGTTTGTAATAAAATATTATTGTCTCTCTTGAGCAAGATGTATTGTTTCTTCACCTTGAAGACAGGCTAGCTAAAATGTTAAAATTAAAGTTATGCATTTGGTCTTGGTGGGGACCTTCCGTGCAAATCTTGTAGAAATACAGGGAAACATTTTCTTGTTCAGTTCTCATTTATTCAGTAGGGTGCACATGAGAAACATTCCAGATATTAAGGTACTATTAACTTGGCACATAATACGGTTATAATTCAGATATTTATATTCTCGCTAGAGAACCAGACCAGTATACTAGATAGGGTGCTCTGTTTGAAATGGAAAGGTCCTGGTTCAAATCCATGCTCAGACATGCACTCAATGGGCAGGTAAGTTTTTCTCAGTCTGGCTTAAGTAATTAAGTATTGTGGGAAGTGGAAGAGAGCAAATAGAATAACCCTCCTTGGGTGTAGAATACAGTTGTGATAAATAAGTAAAATTGTATGTAAAGACTAGCTAAAAATACGGTAATCTCTTTTTTTACCTGTGGTCAAACCTGTTCATCAACTGATTTGCCTCTAGGTGCCTTAGGTATGCTGGATGATGGGTGTGATGTGCCTGCCACCCCCCATCAAATTGCCTTAACCTTTTGCCAGCTCCATCTAATCGCATCTGTCTACCAGTGGGTAAACCAGTCTACTTCACACGTAAGGGAGGGGGAACAAATTGCTAATATTTTAAATGAAGTTCAAAGGTAATCTTAGAATTGTTTAATGAGACAATAGAACCTAGATTTCAATCATGGAAGGAAAAAAATAAAGTCAGTTTTTGAAAGAGAAAAAGCTGCATGGATGGAAGCTTGTGACAAAACAAAGGACTTTTGCCAAAGAACTAGTAACTTCTCTTCAACAGTTAAAGGGGGAGATCTGAGAATTGATAGCCATTAGAACAACAAACCACTAACCAGGATTGTGATGGGGATGCCTCTTATTACTAATTGAAAAGCATCCGAGGAGATGGGAGGGCAGATACCACAGAGGGGACTGACAGAAGGGCAGAGGGGCATAGCTCTGTTTCCATTCTAGAAAAAGAGGGAGCCTCCTATTTTGCTTAGCACAGAGTTGCATGTCCACAATAAAAATGTGTTAGCTACATCAATGTGGTGATTAAAAATTAAACTAGATTTTGTTAACCTTGGAATGGCATTTTCCAAGCTATTTTGTTCCTAAATACTAGATTCATTGGTGGGGCTTCCATTTTTAAAACAGCTGCCTTTCTTTATGGGGGGAGGGGGAAGAATTTGTATGACGCTAATGATGGAAGGAATGAGGGCTCATGACATGTTTATGTATCCCTTTGCAATGGTGCAGCAGTAAAACTGCTAGCACATTGGCAAAGCTAAGCAGGGTCCAGTATGGCTTCAAACTGGAGGACCACATGTTAAGATTGCTGGGGGTTGGACTAGATGATCCTCAAGATAATCTTCTACAAATCTATTATTTGCCTCTTGAAAAACATACCTGCAAGCTCAAATACAAAGACTGAACTCATTGTGGGATCCCAAAAATATGTGAAACGGTGTAGTGGGACACTTTGTGTCTTTGGTAGCAAAAAATATTGTCCTAGGTCCAGACAGACGATGAGCTTTTACAAAACAAGTCCAAGATCTCCCAATAGTTAAATCTACCCATGTGTTTTTTGAAATTAAGAACTGCGTGTTATTTCCTATTCATTTGAATTTACCAGAGAATTTACTGGAGCACTTTGCTTTTATGTAGATCACAACTGCAAAAGTCAAGCAATGTTTCATTCTCATTTGAGTAAAAAAGGAGGGAAAGGTTTCTTACAAACTCAACTGACATGGCTGCAGACCAAAGCAAACAGACATTTTGACTAAATGATGTTCATTGTGTGTTTTCAATTAAGTTAAAATTGCCCTTTTCTAAGCAGAAGAGGCATATGTCAGTGTGTCATGACCATTCTGTTACACATTACAATTCTGATTCTATTGCTTGTTTGACTTGCTGCCACAAATTTAAATCAACTACAAAAAAATACAGTGTTTCTAAAACATAGACTGTGAGTATGTATTTGTACAGAAGTTAATGTTCCTGGTGCCCACTAACTGGCATCCTCTTCAACACCCTGCCACCGGGTTACCATCTGTTGTTGGCCTGTATTCCATATATCCTTAGTCAAACAAAGGCTGGTATTATCTCACAACCTCTTCCACTGAACCTTGGTGAACAATGTTAAAACACACAAATAGAAGCCATTCATCTTCTTAAAAGTATGAGACTGAGCATTCCTGTATGGATCAGTCTTGGAAGATCTATTTATCTATATACCTCTATTGCACACAAAAATGAAAAAATGTTACATGATGTGCAGTACAGAAACATTTCATGTACAGTACATGGTTTCATTGCAAAATGAGATCATAGAATCAGAATTGGAAGAAACCCTGAGGAGCATCTAGTCCAATCTCCTGCAGTGTTGGCATATGCAGCTGTGCCATATGGGGATTGAGCTTGCAACCATGCTGCAACTGAGCTATCCAGGTAAGTGTTTATTTTAATATAAAAAACGGGGGGGGGGGGATTAAGTACATATGAATAACACTAGGAGAAGCATGCCAGGGCTTTCCTTAGAATAATGCAGTAGTGAAATTATATATACATAAACAGCAAGTGTCCTCAGTTTCTCTCAAATGCCTAGGAATCCTCTTAAACCATATCCTCAAGGTGGTGGTAGAGAAACTGGCAATACAGTAGTCTGATCCTGAGGCAGGCTGAAATAATGCATTTGGGTCATGTATTTTGTGCTGAGCCCTAACCTTGTGGACTTCAGCCTCCTGGGAAGGTGAAGGGAGAACACTTTTACGATGGCGTCACGCAATGCAGCACCTTGTGCTAATATGAAGGTTTTCAAAATATTTATTGGGCAGTGCTTTCCATTGGAAAACTGTTCATTTGTGTGTGTTTGGGGGGGTGTTGCTGTAAATATAGGACTATGAAACTTCGCAGTTAAAGCAAGGAGGCTGCTTTTCTGGCTTTCTTTGTATGATCTCTGAATTACATTACATAAGAACTCTACTGGATCAGGCCAGAGGCCCACCTAGACCAGCATCCTGTTCTCACAGTAGCCAACTAGATGAGAAGTCTGATGAGGGCCTGGGCACCAGAGTGTTCTCCCCTCTTACAGTTTCAAGCAACTAGTATTGAGAAGCATACTGCCTCCCTGAAACCTGATCCTCTTTTAAAGCCGTGCAAGTTGGTGACCATCACAGACAGCAATGATAGGAGTTGAAAAACCAGATCATGGAATATTTGTGCAAATCATGAGCAGCCTAGCTGTCCCGAAGGACTGGAAAAGCAGACAGTCTTAAATCCTGATTTGAAGTCAGGCTCACCCAGATCAATGGGGCTTATGACCACAGAAACAAAATTAACAAAACCAGGATCCATAAGTAACTAATTCAGAGCAATTCTATGCATGTTTGCTCAGGCATACGTCCTGTTGTGCTAGGAGGATCTTACACCCAGCTAAATTAGTACTGTATAGGACTGCAATATCAGTCCCTTTTTAACAACTTTTATCCCAGGTATATTTTCTTGTTCACTTACATTAAGTGGTGTGTATAATTTTATTCAAGAATTTATAAATAATATTGTCTGATGACAATGCTGATCCTCAAAAGCAGTCTTGTCAGAATGTTTTTTGAATACACAAACTTGGAGAACTTCATGGGAAATTGGGGGGGGGGGGGCTACTTTCTGACCTTTTCAGCTGTTCACTGAACTACTTTAGTAAACACAATTGTTGCCTCATGGAGGATCAGGTGACACCATGTCTGGAAATTGCCTTGGATCAGCTTTTTCGTTCTGTGTAACTTGCTGCTTGGTTGTATAGTTGTTTTGACTTCTAGGCTGATTATTAAGAGAGCACACTGGGAATTGTTACAGTGGTTTATATGAATGTCATGTGCTCATATAAATGTATGTCAGAGCTTTGGTTGTTTGCCTGGTTATTTTGATTACTGATAATTAAAGTGAGCTGTTGTAGAGGAAAGGGCTTTTCGTTTAATCTGAGGGAACTGGGGCCACAGAGTATTATTATCAATAATGCAATTATCCTTTCATGCCACAAACTCAATCAAGTCTTCCTGATACTTTTTCATTGTTTTCACTGGGGATGGAGACACAGCTTTTGATCTTTCTGCAGACATGGGCTTTGCATTTCCATTTGGCTAAACTCCATGGAAGGCTGACTCCCTCCTTTCCTCACACATACTAATGTTCATCTTTAACTTGCTTTCTTTTTAAAGTTGTTCTGCAACTGAACTGCCACCCTTTGGTGGGAAAAATAATAATTTGACTGGCCCCGAGTTCTTTAGTTGCTACCAATTCTCCCCCCCCCCGTGCCTTTATAGATTTTCCAGTACAGTGGTACCTCAGGTTACATATGCTTAAGGTTACATATGCTTCAGGTTACAGACTCCGCTAACCCAGAAATAGTGCTTCAGTTTAAGAACTTTGCTTCAGGATGAGAACAGAAATCGTGCTCCGGCGGCACAGCAGTAGCAGGAGGCCCCATTAGCTAAAGTGGTGCTTCAGGTTAAGAACAGTTTCAGGTTAAGAACAGACCTCCAGAACGAATTAAGTACTTAACCCAAGGTACCACTGTATACCTCGGGATAAACGTGCTTCAAGTTAAGTATTTTCGGGTTGCGCTCCGCAGCGACCCGGAAGTAACGGAACACGTTACTTCCAGGTTTCGCTGCGCGCGCATGCACAGACAGTAAAAATTACGTCATGCGCATGCGCTGAAGCGGCAAAACACGACCCGTGCACGCACAGATGCGGCTTGCGTTCGCTTCAGGATGCGAATGGGGCTCCGGAACTGTTCCCATTCACATCCCGAGGTACCACTGTATTAACTAGAAGGTTGGTGGTTCAAGCCTACCCAGGGACAGCTGTGGGCAGGATTCCTGCATTGCAGGGGACTGAGCTAGATGACCCTCAGGGTCACTTCCAACTCTATGATTCTATGTTGCACTAGGGCAGATATGGGGAACATTTGGCCCTCCTCATGTTGCTGAACATCAGGCAATTAGCCATGCTTGCTGGGGCTGTCAGGAGTTGCTCAACAACATATTGAGGGCCTAAGATCACCCACACCTGTACTAGGCCAACAGACCACTTTAATCCACTCTAGCTGGATAAATCTACATAAAGCATAATACAGTGGTGCCCCGCAAGACGAATGCCTCGCAAGACGGAAAACTCACTAGACGAAAGAGTTTTCCGTTTTGGAGGTGCCTCGCAAAACGAATCTGCTATGGGCTTGCTTCGCAAGACGAAAATGTCTTGCGAGTTCCTGGGTTTTTTTTCCCCTTTCCCCCCCCTCATTGTCTAAGTCCCTAAGCCGCTTATCTGCTTATCCGATAAGCTGATAAGCTGCTAAAAGCCGCTAATAGCGCTAATAGCGCTAATCCGCTAATCCCATCAATGGGCTTGCTTCGCAAGACGAAAAAACCGCTAGACGAAGAGACTCCCAGAACGGATTCTTTTCGTCTTGCGAGGCACCACTGTAATTGTCCAAACCTATAAAGTTCCAATACATGCTTGAATCCTTTCCACAAAATAGTCTGGAAGCACCACCTATCCGAGCATTTTTTAGCCCTGCAGAACGACCTCCCACCAGATGTCGAGGAAATAAACAACTCTCTGACTTTTAGAAGACATCTGAAGGCAGCCCTATTTAGGGAAGTTTTTAATGTTTGATCTTTTATTGTGTTTTTAATATCCTGTTGGAAGCCGCCCAGAGTGGCTGGGGAGGCCCAGCCAGATAGGTGGGGTATAAGTAATAAATTATTCTTATTCTTATTTCCTGCCAACCTAGCAGTTCGAAAGCATGCCAATGCAAGTAGATAAATAGGTATTGCTGTGGTGGGAAGGTAAACGGCGTTTCCGTGCGCTCTGGCACTCATCACGGTCCTCTATGCACCAGTAGTGGTTTAGTCATGCTGGCCACATGACCCGGAAAACTGTGGACAAACGCCGGCTCCCTCGGCCTGAAAGCAAGATGAGCACTGCAACCCCATAGTCGCCTTTGACTGGACTTAACTGTCCAGGGGTCCTTTACCTTTTACCATTATTATTATTATTATTATTATTAATAATAATAATATAGATAAAAGCAGCTGAGTACGGTTCCTATTGAATTTAACACATTTGGTCTCAGCTCCTGTTCAGGGATATTTGAACCTTGGTGGTTAGTATAGTAGGAATTCCCAGTTGACTATCTCTCTCTGTATTATTTGTAGGCCAAGAGGTTGGCTTCCCACACGTCGCTGAGCAGATGCACGAGCTGTTGGTGTTGTCCTTGTGTTTTGCAGTAAAAAAAAAAAAGACTGACGTTTTGCAAAATTCTTGTTAGCCAACTTAAAAAAAAGAAAAAGAAAAAAGTGCTGCACATGACTAATTTTAAACGGTTCATTGAGTGGTTTTGAATATTGTCCATATGTTCCAAATGACCATAGGTATACTAATCCTAAACAAGTTTACCTGCCACTAAGTTTAAGAAGATATCTGAAGAAGTGTGCATGCACACGAAAGCTTATACCAAGAACAAACTTAGTTGGCCGCTGAGGTGCTAGTGGACATTTAAAAAAAAATTTTTTTTTTAATATTTCAATTGTACAAAGTGTGCTCAGGAGGACAACTGTTTCCTCCAACCTAGAACCATGGGTGTAGCAAAGGGGGGGCAGGGAGAGGCAGCTGCCCCACTCTCTAAATCAATAAAAATACATAATAAACTGAGGGCCTGTCCCCCACCCCACAAAAATCCTGACTACATCCATGCAACCTGGGACATTTCATTCCTATGGGGTTGCACTGAGTTTTGTTGTTGACGCCTCTCATACAAAATATAAGAGCAATGTACCAACATTACAAAAGAGACAAAATACCAATAAAAACGTGATAGAATCCCCCCACCCAAATCTACCTCCTTTTCGAAATGAGTACGATTTCCCCACCCCCTGCTCCGGGGGGGGGCAAAAAAAACAACAACAGAGAGAGCGAGCGCGCAAAATTTGCATTAATAGATCATTCAGGTGTTATAAATTTGACTAAGTAATGAAAACGGAGTGAAAACAGTCAGGACGGGGTTCGGTTTGCCAGAGCTCACCATTCCGTCTTCCTGTGGGGAGAACTACAAGCCCCATGATGCAACGGGGCCTCTCCTGCCTTCCCGTATTGCCGCTCCGCAGGCGAAGGGCGGGGTCGAGGAGCGGCAAGTCGGGAATCGCTTCCGGTGCGAGGGGTCGCGAGGGGTTCCCTGTCTGAGAGGCTTCTTCTCTCCCCAGTGAGGTCCCTCTTGGCGCCTGCGAGTGGCCGCTTGAGGATGGATGAGGACGGGCTGCCCCTCGTAGGCTCCGGCATCGACCTGACCAAGGTACAGGCGGCGCCAGGTTGCTGGCGTTGCTCCCTGAGGCCGGCGCCAGGTCCCCAGGGAGCGAAGGAGGCAACTTCCCCCTGTGGGATTCTCCCCCCATCCCCCCCCCCATCATCTCTTAAAAAGAGAAGCTGACAAGCTCTGTGAATCGAGGCTGCTGCTTTTGCCCTTGCAGGGCTCCTCCTGGACCTCTGGCAGGCAGAAGTTCGCCAGGAGAAGCCGCGCTCCTTCGCCTGTGGTGTCGTGTTTTTATTAAAGATGCAGAAACTATGCGGGTGGGGAGGTGGGAGCGCGGGTAGGGCAACCTCTAAGGAAGCACAAGTGTATGGAGGCTGAGGGTTAGAGAAGAGGGCGGTTGCGAGGAACTGGGGGGCGGAGGGTGTCCTCACGGGAGTCAAAAGTGGCTTAGCTTCCTCTGCCATTTGTCTCCTCTGGGAACCAGTTAAGTGAATAAACAATACACGCTGGGCCTCCTTCGTGGAAGTTACAAGAGGCTTGCATAGCAAACTTGTATTCTGTGCCCTTATACGCCAGTTTGTTAACAGGTAGTAGCAACCACTGGTCATCTGACCCCCCTGAGTAGACAAGTCTTGAAGGTTTCCAAAACATCTTGAACAAAGAGCATTTTTTAGCCCTTGATCATCAAGCATCCCTCTGAATTGGTTGTTTGCTCTTCCATGCCCTACTTTCCTCCATCAATAATACAGTGGTGCCTCGCAAGACGAAATTAATTCGTTCCGCGAGTTTTTTCGTCTTGCGGTTTTTTTCGTCTTGCGAAGCACGGTGTCGGGAAAGTTTTGGAAAAGCTTCAAAAATCACCAAAGTCTTTAAAAACCTCAAAAAAGGCTACCACACCGCGTTCTATGAGTTGCTCCTCGAAGTCAAGTCGCAACTGTATTAACGGTGTTAAGAAAAGGAAACAAACTTGCAAGACGTTTCCGTCTTGCGAAGCAAGCCCATAGGGAAAATCGTCTTGCGAAGCAGCTCAAAAAACAAAAAAACCTTTCGTCTATCGAGTTTTTTGTCTTGCGAGGCATTCGTCTTGCGGGGCACCACTGTATTGCCTTTTTAAACCATGTCCATTTTTTCATTTTTAACTCATTTGACCAGGCCTTCCTGCACTGGAGTCAATTTTGGAGTTGTTGTTGTTTTTCCTGGCTCTGATTCACTCGTGAGTGCAATTGTTCTGGAGGAGGCTTGATAACCCATGTAGCATATTGGAACTTGTTAAGTCCCAATTCCCCTGGGGAAACTTAAATAGCTACACTGCAGTACTGATTTGGAAAATTAATTAATGGGTCTGGAAGGTTGCAGGAACAGCATGAGCTGAATTTCTCAATGTGTGCTTGCAACTCATCCAACCCTAATGTAATGCAAGTTTGATTCCATAAATCATTGACTTCCAAGCTGTGTTCTGGAAAATCCAAAGTGTGTTGTTGGACCAGGACCAGGGAGACCCAGGTTAAAATCCCCACCAGCCATTAAGTTCCTTGGGTGATCTTGAGCCAGTCACTCTCTCTCAGTCTAAACGTCATCACAGTGTTGTTCTGAGGATGAAATGGGTGGTGGTGGTTGCATGCTATTCTGCATGCTAAAATGTAATAAACCCTTGCCTCAGATACTACATGAAATCAATAATGGCAGATAAAGTTCCCTGGCAGACAGTTTGTCAGATCTGCCAATCTTCTTTTGCAGTATGCCAGTGCTCTGCATGAACCTGTTGTATTCCCCTAAAACAGGTCTTGCATTCTACTACAGCAGACACCCCAGTAGCGCTTCCTTGGCAGATGACAAGCCAGTGGTTCCTTGAAAGCAGGAAGCTTCAAAATCACAAGGGAGTAAACTTAGTGAAATATAATCCAATGACAGTAGCAAGCAGGTAAAATGGGGAGAACTCTGCAACACTCCATAAGAAAATCCACTGTTAGATTTCTGCTGTGGCAACACATTGCACTTTGATCATGTATGCAGGATCCAGTAGTCCCTAGGATGACGTTTTTCCATGCCAGACACCATAGTGGAAGATGCATGATACTTAAAAAAAAGAAATTCCACACTTACTGGAAAGATAAATTCCTTTCTGACTTTCATAGATAACTCCTGAAGCATCTAATTTAACATATCTCCATGAGCTGTCACTGAAATATTTCATCATAAATGCCTGTTGTAAAAATTTTATTGGTTGATTCATAGATAAAGCCATAGCTTGGTGGCTGTTGTGGATTTGCAGTAGGATAGCGATGATGATGGAAGTGTTTTTAGGCTAGCCCATGCCCTCACAAATGACTATAAAAATAAGTTTGTCAGAGAAACGGTTTAATATACTTCCAAAATCCATCCACTTCCTTTTTCAGAATGTGAGACTTGCAGCCCCTGCATATTCATACTTACTCAGAAGTAAGTACCACTGAATTTGATGGTATTGGAGAGAGCAGATATCTGTCCTGTTTTACATTTGTAGTCTGTCCCATTCTTGTAGATTAGTGTTAAGGAGCCTGTGGCCCTCCATGTGTTGTTGGACTCGTGTTCCCATCATCTCTGACAGCTGGTTATGATTGGTGAGGCTGATGGGAACTGAAGTCTCAACAACATCTGGAGGTTTTCCAACCCTGTTATAGAACTCCCACGTTTACATATTTGAATCTGTGACTCAGATGGAAAACCATATGCCCATCCAGTTTGCATATGTTCCAGAACTGGGAAGAACTGCAAGCATGATAGAGCACAGGATTACACTTTTATGTGACTTGCATAACTTGAAGCATTGATCTGAAAATAATAAATTGGATTTCAGCATATCCATAGCAAAAGTGCAGCAGATATGTGTATTCAAACACTGGTTAGGGGTGTTGGGAGCAGCTTTGCTCAGTTTTATCATCATATAGGTTTTGGGTGTTACAGAATGAGCCTTGCTATTGTTGTATTTGTGCTTTGAACAACGCAGGTTCCTGCCATCCAGCAGAAGAGAACAGTGGCATTTCTAAACCAGTTTGTGGTTCACACAGTTCAGTTCCTTAACCGATTTTCCACTGTTTGTGAAGAGGTAAGTAAGTATACACTGTACTACCTTGGGGAAGGGGGTGGGTGCATGTTGCAGACAGGATTTGCATTGTTGGCTAATAGTCTGCTGCGTGGTGCACAAGCCCATTCCCTCTGACGAATTTTGTAAGACATGGTTAAAATACAGGGTTCATTACTGCTAACTTTCCTAAAGAGATGATGCTTTGAAAGTTCAGTAACTCTTCCTCTTCAAGGAGGAAAAAGACACTGGCTGGAAAGTACATGGGGTCCTTTAGCTTTTTAGGGTCTGACATGGTGCAGTAGATAGCACCAAGCATGGCTGTCAGAGGCCCACATTCAAATAAGGAGCATAGGAAGCTGACTCAGGTCAGACGAGCCTTCGAGCTCAGTATTTTCCACTTTGATTGGCAGCCTTTCCCATCGCCTGCTACCTGCTTCTTCTAAGCAGAGATGCCATGACATGTTATCTGCCACACAGCTATAGTCTCCTTGTTCTGCTGCGAAGCTCACTGGAAGGTCTTAAATCCCTAAATCATTCTGGGTTGTTGTGTTTGTGTGTGTGTGTGTGTGTGTGCTTGTTTTTTGTTTGTTTAATACAAAGTATCCCAGACAGTTCATAATGTAATAAAAATTAAAACAGTACATAATTATTCATGTTCTATAGATGTTTATGGATTGATTTTATTGTATATGCTGTAAGCTACCTTGATATATTTCCCAAAAGTGCAGATTATGTACTTCAAATAAATAAGTAAATAAATAAATAAGTGTCATAAAAACATCAACAATCAGATAAATAATTAAAAAGGGACCTCTGGAGAAAGGCTCAGACCAGGCGGACTTCCCTCTTCAGGGCATTGCATTGCCCAGGCACCACTCTAGAAAAGACTTACCCCTTGTGGCCATCTGGCATTCTTCGTATGGCTGGGCCTCCACATGAACAAGCCACAGTGGCTATGTAGAACCTCCACCACTGGAGACTATGCCTCTGAAGGCCAGTTGCTGGGAATCCCAAGTGGGGAGAGTGCTCAGTTGTGCTCATGTCCTGCTTGCAAGCTTCCCATATGCATTTGGTTTGCCACTGTGAGAAAAAGATCCTGGACTGCACAGGCCCTTAATCTTCTCCAGCAGGCTCTTCGTATGTTCAAAGGTCAGACAGAATCAGAGGTAGAGGTGATTCTTCAGATCCACTTTGTCACAGCCTGGTGCCCTCCAGATGTTTTGGACCACAACTCCTTTCATCTCTGACCAGTGGGCATGTCGTCCGGGGCCAATAGGAGTTTGAATCCAACAACATCTGGAGGGTACCCTCTTGGGGAAGGCTACTTTAGATCCTAGGGTCCCTGGATCTATCCACCTACTAGGGCAATTGTGTTGATGAGAGAAGGATAGGAAAGTGTTCCGTACACTGATAAATGCCAGAAGAATCCTATTGTATAGAAATCAGCTTCCAGTGTTCCATCCACATCAACAAGAAATGGAACTTGTGGTGGGGCTTTGCAGATAGCAGCAAAATTCATTGTCAGTAATTGGGGTCCTAGGGCGTATCCAGGGTCCCCGACCAGGTTTAGCCTTTCCCATTGCTTTATCTTCCATAAGTGAGTGTTTGCTATTCACCCATGTGGGGTAAAGTGAAGCAATGTCATTGATGACACTGTTGGGTTTGAAGGTAAACTTGCCCTTGCACTGTGTGGCCTTGACATCGCTGATGGTGGAACAGGGAAGGGGCACCATCGGTCTCTGTGCATGCTGCAGCTTGCAGAAGTCCTTTCAGTATGCAAGCCCTCCTTCATGCACCATTATTTATTTGTATTTTCATAAAATATTTCCAGGCTGGCCTTTGCAAGCAATCAGTATTGGTTGGCGCCAATAGGCTTTGCAGACTTACTTGCATTGCTACATTTAAATTTTAAGTCCTATCACCTTCCTTCAACTTCATCTAAAAAGGCACCATCATAAGGTTTTCTGATATATAAATGACTTCAGATAAATTGACTTTGAACAGCTAAAAACCAGATGGCTAGTTCTTTTTCTTTCTTTTTTATCCCAAAGTCTTGACAGCCCTAAATGCTTGTGTGTGGTCATTTTTTAAAAATGACATCCATTCCAAAGAACAAAGAGGCATCTATAAAGAAAGAGATGGAGACCAAAAAGGAAAAACAAAACCCCAAGCTCATCAACATCTGTGCTTCTTTGTCTCTATTATGTTGGCTGGTTGGCATATTTCTCAGGGTGTTAAAGATTTTGGCTCTAAGAGCCCAGCAAAAAGTTACTACCGTGCCAGGAGGCAGGGAGAAAAATGCTACAGATCTGCCAGCCAACACACTAGCCAAGGGTACAACACAGGCTGGTTGCATATGGCAGCAATTAGTTCAAGCTGCCATATCAGTTCTTAAGGTTTGTGCTTTTTTGCAAATCATCTTGCATTTTAAAATAAGTCTTGTATAGCTTTTGGAGTATTGTGTCAGTTCACCTGACCTTTTATCAGATTTATTCCACCACTTCCAAATTGGATTACTATTTACGAGTAGGTCTGAATGCTTTACTTGCAAGATGGGTTTGTAATACTAATTGCTCAGGTTTCACTTGTTTTGATGTGGAGGAGGTAGGTTAGGCTATTTTGATTGTGGCATGTCATGGGATTGTAATATAGCATTCCCCATCTAAAGATGAGCAGTAACTTTTGTTTATTAAATTGTTTCACTCTTATTCTACCCTTTTGCAAAAACTATATGGGGAGGTTTGTAGCATTTCCCTCTCCCAGTAGGCAGGTTTATTTAAAGGAGTAATTGTTCTGTTTACAACTTTCACATAGCCTTTCATCCCCAAACCTTTGAAATCAGTAGAGATACACACAACAATCTATATCTGGTCTGAGTAAAATTCACGTGTTCATTTATAGTCTGGTCCATTTCCTCATTAATCTGCAATTTTTTATAAAAACAATCTGTACAAAAATTCTTCTATATGCCAGGATTCAGCATTCTCTGACCGCCAGTGCAAGGGCTATTGCGCTACTGTAGCAATGAAAATAAAGGGTGGGCAATACCAAGTGCAGTGCAACAATTGTGCTAGCGGGAGCTTGTTGTGCAGCAGTTTGTTCAACAGGAAATATCGGTACTACAGCAGCAATCTGTTGCACAATCAGCAAAGAGAATCACAGCCGTTTCCTGTACTTTCTCTTGGTTGAGCCATTCTTCTGGCACAAGTACACCACTAAGCAGTTTTAAATCAGTGCGACATTGAATTACTCTCACAATCACAATACATTTCTGAACCTACTTTACCATAAAATGCATATTTGTTTAAATATTTTGATACCTTTTGTGGTGAGAACTTTATTGCAAAATTTTGAGAACTGCAAAATCCAAAGGATAATTTCATTGTGATCCACGTATTTGTTCTAGAGGTGTGAATTAGGTTAGTTCACTTTAAAAACTAACCAGTTCTGTATCCTATTGTGCAGCCCTTAACACATGACTCTTCAGGGTGCCCAGTTTTATCTTGTTCCTATTCAAGGGTTTAAGATTCATTTTACACAATACTATTACGTAATAATTTGAAATAAAGCCTATATAGCAGGCTCGTTCATAGATACTTTATTAATTTTCTGTGCAAAGTAAAAATTGCTTCCAGGCAGCCAATGACAGATTTTTTTAAAAAAAGTTGTCTTTTTTAGGCCACAGGTGACAATCAGCTATTTTGGGGCAGATGGGCTGTTAAATATTTTTGAGAGCTTGCAACTATTTACCAGGCTTCACTGTTGTATATGTACCAATTCTGGTAGCAATGAATTTTACAGCCTAATGTTATAATCAGCGGTTGATCATGAGGTATTTTAGACCACCAGTGTGACCAGGCTTACAGGATCATCGTATAATGTGCCACATATTATCCTCCGAAAGAGTGAGGCAATAAGTATTTTTGGGGAGGAATGCTAAGTATTCCTGAGCAGGGAGGGCAGAGGAGAGAATTGCCAGTGAGTAAAAGTATGGAGTAATATATTTCACTTCCATCTTTCCCAGAAATTGTCAGCACTTTCCCTCCGTATTCAGCAGATTGAAACTACACTGAACATCTTGGATGCAAAGGTTTGTGCATGATATCTCTCTTCTTGCTTGTTGTAGTCTTGAGCACAAATTAAGGGACTTGCCTGTATAAGTCCTAAAGTCCCGTTTTTATCTGAGCTACATTCGTCTTCAGGCAGAACTGAGTATATTTTTTCAGAATGTCAGAATGTAAATGGAAACAGATGGCAAATGGATATCTGTGATAAGGCAAAGAGGAGGTGAAGTTGCTGGGTGCAGGCAGGGCCCGCCTGATAAACACTTCACCCCCGTGCTGGCCAGAATTTTGTGACATGTTCGTTTGTCCTAATTAAGGTATTGCCTATTAGTGGATTTTGAGGCCTTGGTGAAAAATAGCATGTACTGGATGCTGACTAAACAGCTACAAGTTTTATATTCTCAATATTAAAATGTTGTCTACTGTTCTTGGTGTTCCCATCTTCAGTTGTCTTCTATACCTGGGCTAGAAGACGTCAAGTTTGAAGTATCCAGCACCAGTGTCAACAGCGTTACGAATGGCCCTGTCCCACAAGTCTCAATAGATCCACAGTCAACAAATGTATCTCCTCAGCTGGAGGTAAAAGATTGAGTTCTTCCTGACTTGTTTTTCCCCCGTTTCTAGTTAGCCTTTCTAAAGCAAGCAATGACTTTGTTCACATGTGATTTGCTTTGCTTCCCGCAGACCACAGTCTGTAGTCAGGGTTTGTTCTTGGCTTACTGATTGTGGTTTGTTGGATCTGTGGTTTGGACATAATTCATAGCCAGGGATTGTGGTTTGTTTCATCCATGCGCCAGAGAGGAGGAGCAAAACAGTCCCAATCTGTGTGCTTGTGCTAAACCTAACCATGGTTTACCATGATATGTGAACTGAGTCAATGTCTGCACATGTTTAAAGATTGGCACATAATGTTTTCTCTTTATAGCAGAGCACCGGTCATGAGATGGGGCAACAGAAGACGGAAGGAGCCACAGAAAATATCATCACAGTAGCAAAGGATCCCCGCTATGCAAGATATCTCAAAATGGTTCAAGTGGTAAGACAGTTGTTCATCAGGCTTCATCAGACACCAAATTTGTGTGTATTCTGTATCAAGCAGCCTTCAAAGTTAGCCCTTCTGGCTGTCCACTCTAACTTCTTTTTAACTAACACTCTTACTTTTGATAAACTCCCTCTTCTGAAAGGGTATGTGATTCTGTTGGAATTGGTGGTGGTGGTGGCTGTTGTCAATCAGTTCAGAACTCTATTTCTCGCCTGATGTAGACCCTACTTACAATCATTTGTTGTATTTATTAATGTCTCTTTATCGTGATCTGAATGTGCGTTTGCTCTTTCAGTGTGATGACAATTCAAATCATCTATAACTAATGGCTTTCCATCTCTGAACTTCCCCTTTTAATGTGTTTAGAGACCTCTGCAGCAGTTTCCGTGTTTGATGGCTCTGCGCCAGGCTTGATGGGAACAATATGTGTGAAAAGCCACTCAAGGATCAGTTTTGTTCCTTTTAGTTTGTTTCCACTGATGTCCAGCCAAACCAGTTAAATTGCTCAACATGTGATGGACCTTTGCATCTAGAACATGCTTGCAAATGAGCTCTTTGTAAGCAGGCCCTGGCTTCTTTCCATTCTGATTGAGCCTCCAAGCCAATTGTCTCATTAGCATTTCCTAACCTCCTGTTGATGAAAGGAATAGGAACAGTAGTCACTTTACTCTGAATTAAACAGTAGTAATAGAAAAGAAAATTATGTGCCCAGAAAATTGCAGGTGAGCAGGCTGCTATTGTCCTTGTGTCTTGCTTGTGGGCTTCGAAAAAGCATTTGTTGGCCGCTGTGAGAACAGGATGCTGGACTAGGTGGCCCACAGACCTGCTTCAGTAGGCTCTTCTTCTGTTCTTAATAAAAATTATGTGAAAAGGCAAGACTACGCCATTCACATTTTGTTTCTAGAAATAAGAGACAAAGGTATTCCGAATTTCTATGGATTAACGAAAGCAGGAGCGAATGATTCTCTGTGAGAGTCCAAAGCCATTCAGTATTCTTATTCCACAAAAGTGTTTAGTGGGACAAGGGAGAGGCACATGCCCATATTTTCCTTAGCTGGAGCATAACATGGAAATAACTCTTCACACATTTTCCTAAGAGATGCTTTTTAGCCATGGCACCATGCAATTGGTCTTATTTTAACCAGCTATTGGCAAACTTGCCCCCCCACCTCCATCTTTGGACCACGCTGTGCAGCCTTCCTGAAATTAAAATGGAACTAATGGCTTGATTTCCTTGCTTGTGCCCAACGGTTGCTGTTGAGTCAGGCTTCAATACAAAGCGTTCAGATTCAGTATAGTTGTTAGGATATTCCACCAGACCTCTTTTGCTGGCCTGAACATTTTCCTGTGAATTGGGAGTGGCAAACTGGCATTGTGTGGCTAGATAATTACCAGTGCACTTGGAAAGACTGATGTGGTGGCTGGAAGGAGAGTGTTTGGCTGATGGTTCACTCTAATGTCCTTTTTTTGGTGATGGGATTTGTGCTGGGGGTGGGTGGGGAAGACAACTTTCTGCCCCCCCCCCTTTTAGAATCTTAACCACATTATTTGAAATCTACCCTTCTTCTGTAGAAAGACTTCTTCTATATATGCCCCCTCCTCTTAGGTATAGCATATGAATGAGATGTTGGGCTGTTGAGGAACACAGTAGTTTTATGTATATGTTACAGATGCATCAGGAAGCACAGCTTTACCCAAGCACAGTGGTACCTTGGGTTACATACGCTTTAGGTTACATATGCTTCAGGTTACAGACTCTGCTAACCCAGAAATATTACCTCGGGTTAAGAACTTTGCTTCAGGATGAGAACAGAAATCGTGCTCCGGCGGCGAGGCAGCAGCAGGAGGCCCCATTAGCTAAAGTGGTGCTTCAGGTTAAGAACAGTTTCAGGTTAAAAACAGACCTCCAGAACGAATTAAGTACTTAACCCGAGATACCACTGTAAAGCTACACATGAATTTTGGAGCTACAAAAAAGTGAGGAAAGCAGACATGCACATGGTTTGTATTTCTTCTTTAGGAACATATAATAAGTGCTTTATATGAGATCAGGTTACCTGCATGAAGTAAGAAAAGTGGGCAGAGATTAGTTTTTCTCCCTCTCATAATACTAGAATCCATGGCCAACCAGTGAGAAGCTGAACGTTGGAAGATTCAAGACCGACAAAAGAAAGGATGTCTTCAGACAGAACAGAGTTATGCAGTATAATTTGCTCTCATGGGATGCAGTGATGGCCACCAACTTGGAATAGTTTTTAAAGTGGATTAGACAAATTCCCGGAGGATAAAGTGATCATTGGCTACTACCCATGATGACTGTCTGCTATTTCTAGTGTCAAAGGTTGCTGGGAATCAGAAAGTGGACGAGTTCTGTCACGCTTCGTCTCTGCTTCTAGGCTTCTCATAGGCTTCTGGTTGGCCACTGCAAGAACAGGATGCTGGACTAGCTGGACCTTTGGTGTGAGCCAGCAGGGCTCTTACATTATTTTCTGGCCCAGTATTATCTACTTCAGCTGGCTCAGGCTTTTCACTTCATCTGCTGCCTGGTTGTTTGTTGTTTGTTTGTGATATAAGGGACTGGACCTGGGACATTCCACATCCCAACTTGTGAGTTCTGACATTGAGCTAAGGCTCCTCCCTTCCTTTGTGAGATCCAAATGTCTTCCAAGTGAGCTTTCTTAGTTTCATCTTCTGAAGCTACAGGAGGGTTGGGAAAACCAGTGATGTGAGTTACTCACAGTTCAGCTTTTCTTGCTTTTTTTGTAATGTTTGAAACAGTATTCTGTTCAAAGCTGAGGGTGCTAGTGTTGGGATACTGCCAGGGAGACAAAGTCCATCATGACTCCACGTCACCTCCGGACGTCCATCGATCTCCCGTAGACACGCAGTATCAGCAATTAGCGACACGAGCTCCAGAAATAGCTTGCCACATTCCAGAGCTGATGCACGCTCTATCAGCAGAATTCACACAGCGAAAGATGCACGCAGGAGAGCATTATTTACAAGTTTATTCAGCGTTGGTCAGAACAAAGAAAACATGACTGCCTGCTTCGGTGTCTCAGGCACAGAGAGAGAAACAAAAGCTATAGACAAAACATAAACTTCCTGTGAACAGGAAATACACAGACTCTGTGACTCACAAAGCCTGCTCCCTTTTAAGGTGAAACGGAAATATCCTAACAGCTAGTTCTCATGCCAGCCATGTCAGTGACACCCTCTATGTATCCTCCATATAGACAGCACTGTCAAGAGGTGGTAGAGGAGCAAGCTAATTTTGGGCTGGCTTGAACAGAAATTTCTTTGTGGGAAAGTGGCAAAAAAGTCTAACAAACATGGACCAGCAGAACTTTGTTTTTTCCTTTCTCCTCCTGTGAAGGGGCTGCATTTTAATGTTTTAATGTTGTATTTTAATCTTGTTTTTAAGTTGCATTTTAATCAACTTGTTTTTATTATTGGTTTTTAGCCGCCCTGAGCCCGGTCTTGGCTGGGGAGGGCAGGGTATAAATAAAATTTATTTATTTATTTATTTATTTATTTATTTATTTTTGGTGGCCCCAAATCCAAGTTAGTTAGGCGTAGTTAAGCCAATGCATCTGATTCTGTGTTGGAATGTAGCCTTATAACATAGCTGTGAGATTTAAGGGCAGCTTCTTCCACCCCCGTAGAGCTTGAGTTTAGGCTTCTTGTATGCAAGTTAGGAGCTGCAGGTAAACCACTATGGAGATGAATATATCCTGACCTGGTAGCCTAGGAATTGGGACAACCCAGCTATAAAGATTGAAGCAATATCAATGATGGCAAAAATCCATGAGAAGCAAATTGCTTCAGTGGGTGTAACGGGTTCAAATGTTTGGTGGAAACATCAGAAAACAAAGAGAATAAAAATTGTAGCAGTAAGCAAGCCAGTTCTGACCCTTAAGACAGATAAGCTTTCTCTTAAATTGCGAGGAAACATTGATTCTCAAGTTAAAGGTGGGTCTGGAAGTAAATGATCTTCCATTTGGGACAACTACTCCACCTGTTTCATAAAACCCTAAGCTGACTGTTTATAGGCCTCCAGGATATGATCTTAAATTCCTTTCGCATTAGTTATGTAATACAGCTTGTGTTTTTTATTTGATTATAAATCATTTTAGTGCTGTATGTATGTTAGATAAAGTTTTTGGCAAGTAAAAAACCTCTACTGCATCAAAGCATAGGTATGTAGGTGTGGGTCTCATCTTCTCAATTTCTTACTTCATATTTCCCATGACACTTTCTGGGGTTGAATCTTAGGTGATAAACTTTCAATTCTTCTCTTCCCCCCTCCCCATGCCAGTCCAGCAATTATTAAAAGCTCTGAAATGGAAAGAAAATATTGGGGGAGGGGTGTAGCTCAGTTGCTTTGCATGCAGAAGGTCACAGGTTCAATTCCTGCTATCTCTAGGAAGGAATGGGAACGTTTCCTGCATGAAACCATAGGGAGCTGCTACCAGTCAGTGCAGGCAATACCAGACTATATACACAAATGGTTTGGCTCAATATAAGGAAGCTTCTTATGTTCCTATGACACTTGCAAGGTGACATAAACCAGGGTATGATCTATCCGGCATACAGTTTGATGGAGACCTCTGAAACAGAGAGCTTTATGTAAGATGGTTCCCCTCTACTACAATCTTGCATAGCTTTTTCAGCTGCAGTTCTTACATACTATTCTGTTTCCTGGCTAACAGTTGTTTGCTATTTCTTCCATTGGCCTTTTTTCATATTTATAATAATTGTTCCCATTGTAAGATACAAAACGTTCTGGATAACAGAATCCTCAACACGTCCCGCCCCCTCAAAAAAAAATCTAGCTTCCATACTTTGGATTACATTTTCCATATGGCATATGGTAAGTCCCAGTTATAAAAGATCTGTATGACTCCTGGTGATTACAGTTCTGTAGATCCCCACTATTAAACTGCTGAGTTTAATTGTTTTTATTGGAGATAGCCAGTTTATATAAAGGTGGGGGGAAGCCCCAAATACAGATGCACACAGGAAAATATTAATCACCGAATTACCATCACTATTGCTCTGCCAGCCTTAACCACTCTCTCCACTTTCATGTGTGGCGCTAGTACAGACACGCTTCTCTGAAACACCCGCCATGGCTCCTTTCTCCTTACCTTGGCCAAAGTACATTTGCTTGATGCCAAAACCAACCACACACTACTGTTCACTTAGAGTTTGAGGTCTCTCACGTCCTTTTCAGACCTCCAGTAGACCTTGGAACTCAGAAATTGGACTCTCTTTTTTTTCGTTTTTGACCTTTTGCATCAATGATGGCAAAGCAACAAGTTCTCTTTGAGCCTCAGTGGCAGGAACACAGGAGCCAATTCTGTTAGAACACCCCTAGCAGAGAGAGTTTGGACTTTCACAAACTGTTCTCTAGGATCCTACAAGAAAATATGAAGGGAAGATGTTTGAGACTTGGGGAAATGGACCACAAGCAGTGGGAGAGCTTGCATTGAAAGGTCATTTTCATATGCATAGTTGTCTTAAACTTACCTTCGTGCTAGCCCACATTTAAATGTTGATCTTGTGATGCTAGATTTGGAGAAGTCTGTGTGAGAAGCCTCCTGTTGTTATCAAGAAAGTGCTGAGGGGAGCTGCAGGAGAGTAGCATAGTTACAAATTGCTAGATGAATGAAGCTATTTTTCTGAGATTTCACAAAAATAAAAATAGCAGTTCAGTTGATGGATGGAATTAACTGCTGGCCCAGCAGGTGGGAAGTCAGTCTGGAGGTGTTAAACAGAAAAAACATTAATAATAATAATAATAATAATAGCAACCCATCCATTTATACCCCTCTTTGGGTTACCCCAGCCACAAAAGCTTGGTAGCCTAATACACCTGTACTTATGACCTAGGTAGAAGATGGGTGACAACCTCTACAGCTTCCAGCAACATTAGCTAAGCAATTTTATTGGAAAGGACAGTTTCATTACGTGTCCTTTTATATAAGTGGTTTCCTGTTAGCAGGATTATGACGTGATCCCACCTCTGCATGTTGTGATTTTGGAATCATAATGGCTGATCCCAGTTTCCAGTTGCTGCAAGCAAACTAATGAGAAGAACTGCACGGGTAGAGATATATCCCGGGCAAAGAATGGTCACAGATATTCAAAAGGTCCAGGACCTGGCCACTTTACTACACATGCTAGTCCTGTTCTTTACATCTCATTTAGCTGGCTACTGGTTAAAGAAGAGGCTGAGAGCAATGTGCAGAGCTTGAACGTTGGTCTGCCATCACTGCATCCATTTCTTTTTCTCCTTCCTGCATCCACATCTTGATTTCTTTGACTCCATTGCTGTGATCACCTTTCCTAACTCCAGCCATTTTTACACTGATAACTTGGACTGATTTTGAGCATAATTTATTTCGTGCCTGGAGTGTACTGCTGACCATCTCTTGCATCTTTTTGTGGGGCAATGGAGAATTCAAGAAAGAGCCCTGCTGGATTGGACAGAATGCCTGTCTCATTCAGCCTTGGACTCCTGCAGTGGGAATGGAAGCACAAGACCAGTAGCATGCTTCCACTCACGGACTTGCCTTCAGAGGCATGCTGCTTCCAACCTTGGAGGCAATATAGCCATTGTGATCAGTCCCAATGTGATTTGTCTAATCCCCATTAAAACTCATCCAAGGTGATCGCCATCACTGCATCTTGTGGAAGGGATTCCATCGTTTAATTTTGTGTAGTGAAAAGAAATACTTCCTTTGGTTCATCCTGAATCTCCCACCATTCAGTTTCATTGAATGACTGAGTTCTAGTATTATTGGGGGAGGGCATTCTCCATCCACTTGATCTGCATCATGCATAATTTGGTTCACTTTTAACCCCTCCCTCCCCAATTTTTCTAAACAAAAAAGCCCAAATCTTGCCTCATAGGGGAGCTGCTCCAGCCCCTTGATTGTTTTGGTTGCCCTTTTCTGTACCTTTTTCAGCTTGACAGTGTCCCTTTTTGAGGAGGGAGAAACTCGCATGGACATTGCAGACACGTAAGAGATATTCCACAGCAGCAAACTTCTCTAGGTGTTTGAAAATGAAAGAAAATGGTATGCTAGCTGCAGCCTCTGAAGTAAACCAAAGTTATTCAGAAATGTAATTCGGTTTTTCAACAACTTCTACTCCCAAACTTTCTATAGGGGCAGCCATAGGAAATGTGGCCTTCGATCACCTTCCTGCTGTCAACAAAAGCAGTTTCTCAGATCAGAGCTTTTTCCCTTAACATTTTTGTGTTTGCTCTTTATTCATTCAAACACTGCGATTTTGATGGGACTCCCTTATACAGTGCTTTTCTAGACTTTTATCGTTCTTTTTCCCCTCCGCAGGGTGTTCCTGTAATGGCAATAAGAAACAAAATGATTTCTGAAGGATTGAACCCGGATCTTCTTGAGTAAGTGACAACTACTTGCATATTATGTGTGCAGAGACAGGACAGAGTTGGCTCTTGCAATGGGGGATAGAATTGTGTATCTTGGTCATTTGGAAGCTTCAGAAAAAATCTAATTTGAAATAAACTTGCAAGGCTGAACAAGCTACACCCAAAACATCGTGCAAAGGAGATTGTTCCATCAGTGCAAGCACTTCTGCTTTCCTGACGGAACAATCTTCTGAATTCCCCCTTAATTCTTTCCCAATCAGGTTTTAGTTAAGGTTATCCCCACCCCCTAAGTAGCAGGATTACCTCCCCCACTGAACACTTTTAATGGCTTGAGGATATTATCTTACTTTTTTCTAGACAGTAGCCACAGTTAAGCAAGGCTGGGTTTTTTCCACTGTTGGTGATGGAACAGCTTATACATGCAGGTCCACCTCTTTATTGCCAGCATTTTAAAGGAGAATAGATAAAATTGTAGAGATTTGTTTTACTATCAACAGAGATAAAAAAGAATTGGCTCACTTATTTGGGATTGAAACCCAACAGAAGCTTCAGTTCCTTGTCAACAGAAGAGCTACAGGTAGCCTGATCCCAAAATTTAACTGTGCCACCTATAATAAAAGCGAAGGATGAGGCATACCTATTGATTTTCATAACCCATGGTGTTCAAGAAAGATTCTCTGGTGCATATGTTCTGGATTCCTAAATCAATGTTCTCAGACATAATGAAACGGTATAACCCCATCTTAGAACATACCCACAATCCTAGGATTCTGACTTCTGAATACATATCCTGACCAGCCCCTAAGCTGCCCACACTTCTTCCTGGCTCCCCACATCAGTAATGTTACAGGGGCCATGGCAAGCTCTAATAGGACTCTGTATCCCTTTCACTAACACCAGTAGGGCTAGGACCTGTCCTTGAGAGAGTGTCTTGGACCTTTACAATTGATAGGTCTATTACCATTGCATGTGCAGATAACCCTACAGGCTGAGAAGTGTTGTCCTGCATGATGTACTAATAACTACAGCAACAGTACTTGGCCTTTATGTTGTGCTTTTGGGGTGTTCAAAGAGCTTTGCATCTACTGTCAGTCATCTTTAGAGCAACCCTATAAAGTCGGCCAATATTATCACGCCACTGCAACAGAACAGCAGCTGAAAGCTACCTCAGTGAGCTAAGCGAGATTTGAATGGGACATCCCCACCTCACTTCTAAGGTTTTCTGGATTTTGCATCCAAAGAGGGATCTCTGAAATTATACCCCCTTCCTATGGGAAACTAGTCTGCTGCAGTACAAACACCTCCTGCTTACCTAGGAACTTCTCAGTCGACTTCATATAGGTAATTATGTAGGCACTGCCTATGAAAGCCCATGCTACAGTAAACCTCTGAAGTCTGTAAGGTTAGGAAGCATGTTTTGCTGCTGCATAACAACACAACTGCTCTTCTGAAAGTAGCTGCAGCATTGACACTTAACATGTCTTCTAGCGTTGCACATGATCATAGAATCATAGAGTTGGGAGGGACCCCCCCCCCGAGGGTCATCTAGTCCAACCCACTAAGTTGTGGCTTCTTATCTTTCCCTTGCAGGACACCAGATGCTGCAGTGCCTACCTGGGGAGGGGAGGCAAATGCAGAAGACAGTTCTGACAGTGAATCCTCATTTAGTGACTGACCTCGCTGATCCAGGTGCATTTTTCCTTAAGAGCCCTCTTCGCAAGTGCTTGTGTACAAAACTTAAATCTGAAAGATTTCCTGATAGCTTGAGCCATAGAAAGTATTCTTCTTTAAAGGAATTGCTACTTTGCACTGGGGTCTTTGCATCGTCTTCCTCAGAGTTTTGAATGAAGGCCCAGTCTGTCCTGAAGGGACTGACAAGATGTGCTGTTACTTACGACATGATGGCCCTGATCTATTGTTCCAATGAAGCTCAGGGCAAACTTGGGGCAGGTGGGAGAGTAAGTAGACCATGCAAGCACGGCAGGTGGGAACAAGTGTACCAGCTCTGTCACTTTCACCCTCCACAAGTTCTGCGGGTGACCAACTCTAGCGGGGAGCCTCCTGCATTTGTGGATTTGTGTACATTCCCTGTGCCACGTAGAACCCTGATCTTCCTACACTGCAAGGAGATGGGTGCCCTCTTATTCATGGAGGGGGATCGGGACAGAGAGCAGAGCTAGCGTGCTCATTCTTGCTCTCTCCATTGGCTTTTCTGCTTATTTGTGAGTAAGGCACCCGAGAACAGCTTTGCATTTCTGATGAAGCCAAGGTGTTTCTTTGGACAATACTTACAGCCTTTTAAATTACCTCTTTATGACTGGATTCCACTACCCCTCCCTTCCTGGCAACTGTCTATATTCAGAATGCTGCTAATGCTGTTTCCTACACTGCTTTTCTTTTTAATCCTCCAGTATCGAATGAGAATTGAAAGCACCAATTGCTTGCTGCAAATATTATATTTGTCCCAGTGGTCTAAGAGCTGTGGGTACGAAGGGCAGTGACAGAAAGACTGAGGGTGGAAGATGGTGGCTCTTTCCACGAGCATCTCATACAAATCACACAGCATTGCTGCTACACCCCACCAATTTTTTTTTCCAGTGGAGATCCCATACTAGGTGCGTGCAAATCTTAAGGTAGCTCAGCGGCAAATTTTTTGCGTATTGTATCACTGCCATTGTAGTCAGCAAGCGACTTCTGTGGGTTATATCTTGTTTAGAATGTCACTCGTAATTATAATAGAAATAAAGAAATAAAGGTCCATGTTACTTAGGAGAGTAGAGCTTTAAATTCTGATGGGTAAGAAAGTTATTTTAATGCAATAGCAAAGACTTCCATGGCTTACAATTTTGAAAGATAGATACAACTAGCAAGGAGATTATCTTGTTTTCAAAAGTTTATTCAGGAAAGCAACACTCACAGAAACTGAGACCTACCATTTATTTCAAAGCATGAGTTGCCTTATAGAGGGATCTGATTAAAAAGAAGGGGCAGCCCTGTCTTAAATGAAAAAAAGCCTTTTAAGATCAAAATGCAATAGTACGTTACAAGACTGCATAAACTTTCAGAGGTCTTTTTTTGTGCAAGATTGGCTTGCCTCACTGCCTGGTGAATTTCACTAGTGATGTTAAGAACCACTTCACTTTATGGATTTAGAGCATTTCTTAAGTGTGCACACAGTGTACACTAAAATACTCAAAAAAGAACGCTAATGCCCTTCCACCCCATATATGCATAGCAGTTGTCCGTGACTTTCCAATGTGGCGTAGAGAGGTGTAAACTGGCCCTCAGCTTTTGTCCTTCACCTTTTCTCCCATCCCACCAGTGTTTTCTCACACTACCATTCTGAATTTGCTGCACATGTGCTAGCGCCGTTGTGCTTTCAGCAAATGCCAGGATAGCCATTTATGCATCAAAATCAGATCTGAGTATGAGCCAAGAAAGGCCGGGGATGCACACGCCTCTTGGTTAGGAGAGTTCCGGCTGCAGGCGTGAAGCAGAATCTCATGCAATTCTTCTGATTGGAACAAGACATTCCGGGACATTTGTTTTTTCCAAAAATATTTCGGAATAGATCAAGACATTTTGTTTCAAGCAACAAATCTAAGATGTAACCTTTGTCTAGGTCTTCATTAATCTGGTCTTCAGCAAAATGCAACTAGTATTAACAGTGTCTGCTTTGTCAGCCATAAATAATCAATCAAGTACTATTTACCATGCTGCCTAATAACACATATTGTATACTACAACACTCAGAAGTGGATTCTGTATATTTGAAAAACATGCATCTATAATTAAAATTATGTTTTGTAAGCAAATGTTTGATTCTTTGTGCAACGTGTAGATAAAATTGCATGTTTTGATGCAGCCTTATTAATTTTTATTGTCACTAAAGTGCACTGCAAGAACATTTGAAACTATCCTTCCCCAGAAGTCAAGGGAGGTAAGAGTCCGAGAAAACAAGATTGCTTAGCAGCAGAGAGATTTCTTACATCTGCAGGCAGACAGCATTTGAAACCGTGCAGTGGAGTCTAGAAATACTATTTTTCTGCACTAATTAGTTATAAATGCAGTCAGGTATTGTTTATGTCAGTTTTCAGCTGGAGAACATTGGTGGTTGATTTCAGAAATTCTCAAACTTTAAAGGAAAAGGTGGCTTCACTGTATGTGGATTAATGATGCAATGTAAGTTTAATTCCCTCCAATGTTTTTTGTAAGTATTACTGTTAATGCAAAACACAAAAAGCCTGTAGCTATTATTTAGAAACACAACAAAAACAGAATAAAGCAACCTGAGTGATTCCAGTATTTTAACAAATAATATCATTTGATACAGTTTGACCTATTTTAGGAAGATGCAGATTATACGTCTCTCATCAAGTGAGGAAGAAGTTGCACCGTTTTAACAATATAAATCAGTTTGCCAGTTTAGTTCAAACCATGGTTTGCTGTAATGTTTGTTTGAATTAAATCAAAATTAAGCACTTATATCACAATATTCGATGTAGATGTATATGCCAAGAATATGTATATGCATGTATACACTGAATATTAGTAAAAATACTTCTAGCTAGTTCTGGAACCAACTCCTTCCCATCTCTCCCCCCCCCCCCCCCATAACAAATTAGTAGCAATACAGTGGTACCTCTGGATACGAACGGAATCAGTTCCGGAGCCCCGTTCACATCTAGAAGCAAACGTAACTAGTGGTGGCACGTCTGCGCACGCGCGTGTCACTTTTCGCCACTTCTGCGCATGCGCGTGACGTCATTTTGAGCATCTGCGCATGCGCAAGCAGCAAAACCCTGAAGTAACACACTCTGTTACTTCCGGGTTGCCGCGGAGCGCAACTCGAACGCGCTCAACCCGAAGCGCATTCAACCCAAGGTCTGACTAGTTTTTTATCCCTTCTTTTTGTCAAGGTGAAGACGTTTGTGAGTTATAATGATGTTGGGAAGCCATCAGGCTGCTGAGATTGCTTTGCTCAAGGCTGACGCTTTTTAGCATCTTTCTGTTGGAACCTCTGAATCATTCAATAAGAAATTGGAAGGGAACTTTTATTTTTTATTTTTTTATCAGCTTTGCTAGCTACTGAAGAAAAAGTATTTCCCAAAACTGCTGGAATGAAGGGGGATAGATTTATACGAAGATTTAAAAATAAAAATGTTAGGCATATTTTCCTCAAAATACCATGGATTGCTTTTAGAGCTACTGTAGATTGGAATATTTGTGTAAAGCTGCAATGTTTGGCCTCACAAAGACAGGATATATTTTATGCCCTTAATTGAAATTTATAGGAACTTTAACAGCTCATCCCAACTGGAACTGGCAACTTTAGCCCCAATATGGGTCTGGAGATAGGTTACTATCTTTTTATGTGCAGTTTTATGGGAAATAGTTTACATTCAAGATGGGGGAATTAATATTTATTTTCCATATTTTGATCGCCTGCCTGCAATCTTAAAATATGAATGAAATTGCCCATTGTTTCACAGTAATTGTAAGATGTACTGTTCGTGGGAAGGCTGGTGAGCAAAGCACTTTATTTATTTAGAGCAAGTGTGGGGGACATTTGGCCCGATGGATGTTGCTGAACTACAACGCCCATCATCCCTGGCCATTGACCATGCTTGCTGGGCCTTGTAGTTTATCAACATCTAGTGGGCCAAAGGCTCCCCTCACTAAAAACATTAGGCATGAGAAAAGCCCACCAGAAATCTAATTCCTCAGCTGCCTCAGGACAAAGTCTCCAGAGCTTTGTGTAAGATCTGGAATGGAACACCTACAGAACATGATGCACCAGACCCAGGACTTTTTTTCCTAGCTGGAACTCGTCAGGACTCAGTTCTGGCACCTCTCAGGTGGGTGCCATTGCCACTTAAGAGAACGAGGGAGGAGGATATCTACATTTTTAAATATATATCCAAATTTCTCCCAGGTCTGAGGATGAATCAAGGTTTTGCTAAGGACCCGCATTCTTTTGGAGCCTACCAGAACTTCAACCACAGAAGTGGCAGCAGGTAGCAAGTCAATGGGCAACTTCAAGGCCTTTGTTCTCCCTTCTTAGGGTTCTTTATTTTTAAACCTAGCTTGGACCAGACAGCCCTTCAGACAGAGGCTTGTCCTCTGTAAAGTAGGATACACAACCATCTATATATTGCCTGACTGCGTGCTCCTGGGCTACAGGCTTTAGGTTTACAGAGTACTCTTTCTTAGAATGGAAGGGTATCTAAGTCCCACCTTTGGAAGGAGCAAATTTTATTTAAAAGATGCACTATATTCAAAAGCTTGCATGCACCAATGTCAACAGACACTCGAGAGTTTTATAGGATTTGCTGCAACCACCACAGCAACAGCTGTTTATACCAAATTAAAACCATACTTGTCCCCTAGGGTGCAGCAATAGAACTGCTAGTACATTTGCAAAGCTAAGGGTCCAGTATGGTTTCCAATTGGATGAGGGATCCTGTGTTGAGATTCTGGCATTGTAGGGGGTTGTACTAGATGACTTCTGAGGTCATTTCCGAACTCTACAATTCTATGAGTCTGTGATTCTAGATTCATTACTAAAGACAGGAATGGGAATTCTACTCATAAGGAATCCATTAAATGGGATGAGCCTTTGAAGCTACAAGCTGTCTTTTCAGACTCTTCTCGTCTGCCAGCCACTGATTTTAGGAATGTTTTAGAAATACCTGCCAGTGCATAAATGGAACTCATTTTGGTACTGGGAACCAAAGTTACAATCTCACAAAAATACTAGAATGTATTGCATCTTCCAATTTATTAAGTAATAGCATCGACTTGTCTTAGTAATGATGGTGGTGAGGATGATAGATGTGTTTTAAAAAGCAAAGTATCAGATTGGATGTAATAGCAGGGTTGCTCATTTTGATTTTAAAGACCAAGCTTGTTCTTTGAGCATTTTTAAACGTAACTCCCAACAATTTCTCACACCATAATTTGCCTTCCCATGACCTTGTTTTGGAATATACTCCATGCAGATGGTCAGTTTAACAGAAGGGATTCTCCAAATTCTGCCAATTCCCAGCTACATTTAAGTAGTCATGGAAGACTTCAGGGCATTTAGCCTCAGGGAAAAGAATTCTTCCTTTTTTCAGATCGATGTGGTAGGTACAAGACATTCTGATAGTTATATTTTGAAACAACTACGCCATGTGCTAGGCACAGATTGCTAGGCACAGGATGAGGTCTAACAAGTTAGATTTTTCCTGAGCATTTGGAGAACCACTGGTAGCAAGAGCAGAGCCAGTGTGGTTAGAGGCCTGGGAGATCAGGGTTTGAATCCTCACTCAGCCATGAATGTCACCGGGTGACCTTGGGCCAGTCACCATCTCTTAGCCTAACCTACCTCACAGGGTCATTGAGAGGATGAAATGCCAAGGAGAGGAACCATGTACACCACCTGGAGTTCCTTGGAAAATAAAAGTGGTATATAAAGGTAAATAAATAAATAAATAAATAAGAGCAGTTCAACCACAGAAACAGTTGCCAGCAGGTTTTCTCCAAACGTGTAGTCCAAAAACAGCTGGAGATCCAAGTTTGGGAAACCCTGACCTAGAAGGTGAATGTGGGCTGTTTCTTGCTGCAGGTCTTCAGACAGAGGCTGGACAGCCATCTGTTGGGTATGCTCTAGGTCTGGATTTCCTGCATTGGTGTACATCAGGTATGGGGAACCTTTGGTCCATGAGATGCTGCTGAACTATGAGCCCAGCAAGCACAGCCAATGGGCAGGGACAGTGGGAGTTGTGGTTCAGCAATATCTGGAAGGCCCAAAGTTCCCTACACCTTGACCACATGGAGTATAAGGTCCCCTCCAGTTTTATGATCCAGGGATCCAGCTTAACACCCCAAACTCATAAAAAATCAGCTTGCTGAAAACCGGAAAAATCAATTGTGTCTTTTGAAAGACTGGCAGCAATCCTTTTTTATAGAAAAAAGCATGGCACATTCTACAATTGTCATAAGCGATTTGATTTAGTCACAGTTAAACTAACCAATGATGTTAGATTTAGGCAGGAGCCCAGCTGTTTGCTAGCAGAGGGTCGGGTTTGAGAGTGCCCTGGAATGAAAAATACCTGCATGGCTTTAAATCTGTCACCAACACCAAGATTAAGACGACCGCAAAATGGAAGCAAGCACATTTGTTGACGGTCACGAAGAAAGATGGCTTTGGAGCAAGAGAGCTGAAACCACACGCTAATGCTAGCACGCTCTATTTGTTTGCTTTGCCAGGACAATATCTGTGAGCTGAATATTATGTAACACAGTATGACGACAGTGGACAAAAGCAGAAAGCAAGACACACTGCCAACTATGTGCCCCAGAACCGAAGCAAAGAAATGTCAAAGAAAAGCTTGCCTATTCTCAAGAGAACTTGCACTTGTTTGTTGGAGACAGGCTTTTTACCTTTTGTGTCCAGCTGCTTCACAAACCTACCCCCACTGGTCAGCAAGGCTCTTTAAAACAATGTTAGCAAGAGAAATGTATTCTTGCAGATCAGAAAATTCAAATTCAGGTCAGAAACCCAAGCGAACCCATATCTCTTTCAATCAGTGGAGTCATTCTCAGGCCTGATGTACAAACACTTTGCCAATCCCCCCCCCTTTTTTTGCCTTCAGGGGAGGAGGAAGAAACAACTCCCTCTCCCTGAACAACAACAACAACAAATCCCACAACAAATCTGAGGGCCACTCCAGAGGATTACACCTTGTCCTCCTTTCACCTCTTTCATGTTCTTGGCTTTGCAAAAGCCCCAAGAAGAGGTTTGCCAGAGTGCTGCCACAAGGGCCAAGTTTGGGCTTTTTAAATGCTTTTGCTTTATTGCATTTGCATTAGCAGGGGATTTTATTTGGCCCACGGTGAACAGTGTCCTGAACAAAGCAACAGACATTAGGAGTTCTATGTAAGGGATAGTGTAGCCAGGTGATAAGTGTGGCTGACTACATTCACCAGGGCTGTGGTTTTGGATCTTGGGGCCTAACTAAACACTGCACGCAAATGCATGTAACAAAATTCCCAACAGCCTTTTAAAGAGAGGGAGAGAGGGAAAGAGAAGCTGCCTAAGGAAGGGCCAGTTAGAGCACAGAGGTAGAGAAAGACTGTGTGTGTGTGTGTGTGTGTGTGTGTGTGTGTCTGCATACACAATGTACAGTGGTACCTCAGGTTACATCGCTTCAGGTTACATATGCTTCAGGTTACAGACTCCCCTAACCCAGAAATATTACCTCAGGTTAAGAACTTTGCTTCAGCATGAGAACAGAAATCGTGCTATGGCGGCAGCAGGAGGCCCCATTAGCTAAAGTGGTGCTTCAGGTTAAGAACAGTTTCAGGTTAAGAACGGACCTCCGGAATGAATTAAGTACTTAACCCGAGGTACCGCTGTATATTTAAAGCACCCTCCTGAACCCTTCATTCCTCACACAGCTACAATTCCCAGCACCCTTAAACCACAGGTCCCAACATTTATTGCCAGGGTGGTGGTGTTAAATGTGCTTTAAATGTGTGGTGTGTATACAATCAGAGGGTGCATGCTTAATCCTTCATCTCTCTGCCACAAACCATCTTCCCAAATGAGGAGGGAAAGTGCTATTGGGTGAGATTTACTGTACAGCAGGGAAGTGATAGGTGGGGAAAGGGTTAAGCACCCTGTCTTCCTCTCCTGCCGCTTTCCCCCCAATTTAGGCCATTTCTTCCCCAAGTGACTGTTTTCATTCAAGAAAGGGCACTGGGGGTTTCACTGCACACATTTACGTGTAATGTTTAGGTAGGTTGTCCCTCCGTGGGCATTTCTAATGAGATCTACAGGAGTGTTTTCCCCCTTCAAGGAAATAAATTGCCAAATGAGTCAGATGCCACTTTCCACCTGACAGGCATCTTCCAGCACAGGGCCTCATTAAGTGGCTAGTCCCTACAAAATCTCAGATTAAACGTTGTGGAAGACAACATTACCAGGTAGGAACTTCAGTGCCACTGCTTTGGTTAGTGACACATGGAACACAGTACTAAATTATGTTGGGGGCTTGTCCTGCACCCCTGGCCTACTGGCAGCAAATCTGGGGGCCAATCCACACAATCAAATTCCCAAGATCAGGAAATGTAGTTCACGGTCAATCCAGGTAGCCAAGTCTCAAGGCCAGCAGTCGGGATACAGTCCAGAGTCAAACCCGAAGCACAGCCCCATAGAGGTCCAGGAGCGTCCAAGCCAAGGCCCATCAATATGGACAGTTGAGCAGACACAGCAGCTCAGCTCTGTTTTCCTTCCGTACTTTGCATGCTGATTGCCGTATCTGGGCTTTTTGAGGCATGTGGCCCTTAACTGTTCTGAGCCTACTCCAGCTGAGGAATCACACACCTCCTTCCAAAGCTATCAAGTCCCACCTGGCCAACAAGGGAACTGGGTTGTGGGCCCTGGCCTGCCCCAGCCCATTATTATAAAGGACCCCTGAATGGTGTGTGTGAATATGCGACTATGGGGTGTGGTGCTCATCTCGCTTCAGGCTGAGGGAGCCGGCATTTGTCCAAAGACAGCTTTCCGGGTCATGTGGCCAGCATGACTAAACCGCTTCTGGCGCAACGGAACACCATGACAGAAGCCAGAGCGCACAGAAATGCTGATCACCTTCCCACCACAGCGGTACCTATTTATCTACTTGCACTGGGGTGCTTTCGAACTGCTAGGTTGACAGGAGCTGGGACAGAGCAATGGGAGCTCACTCCGTCGTGGGGATTCGAACCGCTGACCTTCCAATTGGCAAGCCCAAGAAGCTCAGTGGTTTAGACCACAGCGCCACCTGTGTCCCACCCCCATTATTATACCCTGTACTGAAGCAAGAAAACTAATTTTTCAGTCAGTACAGTTGGATGGAATGGAAGGAAGGCTGTTCCTTTCCGAGTCAATGCTCCCAGGATTAGCTGAGCAGACTCAGGCTGTTTATACATTCCATTTAATCTGCATTCAATGTGCTTATACCGCTGGCTTAGGAAGGGGTGAACACACCACATTAGCTACTATCCACATATATGCTGTCGTTTCTTAGGAAACGTTGGGTTTTGATGCATTTCCCTGCAAACCAGCATTGATCCAAATTGAGAAAAATAATGGCCCAGCTCTGTTTTAAGCCAGTAATGTGGACACAGCCTTAGTTGCACAGGGCTATGTTCATGCAGCAACAGTCATAAGGAGCAAAGGCCAAACACGCAGCCAACTTTCCACACTGCAAAGTATCAAGCAAGCAAGCATTACGTAGAGATACTGCTGGACTTTCTGTTCAAACAGGCGCACGCACACAATTCACAAAATTCCCCGCTTATTATCATATTAAAATCTTGATAACATGCTCAATTTTTATGAAAGATTGTAGGCCATTTTTAAAGCCTGCTTTTTCCTTTCAGCCTTTCGCTTGACCCCCGAGGCTGAAATCCTATATACACTTTTTGGGAATAAGCTCAACCTTACTCAGTGCAGTTTACTTCTGCATAGGGGTGTAAGATTTCAGTGTTAGTCTCATGCCCAGTTGAAACACGCAGCCCAATCCCATGCAGGACCATTCGAAAATAGGCTCCATTGTGTTCAGTTGGGCATATACTCTTTAGGGTAAGAGCCAAAGACGCACACTGTATGCGTAATTGTATTTCATGCTCTGTGGATTTCATATGCAGCAGAATAGGAGGTGCTAGCACGGAGCATACCACTTCAGAGTGGAAGTAGGGGATGCTATTTTTAAATGTCCCCCCACTTCTCTATATATTTAAAAATCCTGCAAGTAAAAAACTAGCAGAAAGGTTCTAGTTCACATCCTGTGTGTCAATTTTCTTCTTGCGGTGAGCTTTGTGGGGGTTTTTTTTCCTCACAAAGGAATATTCAAAATGCCATTTCCCCTAGCTTGGTCTGAAGTGGCACAGTCCATTCTACCAGGGCAAAACAACAACAACACCACCCCCTTGATCTGCTGCATACACAACCTCTGTGGCAAGAGAACAACCCAGTGGTGAGCAGTTGGTTAAGCTTATTCTGTAGAATCAGCTGGTGCAGCTCCAACTGGGCTTCCCAAAGCCCAATTTCCTGCCATGCAAAAATATCCTTCGAGAGCAATAGGAATCTAGTCAACAGTTTCCACATTATATGTGCGCACACATGGCATAAAAGAGATGACTACTGCTTGGCTCAAGACAACTGCCCCATTCTTTTTTGCCGAGGTGAACAATCCAAGGCAGGACTTTTGTTTCTGGCACTGGGACTCTGCAGACACCGATTAGGTTCTGTCTCCATAAATAAAGAACATAAACCTCAGCAATTTTTCTCCCGACATTCTGGTTGAACAATTTTTCACTGTTGAAGGAATAATGATGCCATGGTGAAAAACAGTCAACATGGCTTATGTAAGGGGGAAGAAGTCATGCTTCAACCTATTGGAACTATCTGGAGGCTGTCAACAGGCATACAGATCCTGGTGGCCCATTGAGTAAAGTGTCAGTAGCTTTTTAAAAGTATTCTTTAAGCTTCGTATTTGGTTTCTTACCCAAGGCCCCTGTGGTGATACAGTAGGATACCTGCCATTGAGTGGAACGTCAAAGTCTTTTTATGGTTTGGAAGCGACAGGAAATAAAGGGCAGGAATAAATGCAGTGAAACGAACTGGGCACTCAAGGCTGAATACTAGCACAAGTTATTTAAAACTGATAATCTAGAGCTCTGGTCTTCAGCAGGTGGGATGGGCGAAGATGATGAAGAAGAGTTTGGATCTGATATCCCGCTTTATCACTACCCTAAGGAGTCTCAAAGCGGCTAACATTCTCCTTTCCCTTCCTCCCCCACAAGAAACACTCTGTGAGGTGAGTGGGGCTGAGAGACTTCAGAGAAGTATGAGTAGCCCAAGGTCACCCAGCAGCTGCATGTGGAGGAGCGGGGAAGTGAACCCAGTTCACCAGATTACGAGTCTACCACTCTTAACCACTACACACTGGCTCCGGGAGCCGCTAGTGAGTCATGGAATGACCCGAGGTGGGGAGCAACAGAAGCTTTTCCGCCATGCAAATATATGGTAAAATATTAAGAAATGGATCTCCAAATGCATGTGGGTACAGGGTCTAAAAAGGTTGAAGACTACTGATCTAGAGGCAGGGTAAATAGGTCAAGCTTGCACGAGGATATATTGTTTGCAGATGATGCAGCCTTGACAGCACACTCCAAAGAAGCTCTACAGAGACTCACCATCTCTTTTGCCCAAGCCTGCATGGACTTCAGCCTGACGAAGACCAACATAGTGGGTCAGGACATCACCAGCACTCCACACATCAGCATTGAGGTGATAGATGTTTTCCCCTACCTGGGCTCCACTATAACCAGCAACCTTTCCTTAGGCAAGTATATTGGTAAGGCAGCTATGGCAATGGCTCACCTCTCCAAAAGGAGATGGTCCAAGATGAAGGAGTACCAGGCTTATGGAAGTCGTGGGCAACTTACAACCGCCAGGAGCAAAGCCTCAATGCTTTCCATATGTACCGTGTCAGGAAGATTTGGGGCATCACATAGCAGGACAGAGTCTGAAACAAAGGTGTGCTCTCCCAAGTCTGCATTCTCAGCACGTTTGCACTTCTGTCTCAGTGATGTCTACACTGGCTTGAGCATGTGCAGTGATACCTCGGGTTAAGTACTTAATTCGTTCTGGAGGTCCGTTCTTAACCTGAAACTGTTCTTAACCTGAGGCACCACTTTAGCTAATGGGGCCTCCCACTGCCGCCGGAGCACGATTTCTGTTCTCATCCTGAAGCAAAGTTCTTAACCCGAGGTACTATTTCTGGGTTAGTGGAGTCTGTAACCTGAAGCGTATGTAACCCGAGGTACCACTGTACATGGAATGGGGCGTGGCAGGATCCGCAAGGATGTGCTTTAAGGGGAGCTGGCTTCAGGCACCAGGCCCGTTGGCATACCAACTCTGTGTTGTAAAGATGTCTGCAAACATTACATGAAGACTGGCAGCATTAACTATGCTGTGTGGAAATCCCTTACAGACAGCCGCAGTGCCTGGAGACAGCCAGGTCATGTATGCACAGCGGTTTCCAGAGAAACTGGGAGGAGCACAGAGAGAAGAAATGCCACGGTGTATCTGGACACCTCCATCTGCCCCAGCTGCAACAAAACATGTCTCTCCCGTATCGGTCTCTACAGCCACAGCAGGCACTGTAACTCTCCAATGGTTTACTTTACCCCCAATGGCGCACTCTTCCCTCGTCTCTCGAGACAGATGAATGCCAACAACAACAACAACAACAGCAGCACAAGGAGGAAGGAATAAAAGATATGAGACCTCAACAAAGCAATGAAAAGTACAGAGGCTCAAATAGTGCTAAAATTGAAACTTTATCAGTGACATAATCCTTATAAAATACTGACATCTCTCTGGAAAGATGTTGTTTTCCTAGCAGAACCATGACAGAACTGAAGGTTGTATTTAGCTAAAGCACATTGGGCATTTCAATAGGATTTTCTTTCATAGCACCATTTTGAAGGTTTGCTTTTCTTTGTGCTTTTAGGCTTGCACAGAACAACAAAATATTTCAGAGCAATAAAATCCATAGGAGATTGTAAAAAGTTCTATAAACTTCCCTCCACGAGCTGCTTAGTCAATGTGATTCCATATTGTTTGCTGAGGTAACTATGGCACAATTTATGTGACCCGTCAGCTGAACACCCCACTAGCCATGCCTGACAATTAAGAGTAAAATTATTGTCAAGACACTTGGCAGACTAGCTTGGTCACTCATACACCAACTATCAGGTAACTGATAGCTACGTCTGTTGTTAAATAAATATTGCCTGCAACACTAGAGAGATATTTTAGAGCAATGTGATAATAGTTTTATTTGAAAGCCATCTGAATTAATTTTGGTGCTGGTTCAATAGGTCCTTTTTGTTAATTATTATATTGGAAGTCACCTCGGGGTGGCCTATAATGAAAATTAGTATAAATACATTCTGATTAGCAGCTGCTTTTTTCTACAAGCATAGGAAAAGGCAATTAATTTGTCTTATGGTGACTATCTGATCAGACTTCAAGCTGCCCACACATTTATTTCTTCCCAGGGAAGTAGATCAATTATTATTTAAGGATTTGGGGGCAATACACACTACCAATATGGTCCTTTAGTGCCATCTACTGTGCAGTCAAGAAAGTATTATACATACATTATTATAGACATACAAAAAACCCTTAGCAATCTGATTTGTACAAGCAGTCCCCCTTTTATTTTGTTCAGCATGTATGTTAACCTACATGCTTTTTTACATCTCAGATTTTCACCACAGATATTAATTTTGTCCTTCCTTTTCCAAAAGAACAGAGAAATGATTTTTTAAAAAACAAGAACAAAATGATTCCCCTGTCAAGTAAAGAAAAGCCTATACGTGCATTTAGTTAATTTATAAAGTTACTTCTTATGGCGCATGTGCACCCATCTCCTGGAAGTGTTTTTAGTATCACTAATGGAAAAGACAGACTTTGACCCCAGTCCAGAGCTAGTTAGCTTTTCTAACTCCTGCTGAGTTCAATGGGATGTTATTGCCAAGTAAATGTGTATAGCATAGATCAGTGGCGTAGCGTGGGTTGCCAGGGCCGGGGCCACATGGAGGGGGGGAGGTAGGGATATGGACAGAGTATGCATGCACATTCAACTGCCTAATAGCGTCACCCAGGAGATCACAGCTATAGATAAGAAGGGTCCTTCCATTGTCTGGAGAGGTCACTTCCTGGTTTGCATGGAGCTGTTTTCAGCGGCATGCGACTCTTGGAGGACTGGCCAGCACTCAACGTAGCCCTTGGCCCAAAAAAGAATGTAGCCACCCCTGTTTGATTTCAATAGGACATGTAGCCCACAAGGCCAAGTTAGCCATGACTAACTGAAGACCATGGCAGCCTGAGGACATGAGGAAGATGCCTCAGGCAGCAGATGTTGAGGGGCAGGCAGTGGTAGTGAGGCAAGGACAGAGTTGGTTGTGCCATAAACGTTTTCCTGCACCCGCGAAACTAGCTTAGTGCCCTAAGGTGCAACAGAGGCAGCTAGTGCTGAAGTAATATTCAATGGTTAGTTTCTGTAGCCAGAACATCTTATTATTTTATCTGAAGCAGCGAGAAGCCTTGAGCAAGCCTTGCTGAAGCCCCTTTATGTTCAAAAAGGACCTGAACCACAACAACCTCGCTTTAAATCAGGGCCAGTTTATTTCCTAATACATAAAAGCAGACATTACTATCCACAATGAATACTAGGCATTTTAAAACACAATCTTAAGCACAGTCAGTTGAAAGAAAGCCCCACCAAGTTCACCAGTGGGACCGAGTTCACCAGACTGCAGCCTGAGTTTTACTTTGAGGCCATCGTGACTTCCAACAAATAGAAGGCAACAGTTGTCGAGGAGGGATGTCTCTTCCTCTCCTTTTTTTCCAGAAGTTAACGTTTTTCAGACATTCTCATTTTTAAAAATGAAACTGGAAAGAAGTATTTAAAAATACAAAAAGGATTTAGAACACAGGTTAAAAGGGGAAACAAGGCACATGGGGATATTAGTAAAAGTAAAAATAGTCTCTCCCTTGACTATGATTAGGCAAACTTGCAGCGTTGATCCACCAGGTTTGCGTCACACCAGATTTTACCGTTCTGGAGTCTCCCCAACAGTTTCTTTAATGCCCTAGACCCCAGCTTCTATGATTCAAACTATAAAAAGTGGTCATAGGTTTCCATGTAGCTCTGTTGATATCCGTATTGTAACTCCCTGGAACAAAAAGAGAATGAGAATAACCCGTCACTACAAAGTACTGGCTACACATGTGTTACATGGTGGACAGGCATGTAGACAGAAAAGTGAAAAAATATTTGGCATTAGTAGAAAAAGGTTTGCTTCATCTAGTATTTGAAGAGAGCTGGGGCCCCAATCTTAAATATAATTTAAATTCAGGCAAAGCTAATAAAATTGACCTCATCCCAAAACAGACTGGCTACAACCCAAAGTCATGCATACGTGTATCTATGGTGAACAGATTTTGTTAAAAAAATGCACCTGTCTACTGCCAGAATTGGCAACTAAAGGCTGGGTACGGGCAGTAGTTTTTCAGAAACTCGAATGTGTCTGAAACTGCAGTACTTTTTTCCAGTTCGGAATTAATGGCCAAAATTATCCCCACTGCCGCTCTTTGTACCTTAGGGTACCATATGCTGAAACCACCATTTTCAGGGACAAATAGGGGTCATGCAGAAATGATAAGAGGGCCTTTTGGTTCAGACGGTGGAATTCCGTTCCACTAGAGCTATGTGCAACCCCCTTGTTGACATCTTTTTTGTCGCTGAAAACACAGCTGCTCTGTTTGAAATAGGAGGGTTAACAAGGTTATTGTGCTGTTTGTTTTGCGACAATGTATTCTGCTGATGGTCATTATTGTGAATTTATTGCTCTGTTCTATTTTGCATTTTATCATTAATAACCTTTGTTGAAGGGCATCTACAAACTGCAGCTGCAGCAGGTGGATTTTTGGCAGCATACTGGCATGGGCCCTTGATCCAGATTTAGTGTGTATTCTGGAGCATGCGCCCCCATGGCTGCTTTTTCTTAAGAACAAAAATGATGTTTAAAGCAATATGCTTATGGCAATGTACAGTTTGGCCCTCAGACTCTGAAGCCCTTTTGCTCTGAACATGAAACCTTTTGTTCTGCCATACCCACCTGAAAATCTCCGATGAAAGTTAAGAAGAAGAAAACAAAACTGAAGGCTACTACCCATTCGCAGATTGCACTCACAAAATGAAACACGTAATCCTAATGGAAAGGATAAATAAAAAGTAATTCTAAACACTAAACATGGCAAACAGAAGGCAAGTCAGACAGGCAGATACCAATTAATGTATACACCAGGAACACAAAGGAGATGCCTATTTTTATTTTGGAGAAATACATTTTTTTGTTGTTTTTTTAAATTTTAAACTCCTTAGAACAATTACATTGGAGACACTGAGGTTCACATTTCCTTGTTAATCCTTCCGAAATTTTGAATTATTTTATTACCGTTTTTTCTCTCTTTCTTTGATGGGTATTGCTTTAAAGACTTTTTCCCGTCTTGTAAGAAAAGCTGTTGGGTCCCTTTACCTTTAAGAAAAGCTGTTTAAAAAAATAATAATCTAGATTTTCAAAATACCCTATTGGTCACTTGTTCAGTATTTTGCCATTTTAAGATTTTGAAGTTTTATGATGTTTTTAATTATTTTACTGCATTCCGCCTTGATATTTTTTTGACCTGGCTGTTTACAAATATTCAAATAAATAAAGCCCCTCACACCTCAGGATACAAACATATTGAATCATTAGGGATTACTTTCACCCATTTACACTCTGTAGCAAGATTGTGTAGCAAAGTGCATTCTCCCCACCCCACCCCCTTTTTTTATTTTTATTTTATGAGATTCATAAGGCACGTGCTCCCTCTTGTGGTATATCATACCCACAGAAATACTTGCAGAAATTAGGAATTTCCAGCGAGATTAGTCTGTTGCTGCAGCAAAAACAGAGTGCCTTGTTGCTCCTTAAAGGCTAACAAACGTATTAAGGTAAGAGGTTTTAATGGACTAAAGCCTGTTTCTTTAGATGCATGAAGACAGTGAGGCAGACAAACGCATCATCAGGTCCGCTCCAGTCAAGACTGTTCCCCTCACTGCAACCAATTTCACAGTATTCTCTTTTCTTTTTTCTTTTCTTTTGGTATTTTAAAATTGTAAACCTCCCCTCTGGGTGCCTCGGCAAAAAGGCTGCCTATAAACGCAGCAAATAGTGTTATCCTCAGCAGGCAAGTGCATATATACGGGTGCATAAGCAGAAATTTGCAGGCAAGCACCATCACAATTAAATTCATGATGCTGGCATCTGTCTGTCTTGGGAGACAGTGGAGGATTGCAGCTTTGGGGGTGAGGTCAAGCTGTTGGAAGGTTGCAGCGCCTGCTGTGGCTGTAGAGACCAGTGCAGGAGAGACATCTGCAGCTGGAGCAGATGAAGGCGTCCGGCTGTGCTGCTACAGATGCACCATGGCGTCTGAATTTAGTGCACATCTCCTGAATTTAGTACGTATCCGCCTAAAGGTAGGATCAGTGCTGATTATGCAAACTCCTTCATTTATACCACTTCAAACCCCATGCACAGCCTCCAAAACCCAAATGTGTAGCTTCTCACTCCTGATTCCTACACAGATGTTGTCACTGAACCATTTCATTCCCAAACTGAAACAGGGCTGCAGCAGCTATAGCAAACCTTAAACCTTAGCTGAACACCATGTTGTACCAGGAAGAGGGAGCGTCTCCACCCCCATCGTTCAGCCCGGACACTGAGGTCCAGCTCTGAGGGCCTTCTGGTGGTTCCCTCACTGTGAGAATTGAGGTTACAGGGAACCAGGCAGAGGGCCTTCTCGGTGGTGACGCCATGTGGAACGCCCTCCCACCAGATGTCAAGGAAATAAGCAACTATCTGACTTTTGCAAGACATCTGTAGGCAGCCCTGTTTGGGGAAGTTTTAAATGTTTGATGTGTTAATCTGTTTCAATATGGGCAGGGTATTATTATTATTATTAATAATAATAATAATAATAATAATAATAATGTGCTTTGCTCATTCTGACCCCAAGTGTAAGGAGCCTACTCGCAGCAAGGAGAGGAGCATTACTGCATCTCCAAACACAAAGGCGAAAAGCCTGCTTTTTGCTTGCTGCGCTTGATGATACAAAAGGAGATTCTGACAGCTCTGGCCACCCAGTGGAATGAGTGAATAAAATAGGAGCAGAGGTAAGTAACAGTGTATGCCCTGCAATGCCCTTTTTTTTGGGGGGGGGGATATGTGTCTCCCCCTCTGTATCCTGATGTTGGCACACCTATGCATTCTCAGTGCTAACTTAGAAAGAAAGCTCATCTTGTTCTCAATTTACCTATCACCAGCGTTAAACATGCCTAGATATTAAAATGTACGTACATTCTTTTGCATTATATTAAGTATCACAAAACAATATGGCAGCTTTTATAACTATGGCTATCTATGTAAATGCAAAATGATTCTTAGCCTTGCACAACTTAGCTTAGTCTGTGCAGCTTCAAACTTACCAAAGTTAAGTCCTTTGTTGTCTACTTTTGCCTGTCTTAATTTGAAAGTATTGAACAACCAAACAAAATGGAAGAACGATTGTATTTTTTTACTTAGTATACCTTACCTTTTCGCCTGGATTCCACTCAATCTTTGTTATGGAAACTAGTGAAGCACACGCAATCACTGGAGGAGAGGGTGTTAAAGGGAAACAACTGATTTAAAATGTAATGCTATTTTTGGCTTGTAATGCAGCAATACGTAATTATTCACACAGAGGAATGGAACAGTCAGTGGGAGCCAGCACACAAACATACACAAACTTCCACAGACAATTGCAAGAAGTATGACGCACGTCTCATTTTAAAATTTATACAGCCACGAATGTTTGGTGCATGGTCATGTAAGAAAGTTCACCAAACAGGAAAACGGATGAAGTTAGTATCCGGTTTAGATTTTAAATGCCTAAATGTTGTTTTTTCCCCTCTGGTCACAGACTTTTTATTTCAATGATAGGACCTTTGATTGATTGATTTTTTAAAAAAAATGTTTACAGTTCTCCAAAATGATATGAACTGTAGGTTGACAAATCACAGTCATTTCAGGAACTTTTATTACCATCAAATCTCAGAGTAGCCACACATGCAATTCTGTCCTCAGAACTGTTTTGGAATAAGGACTTATCCACACTTCCTCTTCCCTGGGGAAAACTTGCTCTTTACTGCTGAATCGGAGCAAACGTCAGCTGGGTTTCCCACGGATTGCTACTGGTTCTGATTTATTGCTAAAGAGTGGGGTTTCCAAGGGAAAGCAGCAGGGCAAAGGCAAAACCGCTTGCAATCTATGGCCTGATGACCTTGGTGATTCTCAGTAGTCTTGTTATTTTACTCTCATGGTTGGTACCTCTGATCTCTACTTGTTGTGACTGCATAATTTCATCCATCCCTGAATAATAACCAACACGAGCAAACAGCCCTTGATCATCCAGGGATTCTTTTCCTTGGTTTTATTGTCAACCATGCTTTGAGTGCAACCAAGCTTGCACAAACCCTTAGGTCATATAACCGAATCACGAGAAGGAAATAAATTCAAAGGGCCAATACCTCAGAACCAATGATCACGTAAACAAGACCCTAACTCCAACTCTCAACATTACTTAAATTTTATGGCTGTAATCGTCAAATCATCCCATTCTTAGTAGTCTGCTAAGCCTCAATAACAGAAGATCTAGAGAATAGCAGAATGAACATGTTACTTTCAGTGAAGGCATTTCAAATAACTGAATGCAATAGGAATGGGTTGTTGTTGTTAAGGTAGATTATTCATGCTTTAAACAGGCATACTGAAAAGGATACTGGGAATGATAGCTACCCAAGTCATTATACAGAAGAACAGCCTTGTGTGACACGCACACGAACTGCTCCATTGTGGATGCGACTTGTAAGAGATTACAGTCTGAAGCACAATGTACAGAGCGCCAGACATAAAAGCTAAAAGAGCACCTCCATCGTGGACAGCAGGAACTGTTAGCTCCTGAAAAGACAATTGGAAAAGCATTATCTACGATTGCAATTTCGCTAATGAACACAAAAAGCAGACTGATACTGCAGAGGGTAAACACGAGAAGACAGACTGGATTTGTTAATATCTCAGACTGAAAAGAAACCATGAAACTTTGATGCATTGTGCATCCCTGTTCTCAGAATTTTCCATATGGTTCCAGGACAGTCAAAACTGCACAGAAGAGCTGTGATGCTTTATGGTTTACACATGTTATTCTTTGTTCTCTTCCTTTTTGTTATGCTTGCACTTCTTCTTTTTCAACAGACCAATTAAAGGATAGGGGAGAACCACCACATAGAAAAGCAATGTGACCTTGTTTTCCATCATGCTCATTTTATGCAACCAATAATTATTTTCTGCAGAATATCCACAGTTCTGTGATCAAGATCCTGGCTTCAGAATCGAAGGGTGAGATTTTGGTTCTTGTTATTTGCTAGTTGGCCTTGAACAATCTGCTTAACCTTGCTTGACTTTGGCATCTGCACATGAAGTTAATTACCTCATTCACTCTTCTCATATCTTATGCTACAAATTCTTGCAAAACCTAAGGGGCACAGCTTCTAAATATATAAAAGGAAATGTCACAATGTGAAGGGTTAAGGACAATTTGACTTGTCCACTTGCTAATTCCGCACAGCAGTGCATTAATAACCATGGGAAAGCATGAAACTAGCAACACAACCCACAGATTTAAACAAAACAATCAAGCAATGGAATTTTGTCTTTGTTTAGCAGCTAGCTACTCTGAACAGGTATCTGGACACAGCAATGGGCTGGAGGAGGGCTCAAGCCATCAACATGTGTGTTAACTGGCTGCCAGGTATATAATAAATTGTTTCTAAAATGCCTTCTCTCATTTATTTCCATAGCATCATTTGATGCCATTAGATCTTCCAAAGGAACATTGTTGGGAGAACCACATTTTGTTGTGGTTGTTGACTATCTGTAATAGTGACAGACACCTGGAATTATCTGCCCTGCACTCCTTCAATAGCCACCACGTGCCTGTCATTCAGTAAACCAAGAAACAGTCTTTAGGAGGACTTTGACCTCTGGATGAGAGAGTCATTGCATTGCTCCATGCAGTATCAGTTCCAATTCTTGGTTGCTGATTTGCCCAGAGGTTTCGTTTTTGGTTTTTTAAGGACTAGCTTTAGAATGTGATCTATATATGGTATTCTTAACTACTTGTAGGCCAAATGAAGGAGAAGCAAAATATCAATTGAGGAAAGACAGACAAAAAGGTAAATTTAATTTGGGCCTACCTGAAAGCTTGCAACAATGCCCATTCCAACACAACCTATCCATCCAACAAACAGTGATAGTAAATTGAAACAGGGGGAAATGAAACGTGTCACTTCATTTTGCTCCTTGACAATTAGGTATCTTGCATACATCGTAACTGCACCTTTTTTGGAAAAAAGTCAAAAACGTAAGTTATTAAGAAATTGAGACTACGTTGTACAACGAAGGGAATGCGTACTGAAGAATAAATATGGATGATTGCCAGAGAAGCTGAAGGAAGTCCAAAAAGAATTAATTTGTTAAAATTTGGATAAAATTGCATAATTGTGTTGGAAAACTCATAAAAAATTATTTGGGAAAAAAAAGAAATTGAGACTAAAAGAAAATCATTCAACCCACTTTGATCTGATCCTAACAACACAAGGGAAGAAAGATTCTCCATCCTATTCAGATAATTTATATGCTATAAAGCTCTTCTGCGCAACACAATGAGTAAAAGGTGGAGGCCTCAAAGAATGCTTTTCATTTCAGCTCCCAACATTCTGTCCCATTCTGGAACAACCAAGAGCAGAACCTTGGGCGGGGAACACAGATGAAGGGCAGAAGTTATGCAGATTTGATGATCTAATGATTGGGACAACCTGGGCTAGTAGCTAAGCTTACTCTTCGGCCCCAGGGATGCACCCCTTTAATTTCTTCCATGTACAAAAACAGTTGCTAACCCACCCTGTGGGAAAATGTAATATACCAATTTATTAAAAGATGTATATTCCATTATTTCCAAAGAAAACCAAGGTGACTAACAAAAAGATCAAAACAAATCACAATGCAGGATGAAACAATACAGCTACTTAAAAAACCTAAACAAATTACTAGAACTCAAATGACCAAAGTCTGACTCGTGCAGGATCCATGCAACTCACAGTTCTAATGACTTTCGCAAAACGGTACTTCAGAAAGGGCTAGCGCTTGGTCTTAACCTTTCTCCATCCCCTCTCCAACATAGGCATTTCTTGGAAATTTGTCACAGAAAGCCTACTTCCCTTCCTAGTTTCTCTGAATGCCAGAATTCAGAAACTACCCTGGATTAAAATTTATAAAGCTAACATTGATGATAAAATTCACTTTAAGACTACTGGGTTTGGGCTGACTTCTAGCAGCCAATACCACATAAATCCAGAGCAGAGAGAATATGCTGCATTTTTTTGTGGTTTTTCCTATCTGAAAATATGTGCCCATTTTACAGGTAATCATTTTTACCCAATCAAGTCTTAGAATGAGACAGACTAGAAATTTTAAATTAAAAATGTAATAACAGACACATACATACATACCTAGGAATGCTGAAATGTTAATCATAAATCCAAAAATACCACTTTCTGGAGGTTTTGCTCCTGTATCACTAAAAAAACAAAAACATGCAGTTATAATATACAAGGAACACATTTAAATCTAACTGAAATAATAATGACAGTCACTTTTACGGCATTTTTACTGGGAAGGTTTATTAAATACCATGTAATATCCATACTCCTTTAGAAGAAGAAAAAAGAAAAACAGCTTTGCTAATCAAGTCAGAGAAACATTAACCAACATTACACTGAAGTCAATGAAACATGTCTAAAAATAAGTAAGTGAGTAACACCTTGAACATAACCACATTTATTTAGAAGAAAGTTCCATTGACTTCATTTTCAGATTTACCAGCAGATCTGTATGCTCAGGTTTGCAAACTTGAATCAAACTTGCAGCCTGATTCTATACACATATATTTTGGATTCAAGTTCAGTTTTGTTCCATGAAAAGCTGCTCTGGTGCACATTATTAAAGTAGAATACTCCCAGTATCTCTGAGGTGCATTTGTATTAATAAGCAAGTCCCTTTTTATTTATTTGAATTTCTGCAGGGAGGGGGTAGTGACTCATTTTCCCTTTGTTTCAAAATCTGTTCTTGCCAGTGTAGATCCTTTAAAAAAACCACACACCAAAAACCAATCAATTTTATCAGGTTATAATCTAGAGATAGGAATATAGCCATTCAAATGAGTGGGCTGCTGATATACTATTATCATCAGTGTTATGTACTGAAAATGTTCACCCACAACTTAACAATCAGCATAGCTAACAGCCCAACAGATTGATAATTCCATCAGTGCTGAGACACTTATCAACTGTGAATGGTGTAAGACTGTGTGAGAGAGGAATGAACTGTCTTCCACTCCTCCAAATACATAATTCGTGGTGGTGTCCAAACTGACAGTGCCTGAACTCCCCGTCATGCTGGGACTTCATTTACATTTCCTGATTCATTACTGGAAATTCCATATTTGGTCCATAGTCCTTGAAGCAAATATCTGAACCTGGAAAACAAGCACGCTGCATCCTTATGAATGTGTGATTTTAAATTTAGCAAGAGATATGCAAATGGAAATCAGCCTGAATGTGTGTGCTGGTCTTACTGCACAATCTTTCTATAGCATTCTGCAGTTTACTTTATCTGATTGATTGCTAAGCAAGCCAACTTCAAACAAAGTTGGTTTGTTTAACTCACTAAAACCAGGATTCCTGGTTTGCATGCAGTGCTAAGCATGGGATTCTTTGAAACTGAAAGTAAACTTTGCAGATACAAACTCCCTGTCAGTGCCAACCATCAGCTGGGTTCCCCATACAGTACTTTATTTATTCATCTTTTAGAAACACCCTTACTTTTATTTTAATCCGCAGGATTTTTTTAAAAAAGTGTTAAGAGTCACAAATTAATTATAAATAAGCTCTAAGTAACTTGGTAGACAGCAGAAAACTCATGTCCCAAGTGACTCACTTGGGACAAATCTGAAGTACTTCTTCAATTAGAGACTGGCCTATATTACCTAAATACTAAACTGAACTGCGATCACTTCAAAGTCTTTGAAGAGCATTAGGTAAGATGAGAATGGAATTTGCACATGACCAATGTGCAATTTGAATTTCTTCTTGGAACACTTAATGGTTTAAGAGCATCACAAATAATTAAAATTGCATTGAATGCCATTCATTTTTATTTAAACCTTTAAAAATTGGGTTTATGCATGAATTACAGTGTTTGAAAGATTGTCATTAAATAACATCTATAATGTGATTAAATTTTAACTATGCTGTGAATTGTGCCTAAATGACAAAACAGTGAGGAAGAAGAAACATAAACATTTAACTTAGAAAAACTGCATCCAGGAAACTAGTAATAAGACATTCTGGTTCTGACATATTATTTTAGGCCCGTGGTTTTCAACCAGGGTGCTGTGGCACCCTGGGGTGGCTTGAATGATGGCCAGGGGTGCCACAGGCAACACTGGCCTCTGTCCCTCTTTCCTCCTCTCCCACCTCTGGTTCCTTCTTGTGTCTCTGCCCCTCAAAGGCTTGCGCAGCTGTTTGTTGCAGGAGCCCTGGCTACAAGCTCCCCAGGCGAATGGTGCTTCTAGGACCGGGAAGGGGTGCTTCCCAGAACCCTATGGGGCAGTGTGAGGAGGCACCTCTCTTTTGGTGGGGGGTCAGCTCAGAGACCAGGGGAGGACTCCCAAGGGGAGGGGAGAGGAGAGGAGGCTGAGGGAACACTCCACAAGGGAGGGTGTTCAAAAAAGGATGAGAGGCTGCCAGCTCTGCAGGCAAGGGGTGACATAACAGGGCTCCTGTGCCCCACAGGGATGCCACAGAAAGAATGCAGTTGGTCAGGGGAGCCACGGACTCAAAAAGGTTGAAAACCTCTGCCATAAACCCACATTTATGTGGTTTTCTGTACAGACAAGAAAACACTTGCATAACTTATCCATTTCTGCTGGGATGAGTTCTTGAGTCATACTAGCGATCACAACTTTGTGATGGTTTGCAGTTGTTGCACGCCACCCCAATCTGCAAGCGTGAGGCTCCAGGGGTTTATCCAGGGGTTTGTAATCCTCCATTAGATTTTAACGCCTGCTGGATCCAGGAACTTGAGAATACAGCCTAACGCCTTCCCCCAATTAAAAAAAGCGCAGATAATTGTGGATTTCCAGTAAAATGGATTTCCATAACTTTTATTCTTTCTGTTACAGTGCTTCAGTAAGCACACATTAGCTATAAAATGGCTTTAAACCATATCAGTAATGATTTCCCTCCTTTTTACAGATATCTAAAAAGCAATACAGTGGTACCTTGGGTTAAGTACTTAATTCATTCCGGAGGTCCGTTCTTAACCTGAAACTGTTCTTAACCTGAAGCACCACTTTAGCTAATGGGGCCTCCTGCTGCCGCCGCGCCGCCAGAGCACGATTTCTGTTCTCATCCTGAAGCAAAGTTCTTAACCCGAGGTACTATTTCTGGGTTAGCGGAGTCTGTAACCTGAAGCTTATGTAACCTGAAGCGTATGTAACCCGAGGTACCACTGTATAACAAAAGCTCTGGTCAGAAGTCAGTTTCCACTGTGTTAAGGGGAGACACAACCAAACAAAAATAGCTGTTCCAAAAAGCTTAACTTTGAGGCAGGTTTTTTTGTTGTTTTTTTAAGGCTTGAAATTAAGCTTAAACAAAGGTAAGGCACTACAAAGAAAAGTTATGGCCAGCTTTGCTTTTGTTCATTTATTTGTCTCAGATTGTAGGGGCGTGATGAGCCAACACATTGATCATTCAGTTCATGCAGCACTTTCCATTCTACCCTCATCTTTTAAAGTTTTAAGATCAACTCAATGTATGTGTATTCTACTCTCTTGGGCCTAGCATGAGAGACACAGCAGAACAAGTAAGGATATATATATATATTGCGCTTTCATGTGCTTACATACTGATTGGTTCAGCATTATTATCAGGCATAAAGACAACTAACTAGGGCCGGGCCACGAAAGATATTCCCGGGTTTCCAGAACCAGCACGGTCATGAGAAAAAAAGAAAGTGTGTACAATTTTATTGAAAAATTATAGGAAAAAATAGGCAATAACCTTATATTTGAAAATATGCGTCCTGGAATTAGTCATGTTGCCAAGGGGCCATACCACAGAAACCAAAAACTTTCTACTAAATATGAATTGCACAGAGGAAATCCCGTATCTGCGTATGATTCCATGTCCGACACTCTCTCTCTCTCTCTCTCTCTCTCTCTCTCTCTGTGTCATCTCACTAGATGCTGTTAAGTAGTACAGTAACCAATGATGCCCAGGGAAAGTATCCAAGTTTCTTTCTTCCACTGGAGACCAACTTTACGGCAGGGTCAGTTTCCTTAGCAGCAGAATGGCAACCGCTGCGCCATAGGAATACAAAACATTTCCCTTAAGCTTAAGCGTGTTTGAATACACCCTCTTAGAATCATAGAATTGTAGTGTTGGAAGAGACCCCCCCCCCCGAGGGTCATCTAACAATAAGCAGGGTTGCTATTTTCCTTGACGAAAGGTCTGTGGCTTTCATAGCTGCAAGCCAGGAAGAAAGTCAAGTGCTTGCTGCACTGGTAACAAAGGAAAGACTAGGAAAGCTTCGATTTTGTGTTTCTGCAAATCTTGCAGCTGCCATGCACAGAACCCTACATAGATGGGATAATTTCACAGTCAAGTGCTGTTTTCTCCACCACAAGTTCAAGTCCCAACAAATTCAGTGGGACTTGGGTTGCAATCCTGACCCACTTATCTAGAAGTCCTACTACTTCTGAGTAAATATTGTTAGGATTACACCGCTACCTCTACCTCAAGCTGCAATACACTATCCTAAGTATACTTTACCTGATGTGATTTCTTATAGAAACAAACAGGGTTAAGGATTGGGTAATAAAAGTTGAAGTCTCGTGCACCCTTACTTGGGAGTAAGCCCCACTAAAATCAGTGGGATTTATTTCTGAGGAAAGACACATAGGATCAGTTAAACACATGAGATACAACAATATGCACATTTACTCAGTAGGTCTTAGTCCTTCAGCAAACTGTTACTGTCCTGTCACAACTTGCTGTTAGTTATGGGTTCCTCAAGACAACCTGTTTACTGAGCGTTCAGCCTGATTTGCTTCACAAGGTTTAAGTTAAGTCTTGAGCATTCATTCTGTTTGGTCCGTGGGATTTTTATATGACAATCAGCATTCCATTAAAGTTGCGATCCTAAACCCACTTTCTGGAGACTATAAATCCCACGGAAATCAGTGCAGCTTACACACCAGTAAGCTCCCTTAATCAAATTGGTGAGTGCTTTAAACCACATCCTTAACCTTTGGAATTGAAGACCTCACAGGCCAGGCCTACAAATGCAGCAGAATGTGGGATGCAACAGGCATAGGCAAACTCGGCCCTCCAGATGTTTTGTGACTACAACTCCCATCATCCCCAGCTAACAGGACCAGTGGTCAGGGATGATGGGAGTTGTAGTCCCAAAACATCTGGAGGGCCGAGTTTGCCTATGCCTGTTTGAGACTGTCGTAAGGAGACAACACTTTTGAATGCTTCACTATGTTTAAAGATCAAACGAAAACCTCCAAGTCAAGAATTAGCACATAAAGTACAAATACTTTAACCCAGCCATTTCCCCATACCACACCGCTTGTCTACTTGCCAGTATGATCCCTCTTGTATGAAGTGGTACAGTCCACTCCAATCATCTCAGAACATTACCACCAGACTCCCTTTCCCTCTGGGCCAGTTTATAGATCCAGCAAACTGAAATAGAATCATAGAATTGTAGAGTTGGGACCTCAAGGGTCATCTAGTCCGACCCCCTGCAAGCCAGGAATCTCAACTAGAGCATCCATGACAGATGACCATCCAATCTCTGCTTAGAAACCTCCACTGAAGTTGAGTCAACCATCTTCTGAGGGGGTCCATTCCACTCTATGACAGCTCTTACCATCAAAAATTCCTCCTAATGTTTAGTCGGAATCTCTGCTCTTGTAACTGGAAGCCATTGGTTGTCATCGTCCCCAATAGCCTGGGCCACTTAAAACAGCATGTGGACAGTTGCATGTCAAAACACTCCCTACATGAACTAAAACTCCCTGCTTACAGAAAGTGAGAATGTCAGGGAGAAGCACCTGCCTTCTCTTAAAGGTCAAGCTAGCTTTCTATATGCAGGGAGTTGCCCCGACTCTCCATACAGGCAGCGTTTAGACATAAGGGACGCGGGTGGCGCTGTGGGTTAAACCACAGAGCCTAGGACTTGCCAATCACAAGGTTGGCAGTTCGAATCCCCGTGACAGGGTGAGCTCCCGTTGCTCAGTCCCTGCTCCTGCCAACCTAGCAGTTCGAAAGCACGTCAAAGTGCAAGTAGATAAATAGGTACCGCTCCGGTGGGAAGGTAAACGGTGTTTCCGTGCGCTGCTCTGGTTCGCCAGAAGCAGCTTAGTCATGCTGGCCACATGACCCGGAAGCTGTACGCTGGCTCCCTCGGCCAATAAAGCGAGATGAGCGCTGCAACCCCAGAGTCGGTCATGACTGGACCTAATGGTCAGGGGTCCCTTTACCTTTACCCTCCAGGGGTCAAGAAAACCTCCCCCACTTGATCTGGCATGCCTGTGATCGGATGCACTAGCTTCCCGCTACACGTGTGTACCCAGCAACCCCTCTACACGGGGGTGCCACTCTGTCCAATGGTTCTCCGACAGAGGGCGCCCTCCTCCTGCTCCCCCCAGCAGGGGCTCTTACCTGATGTACGGGAACAGCGGCTCCACGTGGCCTTCGAGGACAGCGATCACGTAGGAGATGATGAAGGAGGCCGAAGACCAGATGACCAGCAGCGTCGGAACGAAGGCCGCTCCTTGAGTGCAGCAGGGCATCCTGTGCTGCTGCCACCGCCAGCGGCGCCCCCTAGGGATCAGCGGCTGCCTCTCCCCGCCGCCAGGCATGGAGGCAAGAGAGGCCGCGCCGGCTGGCGGAAGCGGAGAGCAGCCTGGCAGGCGAGTGAAGTCACAAAGCGCCTGAAGTCACAAAACTTTTAATTGGGAGGCCAGAGGCGCCGCGCGCGCGCACACACACACACACGCCTTTTCTCCCTCCTCGCGCGAGCTTCGTGGAAGAGAACTAGGACACGCGCAGACACGACCGGTCCCGCGCTTTCCTCTGCAGCCGCCTCCTCCGAGTTGCTTCTATTCGCAGCTCAGTCCGACGCCCTTTTGGAAAGAGAGAGAAAAGGAGAGGCCAGCGAGGTCTCTCTCGCTTCCTCCCACACACCTGCAGAAAGTTATCTCGCGCAGAGAGCAGGAAGTCTCTCTCTCTCTCTGCCTTCAGAGAGCGCAAGTCCAACCTCTAACCGAAGCGAGCCGAATTCCCCTCACAATCCCAATGCTGTCCTTTTCCAGGAAAAAGCGAATTCCGCTCGCATTCATCACAGTTCCGTTCTCCAACCCCCACAGAATCCTCCTCCTCCTCCTCCTCCTCCTCCCAGCCCCATTCATAAAAACTTCCTCACACAAAAAGTTTTTGGTTTTTAAACTGGAGAAGCTATTCAGATGAACTCGGTTTCCCGCCTTGCACAAGTCCGGGTCGTGGTTTGCCCGGGCAGCGAGAGACGATTGCTGAAGTTCATAGGCGCGCAAAGTTCTGAGCGGGCATCCTTGCGCAACACAACGCGGCGAAAACGCTTCCTCGCGCAGCCATAAAGCGGAACTTTTCGGAGCTCGCCTCTCGACAACCTCAGCAAACCGGAGGGAGGAATTCCCCCCCCCCCCCCATTGCTGAGATGTTTCTGGGATATTGTGCAATTCAGTTCTGTTTTTTAAAAAAGCACGCGCTTTCCTGCCTCTCGAGTTCATCACCCGGGCATGAGCCTGAGAAAAAAAAAAATCCTGCATCCTTTCACCAGGGAAGCAAGCGGGCCTTTCACTTTCGTTTCTATTCTTCAGTTAGCTTCTTCTTTTTGGCTCTCTTTTACGAAAAGAGGGTGAGGGAGAGAATTCCCATTTAGCTAACACATGAGAGGGGCTCTAAATCATGAGTCACAATCATGCGAGAAAGCAATGAGGATGGTTGAGAAAGCCCCACTATTTCTCAACACCCTTCCGCCTGGCCTAATGAATGGCTATCTTCTTTTTGAATTAAATTTGTCAGCAAGCATTGACATAAGAGTAAAAATACAACTAGTGGCCACCAAATAAAACATTTTACACAACGGTACAAAATATTTCATTGCATCTGTCGGAGTTTACAAAAAAATATTCTTGGTAGTGAAAGTCATTGCAAAAATGTTAAGATAGCCCACTCCAACTCCCACCAGCCCTGGCCAGGCTAAAGGTAAAGGGACCCCTGACCATTAGGTCTAGTTGTGGCCGACTCTGGGGTTGCGGCGCTCATCTCGCTTTCTTGGCCAAGGGAGCCAGCGTACAGCTTCTGGGTCATGTGGCCAGCATGACTAAGCCGCTTCTGGCGAACCAGAGCAGCGCACGGAAATGCCGTTTACCTTCCCGCCGGAGCAGTACCTATTTATCTACTTGCACTTTGAGGTGCTTTTGAACTGCTAGGTTGGCAGGAGCAGGGACCGAGCAACAGGAGCTCACCCCGTCACGGGGATTCGAACCGCCGACCTTCTGATCGGCAAGCCCAAGGCTCTGTGGTTTAACCCACAGCGCCACCCGCATAGAAAAGGGTAAAAGGAATTCCACAACTTCAGGAGGGTCATAAATCCCACATACTTGTGTACTCAGACTCTCCAAGACAAAGAGTCCCTATTTTCCAGGTCCCTATGCACAGGCTCACAATCTTAAAAATGTGCTTTAAAATTGTGCAGCTGCATTAAAAATTGGGGAGTCCATCAGGGACCACATATAATTACTCAGTACAGTACAGTACAGAACAAAGTTATGATTTATATAGGAATAAAATTAGAAGGAAAAGCAGAAAGATTAGATTGATTAGACAGAAGTTAGATCAGGCATAGGCAAACTCTGGCCCTCCAGATGTTTGGGACTACAATTCCCATCATCCCTGACCACTGGTCCTGTCAGCTAGGGATGATGGGAATTGTAGTCCCAAACATCTGGAGGGCCAGAGTTTGCCTATGCCTGGATTAGATTGATGTATTCCCTGATGTTCTTTGCCTTTTATACATCACGGCAGTCTGTTTGTTTGCATGTCTGACTCATTAAAGTAACATATTAAGGTTCCACTTCATATGTTTTATCTCTTTCAACCTGTCTTCAACATGAGCATTGGTCAAACAATATTACTCAGTTGTACTATAAACAATACCCTGATATTTCAGTATCCATGGTGGTTGTTAGCTACATCAGGACTTTGCACTTTGCTTAAGTGTTTGAGGAAGTAGTAATGGTAAATGGGGCTTTTTGGCTGACAAGGTTCCTGTTCACAATCCATCTGAAATTGAAGGGAAAACCAGTTGCACACAGAGCAAAGGCTAGTAATTCTCCCTCTTTTTGTATCTTGTTATACAGGGTCAAGTGGTCTTACGGACCACTATGGGCAAAGATTCAAATGTCAGCATTAACTGGAAAATATAGCTCTTCTCTTTCTGCAGTTTGGTCTGCAAGGAATAAAAGAATGGAGCTAAAGAGTTTTGCCATAAAACTCTGTATACTGTAATACAGTATACAGATTAAGAAACCAGTATTAAAATGATAAGTGCATATACTGTAATGAACTTCAAACAAATGAGAGGGAGAAAAAGCAAGAAGTTATTGCTTATTATCCACAATACACTTTGAATGAGTTCTGTTGTCTTTCATGGAAGAATGCAAGTGTGCATAAACAGTAGTGCATATTTGATTTCCAGAACTGACTGATATGAAGGAAATGGACTGCTTCATTTAAATAGGTAGTTGATTTGGGGATTATGTAATTATATTACCTGGCTCAATAGTCTCCACTCTCTGAAAAAACAACCTGGAGCATGTCACAAATTAATTAAAGGAAAGTTGTTGCCATTAACCTATGACTACCATAGAATATAAACAATTGTCTTCTTCTAATGTTTTGAATGTTTGTGGATTGAAACGCAAATCAAAGGTACCTTCAGGTTATAATTAGCCAGTGAATTTCTTTGTCATTCAGATCAGGTTGAGTCTCAACATTGGAACACAAACAGACAAATGGCTTGGAGGATTTTCATACCTTTATTTTATAATAATAATAATAATAATAATAATAATAATAATAATAATTTATTTATTCCCCACCCATCTGGCTGGGTTTCCCCAGACACTCTGAGTGGCTCCCAACAGAATAATAATAATAATAATAAAAGCAACAAAACATCAAACATTAAAAACTTACCTAAAGAGAGCTGCCTTCAGATGTCTTCTAAAAATCAGATAGTTGTTTATTTCCTTGACATCTTATTTCCTAAGAACAATCCTTTTTTATCCTTCTAGTAATTTTTTAATCTTAATTAATAAAAGTTTGTGGTCTCTATCAGTAGTGTGAAAGTAACTGAAGTTTCAAATATAGTTCCCTTTTTTTAAACTAGAAGTAAAGTTTACTACCGTGAAATAGTGCTGGTATGTAGGGCCAGTGGAGGTGTGCAAAGGAAAAAGCTGAGATGATTATTGTGATTTTGGCAACTGAAAATGGACTCATCTTTTCATTTTTTGCATGGGATAGGCCTGGGGAGAGCCAACAAACCGAGGCTGAATCATGACAAGAAGGCGGCATGGTAGGGAGGGTTTGCAGTCTCCAGGAAGGAGCAGCTCCATAAACTGAGAGGTTACCTCCTGGATCCAACATTGTCACTAGATGCCCAAGTGGCCTTTGTGACAGAGAGTGCCTTTTTCCAGCATTGGCTGATTCACCAGCTATACTATTCCTGGACAGGGATCTCTTTATATTTGTATTCCCATAATCTCAGCAAACACTTAAGTATCCTTCCTTTTAGACACAAGATCTACCCACTTTGGAAGAATGGCAGATGAAGGTGATGGACTATATGGAATTGGCAGAAATGACTGGCAGAATCCGAGACCAGGGAGAAGAGTCGGTGGAAGAAGATTGGAAGAAATTTAAAGACTATTTACAGAAATATTGTAAAATTAATGAATGATAGAATGATGTTGGATAGTAATTAAGCGGTTTCTAGCTGTAATGCTTTAAGAGAATATGAAAAAGGGTTATAAATGGGTTAAAATCTAATGGTAAGGATTTGCTGAACCAATAAATTGAAGTGGAATACAAAAAGGGAGGTACGAGGAGGTCCGGGAAACAAGCTAAAGGAAAATAAGTAACTGAAAATATGTGTGTTTTTAACTGTTTTTATTTTGTATTTTCTCTTTTCTTTTTCATTTTTACTGTAATATTTCAAAAAACCTTAATAAATATCTTATAAAAAAAAAAGTATCCTTCCTTTTGCTGAGATACCCAGTTCTACCATGAAAGAGTCGAAAAACCACTGCCTACTCAATACCCCAACATAATAATACAGAAAGTTTTAGGCACCACCTAGTGGCAACAGCCTTGTGGTTACAGAAAGGAAATCTTCCTTTGCATAAGTGATAAGGAATGCGGGTGGTGCTTTGGTCTAAACCACTGAGCCTCTTGGACTTGTCAGCTTGAAGGTGGGCAGTTCGAATCCCTGTGACAGAGTGAGCTCCCGTTGCTCTGTCCCAGCTTCTGCCAACCTAGCAGTTCAAAAGCACGAAAGTAGATAAATAGGTATCACTGTGACAGGAAGGTAAAACGGCGTTTCCATGCACTCTGGTTTCCGTCATAGTGTTCTGTTGCACCGGAAATGGTTTAGTCATGCTGGACACATGACCAGGAATGCTGTCTGTGGACAGACGCTGGCTCCCTCGGCCTGAAAGCGAGATGAGCGCCACAACCCCACAGTCGCCTTTGACTGGACTTAACCATCCAAGGGTCCTTTACCTTTACCTTTTACACCCTTATGAGGTTCTGAAACAAAATGTTGCCTTTTGGAGTGCTGCTTTTCAGAGTTCCAACTACTCTAGACCAACCCCTTGGTTTTCTTTTCATTTGCAAACACTCAGTCAGGATTCCATATCCACTGAACATGCACAGGGTTCTCAGATCTCCCCGTCTGATCTGAAGTCTCCAGGTTTGCCTGGAGGTGGAGGACTTGAATCCTCAGGTGGGTGAGAGTGCTTTAATAATAATATTTTAAAAAATTAAGAAGACTGTGCATTCAGCTTGCAAGCTTAATATTGGCAGGAGCTGGCTACAAATTATAGCATAGTCATTCTGGGAAATTTGTCCTTGTCTCCTCTCTCCTAATTAACCTCCATCTCCAGGGCCCACTCCATGACATCACAGGAAATGCCCCACTAATGTCACCAGGAGCCACCACCAAGTCTCAGGTTTGGACCCTGAAATCTCTGGGTCTGGGATACTGCTGACCTGGCAAACATAGTCCTCAATGGGTTTCAGGGGGTGGGGTGGGGAGGGTGTCCCACCATTTGAGGGTTTTTTTGGGGGGCGGAGGTATGTCCAGCCCTAGCTGCATTAAATTATTTTAACTTATCCATTGGTGTATATCAGGCATGGCCAAACTCGGCCCTCCAGATGTTTTTGGGACTACAATCCCCATCATCCCTTACCACTGGTTTTGTTAGCTAGGGATGATGGGAGTTGTAGTCCCAAAACATCTAGAAGGCCAAGTTTGGCCATGCCTGGTATATATGGACAACTCTCTCTTCTTTACTACAATAGGTCCATTCCTAACTGGATAACACATTCCAGACAGTGTTGGAGACTATAACTGTTTGCTCCATGGCAATTGTGCAATGGTATACCAGAGTTCTATCCTTTTTTATCAAGTGTTTAACATCTACATGAAACTGTGTGTGATTTCATCAAGGAATATGGTGTAAGGTGTCACCAGTATGTGGAAACATCTAGCTGGTATTTCTTTTGAGTACTGTATTCAAATCAGCAGAAGAGCCTCTCCTGGCTGTTCCTGAGTTGTATTGTGCAGGCCCACGGAAGAGCCTTTTCAGTGGTGCCTCCACATCTGTGGAATGACCCCCTCAGTGAGGTGTGTCTTGCCCCAACTCTGTGTTCTTTCAGATGCTGAATACAAATGCCACCTTTGTCACCAAGAGGCTGGTGGATTAAGTCCTTTTTAGGGTGTTTTAGATTACACTATGTAATTTATGAGTATTATTTTAATGCTTTTTACATAATTCTCTCTCTCTCTCTCTCTCTCTCTCTCACACACACACACACACACACACACGCACACACACACACACACACACACACACACTGCATTAGAGGCCTAGGAAGAAAAATCAAGCGCCTCTTGCTGCCTCAAAAATGTGAACCATCATTCTAGACCTGACTCTGAAAAGCTCCTAAGAACATAAGCAGAGCTTGCTGGATCAAATAGCCCACAAGTCTAGCATCCTGTTCTCACAGTGGCCAACCAGATGCCTATAGGAAATCCCCAAACAGTACCTGACGACTCTTTGCTGCTGTGGTTTCCAGAAAGTGGTATTCTGAGGGGAGGGAGAACACAGCCACGTGTTTAGAAGTACAGTAGTATCAGTAATAATAATAATAATTTTATTATTTATACCCCGCCCATCTCCCTGGGCTGCCCCAGCCAGCCCTTTCCTACATCTATCTTTGTAATCTTTGACAGCCATCCAAGTTGGTGGCCATTGCCTCACCCTGTGGGAGCAGATTCCCGTTCGACCACGCGCCGTGTGAATAAGTGGCCCCCCCTTTTGCCTGTACTGAATCGCCCCACTTTCCAGCTTCCTTCGGTGCCCCAAGAACCCTAGCAGCGCTACGAGGCAGAACCAAGGGACACGGGTGTGTGGAGAGAACGGACAGACCCGTGTCTGCCCTCCCATCCCTTTTAACCTTTTCTTGTTTTTAAAACGCTTGCATTTGGCTGGGCAGGCCTTCACGCGGCGTTTGCGGTTTAGACTGATTTGTTTAATTTAAAGACTGCGAGGAAGAAGGCCTTTTTTTAGCCAGCGGTCACGAGACCGTGCAAAAAAAGGCCGACGAGCACGTGACTTTTTCCCCGGGCAGAAAAGGAGACTCTCCATGCTGCTGCTTGAAGCAACGCGCAGCAAGAGGCTGCAGCAGATGCAGGCCCGAAGGTGGCGCCGTGGCTCCGTAGATGGCGCCGTCGAGCCCGATCCCGGAAGCGGCGGCCTTTGGGATGCACCCGGCAGCGGGGTTGGGCGACGGCTGCTGCTCGGATTGGCCGCCGGCCGCAAGAGAGGAAGGCGGGCACCGGCGGCGGGCTTGTAGGGTGATGGTGGCCGTCGGGTCATGCTGCTGAAGCTCCTGCAGAGACAGACCTATACCTGCCTCTCCCACAGGTATGGGCCTTGCCTTTGCCTCGGAGGCATCGTCCTCATGATCGTCTCTGCCCTGCAGTTCGGAGAGGTGAGTGGAGACCTGCGGGGCCCGCTCCGGAGCAGCCGCCAGCCGGGAGCCGGGGGGTTGTTTTGTTTGCAGCCCTCCCAAGTATCCCCTCCCTCAGCCGCACTTCCAGGATCCTTCTCCCGACCGCACTTCCCTTAAAATCCTGCTAAGGGTTCCCTCCCTCCTTCCCACCTTGCATGTGACAGACAGTCCCGGTTTTCCTCTTCCCGTCTCGGCTCCAGTCCCCCCGCCCCCGCCATCTTTCCTTTCCCCTGCATTTAAGCAGCTGCGTTACAGGCACAATTATTTTCTCCTTCATTGCATCTCCTGTGTCGGGAAGATCGCAGCCTGTTGGATTTCGGCCTGGTAGGTATGTTACTCCTAAAGACTCGTAGATTTTAGCAGAAACTTTATTTACAGCACGTGCTGCGCCCTTCTCATCTTCCTCAAGCTCCCACCCGTTGTTCTATACGCACATCGTTTCCCTTGCCACCCTTTAATTGCCATTTTTTCTCATTTATATTGCGCCCACCCCCCCTACATTCCTCCTGCCTTTCTCTGGATTTCTCCTTGCATTTGTTATACTTCCTTTCTTTATTCATAGCCCACATTACCTACTGCACAGTTTCCTATAGTCTCCCAGCGTTCTTCTTCCGCCATATTCTATTCCTCCAGAAGTTTTGGGCTACAACTTCCATCACCCCTCCCAGCAGGCATAGTTGTGCTGACTGGAGCAGATGGGAATTGTAGTTCGAAACATCTGGAGGGCACCAGGTTGGCCAAGGCACTAGTAGGGATCATTCCCAGTACTTTATGATGTTACCCAGGCAGCTTTGCAGTGTGGGCGGTTGGGAGTGGAGCAAAGAGGTGGAGAATGCCAAGGAGAATCATGAAGGGTGACTGCAGCTGGAGGAAGAACAAGCAAAATGTATAATAATAATAATAATTTATTATTTATACCCTGCCCATCTGGCTGAGTTTCCCCAGCCACTCTGGGCGGCTTCCAATCGAGTGTTAAAAACAATCCAGCATTAAATATGTGTGTGTACTTGTCCCTTTTCTTGGTGAGTGGTGGCAACTAAAACTTGCTGTCAGCAGAGACTGTGGTTAATAGATAGGCCCGAGATAGTGCTAGCCACTCCACCAAAATATACGTGTGACACTTGCAGAGGAACTACTCCATATCTTGACAGTTTCTGATGCCTGTGTTCATGCAGATCTTGTGATCTGATGTGTCCCTGCTCTGTTCTTTGTCAGTTTTATCTCATTGTCTATTTCCAGTGTTGGGCCTCAGTGGGGAACAATGTGCTTAATAACATATGTTCTTAGCTTAAACAAGCTAAGAACACAGCAACAAACTTTTGTTTCCTAGTTCTCAACATAAAGTCTTCATGTTTAAATAGTTTGTGGGATTGAGGCATCTGATTTATCTTGCTGACAGGGGAGGGGAGGGGAGGGGAGGGAAAGTGAGATAAGATGTGAACATTGAGTCCTTGAGTCTGACAAGTTGTGCAGATTTTGTAAATTTCTGGATGTAAAAAAAGAATTTAGTCATCTAAAAACAATTTCAACATAGCTTGGATGGTCTGGAACGGCTCTTGAGGTTTGCATGTCTATGTGAGTAAAATGGAGAATTTCAGGAAAAACCAGATTAAGCTTTGCTCTTCTTACAGTGTAATCCTAAACATGTCTACTGAGATGGAAGTCCTGTTGAATTCAGTGGGGCTTACTCCCAGTGAGTGGGGTTAGGATTGTAGCCTTGGAAGAAATCTTTTCAGTAGGAGGGAACTCAAATATTGACTTATTTCTTGCTAAAGTGTAAGTGGTCCTGCTCTTCTTTCTACATTGGTCTCTCCAGATGACCTGTTTATTGCACATTCATTCTGATTTGTTTGCATCCCGTTAGCAGTTCTTTCTTCTCACACTTTAAAATGCATTTTCTTGTCACTTTCCAAACAGCAGTGAGGTGGAAGGATGCTTTAATCTTCTTTAAATGTGCAAACCTAAAGTTCTGGTATATGATCGATTCACTGCTGTAAAATAATGACAGCCTGGGATTGCCCTGTACCACCACCTGAAGATCAGTGCCACTGATTTTAAATGTCAGCCTAATGCATCACCATTTTAGGGTATGATATAAGATACTCCTTCTTTTGTAGGTTGTTCTAGAGTGGAGTCGGGACCAGTATCATGTTTTGTTTGACTCTTATAGAGACAACGTTGCTGGGAAATCATTTCAGAACAGGTAAGTCTTGGATCCAGAATGGCAGTTCCCCCCCCCCCCTCCTTGTGTTTGTGAAAGCATTGGTGAACAGTAGCACAGTTTAACCTTTGCACAACCCGTTCTTTCCCCACCTTCAAGCTGTCATTGCTGAAACAGTTTTCGATGGTGGGGGAAAGCGCCAACAACTTTGCCTGCGTGTTGCTATGTTTCTGTCCTTCCTTCCTACAGTCTATATATGAATCAGATTTCTGATGATGTGGAGGAGAATGCAGAAGAAAAAGTGTGGTTGCAGAAAACGGCGATAAAACTTTTCCAAATGCTTGGCTGCCACTTTGATATTCTGTTCATCTTTTCCATTGAACCTGTATATAAGTGTGCAGTCTTTGTATCTATTGTCTCTTCTGCACTGTACATTTAAAACTGTATTATACCATCTTGAACAGTCATGGCTTTCCCTAAAGAATCTTGGGAACAGTAGTTTGTGAAAGGTATTGAAAGTTGTTAGGACACCGTGTATTCCCCCCACAGAACTACAATTTCCAAAGTTCCCAGTGAAGAAGAGAGACTGATTGTTAAATCCACCTGAGAATTGCATCTTGTCTGTTTGGGCTTGCTCCTCAACTCAGACTCTTTGGCGTGATGCGGCATCACTTACACACACATTTCCTCAAATCTTCTGTGAGCCTCAAGCAGATGGAAGCAGTGCAAGAGACTCACGCTGCTCCTTCCTAATGCTTCAGGGGAGTCCCTGCACCCCAAGTCCTCTGCAAGTGGCAGAGGATTCTTGTGTTCCACTGAAGCTTTGGAGCAGGCGGAAACTTTTGCTTGTTTTTAAGCTCAGCACATTGTGTGAGACTTTCCCCTGAGTTCTCCACAGTTTTTGGAGGTGGCGTGGGGTGCAGAGGATCTATGAGTCATCCTATCGAGAGAATAGTATGTTGTCCCTAAGAGCCAAGGATAAACGAGGGACCGCTATTAAAAGAGGGAGTGTTTGTAGTTGCAGCTGGTCTGATTGCAATGCCCTCATCTCAACAATTAAAGGTTCAGGCTACCTGATAGCAAAGTATTTGATAAAATGGATACACCATTACCTCTGGGTAGTCAGTTGTGTATATGCTACATCTGATTTTCAATATCATATTGTATTGTTGGGGCTCAGCCCTCCTATTTGCTTCTCTTGCCAACCCCCCCTGATAACCCCCTAGACCAGGGTGGCTGCAAAAGTACTTAAGCATAGAACCTGCAGGCTGCATGCTACTGTGTCCTGCAGAGAAGCAGAGAGAGAGCCCTTCTAATGCCTTACCAAAGCCGGATAACTGAGGTGCCAGACTTTGGGAAGGAGGTGCGAGGCTCTGGAAGGGCCCTAGAATCGTCCCTCTTCCTTTCCAAAGCTGAAAAAGCACTACAACTAGGTTTTCGGAAGGAGGCTGGATGACTGTAGGATCGTGTCAGGAGAGCCTTCACACCACCTTCCCAAAGCCGAGCGCTGAGATGGGGGGGCGTCAAATGTAGCTGAGGGCCACCCAAGAGGGCATTGAGGGCCACATGCAGCCCTCGGGCCTGCTCTAGACCTTCCTCAACACACTCTGTGCAACTACAAAGCTCCCGGAGAGCCAGTGTGGTGTAGTGGTTAAGAGCAGTAGACTCGTAATCTGGTGAACCGGGTTCGCGTCTCCGCTCCTCCACCTGCAGCTGCTGGGTGACCTTGGGCTAGTCACACTTCTCTGAAGTCTCTCAGCCCCACTCACTTCACAGAGTGTTTGTTGTGGGGGAGGAAGGGAAAGGAGAATGTTAGCTTCTTTGAGACTCTTTCGGGTAGTGATAAAGTGGGATATCAAATCCAAACTTTTCTTCTTCCCTTTTCACCTTCCTAACCTCATTTCTGAAACAATTTCTCTCTTCTGCAGCTCCACTTTCCACCTGCTTTTTCTCTTTCATCCATATGGCCATACCTCTCCTACTGTATTTTTGCAACTCCACCCCCCTTATTATTTAACTACTTTGTTGGAAATCTATTGGAATAGAAGAATGTAAATGGGAACAGTAAAATGTGTTATAGCTCACTAATTTGGTTTTGATTGTGTTGAAGTCATAGTCATGCCGGGTATGAGTTTGAATCATAAAGATTACTCACTTGTTTCTGTCTTCTGACTTCAATTCCAAACAACCATTAATACACCCCCCCAAGAACCACAGTATGTAAGTAACTGTGAATTTTTAAATTAGTTTTTAGCATTTATAATATTGTGATCCTCAAGCTTCTTTTTCTTTCTGAAGTAATTAGTCAAAATAAATTTGGGGGCGATTGCATCGGCTCCCTAAACTTCAGCAAAGCAGGAAAATTGTCTAGAAAGGTAATCTTCATTGAAAGCAGGATGTAGTCTTTGAGGTCATGTTGCTACGAAACATTTGTGGTAATATAATCACTGTTAGACATTTTAAATCCCCAGATATACCTTGCACTCACAGTATAGTATACCTCCTGTCTACCAAGTAAAGTATTTATTTTCATTGTTGAAGAACAATGAATAGGTTTTTTTCCCCTTTGTAAACCGCAGCCGTTTTTTTTTCCTTTGTAAACCGCAGCCAAATGAGGATGTGGCTGATGTTATCAGTCTTAATATTTCAGTTGGCTGCAGTGACCTATCTCTTCCTGGTTGCGTGACCTGTACATAAAAGTATCTTTATATATCTGAAAAATACAGTGTAGAACGTAACATCACCTTGGGGTATTAGCATCTTCATTATATGTTTAATATTGGGAATATTTGTTATGGCTGAGAAATGGAGGAAGAGTTGAGAACTGGGAGAACAACCTGTACCTCTCTTTCACCTCTTCCAGTACTTTAGACAAGTGGCAGCTGCAGAGACTGGTTTCCTGGTTTGTTTTTTAGAACATCATAAGAGTCACACAGTGACCAACTAGATCAGGGGTCAGCAACCTATTTCAGCTGTGGGCCAGTCCACTGTCCCTCAGACCATGTGGTAGGCCGGACTATATTTTGAAAAAAATAATGAACGAATTCCTATGCCCCACAAATAACCCAGAGATGCATTTTAAATAAAAGCACACATTCTACTCATGTAAAAACGTGGTGATTTCCGGACCGTCCGTGAGCCGGATTGAGAAGGCGATTGGGCCGGATCTGGCCCCTGGGCCTTAGGTTGCCTACCCCTGAACTAGATGCTTGTGGGAAGCTCATAAGCAGGAACTGAATGCAACAGTCCTCTCCCTGCTAGTGGCTGCAGCTGGCGTTCAGAGGCTGCCTTTGACACTGGAAGCTAGTGGCATTTGATTAATAGCTCTGCTTAAAAATCTCCCAAGGAAGGAGAGTCTCACCACCTCTTGTTGGAAGTCTTTTCCATTGCTGAACAGCTCTTATGTCAGAAAGTTCTTGTGATGGTGATTTTTATGTCTGAGCTGAGCAATTAAATTTGTTCAGTGTGGGTTTAAGTGGAATTTACATGTGGCTAGGTTTGCAGCCTTGGTTATCTTGCCTGGCCCCTTGGGAGATGCATTGATGGAGAGTGTAGATGCCTTTTGAAACACAGGGGCTTTCAGCAGCCTAGATTTCAAAACACTGACAATTTGGGAGCATTCACAGCTCATTGAAATAACACTTATGCTTGGGTGAAAGCAGTGCTGGCCCAAGTGAAAAGGGGAGACTTGGAGAAGGGCTCACATGCCTCCTTTAATCTGAGATTGTCCTGGTCCGTTCTGTAGCCAAGAGAGGATGCAATAAGGTTTTCTGTGCAAATACATCAGACTGACAAAGCAGCACAGTAAATATAAAATAGGGAAAGGCTGTATAGAAATAAAATTGACACTAATCTTGCCCCATCATTGACATTGATAACTCAGAATTTGCTATGAAACAGATCTTTTATTATAAACTATAATCTCCACCCTAGGGTTGTTCGCAGTTTATGTTTGGATTTTCATATCACAGGTATACAGGTTTTTCTCATGCTTCCTTTGACTGTGTACTCCTGTTTCCTGGAGGGAACAGGTACTCACATCCAAACTGAGCAGAATTTAACTTTCCAATTGTCAGCTATCAAACTGAGGTTAAATCCTGCTGGGAACAGCACTGAATTGAACCCTCCTACCCCTCAGCTGACATCACAAGTGATGTCCACAGATTGACAGGTGGATGTGGGTTCAGGGTAGTGGCCCTCATGGGTTAAATGACTGATGGGGCAAGATTAGAAACCGCTGGGGGCCATTCCTGGTTTAGAGCAACTGTGTCTCCCAGCCCTACCTAGAGATGCTGGGGTTTATACCTGGGACCTTTTGAAGGCAAAGCAGGTTCTGTCCCACTAAGCTATGGCTCTTTCCTGAAGAGCTATGTGCTCTTCTCCTAACCTTCTGGAAGAGGAAATAATGGAGCCCTTCAAGAGCCGTCTTTTGTTCCATATCTGTCAGCACCGCCTCCTGATCAGAAACAGTATTTAAATCTGCTGCTGCCACCAGACTGAAAGGAATTTCCATTTGTTTCTGTCTCATGCCTTCCTTTGTGTCCTAAGTGTCTGCCAGTCTCTTTGCATGAGCCAGATGATTAAAAATAAATTGTTTTTGGATAATTGGTGGTCTAGGATGGCTTGCCAGCATTTCAAGGATTGGGCAGACACAATAAATGTTTTAATTTTCCTTAACTAAAATTAAACACTCTAGGGATGCCCGATTTAACTTGAGACACTTGTCCATCTGGATCAGCTCTCGAAAAAACTGTTGTTATTTGGCCAAAGCAAACCTTCCATTTATACAGCTGTGTGGGTCATGTTCCAGCTACTGAACAAAATCTATTATTTATCATTAAGAGGCACGGCTAATTTGGGGTGTAGCAGGGTATTAAGAATATCCCAGTAGACTATGTTTTTGTAAGATAAAATAAGGTGTTGCAGAACCATTGCACGCGTGTTACAGGACTTTAATAATGGTGCAACAGCAAGCTTGCAAGGAAAAGATTCACCTGTAAGCCAATTCATGCAGGGTTCTGAGTGCATATATTCTCCATCTAGTTAGCAGGTCTTGAAAGGAATCCTCATGCAATGATAGGAGATGGAGAATTTTCCTTTTCTTTTTTTCTTTTTTTTTAAAAAGCGTTTATTAATTTTCCAATAAAAACATCCAATTAACATATCAAATCAAATCCAATAAAAATAAAAAACTAAAATAAAAAAAGGTCCAATTGTCTTCCAAATTGTAATAATTTTGTTTTGACTTCCCACGGTCTGAATTTCGAAGCGTGTTCAACATCATAGTCCTGCCTCTCATCATCCTCAATGTTATTCATAATTCCATGTCCGATTTTTCCCTTCCGCATTTTGACTCTGGTTCTACGATCCTCACTCATGTCAGAAAACCGATACTTTTTTTTCTATGGAGTGCAGATTTGTCCATATATTGTACTCCTTGAACTGTTTTTTCATCGCACCGCTTCATTTAATTGCATCCAATTTCAAAGTTCTGTCCAGCTCTTTGAGAGTTGTTACTTTGGCAGCTCCCAGATCGTTAATCTTTCCCGTCCAGGTGCTATCAAAGAAACAGAGAGAAATTTCCTTCTGTACCCTCCTTGTTGATTTATCTTAAACAGACTGTTTGCAATGTAGCCATATATCAGACAGTTAGCAATTGGCCTTTGGAATCTTCCCAGTCCCCCCTCCGGGCCCTAGAGGGGGGCTGCCAGACATCCATTTAGCCCTCTCTCTCGCTCGTAATCAAAAAAAATCTTTTTGCAAACAGTTGTATATGTAATATTGTTTCCAGTCTTTATAACCAACCATCCGTTAGCTCCTGTTTCTCTTAATCAGGGAAGTATTTCACATATTCAATAACGACGTGGTGCGAGACGCCATTTTGTCCTTTGTCCTTTGTTTTCGTCTCTAACAGACATTTCCGGTCTTAGAAGAGAAGTGGCTGTGAGTAGATCCCAATTATATATGAAAGTCCATCTGAACTCACTTTTTGAAGAGCAATTTAAGTTCTTAATGAGACTTGGCATGCATTACGGATTGTTGATGTTAAGGATAAAAGAATGTTTTTTTTACATACCAAGCCCATCCACATTCCAAACGTCATGATGAGGATCTCTTTGAAGTTCAATCTTTTACACCAGAGACTGTACATACTGCAGGTTTTTTTCAGCTTCTTCAATTCAGAGCGTGTCTGTTTGTTTACCAAATCTTTATATTTTCCCAAACAGATGCGTCTGGCTATGGGGTGGCGTCGCAGGAGTGTCAGCCGTCCCTAGCTCCGTGACCCAGTGCCCCTGCCGTCTGCCACATCGGCAATCTGGGGCAGACCGCGGGTCGTTGAGACAGTCCTCCCCTGCCCTGGGGAGGCTGCCAGGGCTAATTACCCCCATATCAGCCCTGAATTATCGGAACGGCTGAAGTCCGATTGTGTGGGATCAGCCATTTTCCACCGCCGGAAACAGGAAGTGAAGAAGGAGAATTTTCCTTTTCTAAGACTGCAAAAGTAGATGCAAACGAATGGATATAAAGCCAGTCAAACCAGGCAGTTTTGAAGCTAGAATTAACTTTTACAACTTTAGGCATCATAATTAACTTTTTTTAAAAGGCAACTACTCCTATGAAGTATATTTATTAAATATCTACTGAACTCTCACACATTATTTATTGGTAAACAGGAAAACAAAGTACATGTAATCCAATGTGGTAAACTGGATCTCAGATAATTTAGGACAGGCTTCCTCAACCTCGGCCCTCCAGATGCTTTGAGACTACAATTCCCATCATCCCGACCACTGGTCCTGCTAGTTAGGGATGATGGGAGTTGTAGGCCAAAAACATCTGGAGGGCCGGGATTGAGGAAGCTTGATTTAGGACATGGGGAATTTGGGAGGCCCCACAGAATGCCCCTCATTGCCCTCATAGCCCCCTTTCCTCGCTTTGTAGATTATTTAGTATGAACAGAGATGTACCTGCATACATTTAGGGGCCAGTGAATGCCAATTGTGTGCTCTTTTTGCTCTAAACAAATGATGGACAGATTGTAAGGGGGTCCAGGGCAGCAGCATGCTGTGGTTTGTACAAAACATGTAGATGAAAGGAAGCACTTTCTCGCACTGCAAAGTAGTTAAACAATGGAACTCGCTGCAGTGGTAGCGATTGCCACCAACTTGGGTGACTTTAGAAGGGGATTTGACAAACTCATGGAAGATAAGGCTATCAGTGGCCACTCGTCATGATGGCCATATAGGCTTGCTCTGGTGTTCCTTGGAATATTGGGGATCATAAGCAGAAGTGATCTGTTGTGCTTGTGGGCTTCCTTGATTGGCTGTTGTGGGAACAGAATGCTGGGCTCGATAGACCTTTGTTTTGAACCGGTAGGGCTACTCTTAACATTCTTTCCTTTGTATATCTGTGGGCGGAGGAATGAGGCCTCCCTAATTCCCTTCCTGGACATTTGCTGATCATAGGCACCAGGGGGGACTGCATGTGAACTGGTACTATGTGTGTTAGAACAGGGTGTGCAGGGGGTCTGGCTGTGGCAAAGTCAGGAAAAACAGACAGTGAGGATGTATCTTTGGCCAATTTAACACAAACAATGACATAGCTGGAATAAATCATGAATGGCTGGTTGTGACACATTGTTTTCCTCCGCATAAGTATTTTTAGAACAGTTTCGACAGAAGCCATAGGTGGAAAATGTTACATTAAGTTTGAAAATCCATACTGGTTTTGAACGTGGGCAGGATGTGTGAGCAGAAAATGTGATTTCCCCCTCCTACTTTTTATAAGAGTTTTCCAGAGTTATAAATTAGGATCTGAACTCCTGAATCAAGGGCTGAGTTTTGGAATTAAGACTGTGGTTGTCAATCCCTGGGGAAGACCATGGAACACCTAGAAGAGGGAAACAAACTTTTTGGCTTCCTGAAACAGATGGGACCTTCCTCTCCACACCAGCCATAGATTAAATGCCTTGCAGCAGAGGAGCCTAACAGATCCATGCTGGATTTGTTGAGGTGACCTTCTTCCCCACTTGCCACATTATAATCCCAATCTTGTTTATGATTAATGTGGGACATGAGTGGCCTCTTCCATGGATCTTTGCACACAGCAATGGGTTGCATGCACATACGACCCTGTGCAAGGAGCTCTGCACAATCTGCTATGAGAGGTGTGTTTTTTTTGGGGGGGGGGGGGGTTAGTATGGTAGATGTAGGTTTTATTTATGTATCTCCTGCTCTAAAAGCACTATACATTTAAGAATGGGGAGCCAAACTCAAAAATAAGTGTTTGAGAAATACTGCATGAAGGGTCATTGGAAGGAAAGAACATAAAAAGTTACAAGTTTTAAGAATCTTTCTTTTGTTGTCGTTTAGTCGTCTCCGACTCTTTGTGACCCCATGGACCAGAGCACGCCAGGCATGCCTATCTTCCACTGCCGCAGTTTGGTCAAACTCATGTTTGTAGCTTCGAGAACAGTGTCCAACCATCTCGGCCTCTATTGTCCCCTTCTCCTTGTGCCCTCAATCTTTCCCAACATCAGGGTCTTTTCCAGGGAGTCTTCTCATGAGGTGGCCAAAGTATTGGAGCCTCAGCTTCAGGATCTGTCCTTCCAGTGAGCACTCAGGGCTGATTTCCTTCAGAATGGATAGGTTTGATCTTCTTGCAGTCCAAGGGACTCTCAAGAGTCTCCTCCAGCACCATAATTCAAAAGCACCAATTCTCGGGCGATCAGCCTTCTTTGTGGTCCAGCTCTCACTTCCATACATCACTACTGGGGAAACCATAGCTTTTACTATACGGACCTTTGTCGGCAAGGTGATGTCTCTGCTTTTTAAGATGCTGTCTAGGTTAGTAAGTGTATTTTTAATGTGTAAACATTATTTTTAATATTTTTAATGTATAAACCAGAGTAAGTGTATTTTTAATGTGTGGTGATGCAGAAGCACATTGATTAAAAATGAGAAACTGATGAAGAAACAAAGCTTAACTGAATGTTTTGATTATGCCAGAAATAATGGAACAAGTTTATCATTTGAAACTCATGAGTTTCAACTGACTGGTTGCAGGCGAACGTAATCTGTGCTGCTGTGAATTGCTTTTCAATTTAAGCCTGGACAGGTTGAGCTGGTTTCTCTCTCTTAATGGGATTTCTCTTATAGGCTTTGCTTGCCAATGCCTATTGATGTGGTGTACACCTGGGTGAATGGCACAGATGTTGAGCTGATCAGGGAACTGCAGCAAGTGAGGAAACAGATGGAGGAAGAACAGAGAATGATGAGGTAAGAACATTTCTCTGCGTGCACAGTATGCCGAGCTGCCCTGGCTGGAGGTAAGAAAACTAAAACAATTGGGTTGTGTCCAGTTTTAGTCCTACTCAGAGTAGATCCATTGAAACTAATAAACACGACTAACTTGGTTGGCATCCATCTGCCTTGGGAGACCATAGAGGAGCACGCCTTTGGGGGTGAAGTCAAACTGTTGGAAGGTTACAGCATGTGCTGCAGCTGTAGAGACTTGCTAACTTAGGCCCATTAATTTTAATGGGTTTACTGTGAGTAGGACTTGGTTGGATACAGCCCAAGGTTTTGCCAGAAGGAAGTGAACCTCCCTAAGATGCCATAGGCTTTTGCAGGTGAATAAATTCATAAGATTGGCTTTTGCCGTTGGTCTATCCTTGTTCTTACCTGTTTCTATTCTTGCACATCCAGTGTCAATTGGAAGGAAACATCTAGATACTTCATGTTAGAGAATTTTGCATGTTACCTGTTTTGTGCTTCTGGTGTAATATTTGAAAAAGGACTCGCATTTGGGAGATTAGCAAGTTGATTCATATCTGCAGCATGTACATCTCCCACATATAAGACTCTCTTTTCAGAGAGTATTGTATCAGGGGCATGGCGTTTTGCTTTCTCGGATGCCAATAATTCTTGCAAGCAGGTAACATCACTTGCAAGCAGGTAACATGAAAACAATGTTTTGTATGTTCAGCTGGCCCTGACCACTTGGCTTCAATGCGACTGTGAAAGTCTTCTTGTTCTCACTAAAGAGGAGGGTCCCTGATTCTTGCCTTAGTTCAGAGTGCTCCAAGCAGTGAACTACATAGAGGCTATAGCAACATTTGGATTCATAGAATGACCAAGGATGCTATGAACATCTGGAAGCATCTGGAAGGCAATGTTATGGTGTCATGTGAATGCTGCTGGAAAACTCTTCAATGCGTTTGTGGCTCTTTGCAAGGATCACAAAGTTTGTAATCAATTTGCTTCATGGATTGTCCAGTTCGATTGAGAGTCTCTGCAACAATAGCCAACGTAAACATTTATGCCCTGCCACAGTCCAATTAATCCTTGAGGTTAGCTGCTTGCAGGCCTTATGCTCTCTGTGGGAAGCTGCCACATTGAAGTGTGTTTCAGCAGCCTTCATTTGTGGGGATGTAATTAAATTGGCCATTCATCCTGTAGATTTATCGGGCACGGCTCTCAGTTCTTTAACTGAACCACCTGTGCTTGAATTGCTTCTGTGTCCTAATAGGTGGTATGAATGGGAGAGGTTTGATGCTGTGACATATTCTGCCACTTCTGGGTTTTGTGTGCAAAAACTCACGTTATTGAGATTCTGTTACTGTCTACAGGGTGATGAGAGTAACTAGAACCTGTGTGCATTTTGGGTGTATATGTTAATTCAGGGGGGATTTAATAGTTATGCGTTTACTTGTATTTTAGGGAAATTCTTGGAAAGAATACAACTGAACCAACTAAGAAAAGGTAAGAAATAATATAGGTGTTTCATGTTTTTTGTTTAAAAGGCTTTCAACTATCAATATATTAATTACTGTGTGAACCTTAACTGACACTGTAATTTCAAGTGAGTGAAGTAACATTTAAAATAGCCATGATCAAGGAGTAGGACAAAACTGGTACACTTTTCCTCATGTTCTAAAGTAAATAATTCATTTTTAAATTATAATTGTTGTTGTTTTGTTTTATTTCTTGTACCCCGCCCATCTGACTGGGTTGCCCCAGCCACTCTAGGTGGCTTTCAGCAAAATATAAAGGAATACAACAAAACTTCAAGCATTAAAAGTTTCCCAAAACAGCGCTGTCTTTAAATGTCAACAGAAAGTCATATAATGGTTTATCTCTTTGACATCTGATAGGAGGGTGTTCCACAGGGCGGACACAACTACCAAGAAGGCCTTCTGCCTCATTCCCTATCTGCTCACTCAAAAATCAGGCTTTTGTAGTTATTCCCAATAATCCACACACACCTAAAGCAATATGGGTGATGTCCACCATACGGACAAAACCTCAAAATGTGAAGACATGTTTCATTGTTACCTCTAACTGTAAGAGAAAGGTTAATGAGGTGAGCAACAAGGCCCATGTAAACCCAACTAGCAACTGCCAAATTGCTCTCATGGTACAGAACATAGACTGCTTTCTACTTCATTTATTTCTGGCTTCTGTATTTTATCAGGCTGGGCAACCTAGAAAGGCTGTATGCAATACAGCAGTGGTCCTCCCACCCCAGAAAACTTGAAAATGGCTGAGGGTCTTGGCAGATCACTTAATAACTTTTTTTGCCCGTTGTAATTTCAGTGCCCTGTATGGTGGAAATAAAATTGTCATGCAATAAAATACAATACATAAGAAATAAAAGAAGCAATAAAAGACAGTTTTAAAAATCAATATGAATATTTAATATGTGGGACCTGCTATCTCCTATCTACAGAAACGTCCTGGACAGCCTGAATGAAGCTCATGGACCACAGGGAACCCCTGTAGTATACTGTGACACATGACAAATATTTAAATAAATGATTACTTTAAGTATAGATTTGACCTGGGATATATTTCTGCAAAATATGAATAAACAGAGAGCAGGCAACGCCATTGGGGTGTGTGTGTGCTTCTTTATCAAAAGCTAGTCAAAGCTGAATAGCCATGTGCAGCTTTGAACCTGAGAGTATGCCTGACTTTTGCTGTCTTGATCCTAGTGAGAAGCAACTGGAGTGTTTACTGACACATTGCATAAAAGTGCCAATGCTCGTCTTGGATCCAGCTTTGCGGAGCAACATCACTCTTAAGGACCTGCCCTCTGTGTATCCCCTGCTGAGATCTGCCAACAATATATTCCTGGTTGCCAAGCCAAAGAACCCTTCCACCAACGTTACTGTAGTTGTTTTTGACAGTTCTAAAGAAGGTAAGGATCTATTTTAAGTCTTCTCCCACTAATTGGCAACATATGGTTTTAGTTTACCATAGGATTACTACTGTTTCAGGGGACTCTTCTCTAGGGGATTTCCTTCTCCTCCTCCTCCTGTTGTTGCAATGATTAAAGGATGTCAGTAGATAAACTTAGGAGGCAGAGGAGAATGTGTCCTAAAAATAAGGTCCCCCGTAAATGAAACTTGATCTAGGTTTATGTAGAGAAATATGTACACGTAGTGATTTGGTGTCCCCCAGTTTATATGCAAAAATATTGGTGCCTCCTTAATAAAAATAACATGACATTACCACTTACTTCATTTGGAGAATAATTTGTTAGTTTCTTAATTTTTCAACAACAGCAGCAGAGAGGTTTTGCCTTGGGCAAAATGTGGACCATGTTGTAATTGTTCTCTCAGTGCTCTGCATTTTGCTTTCATGATGAGGTGAGGTGTTGCATAGCCTGTTGTTCAGATTCCCTTTCTAGTCCCTTGAGACACGCTGCTCACAGAGACACGGGTGCATCTTCTTTGTCTGTACACAAGGAGATGGTAGTTGTATTTATTTTTATTTTGTTTATGAAGCGCTTCCCATAAAACACCCCAGAGCAATTTTAACATTAAAAGCAATTCCGTGTCCAACAGAGGCACTGGGATAAAACAAATCTCTACTTAAAAGACTTGTTGGAAATGAAAGGTCTTTAATAGGCACCCAAAAGATAATATGTGAGATTGAGTTCCAAAGCATAGGTGCTGCCACATTAAAGGCCAAATTCCTAGGTCATATGGAACAGATTGACTGACAATATGGTATCTGTAGGAGGTCACTGTCTGCAGAGCACAGTAATCAGATGACTGTATAAGGGTCGAGACAGTCTTTTAGGTATCCTGATCACAAGTAGCATAGGACTTTGTTCCAGCACCTTGAACTTAACCCCGTAGCTAATTCACACAAAATAGCCCAGTGAGGACTTTCTTTGGGGGGAGAGTGTTGGAAAAGGGAGGGAGGGACATTAAATGGAGCTGCTGGAATCCTTCATACTGCAACATTTTGTTACAGATCCCACCCTCCAGGTAAAACATCTTTTCTTACTTCTTATTCTTACTTCTACAATAGCTGATGGAGAGAAAACCCCTCATCAAGGGACTGTGGCATTGTGATTTGTTTTTTGCATTGGCTAACAAATATTGCCTTTGGCTTTGAAATTAGATAACCAGCTCTGATGGTTCGGGGGCAAGTTATCCCCATTCTGCAGTGTTGTTGTTAAAAAATATTTATTTCATAAAATTTATATAGCACTGGATTGTAAGAGAAAACTTCAAAGTGTCCATAGCAAGTATATGTGAGATCTCAAAAGAGTTTTTATTTACAAATTATGCAGTGTATTGCTGCAAAAATTCTGTAAAAGTTTTGACCTGTGATTTGAATTATTGAACATTTCAGCCGAAGATGTCCATTCTCAGATGTTAAAGGAAAGCAGCAAGCAAGCAGTGTGGAGAGGCTATTTGGTATGTTCCTTTAAAATGATGTTGGTATATATACTAGAAAGGGACGCGGGTGGCGTTGTGGTCTAAACCACAGAGCCTAGGGCTTGCTGATCAGAAGGTCGGTGGTTCGAATCCCTGCCACGGGGTGACCTCCCATTGTTCGGTCCCAGCTGCTGCCCACCTAGCAGTTCAAAAGCATGTCAATTGCAAGTAGATAAATAGGTACCACTCCGGCGGGAAGGTAAACGGTGTTTTTGTGTACTGCCAGAAGTGGCTTAGTCATGTTGGCCACATGACCTGGAAGCTGTCTGCAGACAAACGCCGGCTCCCTTGGCTTATAGAGCGAGATGAGCGCGCAACCCCAGAGTCGTCTGCGACTGAACCTATGCTCAGGGGTACCTTTACCTTTATATATACTAGAAAGTTTGGATCCTTGCTTGGATGCAAGGTCCTGTTTCTTAAAATTCTTTATTTTGCTGTAATATTTCCATAACTGCTGTAATAGCCTGTAAGTAAAATTCTCATGCTAAAAGCGTGAGTTCTCCCCTAGGGGGCACAATGGGGAAGAAAGTGTTAGTCATTTTAAAAAAGAATTAAGAAAATAATAAATTCCATTACTTGCAGACTACAGACAAAGAAGTTCCTGGTTTAGTAATAATGCAAGACTTAGTTTTCCTCAAAGGATTTCCACTTACATTCAAAGAGACAAATCAACTAAGAGCAACACTGCCCGAAAACCTTGCTTCCAAGATAAAGCAGGTAAGTGTCAACTAGTATAAGAGCAAAATCTAGCAGATGATTGTGAATAATGGAGTAAACCTTCTGCTAAAAATCATTTTCTCCTTGCACGCAAATCAAAATGATTTTCTCCTGTGCTGTTACTGTATTCATTTACCACTGTAGTAGTCTCATAGGTTATTCAAAAGATGCCAAATCCTGATTTGAAAACTTTGGCTGCAAACTAAAAATTCTGTTGGAGATGGCCTGCTTGAGGCAGAAAATCCAAGAGGCTGGTGTAGTTCAGGGGTTGGCAAGGTTTACCTCGTCTGGGCCGGTTCACTCCAGCAGAGATCCCTCTGTGGGCTGGATCGTGCAGCGTGCAGGGACTCACCGAGTGGGTGGCTCATGGGCCGGTTAAATGACCCCCGTGGGCCACAGGTTGCCGACCCCTGGTCTAGTTCTGCATATGCCCCATACATTGAAAGCACTATCCCCGCTCCAAATCCTGGGAACTGTAGCTTACCTCTCACAGAACTGCGTTTCCCAGCACCCATAACACACTTCAATTCCCACGATCCTTTGGGTGGTCCCTTTAAATGTATGGTGTGTACACAGCCCCAGGGTCCTACAAGACCTTACCCAGCTCCACAATTCTATGAGCTCTGGCACCCTGAATTACAAGCCACTGGAAATGTAAATTATGTACCTGCATATGCCCAATTTTGCGTTAGCCCAATAAATATCCTTGACATGCTTTGCAAAACAGTTTGCTGCATTATTCTAAACTGAATTCGCAAAAAATTCTGCCTAACAGTGTTGGTCAACACACAGCTGGTTGGACTGAATTCAAAGTTGCATGCATGCCCTATGTGCTCTATGTATAGAACCATATGCTTACACATTGCATATAACTTTTATATAGGATCTGTGAAGCTACTCCCATCATTTTTTGTGAGTTAATGACTTAAAGAGCTTGGGCAATCCCAGTGGGATTTTGGTCTTCCCCATCCTCCTCACTCTTTGAACAGCAGAGCCATCTTACAAGCATCTTTTGGTTTCAAAAGTGGTATGCAGCCTGATAGGCTGATGTTTGAGGAACTCGGCCCCAAAGTGCCCTTAGGCACCCAGACGTTAGTGTGTAGTTCATTGGATCCCAGCCATTATCCTTGCTCAGATGACTTTGTTAAATCCTTACTACAAGAAAACTGTTCTATTAAATTGTTCCCTATTGCAATAGTTAAACCCCAAGTAATGTTGTGTTTCTGCTCTCAAAACTGGATACAAGTCTGATTATTTGAGTGCCTATTTAGCTGTTATATTGTTGCACCTCAAGCTGGTCTTCTCTTTAACGGTACGGATTGATGGAATGAATGTCTTGCAATCAATTTAAATTGCACAATTTTGCATTTGAGCAGAACAATGAAATTCTGTAAGAAAAGAAATCCAATCCAGTTCCAATCCAAGGCATTGGAAGTTGGAAGAAAAAGTTGGTACCATTGAAACAAATAATTTGTTTCATTTAATGCCATCGTCCGAAATTGCAACACTGCGTAGAAATCGGCAATTGGCCACTAGGTGTCACCCTCCTCTTTTCAAATCTTTGTGAATGTTTGGCCCAAGGTTTTGCAAAGGTGACCTAAAAATAAATATTCCAAGCTTATGCCCTTCTTGAGCCAGAGAGTTCAGTGCTGTTAAACCAGTATTTCAGTGCCATTGTAGCTATTTACCTACCATACACAAAAATGAAGGAGTGATTCATTTCTCTTTTTTTGTTATAAAGTTTGAAACCCAGTGTTTGTCCAAACATTCCGACTGTAGCTGTTACTCAAAACTTTCATATCTGTCTTGCGATTTTTGCATGCTACAAATCTGGGGTGCTGTGTGTGGGAAGGACTTTCCATGATACTCATTTTTTTAAACATCACAGTTCCTTCAATATTTGATTCTGGTGGCTGAATTTTGGCTGCAAGGTGCTCACAGACTAAATATATGACAATAGATTGATGCCAAGCAATACACTTTGTTCCACGACTATATTTAAACTTGATTCTAGTAACTTCTGATACCTCTTCCTGAAAGTGCTAGAGCTGAAGCCTGTGGCAATAATGTTATTTATAGACAACTTTAAGGATTAATCATGCTTATAATATTGTAGTATGTTGTACAGGCTGTGTTAGAAACTGGAGGCTATTTTCTGGATTTTAACTGCAGTCTATATTAGGGGCGGGAAAACCTTTTGATCCCAAGGGCCACATTCTATTCTGGCAATCCTTCCAAAGTTGTGCAGGGCCAAAAGTGACGTCTAATTATTAACCACAGCTTCCGGTTTTCTCGGAACCCAATGAATTGTGGTTTGAAATAAAAAATTAAGAATCTTTATTTGCATCAGCAACTAGCCATAGCAATAAAATAAAACACAATGCACTGAAGATAGAGGCGAAAACTTAACTATACAAAATATATTCTGGAGGTTTACATCAATCAATCAATAAATGGATCTTAATCTAATTGCCCCTGCTAATTTTTTTGCAGTTTTTGTTGTCACCTGGTTATCTTGATCAGCTAGAAGAAAGGACACAGTAGCAATGTCTGAGCGACCTGGTTTGGGGTAGTATAGAGTGGTAATAACCTCACTCCTCAAATCTTTATAAAGAGTGCAAACCAGAAGCACATGAGCCACTGACTCAATACTGCCACATAAGCATTTTCCTGGTGGATTTTTTTGAAACTGACCCGCAAGTACAGCCGAAGGCAGTATATTTAATCTTGCCCAAGTGAAAGTGCCTCTGTGTTTTGGAATTGTTAGATTTTGCAAATAGGGTGCCAACCTATCAAAACGACTAGGTGGGAAATAATCATACCATGGGCAAAAATTCCTTACTACTTATGTTGAATTGATCCAGCTTCATAAACTGTGGTTTGAAGTTTGCTTGTTCTAAACTAAAGGGTAGTAAAGGGGTGACTGAGTAGCACAGTTTGATTCAGGAATGCCTTTCACTGGGGTGAGGAACCTGCAGCTCTCCAGAGTTTGTTGGACTCCAGTGCCCATCAGCCCCACCCGGCATTGCCAGTGGTGAGGATGATGGGCATTGTAGTCTAGCAATACCTGGAAAGTCACAGGTTGCCCCACCCCTGCCCTGGAGCCAAGAAGCTTGCTTACACGTATGGCCTATGAAAAGACAAATTCTTACATTTCCTTAACTCATTTGGCATGAATAGACTCAGGTGGTTGTGAGAATTTGTTTCTCTCTTGCGTTTGTGTTCTAAACAAACCATTGCTAAAATTAACTGGAGCATGTCAAATTTTGACGAAACAGCTAACTGCTGTTAACCAAAACTGGAAGTGAAAACTTCTGAACACTTACTAGTGATTGTTCCAGGGAGAGACTAGATTGATTCCCTTCACAGTAGACCGTGATTTATTGTAATGTCTGAACATGGCCAGTATGTGAATGACTTCCTTTTGTCAGTTATGAGCTTTCCGCTTGGTATTATCTTAGTAATCTTAGTATTAGAAGAAAAGAAGAAGAAGAAAAAATACTTTTTCTCCACCTCCACCATTCATAATTCGATAATCAGTTTTTCACCACTTGGTAGCTCTCCTTGTTAGTCATTTACTTAATTTGGGATCCATTTGGGGAATATGCTTTTATCAGTACGGGTGTTTTGTTTGTTGGGACTTGGAACCACTGAGAAAACCCAGGAAAAGATCGAGCTTTGTTTTATTCAGGGTAACTTTATGCATCCTTCCATAGCGATGAGGATGAAGAGGATAAGAGACAGGGAAATCCTGTGTCCTTAATACAGCCTTCCTGTGTGCAGTGGAAACTTCTGCGAAACATTGCATAAATATATTTTCGATGATGCACAGTGGAGGGGACAGCATGACATTGTTCTCCTAAATAAATGCGAGGCTGCTTGATGGCAGCTTTGCAATCCGTAGCATTTCCACAGCATTATTTTTGGAGAGCGCTTGCTGGTATCCATAACTCTACCTCCGTTTCAACAACTACCGAGGCCACCCTTTCATCGGTTTGTCCAGATGATGATGCTCTGGAAGGGCTGAGATTTATCGGATTTTCCCCATGACAGACCTCATGAGTCAGATTTAGAGCTATCGGGTGGCGCATGAATTCAAACCATCAACGGCCTTAAAATGTCACAAGCGTGACAGCTGGGCCTATGTTTGCTGTGAGAATGGGATGGGTAAACGGGACAAATGTCTGAAAGGAAAGAGGAAAGGTCAGTTTAAAAAAGAAAAAGAAACGATTCTGGGGTTGGGGTTCATTTATGTTGGACAAATGTAATATAAATACACTTGAATAGCATTTGTAAAAAAATAATCTGGCAATATACTGCTATAAAGCATTAAATGCGGCGTGTGGAACTTTTTCCCAGCGTGAGGATCACTTTCCATCGTGGGCATCTATCCACTTTCCTTATGCCACGTGTGATTTTCTAAACTTCCGTCAACTCGTCTCTTGCCTTTTATCTAAGCTGAAAAGTCCCAAATGCTGCAACCTTTCCAAATAGAGAATCGTTTTCCTCATAAGGAGCTGCAGTTTTATGGGAAAGTCAGATGGACAGGGAAAGGGGATTGCATTTAAGCTGGGCAAAAATTGATTTATTGCATGGATATATTTCAAATATTAAAAATGCACTTGGGTTGGTTGCCCCCCCCCCCCCCCCGGCCACTGCTGCCCAGTGGAATTTCACAGCCTCTGATAGTGATGTATTTTGGCGCGCACACAAAATGGGTGCATATGAGCAACTAAGCAAAGTATATAAATGAATATTCCTCTTTGCAATTAGCCTTTAAATCCCAGAGGCTGCATGTATCTTTTGCTTTCTAACATTGGTTCAATTCTGGTCGTATGAGCTGCCGTTAACACAACTTTCGCAAATACTTATATAGTGAGCAGTTGCTCACCTTCTTCCTCTGCTCAGTGCTGCTGTGGCTCTTGATTCTCTCCTTGGCTCACACTGTAGGTATGCCTTTGGCCATGGCTCTGCTTCTGCATATTGAAGCTTTAAAGGGCTACTACTTATAGCCCATTAAGACTGACAGAGGGAATCTGAACCCCCTTTACATCCACCTCAGTGCAGTCCATTAGGTCAATGCTCTGCCGAGAGGCCGTGCAATCCAGCTGCTCTCTGGTAGACTGTACAGTGTTTCTTTCATATGGCGCACAGGTTAGCCACTTAGGAGTTTGCCTGGGGTTAACTTTACTTTCCTGAAGTGAGGAGCAAGTTGCAATGCTGCCTTTAACACGCCTACACATGGCTAAGCTTTCAGATCTCACCTTGCGACCAGTGTAACTTTTTTACTTTTTTCTGTTGACCACTTGCCTCAGTAAATACATCTGAAGATTGCTTTCTTTGAATAAGAAAAGCAGCCCGTTGCCCTTTGTGAGCCACAATTGCTGTTTGACGTTGTGCCTACTGCACCAACCTTTTGCCTCCCCCTGATCTAGCCCATTATGAAAGCTGATATCTAGACTTAACTGGTGGCAAGTGTTAAAAATAGCAAGCAGATCAAACAGTTCCCCAGTAATAAATGACCTTAGCGGTGGATTGGAAATCTTGGCTGAGGATTCGGAGAAGACCCACAAATGGATTAGTTCTGGAGCCTTTTTGAATCTCAGATTTCTAGTTCCTTTAAGCCATTTCAGAAATGTGTATTGGCGAACACATAGATAAACAAACAACTGATGGGCAGCTTCATTTCAGGATATGGTATAGTATCTTAAAAATGAAATTTGTTGCAAATGGTATTTTCAGTTTAAGGAGACTGGATGTTACAGGATCTTAAAGTTGGTTTATTTTTATTTATTTATTTTAAAAAAACAAGAAGTCCTAGATGCACTGTCCAAGGATTGTAGTGCAAATAATTTCTAGGACTCTATAGCTGCATTCAGACACAATTACTGGGGTTCAGTTGCAAAACAAGACCTGTGCTTATGCACTTTTCCCTACCCCTCACTTTCTTCTCTTCTTGTGCTTGGCTTACTTGACCATTTCCTGCTTTGATGTAACCATAGTTTATCATTTTATCTGGACCAGCAAACAGTGGTTTGAGCAAGCCTTCCAAACCACAAACCAGCATCAAACTGTGACTTGCAATCCTGATTTGGAGTCTTAACTTCAACTGTCATGATTTGGATGTAATAGCAAACTACAGTTTAAGCAAATCAGGAATTTATGGAGCCACGTGCGCCAGGGATTACTATAGCACAGGAGTTGTTATCATTGTTTGGACGATAGAAGTTACGTCTGAATACAATTTCTCTTTCTAGCCAAAATTTAAAGGATGAGTGTTGAAACTAACTCTTGTTGGTTTTCATCTGTTTTATCTACCTAACTTTTAGTGTGTTATGGGGGAACAGGTACTGTCTTTTCCTGAGAAAGGTAGAAGCTGACATATGCTGAAGAGAGCTAGCGTGGAAAAATGGATCAAGTGTTAGACTGAGAAGACCTGGGTTAAATCATGAAACTTATGGATTTATAAGAGGCTCTCTCTTAGCCTAACCTTCCTTATGGGATAAATTTGAGGATTAGAATGGGATAGCTTGCATATACTACCCAGGGCTTCTTGAAGAAGAGGCAGGATACAGATGTGGTGATAATAATCTGGGTCCATAATGATGTGGAACCATCTGGATGATGCACACATGATTCCGCAACAAAAAGGCTTATTTGTTTATGGCCTCATAACATAAGGTTATCGGAGCCATTTACAGTATATCAGTATAAAAACAATAATGGGACTGCACTGGTTATTTAAAAAGCTTAGGTGACTTAGTGCTGGAAAGAAGACAAGGATGGCGCCAGGTGACCTTCTCTGTGAAGGCCGTTCCATAACTAGGGTGCCTCCACCAAAAAGGCCCTCTCCCTGGTGGTGACCCACTTCACTTTATTCGGTGGGGGCACTTGGATTGGGGCCTCCAAAGAACATCTTAAGATTCAGGTAGGTACGTATGGAAGACGATGGCTTTAAATTTAAATCAGCAATTTAAACCAGCACTTTAAATTGGGCCCAGAAACAGACTGGAAGCCATTGTGGAGTGATCCTCTTCAGGTTCCTCCATTGCACCACCACCCTAACCGAGCATGCTCAGTCCACAGGGTTCCCTCTGCCCTGTAAAGATTTTTGCACTTCCACAAACGTTGAGGTCCCACTGAGCGTGGGAATACCTCCCTGTTGTGCATGGAGATTACAAGTTTATCTATAAAAGGATCAGCACATGGAGAACTCAGATCGCTATACTGTATAATGTTCAATTGTTAGTCTTTCTTTGAGAAATGTTCCCTTTTGATTCCCAGGTGCAGTTCCCTTATGAGTGATACCTTTTATGAATGATACCTATTTATGTTTCATTTGGATTACAGTTTTGTATTGAATTTTCTGCCCTCCCACCTACCTCTTCTAACTTATGGCAAGAATATTGTGCTGTCAGTGAGTCATGCAAAAACAACAACACCCCAACACATTTCATTTGTGGGTACGTGCCAGGATTGGAATATTGGTTTCTCCTTTGTAGTTGCAGCTTTATTCGGAAGCTGGCGTAGCTCTCTTGCAACTGAATAACCCTAAGGATTTCCAAGAGCTGATCAACCAAGCTAAGAAGAACATGACTATAGAAGGGAAAGAACTGACGCTTAATCCTGCTTATTTATTATGGGATCTCAGTGCCATCAGCCAGGTAGGAGTCGTTCTCTGGTGTATGGGCATGCTATTATGGCAAAGCTTCGTGAGATTTAGGTAACGGATGACAATGAAAACACGTTATAGTGTGACATAGAGAATTGGCAGCAATTTGAAAACTGTATTCCACACAGCAGGAGTAGTCAATGTGATGCCCTCCTGTCATCCCACACTAGTTAGGGCTGGCCTCCTTTTGCAGGCTTCTGGCCTATGCTAGCTGAGGGAAGTGACATGGAATTGTTGTTGAATAGAGTTACACAGACCTTAATGATGGCAGTAGCAGCAATGAAAGACAGCTAACAAGATGTGACACTTTAAATCCTTTACTGCAGATATCTTAAAACTTACTGTAGATGTGAGAGCCTGGAATGGAAAATGGTGGAGGACACCCCCACAAACACGCCCCCACACAACCTTTTAATTTCCTCAACCCTTCATGTATTTAGCTGTGAAAGGGGCACATGTAGTTATCTCTGATGAGTTTTGCCCCAAGCCTGCCAGCTCTTTTCCTGGCTTGACAGAAATTATTTTCCGGTTTTATACTTCAAAACCCATTAGCTGACAAGCCTGTACACATGTCCCCTCTACCCTGAAATTATCTCTATTTAGGCAAAGCACCACATGAATTCGTCTTTAGTGTTTTAAAATGAATAATGGCAGCTTTTAGACGCAAATGTTGCTCTCATTCTGTCGGTATAGTTGTGTGTCACTGTCTTTTAATAGTCTAAACAGGATGAAGATGTTTCAGCCAGCCGTTTTGAAGACAATGAAGAGCTGCGGTATTCACTGCGGTCAATAGAGAGGCATGCTCCCTGGGTACGGCACATCTTCATAGCCACCAACGGGCAGATTCCTTCCTGGCTTAATTTGGATAACCCCCGGATATCTATAGTAACTCATCAGGTAAAAAGTGTCTGACTCTGTTATCTGGGAACTCTTGCCCTAAATTGCATCAATAAGGAGTGTGTGATATACAGGCATATTTGTGTGAAGTTTTCTTCGCTGCAATTGCACCGTACACGTGAAACGCTGACTTAAATTGTTGGATCCAAATGACATTTGGAAAGCGTTTTGAAACCTCTCATAAGATTCCCCCCCCCCAATAATATTTTCTTTTATTATTCTAGGAGATATTTCAGAATTTGAGTCACCTACCCACTTTTAGTTCTCCTGCCATTGAAAGCCACATTCATCGCATTTCAGGTCTGTCCCAGAAGTTCATTTATTTAAATGATGATGTGATGTTTGGAAAGGATGTGTGGCCTGATGATTTCTTTAGTCACTCCAAGGGTCAAAAGGTAAGCCATCACAAAATAATTTTATTTATTCAATTTGAGAGATCAGACACCTTTCTGTTGGAAACACGCCCGGGAAGGCCACCAACTTCCCAAGTCTCTGGGGCGTCTCTCTGATGGTCCTCCCTGGCTGTAAATCTCCCTCAGTCCAGAGAGACCGGTGATAAGCGACCCCTCTCTCCTGAGAAGAGCACACTCTGGCATATCATTGCAGAAGAAAGACTCAATCAGTAGCTCTAAAACTACTTTATTTACAGTCTATATACAAAGACTTCATCAGCACGTCTGTGCTCTTTGAGCACCAGTACAGAAACAGCAGCACATTCAGAAGTGAAACCAGCTTCCAACAGTACCGATACTTCCTTTCTCACGCTCTCTCAGACACTCACATGATATACACAAAACATAGTGCTACTACTGGAGCAGCACGGACGCATAGAAATCCTAACACTTTCGTCATTTGGGAGATGCCTAGTTTGATTTTGCTTTCACCAAGTTTGACAATAACATAGGTGACTAATATGAGAACAAAACTTATAAATGGTAAGGTTGATAAGTCAGAATTTGCACAAGCCATGTGCACTTGCAAGCAGCCCTTTCACTGCTTTTTCTGTGTGAGCAGCAATACAAAGCAGGAAGCCAATTAACCATAGCTTCCCATTACAGTTATGAAGGGTTTGCAAGTCTGGCTTGTTTAGAAACCATTAACTATATTACCTAGTTTGTGTGTATTGGCAGGTGTGGTTCATTTTGACTTCCCTGTGTGTTTCGTATGATGGAGCTCATGCATGTTGTGGTTTATTAAACCAAGTTTTGATGGTGCAAATGCAATCAGTTTGGTTTTCCAGTGAACTGACCTCTAAAAACCAGAATATTTAAAGCAACATTTTGGATTGTGGAGATGGGGGTAAAGGTGCATTTTGCAATGAGTAATCTCTACTGAATATATTAAATCGCAAAGCTCTTAGTGCAAAAACCACAAAAATATCTAAAAATGATTAACTATGTAAGAATTATTTACTATTCGTTACTTAGATTCTGTTTCCCTAGTCAAAAATATCCATTTATTTGCAACTAGGGTGCCAAGTATTTCTGTATCGCTGCTGGCGAGTATTTTGAAGGGTGACCCTGTGAATAATACATGGTTTATGCACCCTTTATAAGTGATGCAGTATGCATCTGCTTTGTACTTGGGTGCTGGAGCCAGAATTCAGAATGCATTGTGAGAAGTTTCCCTCAGGATCAGTTTGATGCTTCTTGGCCACATCCTGGAACGTATCTGCTTCCTCTTGTGCTTCAAGACTTGGGCGGTGATAGCCATTTGTGGGAGCTCGCTCACACAACAACCATTCCACCAGCACAGGGATGCGGAAACTAGGCCAAATTTGACCCAGCAGGTTTGCCCTGTGAGTCTGTTGCTCTCAAAACTTCACACACCTGCCCCACACCTGACAGCTGAACTTTGTTATTGGAGCAAGGTACAACCGCTCATCAGCTGGTGACAATGGGAGTGCATTTTGCTCCAGGAACATGAAGTTGTTTGCATTGAAAGCAAAGGGGGAAAGCTCCATTCTAGCAGCTGTTTCAGTGCAAGCTTTGACAGCCTGCCTGTCAATCATCTGACATCACAATGACACCAGGTGATTTACTGCCCCAGCTACCTTTGAAAGTTGGCCCAAAGATCTGCCCCCCATGAGCCAGAAAGCTTCCTCATCCCTCGCACTACCAAGACTCTTGTTCTTAGTGTAGTGCAACAAATGAGTGTCTTGCCCTTGGGAAAGACGCTGTGCCGCTCCTGCTATAATTATACTTCGTGACAGTTGTACATTACTGTTTTCACTAACGATAGCACAACAACACCAACTCTCTAATTTCTGGTGCTAATGTTACATTGGATCTCACTTTTAATAAGTATCCGTCTCCTCGTCTGAGTGCTATTGAAAAGGACATGCCGCCATGCAAAAATAGCGACACATCAAATAATGTGATTTAATGTCCCTTTCCCTTTTGTATGCCTTCACAGATTTATGTCACTCGAGCAGTATGGCTAAAAAGAAAGAAAAGCTGGAGAGTTTATATCTCTAAAGAAGGGATATTGTATAGATTGAAAACATTCTGAAAATAGAAAGAAGAGGATGGAGAATCAATATTATTATTTTTTTGTAAAAATATAGCAGGTTGACATCCTTGGAAAGGCAGATAGTCAGATAAAAGTAAAGTAGGTTAGTTTAGCTTTAAACTAGCTGTATTCATTCATCTAATTACTGGTACTGTTGGGCAACAATTAAGGCTGAATGTCAGATAACTTCAAATCAAGTAGAGGTCAGTGTTTCGGTCCCCAAGAAATTTCCTGTTCACCTTTAGAGTACAAACATAGGAATTGCAAATCAGTTTGCTGCGTAGAAGTGAATTTAAATACGTTCCTAGGAGCTGTGAGAATAAAGTGGTTTTGTCTCCATTATCAGGTTTACTTGACTTGGCCTGTTCCAAACTGTGCTGAGGGATGCCCTGGTTCCTGGATCAAAGATGGCTACTGTGATAAAGCCTGTAACAATTCCGCTTGTGATTGGGATGGTGGTGACTGCATTGGTAAGGGAGGCATAAGTACTGAAACCTGGCTTTTTGCATTTCAGAAGTCCGGAGACACTGATATATTATTTTGCAAATGTGAAGAGATGATCTCTTCGGAGCGTATTCTTGCAGACTCTTGGGTAGCTCTAGATGTAAGCTCACATTTGAAAAAGCCCAGTTGCTTTCACAGTGCACTCTTGTCTCAGCACTAAATCGCAATAGTGAGCAGCATTGACTCTGGGTGTCTTCTGTGTAAAGGAAAAGGAGGCACTGGATATAATCACACTTTTCCTGGAGAGAGTAATCCATGCAGGGAAAAAAGAGTATGCCACCATGTGAAAAACGTTCTTTTTTTTGCAAGTCAGGTAGCTGATGCTTTTCTAGTTGGGATGTAGCATTCCTAACCTTAGGGCAGATTGTTGTCTTTTGACAACAGAGATTCAGTGGTGGTTAGCGAAATAATTTTGCTCCAGATTTTGTCTTTTTTATCTGTACTGGGGTTTTTTAGGATAATTTGTTGGCTAGGCTTGAGCTTCCCTGTTTTCCAGACAGTGGACATAAGAGATGCATACCTCCCCGCCCTCATGCTTGCAAAATTGATAACCTTAGGGATGTATTTGTTTCCTGTATAAAGTATCCTTTCATTTAAAGCATACAGAATTGGATCATGAGTTAAGAACCATGCTGGGGTCTGTTTTCAGAAATGCTTAACCAACTCTTAACTTGTACATTGAGGCTTTTTTAAACTCAGCAGTGAGCAGTTTTCTACACTGTGTTACCCTTTTTCTTTTATAGGTAGTAGTATTGGTAACCGTTATGGTGCAGGTGGTGGAGCTGGTGTCGGTGTTGGGAATGTTGCTCCCTGGCAGTTTGGGGCAGGAATAAGTGGCGTTTCTTACTGCAACCAAGGCTGTGCAAACTCATGGCTGGCTGATAAATTCTGCGACCAGGCATGCAACGTCCTTTCTTGTGGATTTGATGCTGGTGACTGTGGACAAGGTATGTTAAAACAAATGGAGTCCCTGCAGCCTTTTGGCTCTTCCATACTGTTTAATGTATGTCTGGTGCAGTCATTCGGTCTACATTGATGGAAGGGAGTTGCTAGATTTAACTGTACTTTGACTACATTTGAGAGGGAGGGGGGAAAGAGAGAGAGAGTCCATCCAATGTCCATCCAGTGATGAACTCATAATATCACATCCAAATTAGTCCAGTGTAAGAGAGAAAGAAGGGGGAAAGAGATGCCCAATATTAATATGTATGGACTAGCTCCTCTGAATCTTTCCTTCCTACTTAAATGTTTAGCTCTGCCTTGACTGTAAAGAGTTATTGAAGGCAGACCTAATGCTTGAAAGACACACTTAGACTTTATTTTTAAAAATATATTTATTTGTTCATTTATGCCGTTTATCTATTTGCACAGACTAGGTGGTGCTGTACCTTTATGAATATTTTGAATTAAGGTTTACCGTATTTTTTGCTCTATAAGACTCACTTTTTCCCTCCTAAAAAGTAAGGGGAAATGTGTGTGCGTCTTATGGAGCGAATGCAGGCTGCGCAGCTATCCCAGAAGCCAGAACAGCAAGAGGGATTACTGCTTTCACTGCGCAGCAATCCCTCTTGCTGTTCTGGCTTCTGAGATTCAGAATATTTTTTTTCTTGTTTTCCTCCTCCAAAAACTAGGTGCGTCTTGTGGTCTGGTGTGTCTTATAGAGCGAAAAATACGGTAATTCTTTCTATTCCTTCAATACATCTCAAACCATTATTTATTTTAAGATGTTACACTATATTTTGGTTTTGTTTCATTTTCTTATGTGTATCATTATTTAGTATATATTATTTGTAGTTTGGTTAGTTTGTTGTAGTCTTCTATAATTTTCAGTGTTATATTGGCTTGACACCAAATGAGTTACAGTACTGTGTACGTTAGCATTATGGTAATTCCAATTCTGGTGTTTTACAACTCTTTATTTTGGAAAAGCGATGTTTGTTGTTCTTAATGTTAAAAAATCAATAACAATTATTTTAATAATAAATAACTGCAAGCATTGCAGGGTCACCTTGGAGGAAGGGCAGCATGAAAATGCAGATGATACAAATAATTCTCTGGAGATTATGTGATGTTTTATGTAGTTTTAAATTGTATTTTTATTGTGTGTTTGATATGTGATTTGTAAACCACTTTAGGGAGAAATTTTCTTTAAAAGCAATATGCAAATAAGCCATATAAGTAAACACATTTATGTTTTTCCAGATCACTTTGATGAGCTGTACAAAGTGACTCTTCAAAAGAACCAGACTCATTATGTCATTCCAAAAGGCGAATATTTGCCCTTTTTCAGTTTTGCTGGAATAGCTAAGAAAGGGCTTGATGGCGCCTATAGTGATAACCCAATAATCCGCCATGCTTCCATCGCCAACAAATGGAAGACCATCCACCTGATAATGCACAGTGGAATGAATGCAACTGTGATCCACTTCAATCTTACATTTCAAGGTAAAGAGGATGACGAGTTCAAGATGCAGATCACCCTGGAAGTTGATACAAGAGAAGAGCCAAAAGTAAACACAACGTCTACCCAGAAGCCTGAAGGTGATGCAAAAGCTGCAACTTTGGTGCCAGAAGCTGAAATGATATTTGAGGATATCCCTGAAGAAGAACGTTTCCCAAGAATCAGAAGCCACCCAAATGGCACAACAGAGAATCTGGACGGGGACATAGTAATTCAACTGCTTAACATTTCTGCTCTTCCGGAAGATGTGAGGCTGGCCCTACAGAACCTAGATTTGCAGCTAGCTATTGGTGACATCACACAGAAAGGGTACAATCTGTCTAAGGCTGCTCTCCTGAAATCCTTAGGGATGGTACCAGCAACAACGAGGGCTGCATTAAACAATTCCCAGAAGATAAGGGGAAAGGAAGTAGTTGACGGCTTGGAAAATGGGAAGAATCACACGATTTGGCAGAAACCTGACCAAGATGCCAGGGATGGCAGAAGAGATGTAGAAAGAAGAATGCATGATACGTTCCCACTGGAGTTCAAACCAGCAAATACTACTCCAGTGGCTATGAAGGTGAACAGCCATTTCCCACTAAGACACGGCTCTGTGGTAAAATCTAAATCTGTACCTTTAACCCAGAATACGGGTGAGCGACTTGAATCTCCAGAGAAAATCCTAAATGTCCTTGTACAGAAAGAAGCTCAGAAGACAAAAGAAATGAGGGAAGGAAAAACTGCAGGGAGAAAAAAGGAAGAGGTGGATGCCATGGAGGACGTAGCCGAAAGTCAAGGCTTACCACGAAGGAAATTGCAGCATTACACTGGAAATTACCGAGGCTTTTTGCCGTGGGAGAAACAGAAATACTTCCAAGACCTTCTTGATGTGAGTATATCAGATGGGTAGGATAGTGTCAAGCAAGGAGGATTAAAATAAAATAAAAATGTTTATTTAAAATGCTAGCATAGCACAGTGGCTCAGAAAATGAGCTGATTATGCAGAAGTCAACTGAAACTTGCTTTGCCATAAATTCATTTGGTGATCTTTTGGACAAGTTATGCTTTCTGAGCCTCAACTCCCTACCAACCCCTCCCACTGCAGATATAGTGAATGAAGTCAATATTCCTATTGATTTCATATGCTATTTTGTGTTTGTGACTTACTTTCTTCTATATTGAAGAAGCTTGTATCTTGCTTTCTGTCGACCAGTTGGAGACAAGGAAACTGGCAATGTGAGCATCTTAACCACATCAACAGTGTACAAATTCTCTCTCTCTCTCTCTCTCTCTCTCTCTCTCTCTCTCACACACACACACACACACACACACGACAACCAGTACTGTACTGCTGTAAGAAAACCTTATAAGGGAATAGCATTAAATACTCATCAAACTTAAAGCTGAAAGCCGTCTTTAAAAATAATGGTTTAGTCAGATGCCTGAAGGAATAATGTCTTGAAGTGTGAGAGCTCTCACTTTGAAAGTTGTTTGCATTCTATCTAGGTATAATGTTAGGCCTTCAGTATCTTTGAAGAACTAATTATTTGATCAAGGAATGCTTTTAAAACCACTTTTATACAGCTGGTACTACTACTACTACTACTACTACTACTATTATTTATTATACCCTGCCTAAAAAACCAAACAGTTATAGAATTAAAACTGTATATAAATATAAAGGCACTGTTAAAAACATACAGGTAGTTACAATAAAAACAGCATGCCAGTGGGCCCTTTGATTAAAAAGCAGTCAGTTCCCAAAACCCTGTTGGAACAAGAAGGCCTTCCCCTGCCAGCAGGAAGACAACAAAGGGGTGGCTAGTCCGACTTCTCTAGGGAGGGAGCTGGGAGCAGCCAGCAAGAAGGCCCTCTCTCATATCCCCACCAAGCATGTTTGTGAGGTTGGCAGGACCTAGAGAAGGGCCTCCCCCGAAAATCTCTGAACACAGGCAGGTGTATATGGGGAGATACGGTCTTTCAGTAAGCTTAGACCTAAACCATATAGGGAATTAAAGGCCATAACCAGCGCTTTGAACTGTGCCGAGAAACGGACTGGTAGCCGGTGGAGCTCTCCTTGCAAGGAAAACATAGGCTCCCTATAACCAGCCCCGGTCAACAATATGATTCCTCTTTACCCAGGTATTTGATGGCTGTAAGACCTACCTCTGGCCACCCTGATTTTTTTAGTTTTGAGAGTAGGAGATTGCTTTTAGATGTTTTAATTGTATTGTTTTAATATTGGCATGTTTGCGACTAATGTACGCATGATTTGCATTCTTGCTTTCCAGGAAGAAGAAGCGTTAAGGAGGGAAATGGCTTATTTCACAGATAGTAAACTGGTTGGAAGGCAGCTGAAAGACACATTTGCCGATTCTCTCAGATACGTGAACAAGCTTTTAAACAGCAAATTCGGATTCACGTCTCGCAAAGTCCCTGCTCATATGCCTCACATGATTGACAGAAAAGTCATGCAAGAACTGCAGGATCTGTAAGTCTGACATAGAGGAAAATAGTAACCCTTGCATTTGAAATATAGATATCCCAAGTTGGATCTGCCAAAATAGGTTTTCTTATTAAGTGAAATAAGGGAGAAATATGAGCTACTTCTTCTCACAAGCAGTAAGTGAAGAGGCTAACCTGTTTCTGGGCTGCAGCGCTTGAGATTGTAGGTGAGGGCCCTCACAGTGAAACACTCCTCCATACTAGCAACACACAAACACACACAATCACTGGACACACACACAATCACTAGGCCCAGACTTCTTCCTGTTTTCTATATAGAAAATATTGAAGTCGGGGGAGGTTATATTGTGAAGATTTCCATCCTATGAGCTCCGCATCCTCTGTCTCCAGTGGTGCAGCCCTGAAATAGGTTCACCTCATCTGCCATTGTTTTGAGAGATTTTTTTGTCCTTTTTTTGTCCTTTTTTTCCCTTATCATTGCATGCAGGGATTACACACACACACACACACACACACACACACACACACCCTTTCTTGCCTTTGTTGGCTTATCTTTCATGTTGAAAGGATCAGGTTTCTCACCTGGGGATGCTTCTGAAGCCATCTTTGTCACTAGAAGCCTCTTCGCAGCTCCAACTTACTTGCCAACTATGGTCTTCCCTAGACAGGGGTAGGATGGCTACAGCTATGATAACTTCCAGATTGGACTTACAATGTGTTTTACATGCAGCTGCCCTTGAAAACAGTCCAGAGGTTGCAACTGGCGGGAAATGCAGCGACCAGGGTGTTAGTGAGTGCTGCTGGTTGTCCACTTGCAACCCCTCTTCTGAAACAATTCTATAGGTTGGCAGTTGTCTTCCAGGTCCAATTGAAGCTGCTTATGATAACATTTAAAGCTCTAAATGACATTGGCCTATCTGAAAGAGTGTCTCCTCCCATACTAACTGGATAACGCCCAGATCCCCAGATCTGCTGGGGAATGCCTCTTGGTAGTCCTAGTCCCTAATGAATGTTTTTAGGAGGCTTATGGGGTGAGGAACCTTGGGAGGGCTTTCTGTGGCTGACTTATATGGACAAGTTACTCAGATTTTCTGTATAGCCAATTCAGTTGATTTTCGATGTTTCTGGACAGGTTTCCTGCGGAATTTGACAAGACCTCCTTCCACAAAGTACGGCACTCTGAAGATATGCAGTTTGCCTTTTCATATTTCTACTATCTCATGAGTGCAGTTCAGCCACTGAACATTTCCCAGGTTTTTGATGAAGTTGATACGGATCGGTCTGGGATTTTATCTGACCGGGAGATTCGTACATTGGCCACAAGAATTCATGAACTCCCTCTAAGCTTGCAGGTAATATTTTTTTTTAAATACCCCAATGAAATTCTGTACAGAGGAGGGAAAGTTAATGAAAAGTAGACGTTACAGATGTTGTTTGTTCAGTGGCATCTTAACATTTCTGTGTTTGTATTTGGTTAAATACTACTTATTCAGATTTTGTCAAAAAGCAATTGATTAAATTAAGGAAATGCATTAGAATATAAAGGGAAAGTGTAGTGTTCTTATTACTGGAACATGATTATAGGGACATTTTGATGCATTGGTGAAGATAGGGAATCTCACCAAACTTGGAAGCAAACTTCCTGTCTTCCTCCTGTTCTGATGAATTACACTTAAATCTTTTATAAAATACAGGTCGGAGCAGCAACAAATTGTTGCATTGTGGAATATTTCTAGTCGGCGTACCAACCAGCTACGGCCTTTTCCAGGATCATAAAAATTGTGAATTTGTGTGCCACTTTTCTATCATATACCATGGTCAAAGCTGCTTATAACATCCAAAATACTTAGAATTGCAGAGTTGGCAGGGACCGGAGGGTCATCTAGTCCAACCCCCTGCAATACAGCAATCTCAACTAAAGCATCCATGACAGATGGCCATCCAACATATACTTAAAAACCTCCAAGGAAGGAGAATCCACCACCTTCCAAGGGAGACAGTTCCACTGTTGGAACAGCTCTAAACCATCAAAAAGTCCTTCCTGATGTTTAAGTTGGGACCTCCTTTCTTGTAACTTTGAGTCCTAGCCTCAAAGAAAAGAATCTGGCTCCATCTTCATTATAATCTCTTCTCTCTGCCCTCCCTCTGGTGAAATAAGAACATAAGAGCCCTGCTGGATCAGCCCAAAGGCCTATCTAGTTCAGTTCTGCACAGAGGTGCTTATGGTAAGCCCACAAACAGGGCTTACCTGCTCTCACCTGCTCTTTAGCAGCTGGTATTCACTGGCGTAAGGGACGCGGGTGGCGCTGTGGGTTAAACCACAGAGCCTAGGACTTGCCGATCAGAAGGTCAGCGGTTCGAATCCCCGCAATGGGGTGAGCTCCCGTTGCTCGGTCCCTGCTCCTACCAACCTAGCAGTTCAAAAGCACGTCAAAGTGCAAGTAGATAAATAGGTACCGCTCCGGCGGGAAGGTAAACGGCGTTTCCGTGCGCTGCTCTGGTTCGCCAGAAGCAGCTTAGTCATGCTGGCCACATGACCCGGAAGCTGTACGCCGGCTCCCTCGGCCAGTAAAGCAAGATGAGCGCCACAACCCCAGAGTCGGCCACGACTGGACCTAATGGTCAGGGGTCCCTTTACCTTTATTCACTGGCATCGTGCCTCTAATCCTCGAGGTGGTATATCGTCATCATGACAAGTAGCTATAGATAGCTGTATCCTCCGTGAACTTGTCTAATCCTCTTTTAAAACCACCTAGATGTCGGGGAGAAAGTTTGTACCCTAGCCTTCTCCCGGATATCTCATTCCTGTACGAGTGACTTTTAAAATCATTGTTTGAGGGAATGTATGAGCTCCCACCTGCAGTCTGAAGAAGAGCCCAGGCTCGCTGATGTAGTGAAATAGACTTTCATAAGCAAAAGTCATGGTTGTGTGTAGGTGTGCAGTAAAGCTCATCCATGCAGAGAAAGAAAATGCAAAACCTTCTTTTCTTTTTTCCCCCTTGCTAGGATTTGACAGGTCTGGAGCAAATGCTAATAAATTGTTCTAAATCCCTTCCATTCAATATCACTCGGATTCACAACATACCACCAACTCAGGAGGCATATTATGACCCCAATCTGGTAAGGAACTGTTGCAAACATACTTTCTTCTCCCTCTCCAATTGGTGCAGACTGGCATTTCAAAAAACAGCTTTCAAAATATGTGGTATAATTTCAGATGGTCACAAAACCACCGTTTAAATCCCTGCATTCAGTAATGTGAGATGTCTTGCTCCCCGTTAATTTCTTTTGTGAGCAAATCTTCCTGCTTCAGACATACGCACAACTTGAGCTTGTCCACTGATTTTGTGATTTAAGAGCAAACCTCCCTCCCTCCGCAATAGAGTGCCAAGAGCTTCTGCTGAATGCCCCCTAAATTTGAAAAACACCTAGTCCTTTAACACAGAACAGCTGTAATTCAAGGATAAAAGAAACACTAAACCACCTGGAGAAATTATTTGGGAGCCAGGTACCTAAAGAAGCACCTCTCCCAGTATCACTCATCACAGGTCCTACGATCAGAAGGGAAGGCCTTGTCGGTGGTGCTGCCTCTGGTTGCTTCCCAGTTAGCCTTGATCCATGACAGGGCCTTCTCGGTGGTTCCCCATTTATAGAATGCCCTTCCTCGTGATGTGCGTCCACCTCCCTCATCATTGACTTTCAGGAGAAATTTAAAAAGACTCCTGTTTACCCAAAAATTTGATGGCTAATGGAAACTGGCCATGGCAACTGTGAAATTAATTATTATCTTTTTACATGTTTAGTTGTTCTAAATGCTTACGGTTTTGAATTATTGGAATCATAGAATATTGGAGTTGGAAGGGACCCTGAGGATCATCTAGCCCAACCCCCTGCAATGCAGGAATCTCAGCTAAAGCATCCATGACAGAAGGCCATCCAACCTCTGTTTAACAACCTCCAAGGAAGGAGAGTCCACAACCTCTCGTGGGAGTCTGTTCCATTGCTGAACAACTCTTACTGTCAGAAAGTTTTTCCAAATGTTTAGTTGGAATCTCCTTTCTTGCAACTTGAAGCCATTGGTTCGAGTCCTACCCTCCAGAGCAGGAGAAAACAAGCATGCTCCCTCCTCCATGTGACAGCTCTTAAGATATTTGAAGATGGCTATCATATCTCCTCTCAGTAATGCCCCCCCTCCATTTAGCATTGCACCCTTTAGGAGGCTAACAGTACAGTCCTGTGCATGTCTACTCAAAAATAAGCCCCATATTGTTCAGGCAGTAGCAGAAGGTATTGTGGTGGGACTGTAGTGCTCACCTGACCTCTGGCTGTCCAACAGGAAGGGTAAGGCAGCAGTGAGGTTGGTGCGATGCAAATATGCCAGCAGGATTGGCTCCACCAATGCATTTGCACCATGCCAACCTTGCTGCTGCCACCTCCTCCTCTTAGTCACTATATGCAGCAGTGACCCAGCCAGAAAGACGTCAGGTGAGCCTTGCAGTCCAGCACACCATCTGCTACAGCCCCTGGGTGAGTCTGCATAGGACTGCAGCCTAATTTGCTCAGAATTTTCCATCATGATTATTGTTTTTGTTGCTGTTCCTGCATAGCAGTTTACAAAACACAGGAGGGCAGGTCCCTGCCCCAAGGAGTTCACAGTATAAAATTTGACATGAGAGATGCAACAGAGGAGGGGATGGGAATGGAGGGACAAACTAAGCATGAAGTTTATTTTAACTACATAACAGCTTGGTTATGATAAAGTAAGAACCTTTCTTATTAAATAAGCTCAATTCTGTTATGTTTTTTCTGTATCCTCCCCCTTCTTACTGTGTCTTAATGCCCTTGATAAACGCTTCTCACAATCTGCCATTTTATCTCCTTAAATAAATATCTACTAAATATAGCATCATAATTAATATCTTTTGTTTCTAACATCATGACTGAAGTTATTTTTGAAATGTTTCAGTTGTTGGATTTCCAAGAACAAGGCTAAACCTTTAAAAGGCTTCCCTTGAGAATAGGAGAGTTGTTTCTCAGAAGTGCTTGTGACTGGATTAGGAATCATAAGACTAATATATACCAGCTGTTCAGATCTCACTTGGAGTAGTTTCCTGGTTGACATTGATTGGCTTGCACCGTAGCATTTTTCTGCCTCCCTGCAGAATACTGGATTAAATGTCTTGTTACTTATGAAATACAAAAAGTTATTTGTTTTCCATATCATCAGTTTTAATCCTAAGAAGTTTTGCTGCTCAGCAGCAAAAAAATTACATTTTTTAAAAATAAGGAAAACAAACAACTAGCTGGGAGTTTGCTACATCATGATTCCATGTAAAATACAGAAAAACAATATGCATAAATAACAAACCAATTAATTGATTGTTTGCCCCGTTTTCAGCCCCCAGTGACAAAAAATCTGCTAACCAACTGCAAGCTTGTGACTGACAGAATTCATAAAACATATAAGGACAAAAACAAATACAGGTATCCAGTATTATTTTACTTCAGTTGTGACACACATATAGAAACACCTAAGGGTGGAGAACCCGTGACCCTCCAGATATTGTTGGACTCCAACTCCCATAAGTGTCAGCCAGCAATGGCCAATAGGGATGATGGGAATTGTAGTCCAGCCTTGTCTGCAGAGCCAGAGGTTCCCTACTCCTGACCTATAGAATGAATTGTATGTGTTTATTTAAAGGCTCCTTGGTAAGTGCAGCATGACATGATGGAAGTAAAAGTGCTTTCTGTTTAAAATGTGATTAATTATAAATGATTATTTATCCATGGTTGATCTTGAAAGTCATGCTGAATTATCCTCAAGCAAGCCACTGTACACACCTGGTGGCATCTCTTACCTGTTGGGTTGAGTCATGCAGTAAGCCCAAGAGAAGAGGGAATTGCATGCTTAATAGAGCTAACAGGAAATGGGAGGGAGGTTGCACCTGTAATAGGAAAAAGTGCTCGAGGCAAGGCCAATAAAGTGCAATTAAATTTTAATAGGTAGTTTCTCAACGTGTTTTGGCTGACTTCAGCGGCTAGGCAGACACAAATTGCATCATTTTCTAATATGCTTTATGCTGTGTCTTCAGGTATGATTGTGATCCCTTTGGGGCACTTTTAGGCTTGTGTCCCTGCACAAGGGGAACAATCCTTCCAAGCAGTGTTGCGCTGCCTATACAAGGATGTATCCCCAGAGTGCTCTCCTGTTTTGTCTTCTCCTTCCGCACATGTGCAGTGCTCCAAGGCATTCTGGGGGATTTGTAAGTCTGTGCCTCTGCCTCCTTGGTCTGGGGCTGGGTGGGGACACAGACCTCCCCATCTTGTAATGCCCTCCATGCCAGCATGGATCCCAGATGGACACTAGGGGTGGTGTATAGAAAGGACTACTCACATTAGAAAGCATCATCCCCAAACCATAAATGAGAATTAATAGTGTTGGTTTTTTTAAATGCGGAACATACGTTTTTACAGGAGTCCTATAGTCATCAGGCTCTGTTTTCTTGTATGAGTAAATATAGAAAAATGATAAAAACCAATATGGGCACGGGGCTACCCATTTATACAATAAAAATTCCTTTTAACACAAGGGACACCATGGTTGTAAATCCTTCGTTCACACTTACTGTTATGTTTTCCTATATAACGCCAAGGTTTGAAATCATGGGAGAGGAGGAAGTTGCCTTCAAAATGATCCGCACCAATGTTTCTCATGTAGTCGGACAGCTGGATGACATACGAAAAAATCCCAGGTATGCAGTTCTCATTCAGATTTGAGGTAAAATGTTTACTAATTGTGGTTTGCTTGAACAAAGCAAACAATAGTCAGTGGTTTGGACATAATGCTAAAGCTAGAGACCATGGTTTGTTTCTCGCAGCAAGAGTGGGAAGAAGCAAAGTAGACATGATTGACTCTGTTTTGGTAAACTATTAACTACTTTTAATGTGATGCCTAAGAATCCCTAGAAACCTAATACAATGAAACAATTTTTCTTATAATATTAGGCCCTCAAACACCTTGAATTGATCTTGCAACTATATAGAAGGATTGCTTTTGTAGGAATCATATATTTCTACACAAAACTGCTGCTATTTTATGATCCATTATTATGTACAATAAATACTCTGAAATGTTCTTTCACAGTATTTCTACTCTTTCAGAGTAGAGAGCCAGGCTAATGAAGGTTTTTAGAAAACAAATTGAGATATGGGAGTGTGTCGTTTGCGGATAACAGCTTACTACTTGTCCCAACCAATAAGAACGTTGGTTTTCTTGATTTTTCTTTCCTCTCAGAAAATTTGTTTGCCTCAACGACAACATTGATCACAATCATAAGGATGCTCAGACAGTAAAGGCAGTGCTTAGGGATTTCTATGAATCAATGTTTCCCATACCATCCCAATTTGAGCTGCCCAGAGAGTATCGGAATCGTTTTCTTCACACCCGGGAGCTTCAGGAATGGTAAGTGTTTCAGAACCCTTGAAATGAGCATACTGGGGATGCGATCTTCAGGGTACCGTTCAGCTGGTTCAAAATGTGGCCACCAGATTCCTGATTGGTGTTTGGCAATCTGCTTTAACAGCACCTACATTATATCAGTGTGTTCCCAGGTCCCGGTGAGTATCTGGTCTCAATTTAAAGTGCTGGTCTAAACCTTAAAAGCCTTAAATGGTTCAGGCCTGAGCTAGCTGATGGACCCCCTGCACTTATATTATCCTGTCCACACACTGATATCTCAGCTGGAGGCTACCTCCAAGGTCTATGAAATAGAGAACCATAAGAGAAAAAGAGGTGGTCTTTTCTGTGGTGGCTCCACACTTTTGAAACTCTCTCACAGGAGAGTTGTGGCAAGCAGCTACATTTCAGGCTTTCAGTCAGGCCTTATACTCTTGTTTTCATTTACCTTCCCTGAGCAGTATTTTGTTCTGGTCACCAGAGAAAGCTGGATTTTTATTATGCTACTGGAGTTCTGAATTTGTTTTTAACTTTTTGAGTCTGATTTATTCTTGGTCTTGGTAATAATTGATTTTTTTATTCTTGTAGTTTTTGTTGCTTCTAAAATGCTTTGAATAGGCTTTTCCTGGAAAAGTGGCACATAAATATTTTAAAATAAATGTTATGTTTCTAGGAATATATAGATATTTAGTACTATTTTGTTCTTTTAAAAATGCTGTGTTTAGGAGGGCCTACAGAGACAAGCTGAAGTTCTGGACGCATTGTGTGTTAGTGACATTGATTGTGTTCACTGTCACCTCGTTTTTTGCTGAGCAGGTAAAAGATATAATTTTATGCAAATATTAAACTTTCTTAGGATATCACTCTTGCTAAACCATATCACGAAAAGTCCCAGTAAAGGGTTTTGTAAAATATATTAAGCCAGGGTTACTGTTTTAGCCTGTTTGCACCAGCCGCTGCATGTCACATAAAACGAGTTCAGCAAAGGTTGTGGAGCAGCAATGGTGGAAAAGGTAGCAGTGGAGAGAGAGCAGAGAGTTGACTGGATGGCTTAAAACACTCCATCCAACTCTGATTCAGTGAGAGACACTGAGACTACATTCATAAGAACAAAAGCATTCAGTAGATGTTAGTCCAGTTGGCATTCCTTACATCTGTATAGCTGGAGTCAGTTTCTGCTGCTTCAGTTCAACTAAGATCAGGTCTTCTTTGCATAGGGGGGGCATTTAAGGAACAATGTGCATAAACAGGTGTGGGAGTTAATCTGGCTAAAAAGCTGGGTCCAGGAATAAAGATACACATCACATTCTCAATAATACCAAATATCTATTCTGGAGGGGTGTATAAGGAGGATTGAATCCAGTCTTCTGTTCCTCGAATCTTCCCTTTCTCCAGATAAGTGCTGTTGCCAGCAAATTGGTGTGAGATGCACATAAACTCCTGGATCAAGTGAGGAAATGTATACAGGAGCCACTCTTGAACATGCATGTTACTGAGGCATTTATGTGTAAACATATGCTCCCCAGTTGGTCCCCACAAGATGCATTATGTTGTGAAGTCTGTTCTGATCTCCAGAGGTGAAATAGTCCGCCATGGAAATAGCTGTGCCAGGCAGAGGCATCATGGGAAGGAGGGGAATGGAAAAGAACCATGTGATTGTTTTGATTTTGCCAAGTATTCATTTGCGTGCACACACAAGTGTTCTTTAATTTTTCAGTTAATAGCCTTCAAACGAAAGTTCTTTCCAAGGAGAAGGATTCAAAAAGAAGTTTGCCCTGAAAGAATGAAGGTCTAGAAGACTTCTGTTGTAAATCAGTCTACCTCAACATGTGATGAGCATGTACAATGTTTTGTCTCAGAAGTGTCTTGATAGTTGTGTGCCGGGCATGAACAGAAGTGTCACCATCCATTACAGCTTTTGTGGCTCTGTGTATGACACCTATGCTACTGAACAGCCAGAGAATTGGGCCCCTAGGAGGATCGGTGAGGTTCTGGATCCAGAAGACCCAAAGCCACCAGTGCCCAACCCTATTTTGTGACTTTAGCACTTGCTACGGCCAGTGCGGGGAAGCTGCTGGTAGTAGCTTTCCATGTACTTGGCTGAAGCTGGGACCAGTGCAGGCTTGGCAGAGAGGCAAATATTCACCATCCTAACTATTGCCCAGCTATCAGCATAAGAGGGGATGTTTTAGGAATGTGCTCTTACAGACAGTGGGAGGAAGGGTTGTGTTGCCAGCTCTCAGATGGTTGCAATTCACAAACATAATTTCCGGAGTGCATTATCCTTTTTTATAAAAAGGGTTACTGAAAGAAACATAGCTGCATTTGTTGCAGTAGCCTTTGCCAACTAAATAATAATGTTGGATATAGAATCTTCTGTTAGATGTGTTCCTGAGCTTGCATCCCAAGGCATTTGATGTGCCATTGGCCGTTCAGTCAGTAAACCTTTCCCTCTATGTTTTGCACAGTAAAGCACAGCTATAAACTTGCCTCTTGAGTACATGGAGGGCAGGATATGAACTGACTCCCACAACACTCCATTGTAACTGCCACCTACACAGTTTCTCAGGCCTTGTTATGTTATATATTCCCCATGGTAGCCAGTCCATTATCCATAGGGTTTACCATGTTTGTTGTTGCTTAGGCTCCTGACCAATAGGCTACTTTGAAAGAGCAGGACGAGAGCTCCACACGGAAAGCGTAAGAGAGAATGAGCTTCTGGGGGTTTCTAGTAAAGTCCAGGTATCCCTGTTAAGAGAAATCCCTGATTGGAATAGCAGCAGCTTGATGTGAGGATAGTCCTAACGTAGATCTTTTGAGCAGCTGTGCATCCATTTATTCATGTGCAAAGGAACAGGATAGTAGCCTTTGTGTCTGTGCCCCGCCCCCTTTAATGTACCCTCTTCAATTTGTAAAGTATCTAGTTTAAATATAAGGCGGATTCATCTATAGAATGAAGGATTAGAATGGTGAAGTCCTATTTGCTATATTGTTCTGCTGCTAGACTATGAAAAAATGGTATTTAAATACATTTGATTCTTTTCTTTGTATAATGTCTTTATTGATCAAAATGTAAACTGCAGCTCAATCTACTCCATTCAGTTTCTAGAAACACTAGTAAGAATTGTACGCCTAATTAAAAAAATTAGGGCTATAAACAAAAGGGGCTTGGCTGCATTATGTGTACAAGCAGTGTATATTTAGCAGCAAAAGTGCCTCTCCATATAAGTTTTCAATACTTTGTATTGTTTTAACGGTATAACTAAGAGCATGACACTCAGCCATTTTTCATATCAAGCATTCATTTTCAAAAATTTGGACATATAGTAGTCTAGTGATCTCCCCTATTATGTCAAAACAAATCTCAGACCAGGAAAAGGAAAGGGATTTTTGTCCCAAACAGATTCTTTTAAAAGAAATGTCTTTAATCATGATATTAACAACTTTTCAGGACTATAATCACCTCAGTAATTATTTTATCATGAAGATGGGGGATTTTCAATGTACATGTGCTGTAAAATATATGCTTTTTTTAACAGATGTTTTTGATTTAAAAATGTTATATTGTGTGTGTGTCAAGAAAAATGATCAAGTATTTAATGCTCTGAAAAATGGTTAAGTATTTTTAAATCAAAAAGGCACCTTATTCTTTATCAAGTGCATACACCTAATTTTTAAATAAATAAATCTAGTTCAACTTCTTTAAAATGCTACTTGTTTTGCCTGTCTTAAAAAGCAAAGCTTCATTTCACAATAAACTTTAAAGCAGCAATTGCATTGTGGCTCTACTCACAACACTGAACTATGTTGTTATGTGTCCACTGAGTTCTGCTGATGACAACATTGTCCCTGGTTTGTGTCTACTATAGTGTGTAGTGACCTCCAAATTAGGAAGACCATGATTAATGCTAACTAGTTTGTGTCCAAACCGAAATCAAACTTGACTTTGGTAAATACAGTTACTCTGTCAAGCAGCTCATTGGTCCAATATTTAGGGTTGGCAAGTAAAGAAATTCTAGACTGGGTACAAGTTCAACTGTACATAGAGAGCTAAACTAAATGGTACACACAGATGCACACCTGACTGCTTTAAAAGAAGAAGAAAGGACAGCATCAGTGGGGGACCAGGAATGGGAAAGTAGCAAGGCTAGAAGAGAGTACAGCTATGGAATGTACAATTTTATTATATAAACTGGAGCAATCTTCCAATGAATTTATGGTGGTCTGTCCCATTTTCTGCCCATTTTCTCCCACCTTTCACCTTGTGTTGGCTCAAGCAGTTGTACTTGCAGCGTGAGTCCCTTTCACACCTTTCCTGAGTGTATGCATTGACCATTTGGAAAGGAGCACAGGATTCTACCCACAGATCCTGACTTGCGCATTCAGCAGAAGATGTGAAAGAGTATTTATGCTCAGAATGCACAGAGGTTGGGAACAGGATTAGCAGGTGCAATCCAGTCCACATGTTTGGTAAAGAATTGGAGAAGAAGTGTGAAAAGGATCGTTTACACAATGAGAGTTAAGTAGTAGGATGGATTGTACCATTGTGTAGATGGGGGTTTATAAGAAGCAGACTGCTGGAAGCTTTCTCCTGATTGAATAGTATTTTTACTTGCAGTGAGGGTTGTTGTTTTTTCTTAATCATAAAAAAATGGCAGTCTGTAGTGCTACAAGGCGGCTCCTTTTGTTGTTGGCACCCAACTTTCTTGAAAGACAATGTTGTGCATCTCTGGGGGCGAAGTCAAACTGCTGCATTGGCAGCGCCAAACGTGCAAGCCTGGACAGTGTGTTGGTCCCCACCCTGCTCTCATCTCTGGGCCCCTCCAGACTGATCCAGTATTATGCACATGTTTTTGGCACTTTAATAAAAGTGCATTGCTGGGTTTCTTCTGCTTTAGTTCCCTCCCCCCCCCACCCCGTGCTGCTTCCCCAATGCTACCACCTCGTTGATATCTGAATGGACTAACGCACAACAAAAGTAGAACAAAAAATTAAGTCAGAACATTTGGGTCCCTTCAGATCTCTTTTTCATGTCACATTCATGTTGATTGGTGCTCACGATACTTTTGACACAGTTGCATTTTGCCTTCTCAATACTGTTAGCACCTGCAACTATTGTGGGGTGGTTACACTGCTTCATTTCCAATCAGTATCTCTGGTAGCTTCCTGTTGAAAACCCTTAATTTTTTATATACGGGCATAGCCAGAATTTATTGGGCGGGTGGGGGAGGCTTTATGTTAGGAGGGCAGAACCGAGTTTTCTGTGATGCAATTGGTCAGTTAAGTATTTTTCTTTATTTTCTTGATGGGGGACAGCTGCTACGCCCATGTTTTTAATACGACAAATGTTTCTAGTGGGCTGACCATGGGATTGGAAAAAGGGAAAGAGAATAGAGACTCTCCTAAAAATAAAATTGCGAGTTTCCTTCTGAGAAAAGGACTGCCCCTCCCATTAGGCTGAGTGAGGCGGCTGCTACCTGAGGCAAGTAATTGTGTGGGTCATGATATGGCAGGAAATCGTTATTTAACTAATTGTTACCAATGGGGAGAAGTGAGAGACGGACTTGCGGTATTTTGTTTAGAGGGGAAAAAATCGAGTGCAACCTTTAAAAAATATTTATTTATTTTGCCTCAGAAGGTGTGCAGCACTACCATTGGCTCTTCTTTAAATAAAAAAAAAGTCGGATACAGCTTCCTGAGGCGGCAGGCGCAGCCGATCTGCTGGAAGAGAAAGAATGGACTGCACCACTTCAGACTGCACGGGGGGCGACGGGATCTTTTGGAAGTTTCCCCCCTTCATAAAAAACTTCCCTGCAAACAGAAAACCGGCCTAGCGGGGTTAGAACGTTTCTGCTTCTGTGCTGGTTTGTTATTATTACTATTGCTAGGGAAATGTGGCATGTTTTGTTTGAAAGCGTGTACTGTGATACCCCCCCAACCCCTTTCCCGCCGCCTGAAGTTTAATCCGCTTGGGGTTTTTTTGCATTCGCGCGTGCAGACGCGAGGCAAGGAGCGAAGGCGCCTGGCGACTTTTCTTTAGGTCTGGCGCAGGTTCCATAAGACGCGATGCTTATTAACTGCATAGAACTTTCTTTGGGCCCGGCCCGGCCCTGTCGTGTTTCTCGCCGCCGCCTCACCTTTCCCTCTCTCTCCCTCTTTCAGGGAGTGAGGAGAAAGAAAGGGCGGGGGGGTGGAGCGGCGGTTTAGGAAAGTAGGAAATGCTACTGAAGGGGAAATTGGCGGAAAGGGAACTTCTGGAGGTTTGGCTAAAGGGGACGGTGGGGGGGAGGCAATGGCAGAACCAAAAGGCGGGAACCTGAGGTAATTTAGGCGGGAAACGGGACGGCCTTGAGGGAGGGCGATCAAGTCACGCGGCTGGTTTAGTTGTTAGAGCGCCAGGCTGGGGGTGAAGAGAGGCCGCGGTTCGAATTACCGCCCCCAACCATGAAACTAACGGGGAGGGGTGATTTTGAGCCACTCCCCCCCCGCCCCACCTCATAGGTCTCTCCCCAGGGAAGTTCGCCTGGCACCTTCATTGTACACCTTTAGGCGCCAGCCAAAAACGTTCCTTTTTAACCAGGCCTTTGGTTGATCTTAATGACATCCTGTGCCCTTTTAAAATGTTTGTGTGTGGGGGTATTGGGTTGCAGTTTTTATTTTTATTAAGTATTTTGTGGTTTTATATATTGATTTTATTCTGTGAACCGCCCTGAGACCCCTGGGTATAGGGCAGTATATAAATAAATAATAGGACTGGTTGGTTGGATGGTTTGTCTTTATTTAAAGATTTCCGTGGATAACAAAGGTGTATGTATAACGTCTCTGTTTTCAGTTCATGGAGACTTATCTGCAGGTCAGTTACATTTGGTGTTTTCAGTTCATAGAGTCAGTTACATTTTGTGTGAGACATGGCTATCATAGGCATTGTGAGGTTGAGGGGCAGATTTCCTTCTTTTGTATAGTGGGGTTTTTTGTGTCAGCGTCACATGGACAGGTTCTCCACCTATCCATTTGTTGGTGGTGAGAGAGATTGGAGAGCCTAGGGCATGGTTTTATTCATTCATTTGATTGATTGATTGATTGATTGATTGATATACTGCCCTGTACCCGGAGGTCGCGGGTGGTGCTGTGGGTTAAATCACAGAGCCTAGGACTTGTCGATCAGAAGGTCGGCAGTTCGAATCCCCGCGACGGGGTGAGCTCCTGCTGCTCTGTCCCCGCTCCTGCCAACCTAGCAGTTCAAAAGCACGTCAAAGTGCAAGTAGATAAATAGGTACCGCTCCGGCGGGAAGGTAAACGGCGTTTCCGTGTGCTGCTCTGGTTCGCCAGAAGTGGCTTAGTCATGCTGGCCACATGACCCGGAAGCTGTACGCTGGCTCCCTCGGCCAATAAAGTGAGATGAGCGCCGCAACCCCAGAGTCGGCCACGACTGGACCTAATGTTCAGGGGTCCCTTTACCTTTACCTTTTACCCGGAGGTCTCAGGGCGGTTCACAGAACAAAATCAAAATATAAAACCACAGAATATATAATCAAAATAAAAACAATAACCCTGAAGGTTGGTTGCCTTCGGTTGATTGCAGTGAGTTTGGTTGGGGGCGGGGTTGCAGGGCTGTTGTGACTGCGGGGGGGGGGGGTAGAGTGGGAGGAGAACCCTATGTGCCATGCATGCACTTTGAATAAACAAAAAGCCTTGGGCTTGAAGGGAAGGTGGAGCAGAAAAGTTTGGTAAGTGAAGAAAAGCAGAAAGAGGTTGTTGGTTGTCCTCTTGTGGCTGAATGAAGCAGCCTTTGAGGCTGCAGTTCTAAAACACACCCAGGTGTGTAAGCGTCATTGTACAAAGCAGATTGTACTATTGGGAGCTAGAACAAGGTGTTCCAAAATGGAAGGGGGAGGAACGGGAAGGGGGACAAGCAGTATGCTGTCCAACGACAGTAGTATTCTTAGATTATTGAATCCCTAATTGTTTATCTTTAACTGGGGTTTTCTTTCTCCAGTAGCCCAACCACACCTTGAACTTGGTACAAGTAATAATTGGTTAGAAACCATGTACAAAATCTTAGAATTCAACAAATACATAATAGATCTAACAGTGAGTCACACCTCAAATGATGTTGAAACATGGAGAAAGGCTTCCTCTAGAACGGGGTTTTTGTGTGTGTGTGTGTGTGTGTGTGTGTGTGTGTGACATTTTCAGGCTCAAGGGTCACATTTGCCCTTGGCCAACCCCCTGGGGGATGCATGTCAGCAATATGTGTGGCCATCTTGCACTTTCACATTCTCACACATACAGGGAGACAATGAACAAGCTGTCTCCCCTCCCCAGCTGGTCTGTGCAGGTCAACTGAGGGGGAGGGGGTCACATCTGCATTCATCAAATGATCAGGGAGAAGATGATTTACGTCCCCATCAAGGCGTTCAGTTCCACCCACCCCAGCACTATCTGCTTTAGTTTCCTTTCTCCTGCCTCTGCCAAAACTAGTGGGAGCTTGGGGTTGGGGTTCAGAATACCGGTAATTTGTTTGGGGGGACTGGATCAGACCCATGCTGTAAAAATGTAAGAGGAGATGACCACTTAGATATCCTGATTCCACAACATATGTGATTTAAATGTAAAAACAAGTTATTTGAATTGGGCCTAGAAACAAATTGGGAGCCAAAGAACTTCATATAGCACAGCTGGTCTAGCAGAATTATTTTAAACTTTAATAGCTCATTCAAAAATTATTAATGGAGACGTTTTACAATAATTATTCACTGTAGCTTACGTAGACAAATGAGGTTTAACTTCAAAATGTGTGACAGCTTTGTAAAAATATTCTGCAGACGTATTGAATTCTGACTTCTCAATAGCAGATACAAGATAAAATACCGTAGTATCTTAGTATCTTATTTTCCCTATATTAAATTCATACTGTGTTTTATGTGGTGAATTAAACAAAAAAATATATTTTATGGCAGTTATTCTGATTATGGCACCATCAGGAAGAAAATCTGCAGCAAAAGCTGCTAAATTGGCACAGGAAGATCCAATTGTTCATGCCTACGACTTTGAAGAACATACAAAAAAACATCTGAGTGGCTCTGAAGAGGATGTTAGAGAAGGTGTAGTAATCAGTACAAAATGTTACACGCATTTTGTTTTGTTGCACTCCTAATACAAATAGGATAAGTCATCCTTTTTCTCACAATAGTATAAGGGGGGCACCCCCCAGCTTCTATCAAATAGGACTGCTGAATAACCTGACTTTTGGCATTTGCCTAAGGCTGTCTTCGCAAAAGCAAATTTCTTTGTGTAATGGAAGAAGTTTACTCCTCATTAGGTGACCATGCAATTGGCAGAGAAGGATTCAAACCTGCTGCTTCATTCAGCAGGTGAAGTTCTTTCTTGAAAGTGGATTCCACTTGAGGGATTGGGAGGAGATAGTCTGGCATTCTCAGCAGTCATAGAGAATGGAACATAATGTAGCTTCTCAGCTCTTTGTTGGAGCCAAGCATTCAGAGCATATTACACTTTTGTACCAGTTGCTCTGATTTCCAGTGCAATCCTAGGGCCGATTTAAAGTGCTGGTGTTGAGCTTAAAAAACTCTGAATGGCTTAGGTAGGGTTGCCTAAAACTAGAATGGGAAAAAGGTAGATCAGGATCTACTGGCAGATCTCGATGATTGATAAGAATTTCTGATTCCCAATTGTTTAATGGTTAGCATATTGGATTAGGACCTCAGAGACAAGGGTTCAGCCACCAACCTCACTTGGGAGGCCTTGGGCAAGTCTTTCAGCCTAACAGAGTTGTTGTAAAGTTAAAATGGTAATTGGGAAAACGATTTGAGGTCATTGGAAAAAAGCTACATATAAATGTAATAATAAAATTAAACGAACAACAAACTGAGAACTCCCCCCCCCACTCCAATATACTGTTGAAATGAAGAAAGTGTGTGTAAAAAGGTAAAGGTACCCCTGACCGTTAGGTCCAGTCGTGGACGAGGGAGCCGGTGTTTGTCCACACACAGCGTCTGGGACATGTGGCCAGCATGACTAAGCTGCTTCTGGCAAACTAGAGCAGCGCACGGAAATGCCGTTTACCTTCCCGCCAGAGTGGTACCTATTTATCTACTTTCACTTGATGTGCTTTAGGCAGGGGTTAACAAGGAGGGTATTCTTTGTGGGGAAGCACCATGAATTTGGTTAATTTCTGGTACTCAAAACAAATTCCTGAATGCAGATGAACATAAGAATAGCCTGCCAGATCAGGTCAATGGTCCATTTAGTCCAGCACTGTATTCTCTCCGGTGGCCAACTTAGATGCCTGTGGGTAACTTGCAAGCAGGACTTGAGCTCAAGAGCACTCTCCCATCCTGTGATTTCCAGCAACTGGTATTCAGAAGCATTGCTGTCTCCCTTTTCAGTATATGTCTTTGCACCAAGCTCTGGTTGGTGGATCTTGGAATACTAGTAAAGAAACAAAGCCTGAGATCTGCTTGGATCCATAGCAACTTGCTTGTACCTAAAGATCTGCCTCTGAAGCTCTACTTAGGTGCCTATTTATAATGGAAATAAGATTGGCAGGCAGACAGACAAGGGTATTCTTGCTCATGGCCCCCAGATGTGGAAGGTCATTTCATGGGACATCACACAGAGCCCATCCCTTCCAGGTTTTAAACAGGCCATTTTTACTGTGGCCTTTATCAGTTAATTTGAGCTGAGTGCAAAACTAGTATTTTCACCTAATTTTGATAATTTTATATTATGCTGGGGTAGTGATGGTCCTCATGATTTTTAGTTCTCACATATTGTTTTGAGATTTTTGTGGTGTTTTATATGGTTTTAAATGATATTTTATGTAACTTGTAAATTGCTTTTTGAAGAATTTTCATTTAAAAGTGGTATATGGAATTTAAAACTTTTTAATGTGATACAAGTAATTGGTAAACTGCACCTTCTATTTCCCTCCCATAAAGATGAAACTCCAATAATTGATAAACATGGGAAAAAAAGACCTTCACTGACTCCTCGTCCTGTAGTTGAAGATGAAGTTGGGTAAATAGTTTAATATTTATTTTTTGCCATGTAATGTTAAATAATTTTTTACAGTTATAAAGTATCAGTTATGTTTCCAGTGCCTCTTTGTTACGATTATTGTAGCCAGAAATATATATTACTTTTACGTTGTTAAGTCTGGCTACAATCTAGATCTGTTTTAAAAAAACACAACACCTTTACATAGGAACGTAACTAAAAATTTGTTGGCTGTAGATCAGAGCTGGATAACCTGTGGCCCTTTAGATGTTGTTGGACCAGGTCCTACCAGCCTCAGCCAGCATGGCAAATAGTCAGGGATAATGGGAATTGTACGCCTACAACATCTGAAGTGGTTAGATACTGGTGTGGATCCAAAGCTTCTCTTCTTCCAAAAGTATGGTAAGTAGCTTACTCTGATATAAGGTGCTTACCCTGTTGGAGGAAACCTCTTCCATTGGAGGAAGAGAACCTTTGAATCTAGCCCACTTTAATTAATTAAGGATAATTCAGTTGCCCTCTTCTCAAAAATTATTACAGAATAGAGAGGCACCGGAGTTCTGAAGTTAACAGAGACTACTAGGGAGCAAGTCCCAATGAACGTTGTGGAATTTCTGAGTAGACATGGAAAGGATTGCACTGTTCTTCATACATTAAGTCACATCCAAACCACCATCAAATCCCCAATAGATCAACTCATAATGCAATAGAAGCCCATGTAAACCATGTTATAAATGTAAACCAATTTTACAGCATAATTCTAAACATACTCAGAAATTGGGTGCACTGAATTCTATGAGAATTATTCCACAATAAATGTGTTTAGGATTGCAGTCTTAAATATGTTTCAACTGCCATGGCTTCCAAGAATCCTAGGAACGTTAGCATCTCTGACAGAATTTTCAGCAGACTCATTAAGCTTATAATTACAAATGACAGCTTTCAGCATAAGATGTTTTAAACTACTGAGTCATAAACAGAAGGTTATGCCCTTTGTTGATTATATATTTCTTGATGGGCAAAATCTTGGCAATATAATTTAATTTAGTGTCTCCATCCTGTTGTGGTTTACATTCCCCCCCATAGATGCGCCAAAGATTACACGCCTTCACAGTGCTGATTTCCCCCCCTCCCTTTGTCACAAGGCTTTTAGTAGTGTTAATTATTGTTGGTCTCTGTTGCAGCTTGCTACCACTTACAAATAATATCTGAAAAATATAAACTAGTTCTTTTAATGCAAAAAAGTCATTTAAAAATATGAATATTTTTATAGGGGAGAAGTACAGAATATGCTGGAAAGATTCGGAGGTATGTTTTAGAAAATACTTACATACTGTCAGTTAATAAAATAGTTATATGGGAGAAGGGTCCTGCCCTTTTGTTTAAAAATACAGGATTGTTTCCAAGTAAGTTCTGCTCAGAGTAGACCAGTGAAATAAATGGATATGGCTAGCTTTAATTTTAATAGCTCTAACCTGGAAACAACTTAGTTGGATATAAACCAGTTTTTAAAATAAATTTTCTCTTTTTAGTCATATGAACAAATTAACAATTTACATTCCAAACATTATTTCCTGTAGTATGATGGCAGGAGTGCAGTTTTGTCATCTGTAGTACTTAAATAGATTGATCAATTGATTACATCAGAGTTGCAATAACTTTGCCAAAGCAGATGTGCCAATGCAAACTTCAAGATTAGGGTGCAGGTTATCCATGCCTGCTCAGAAAAAACTACTTAGAAATTTCTATGTCTTTGCTCTGGGTTTCACTCTCATGTGAAGCAAATTCTACTAAAATAGACTGGCGAGGGCAAAATGTGATGGAACATGGCCTTCATTAATCAGACATTACTGGCAAGATTCCATCTTGTCTGTGTCCATATCAGTCACCTCCATAGCAAGAACTTAGCTCTTCTCCACTTTCTGTAATGAAGGGTGGTAGCTAACAAAGGATGATGCAAAAAGACTTCTTAGTTTGTCCCAATGACAAGGACTGCAATGCTTCTTTGATCTAATCAACTGACTTTAAAAGTATCCCAATTAACTGAGGAGCAGTTTTTAAAAATAAAAATATATATTTTAATACAAGTGCTTATAAAAGCTACTGTATGGCAAGAAACAGCTTAAAACATAATCTCCCTTTGGCATGCTTATTTCTTCTGAAATGATGCCAGCTACAACACATGCACATAATCTAAAAACAAATGTGTTTCTTCCTTCAGCTGTGTTTTTACCCATATGCACATTTGATTAATCTAGTGATTAAAGTGCATATAACTGATCAACTAATCTTTCTCTCATGAGGTTTCAGTCCTCTTAAGGATACACAGCATGGCTACAGCTTATGCAATTTGAGCATGGGCCACAAGCTTTCTGAAAGCCATCTTGAACTTCATGAAGTTTTGGAATATGTCTGCAAATCATGGAGCATGAGTAATACTGTACTTAACAGTGAAGAAAGGCAACTGCTTAACCAATGCTGTATTTTGCTCCTTTGATAGTCTACTGTCTCTTATTAGAGTTCTCTCTAAAGTTTTAGCCTCAAAAGGTACCATGTTTTACAAAAGCACCTGCCTAGATTGTTTGGTTATGGGCTTGCTTGAAAAGGGCTTCATGTAAGAAGAATCCAAATCTTTGGGCAGACTGGATTGTGTCAGCCAGCTTCCGCTTAGTTTCTGTGTTTATTGTGGGGTGTTAAAAGTGACCTTATTGTTGATGGCAAAATACTTTACTGATAGCTCAACACACTATAAAAGCTGCCATATAAACACTGTAATTTTAATACAGCTTATACTAGATTCAAAATCAGTTTGAGAAGAGGTCCCTGAATTCATGCATTAATTACTGTAGCCACTACTGTAGCCTAACAGGTGTAGTGTGTGAGACATTCTAGCCTTTCTTTGCAAATCTTATAAATCTTTACGTATGTTTTAAGATACAATGCCTAATGATTCTTTGTCTTTCTGCAGCGGACATTAACAAAGCTCTTCTGGCTAAAAGGAAAAGATTAGAAATGTACACGAAAGCTTCTCTCAAAACAAGCAACCAGAAAATAGAACACGTTTGGAAAACACAACAAGAGCAAAGGTGGGGGTTATAATTAACACGAACATACATTGCACATTTGTGGCAGAGATTCAACCTGTGGCCCTCAGTCTGATTCCATGTAGGTAGGGAGAGCCAACAGGCAGAAAAGCCAAAATGGATGAAAGCAATAATATATGCAAGCGATCAGATCAGACCTGGGAAGAGCAATCTATCTTTCCCTCTCTTAGCAGCATGTTAAACAGGGGAAGAGAGAAATGGGGGTGTCAGAGAGGGTGGCCCTGCTCACTATTGGCTCTGTTCCTGCCCACGAGCAGCATGTGGCCCCCCAACAAGTTGTACCCCTCCCCTGGAAATGTGACACTAGACCAAAAAAGGATTTCCATCCTGGACTTAGTGTCTGAGTTTTGATTGTCTGTCTGGATATGATTTCCTGGTAATTTACTATAGTAAAGGAGTTGGTTCCTAATCAGAATATTTCATTTTAGAAAGCAAATTCTTTAAAATAACATTTAAGTTGCATTCTTAAAGGTAAAGGGACCCCTGACCTCTTACACTATTTATTTGGAAGTTCACCTCACTGAACATAATTGGGCTTACTTGAAGTAAACATGCATATGATTGCATTGTAAACCTACTTTAGAACAATACTCTTCAATGTTCTATGGTGTGTTTTTTCCACATTAGATGGCCACCTTTCACCTTAGCTGTGTTCTCTCAAATCTACCAACTCTTCCTTTTTTAAAGTTTGTGTGACTAACTGAATGTTTTAGGTTCTCCATCTTTCACCGATGCCTTTACAGTTTATAAATCAATGGTATTTCATGTTAACATTCAAAAATGCATTATTTCAGCTTGCAAAATATATATTTTAGGCAGAAGGTCCAACACGAATATTCTCAGCAGTTCCTGCATGTATTTCAACAGTGGGATGCTGATATAAAGAAATCTGAGGAACAGGAAGAAAAATTAATGGTTTGTTTTTCTTAACTTTTTGAATAATAAATGTAAGTGCCTGAGGCTGATATTTCATTCTCCTTATACTGCAGTGTGGAATGTTAATATTCACAAAACAGACAGGTAATATTCAGGGTTGCGTGTAGCCCTAGCTTTAGGAAAACAATATGCTCACATAGGGTGAAGGAGAGCTAAGTAAATTAGCAGAGTCCAAGTGCTGATCAGTAATAACATCTCAGATATTAGGTCAAAAGATAATGTTACGCCATAGTTAGTAGAGCCAATGTTTCTGCACTGTGATCAATCTGTTCCTTAAATAAATATACACTGAATAAGCTTGCAGTGGTAAGCAACAACAATACGTTCAGTGGAAGATAAGCATCCAGTTACTACTATAAGTTACCCATTGTTTATGGCAGCATATAAATGTAAATAAATAGCAAGTGAAAGCAAGAAAACCTTGCCATTGGAAACAATTTGACATGTAAAAACTATACACCATTTTCTTAGAATTTCTTTCTTTTTTTGTTCATTCCCTGACCTGAATGCCCCTGAAAACCCTATATGAATTTACAGCAAAGGCTTAGAAATTAATTTAAGAATATATATACACACATACACTTATGGTAATAACTGATGGCTGGTGCCTACTGGGAGTAGTTGAGTGGAAATAAAGGAAACCAACAGTAAGTGGACCTAGAGCAAACTAATTCTAGTTTTGTCCCTAACCTTTTCCTTTCTGAATCCTACACAGGCCAGGGTGCAGCAGCAGCAGTCATGGACTGGATGTAGGCAAGGCAGATGGGGCAAACTGAAGTTGGTGAAGCAGTGCCCCATTTGTCTTAGCGTACCAGATTTGGCTATGCTTACAGTTTACAATTAGTAACAATGTGATAAAGCTTTATTATATGAATATTTATTCCTACATTTATTACAGCCTCTTTTTCCTTCCTTAGAACCTGTTTCGGCAACAACAAAAAACTTTCCAACAAGCAAGAATAGTTCAGAGTCAAAGACTGAAAACAATTAAGCAGCTGTATGAGCAATTTTTGAAGGTATATTAAAAAACAACCATTTGATCAAGTTTGTTATTAAAAGTGCATTGTTATTTTAGTTTACAGTATATTAAAACAAAGGTTGTGTGAGAAGGCAGCTTCCACCACTGGTTTTCTCTTCCCCTCCTACCTACATCTCCCAAAACCTCTTTCCAGAGGGTCTAGATGCCCTTCTGCACAGTGGGGTCTGTCTCATACAGGCCTGTGATGGGCCAGGAGGATTTGCCTGAAATTTCACCAGCTTTCTTAGAGGGTTTTTTGGAGGGTACAGAAGGAAGGGAAGAAAAAGAAAACCTGTTGCATGAGCTGCTTTCTGCTCATAGAACTGCTGGATACAAACAAACATCCTGTGCTGTCCCTGCTGCTAATATGGCAAGATCTGCAGTGGCATACTATCTATACATTTATGCTTAAAAATAATTGCAACTACTACTTAAACTTTAACTTCATGTTGCATCAATTCTGCTCTGTTTCCACTTGATTATTTGACACCTAATATGCATTGCATGAAGAGTAGCATGAGCATCAACTGAATACTGCCCCAGCAGTACTGTTGATCTCCTCTGTGATGAGAGACAGCATGGCTACATCTTATTTTCATAGTTGGACAAAACACACATATACAGTGGTACCTCGGGTTAAGAACTTAATTCGTCCCAGAGGTCCGTTCTTAACCTGAGGTGTGCTTTTGCTAATGGGGGCCTGCTGCGCCGCTGGCACGCGATTTCCGTTCTTATCCTGGGGCAAAGTTCTTAACCTGGAGCAACCACTTCCTGGTTAGCAGAGTTTGTAACCCAAAGCGTCTGTAACCTGAGGTACCACTGTAATGCTAACCTTGTCAAGCCTCTACATTTACATTTGTACATGCATAGATGTTATATGGGTTAGTAATATCATTGCTTTGTAGACTCCTTTGTCATCTCGTTGGCAATTCCTGTAGGGCAGTTGAACAATATATTGTTTGGATAAGCAGTGCGAAGAATAGAAAACTAGTCCAGATGAACTCTTACCAGTTAGCATAATTACTTCTCAAAATTTTGTTGTGTTTAGGCTACTACCTTTGCCATTGCTAGCCACTCTGGTAATTCATGGCCATTCCTTGACTTCTAAAATGTAACAAAATTTCTGGGTGTAAACCAGTAACAGATTTTCATGAAGCTGCTATCTGATTTTAGAGTATGGAAGACATGGAGAAGACTCATGAAAGTCTTTTAGTAGGTGCACAAAATGAGCTTCGGAAGGAAATGGCTATGTTGCAAAAGAAGATCATGATGGACACTGTAAGTGTTAATACTGATTTATGGAAAATTTCAGTGACATTTTAAAACAACATTTAAATAGAAAAATTAAACATTTACCATTTATATTCAGCAAGTCAGAACACTATGATACAAAATGTTACATTTGATCAGCATTTTTTTCTCTCTTAACAGCAACAGCAAGAGATGGCAACTGTTCGCAAATCTCTTCAGTCCATGTTATTCTGATGGCTCAGTGGAGAAACAACTTGTACCTAAGTAACATGATACAATTATATACATTAGCCATATGGGGAGGAAGAGCCAGTATTTTAAACGCCATATTAAAAATTGCTATATTTGAATACCTTACATTCAGCTCTGATATCAAAGAAACCGACAGCTCATTGCTGCTTAGCAACAGGATATGCTAAATTTTTTTCCCCTGTGTCTCTCAAAGTATTCTTAATGGTTTTTAATTTGCATCAATCTTTTTTCACCTCTTAAATTCAGAATCTAGATCCCAGGGTTAAGGTACCTTTTTGAAAGTTCAAGATACTTAATGTTGTTTAACTGTCTGACAGACTGTTATTATCAGAGTGTTTGGTACAAAAACAAATTGCATGTACTATGGGATTCAAGGCCTTATTAAAAATTGTGTACTTGCAGCAGAACTATATAAAATGTTTCAGGTTGCTACCAAAAAAATGTTTCATTCTTATATACCAACCAGAGTAATATGTCTTAATCTGAAAGTTGAAGGAGATGCATAAGAACTTCCTTATGATTATAAAATAAAATATACATGTTGCTAGTTTGGGATTTCCTTTATTATAAGGCACTCTTATTAATTTTCCAGTTTCATGGTCTCAACTTAAATAAAATGTTCTACTTTTTTGAGGGAAGATAATATTAGGGGCTGGTAGACTATCAGTAGATTCTGAATAACTAAACAAAGAGGCTTACACTCTACAGTTCAGGAAACCTAATTAAAAGCAAAATTTAAAAGTATATCAAGCAAGTACCTATCTCCAAAAACTCTAAATGAAATGTTTCTTTCCCCTCCCAAACAGCAAAAACTTCTGTCATTGAGCTTTTTAGAAAAATAAAAGCATAATCATATTTTCATACTGTAAAAACACACTGGTAATTCAAGCTTTACAAACGAAACAAAATTTTCATTACAGCAACTTAGAATCACAGTTTTAACTGTTTGAAATGTAGCAATAATTTATTTGGTCTTAAACTCTGACATCACTTTAAAGGAATCCAGAACAATTACTACATGCTATAATAATGGCAGCAAACCACCTAGTTTTTGGATAAATGCATGGTTTTATTTAAATGCCAAGGTTTGCCACCATTAATTATCCTAATGCCACTTCATGGAGATTCTTTAGTGGCCATTAATCAGCATTTAATTTTGAATTTGGTGACATGCTGAAGATCCCTCAGTTTTTTAAGCAGACCATCAAATTCTGAAGTCTTGTCATTTGTGGGTATTTACTGTTTAGATCTTTTCAGCTAGAAAATAACATGATTAGTTGTTTTGCTGTTAGAGATCTTCATCACTTGTTTAAAACTGACCCAGGAGGGTAACAGTTTTCTTTCTAGCTAACTGTTCAGTACTTTCCTTTTTAATGGAGAAGACTGGACAACTTTCTTACAGTGAGCTTGTAAGGCACACGTGGGCAACCTATGGCCCATATGCAACCCTCACCAATGCCCAAACTGCTTCTGAATTTTGCTGGGGGGAGGAAGCACATGTAAATCACATTCTTTGCAGATGATGCACTGAAAGGAATAGAGCTGCAATGGGGAAGAAGGCACATGGGGAAAGGTAGCCCCATACATTTTCCTTCCCAGCTTATTGGTAGACTTCTTTCTGGATAAAGTTGCCAGGATTCCCTCACCCCCATTGCTGTTAAAACACATAGCCAAGAATCACTTGGGATTGCTTGGATATAGGAACTGTGTTGTATGAACTAGCTCTAAACACCAAGAAAAAGACAACCCTGAATTTCTTGGAAATAGTCAACCCAGCTTGTCTGATGGTAGTACCTACAACTAGTTTTATTGTTACAGAGCATCAAAGCTAAGTTGGGATTCAGATTGTTTTACGTTCTTCTGAAATACATATATTTATAACTGAATTCAAACTCAAATCTGTTGCCAGTAGAAAGAGATCAGCTCAGTCATTAGATCTATCCACTCCTGTCACTTAGGTGTTTAAAACTTTCTGAGAAGGCTTTGCATTAAGTGAAAATATATGAAACTACACATTTGTCCACAGCTGAGGTTGGCATATTTCTTTCCTCTTAGCTACACAAAAAGACTTGACTGGGAGTTATGGTTCTATTTTTCTGGTCTCACTAAAGCATATGACATCTAGAAGAAAGTGATGGAAAACACACAGTAATCCCCCAGAGACCATCACTGTACAAACTGCTTCCTAAACAAAACAGTTTCTAGACAGGATGATTAAATCCCATATAAAAACAGCACAGCTATATAATACCTAGACATCACTGATAAATTTTACTAAATGAAAATGCAAATTTCTTTGTTGCTTGAAATGTCAAAGACCTTATTCTAATACATTTTTAAATGACTTCACATTCTGGTGTATTAAAGAGGTTTTTGTACCTATGAGAGGAATTTATTTTGGGTTGGGGAGAGAAAATTTAATCAATAACACTGCCAAAGGGCACGAGGTGTTAAAAAGCCCTTTCCTCATTCCTGCTCAAACTGCATTTTGTAAAGAAAGAGGAAATGTATGCTGTATGTGTTTTGGTCTTAGCAGACTGTTTTATCCAGCTTAACATCCCTCGCTCACTCATTTCTTTAAAAATACAGGGTGGAATTCAACATAGCACTCAGTGGGGTGTGTGCATGGGGAACGTGGTCCAATCACACAACAGGACTTTCCTCCAGCTTCTCCGCACCCCCATGCAAGCCTCCAGAGCAGATTTACAGTGCAATGAGGGCGGTGAGGATGTCCTGGTATGCAAGCAGACCTCATTCTGTGCTCAATAACAATGTTGAATCCTGCCCACAGGCCAAATTCTTAGTAGCAATTCACAAATATTTATACTGTAAGCGAAAGAAGTAAGTGTAATTATGATTCTCCCTGCTCATGCAAAGAATTTAAACGCTTAAGAATTTAAACACTACTGCAAGATCAATTATGCCATAATTTTAACCTTGACAACTAATTTATGGTTAAATTCCTTATTTTTTTTCCTTTAACCAGTATCAGAAACTCTTAAACATAGTTAATATGAAAGACACACTCCTAAGACTTTGATACAAGATGACAACTCAGTAGTTTTAGCCCTTAAATATATAAAAAAAAATATTCAACTAAGACTCTAGTTTTCTCCAAAAGCAGTGAAATGTAGAATGGATAACTTGCAGTATTTTATACAATTACTGTCCCTATATAATGAACCAACATCACACTACCTTCTAAGAAATCCATATTTGGCTGTTTCTTACGAGTTCAGTTAGCTGCCAAGTACATTAGGTTTTCAAGCATTTCTGTCTGCAAAGAGCAAAACAAGTTTCTAAACAATAATTTGCTACTTTGTAGCAAAAACTTCCTTAGACCCTCTATTCCTATGATTTCAAAGTAACAGTTACAGTAAGTCCCAACAGAGCCTGTAGGAACTTGGTATTATATAATTAATTTCATTTAACCTCTCATGCACTTAAGTTCTCTTTGAAAATTTCCACAACTGCAATGCTGAAAAGGGTATTTTCCACCATTCAACACTTTCCCCACCCCCAACCAACTCCTCTTCGTTTTCAGCTATAAGTCACTCATTATGGTTTTGAACCTGTTCAGGAGCTTGATGAGTTGAGATTTTGAAGACGTGTATGTGAAGGTGAGCTGCAATCTGTTTGCATAACCCAGTGGAGTATCTCAGTAAATCAATCAAGGATGTGAACTAAAGAGGGAGAAAAAAGTTCAGAGCTTAAGATCAAAACATGTGTTGCACAAATGAATTATTCTGTGCTTAAATTCTCTCTCGTTCTTCAAGGCACACAGATAGTTATAACAGAAGCATACACCTTAATTCTAAAATAGTTAAAAACTTCTAGTTAGATCTGCAGTTCAGAGATTACATGCATGCACACCGAAAGACAGAAATTTAAATTAAATTTAAATTAACTTCTGAAGATGAAGCCACTCATCCCAGTGCATTCATCATCATCATCATCATCCCTACTATAATACACAGCCAGGATTCTTGGCCTGAATACAGTGGGACAAAGGAGAGTGGACAAAAGGAGAAGAAAATAGGTCAGAAAAGTCATTGCTGCTGCCTCTCTTCCTAATTTTAATACAGTGGTACCTTGGGTTAAGTACTTAATTCATTCCAGAGGTCCGTTCTTAACCTGAAACTGTTCTTAACCTGAAGCACCACTTTAGCTAATGGGGCCTCCCGCTGCCGCCGCACGATTTCTGTTCTTATCCTGAAGCAAAGTTCTTAACCCAAGGTACTATTTCTGGGTTAGCAGAGTCTGTAACCCGAAGCATATGTAACCCGAGGTACCACTGTACTGAATTAAGAAATACAGGGGACATCTGGTTTGTAGTCCGGCAATCGTATCTAATCAATAAAACATGTGTTTTTGTTTCTTCCCTATGATGAAACTTTCTTTAGCAGCCTGAATTTAAGAGTCAATTTCATTCAAACCCACAAATGTAAAAGGAGTAGATCTGTGCATGCAATAAATTGGTAACCAGCTCTTTAGGTTTAAAAAAAAAATATGACTTTTTTTTGCAATTCTTACAAACGCTGTAAGATAAACAATTAGAATCTCATTGCAAAGTGGGAGCTGAGACAAAAGACTTTTCTAAGGTCACCTAGTGGGCTCATGGCAAAAGCAAGATTTGAACAAGGGACTTCCCAATTGAAACTTGGTCTCAACTTCTACTTTACTACCAGAACATGGTCCAACACAAATAAAAGCAGGTATACCTCTCAGCCTTCATCTGTTTGGAATACAAGGCTAGAGAGTCTGACCCAAACACCTAGAAAGGTGAAAACACTTTCCATAATTTAGTGAAGCGTATGGAAAACTGCTTACCAGTGCTATCCACAGGATGATATATTCATCAATAAAACTGTTGAAATACTGGTCTAGAAACAAGAGGCCGGGCCCAATAAATGCAGTATCTTGTAGGAAGATTTCACTTTTGGTCATGTGTGCAATCTATGAACAAAGATTAGATTTAGTTACTAAACTAAGATGTTTAGATCCTATTTTAACACAATACAATTTGTTCATCTCTTAAGTCAGTACCTGAACCCATCTGAATATTCAAGGATTCAAAGAAATTTATAAGCAACATAATGATTAAGGAGATGTTTTGTTTCCAGACATGTGGTTTCTTCTTAATTACAAACATTTAAGAGAACTATAAAGGCTTAGACATAAGGAATGCTCAGGGCAGAATATTAGCTGTAATGGGTAACTGGTAATCTTCATTGGTTTCTGTCATTAATTGAAACATACTTGTAGGAATGGAATGGACCTTTTCCTTCTACATGCCCTCAAATATGCTCCAGAGGATTGGGGGTACCCGCCACAGTAGATTTAGAGGCCACAGGATGGGAGAGCAAGGGAACATCCTGCACAAGCAGATTTTCATCTATGTGATGTTGGCTATCATCCAATACGTTTTGCAAAAGAACTTGCAGCACAATTCTGTCCATGTTTATTTTGAAGTAAATCTCTGTCCAATGAGTCTCCTTATTAGTACAGGACAGCAGCCTTAAGGTCAGAGCTGAAGGTCCATGTCAGCTTTTGCCTATATTAAAAATGGCATCAGCAAAGAAATACTGTGTATTGATTACCTGATCTTGCAACAAATATTGAATCACTTTAAAATTAAGAAACCATTTTGTTATTTCTGTGCTCTTTAGACTGAATAAGCTGTGCGGTGCTCATTTTCATTTTTTATTAATAGATATCAGCTTAGCAATAGAACATTCACAATGCTTCACATGCATTATTGCATTAACACATCATCATAATAAATGCACAAAACATTGTTAGAAACTCCTTACCACCAACTTTTGTGTGATTTTGGCACTCACAAATCCAAATGTTAAGACATAGAGGCAAGGATGCTTTTCAAATAGTTGTGTTGTAGATTTTTTATAGATCATTACTGCCAAAGTAATAATCAACCCTATATGAAGGCCTGGTGACAGAACACTTGTTCCCTGAAAGGCACAAATAATTAAATTATATCAGTTTTATAACTTGTATCCCACTCTCACATGCCAAACACACCCTGAATTCAAGCTCACACCATCAGAACAAAAATCCAATGTAAAAAGCCCAAGCATACATCAGAAACCAATGTACAACAATGAAACATTCATGGAGCCAATCACACTAAAATAACAAAATCTAAGGAAAATTAACTAAAGCTGAACAGCCATGTTTTTGCCAAACAGCTAGGAATAAGGAGTGAGAGACTGATGAACCTCCTTCAGCAGGGCATTCCACAGAGTAGATTCCCTGGAGGAAAACTTCAGATGATGAAAGCAGCAGGTGGGAAGGGCATACATAAGGAGGTGGTCCTGAATGTACTTATGTCTCAAGCAATTTAGGGCTACTACTAGGTATGCAGGTGGCGCTGTGGTTTAAACCACTGTGCCACTTGGACTTGCCGATCGGAAGGTTGGCGGTTCGAGGCCCCGCAATGGGGTGAGCTCCCATTGTTCGGTTCCAGCTCCTGCCGACCTAGCAGTTTGAAAGCATGCAGTGCAAGCAGATAAATAGGTACCACTCTGGCGGGAAGGTAAACAGTGTTTCCATGCGCCAGAAGCGGCTTAGTCATGCTGGCCACATCACCAGGAAAAACTGTCTGCTCCCTCGGCCTGTTAACTGTCAGGGGTCTCTTTACTTTTACTACATCTACTTAGATTCTCACCTGCCCTTTACATCCCAGAGCAGGTTACAACAGTGTAAATATACAACATTAACATAAGTTAAAAATAATCTGCAATCAAAAGTATAGGGTGAGTCCTAAAGACATGTCTCTCGGGAGTCAAAAGGCCTGGGTTTGTTCCAGAAACAAACAAGTAGCCAGTTCAAACTGAACAAGAGGGAAAAGGTATGTTCTGAACTCCTAACCCCAGTAAACAACCTGTTTAAATTCCCAAATAGTAGATAGTAATATTTATATTATTACAATGGATGTTTAATCCTAGATATAGAATAAAACTTGCTAAATTAAGCACACAGCAAACCTGTTTATATAAAACACCACAGTAAGTTAAAGGCAACTTTGTGTATCAAACATTTAGGTTTGTTTGTTTGTTTGTTAAAGAACACTTACTGCTATTGTAGAGCCATTCTTTCCCACGCCTCCTCCAAATATTACTCTGAAATAATTGTAACTGGAAAATATTGCTCCACCCACTATTCCAGCAACAGGAATCATCTTCAGTCTTAGATCCAGCACAGGAAGCTTGCAGGGAAAATGTAGAATATTTTAAGATAGATTAATGTCTTTCTGCCATTACTGAAACATTTTTAGCAGTTCTTTTGAACTATCCATTTTCTTCATTTTTTAAAAAAGAAATCAGATGAAGAGCATAGTCATGGTAGTAAAATAAAATGTAGAGCACAGTTTAATTTTGCTAGGAACCCAAAGGTTACATAATTGTTTTAAATTCAGACAGGCATGTTGCTACTAACATCTATAAACAACATGTATCAGCTTTCTAGCTTTTATATTTCTGAAAAATGGATAGTTCTTCCCAGTTCACTGATCAAAACAGCAGTAGCACCACAGGAAATGCAAACACCATCTGCCTGTTTTGTTATATCTTGCTATGAAATTGCATTACCAATACTCTCCAGCTAATAGACCTTTAGAATAAGTATTTACCTTTCTTATTCAATTGTAGTTTCAAGGAAACTTCCAAGACGCAGCAAAGGATTAAAAAGAAGAGTAAAAAAAATGAATTTCCTGTAACCCACCAGGTTACACTAAGGATATGTTATTGAGACTTCTCAATCAATGCAACAGTTTATGTAAAACAGAATAATGAATGGACTTTCACAATGTAGAGTTGTTTTTTAAAAGAATTCCACATTTTGACTGCTTACAGTCATTTGAGAAGAGAGCATGCATTTCAAAATAAAAATAAATTTTAGTAGATATAGCGACATGCCAGAATATTGATTCGCTTCCAAGAGTGGACTCAAGACAGCTGGGAGCTCTGCTGTAGCTGTTTAAAAGCTTGCAGTGTGGTGCCCAGTGCCTATTTTCAACAATCTCTTACCATGCAATTCACACCTAGCTTTACCATTCATCCAATTCTTGGATTTCCAAGCAGTTAAAGAATTGTGGCCACATTAAGCTTAACTACATGGATCAAGGCAACAGAAAACCAACCCCAATGTACGTCGTTACAGGGGTTATGTTTCTTCAGATGCTACTGCATACATTCGGATTGTCTCAAGCTGGTTGTCTGCAATTCTGTGTTCTACAATACAGGCATGAACAATGCATTCTTGAAAGCAGGGGCAGTATAAATTTGCTCTGACGTATTGCTAAAGTACAAAACATGCATTCTGCTGCCTTATGACAAATTCAGCAGAACCTTGCCGTTCTTGACAGCAGCACCAGTTGCGGCCTGGTGTCACCATGGCCAAGCTGGGGGACAGACAAAAACCTTCCGTGTGGCCGGCCAGTGTCATCAACCCCAATAAGCTACAGGAAGTGACAGGACTCCCCTGCCTCTTTCTAATTTAAATTGGCCAGTCGGAGGCCATACTACGGGGCAGGAAATTGGAGATGGAAGCGGGTAAGCCTGTTTCTACTCAGGTCTGTCTCCAAATCATGAAAGCTGACTGCACCGCCTTCCAGCAGTGCAGTCAGCACTGGACATCACACCCTCCCACCCTGGATAAATTTGGCCCTGCCTGAAGGTGGTGTGTGTGTGTGTGTGTGTGTGTGTGTGTGTGTGTAAAAGCTTGCTGAGGAGTCTCTTGGTCGCAATATTTGGCCCCTGGGAGGAATTTTCCTGCAGGCCAATTGGACCGGTCTAGGGGTTTCAATTACCTCCCAGCAATTGTCACAGATTGCTGGCAGAAAAAAGGTTGGATCCTTAATATAATCTCCAGATAAAAGTAGTAGGGTACCCTGGTAAAGGGGTCCCAAGGGGATGTCCATATGCCCAGACCGGGGCTAATGGGCCACAGAACTCCCTGACTGGCAGCCTGGAGGGGTTGCCTATATCTGATGTGCATCAACTGGGCTGGCTGATCCAAGATACATACCCAGTGCCTAAGCCATAGTCTTCTTACATCTGTAATCAATAAAGCTGTGGCCATTTAGCTCCCAAAAGGCTGTTATTTATTGCTTCCTGTGCCTCTACCCCAGCGACCTCAGGCTTACTGCGACTCAGCCCACAACTACAAAAGTGTTAAGTGACAGAATTTTGCCAGTTGGGTCAACTTTTATAGAAGGGAGTACAGCACTGAGAATAAGATGAAATCCAACTCTCTGTGCAGAGCATTTATGTATTTAAATGATCTGAGTGATTTAACACAAATATCACATATGGCAGATGGGGTCTTTTTCCTCTGTAGTTCTAAACTCATGCATAGGACAGCACATCACGACAGTAAGATGACAGAGCACTGGAACTACATTGGGAAAAGGCATCCTAGGTAAACATATAATCGAGCCAGGGCTTTTTTTTTTTTAAGCGAAATAAAATCAAAGTTTAACAAAATGTGGCATGGGAGAAATACAAAGGATTAGAAGAAGCTGCTAAACAGGAACCATACAGGACTGTGTAATTTACAAACTTTCAAGCCTGATAGTTATATACAGTTACCTTAGTGTCCCACACTGTTGTTCCACCAAATGCAGATATCAAAAAGAGTATAATTACGGCTATCTGTACTTCAGTTACATCGACTCTGTAATAAAAGAGAAATAAAGTTGATCCACACCAATGACTACTTGATAGGTAATAGCTCACTAAATATTAAGATTCATCAAAGCGGTTGTGTGCCCAAGACAAATGTTAACAACTTCAGGTGATTCAATTATTTGTTGGATATAAAATTCAATTATTTGTTGGATATAAAATTCAAATTTCTGGGAGTTTTTATCAAAAGGTTTTGGTAATTAAATTTCAATATACAAAGTATATGCTTTGCTAGTCAATACAACAGAAAGTAGCTAAGCAGCATTTTTTTCACCAAACTACGGTATCTGAAGTTCTCTGTCATGCAATAGGTTTACCCTTTTCAGAATTTTAGATGTACAAGGAAACCCCTTATGGAAGAGCTAATTAATATACTAAATCTCAAGCTGGTGGATTCCCCTACCCTGCAAAAAGAAATACACAACGATGAGAGCTGAGGGGGGCGGGAAATCCTGTTGGATCTAGGTTAAATTCTACCACCCCAGTTGAAACATCGGGGCAAATGTATTTCAACGTCAGTCACAGAGCAGATTATCCAAATAGCCACTTACTTGCCAAACTTTAGCATGCCACAAACATAGGTTTGCCAGTGAGCACAATAAAACAGGAACATTCCAATAAAGCAACAGAAGAACAGCCAGTCTGGGTTTGTTCCTAGCCGAACTGCTAAGCAGGCTCCAATACCAATGAAAACTGAAAAGTCCAATTAGCTTCCGTTAGTTATCACAGTTATTTGAAGAATGGTATCTAAATAGTTCTGAGCATTTGCATGTAACACAGTTTGTGGTGGTGCAGTAAAATGGGTGGAGATGCAAGCCATACTTGTGGTGAAATAGGCATAGGCCCAGAGACATTTGCAAGGTTCTTGCTTCATAGATTGCCCATCAGGTAGAGGATGTCCATGTCAGGGGGTGGCATCCTTAACCCATGGCACTCCATGTACTGTTTGACTCCAGCTCCCACCATCCCTGCCAGCATGGCCAATAGTGAGGGATGATGGAAACTCTCATTCAACATCTGGAAGACCACAGCTTAGCTACTGTGGTCTAGGTCAACATCAAATTCCTGGCACAAACTCTTGTATGGAGCCATAACATGCAAATTGTGTTGTTGTTTTTTAATTCCATATTCTTATGGTCTGTGCTGTATTTCATGAGACGTGGTTGTAAGAAAAATGCCAAACAGGACACTTGGAAGCAACTACACTATTGGCTCTTAAAATAATAGAATTGGAAGATTTGGAAGGGACTGCCGAAGGTCATCTAGTCCAACCCCCTGCAGTGCAGGAATCCTGCCCACAGTCGTCCCTGGATGGGTTCAAATCACCAACCTTCTGGTTAACTGCAAGACACACTGACCCATTGCACCACCTATCTATTTAAAAATATATAGTTTTACTGGGTGTGCAGCTTCTTTGAAGCTAAATTGTATAGAAGTAAAGGTCCAATTGTGGATGACTCTGGGGTTGTTGCGCTCATCTCACTTTACTGGCCAAGGGAGCTGGCGTACAGCTTCCAGGTCATGTGGCCAGCATGACTAAGCCGCATCTGGCGAACCAGAGCAGCACGCAGAAAAGCCGTTTACCTTCCCGCTGGAGCAGTACCTACTTGCACTTTGACATGCTTTTGAACTGCTAGGTGGGCAGGAGCTGGGACCGAACAACGGGAGCTCACCCCGTTGCGGGGATTCAAACCGCCGACCTTCCGATCAGCAAGTCCTAAGCTCTGTGGTTTAGACCACAGCACCACCCACGTACCAAGAGCATCATAATTTAAACCCAAGAAATACATAAACATTATCGGAATCATTCTGATATGCAGCAATATATGCAAACTGCCTGTCAGTTCTGTGAGTCTTAACACAAAAAAGTTTTTTTAAAAATAATAATTAATTACCTGTAGAAATAGAGTCACAGCCATGGTCGAAGAGTTCTCCCAAAGGAGAGCTGCTATTGGTTCTTCTGGCTTGCTTCCCATCAATAGCATCCAGTGATTGGTAAGCAAATAGTCCTAATGCACATGAGAGGAACACCCAAGGAGGAGCCTGAAACGAACACACAGGAGGATTCCATGCTATTAGGCAACTGCTGCAACATATGGAGTATATTAACAGTTGTGTAGGAGTCTCTTACTTTCCTTATCTGTTTGCCACACATTGTACAGTTCCATTTAAAAAGTCCACACAATCTACTGTAATTTCTTCGAAGGTCACCCACCCACACTTTCCTACCCTACTGGACTTTGCACAACACATGGGTCAAGCAGACCTGGAAGGCTGCCTTTGAAATGTCATTTATTGCACAATTGAACCATCCAGCAGAGTACATAATGTGCACTTGGCCTGCTGAACCCTATTGACTTACCTGTCTTGATTAAGAAACATTTGTCTATTCTATAAACTTTAATCCAGAACGTACATTTAGAAGTCACCCCTTGTTTTTCACTCCGAGCACTATCCCATGGTGGCCTTGGCTTAGCAGAAGTGCAAATTGGGGCTCCTGGTTTTAATTGATCCCCATTATCTACTAAACCCCATTCTTTTCCAAAGGGTCCCCCAACTCTCAGTAACAGCATGTGACAGAGCTTGCCACAAAGGTAGACCCACTACTGAATACAACCCTCACAATTTATTTATTTTTTTATATAAAATGAAACAAAAAAACCTCCTTGATCTGAGTCATTTCCAAAAGAACATTCTTATACTCTAACCTGGTACCCTGCAGATGGTTTGGGACTACATCTCCCATCATCCCAGACTACTGCCCATCGTGGCTGAGGCTGATGGGAACTGAAGGAGGAAACCGGACTGGGGAAGGCTGCTCTGCTATTCAAGGTTCAGGTATAGAACTGGACACAAAACTGCAAGTCTCAGAAGAGACAGGTGTGAATAGGCACGCGAAACACAATTATCTTGTGGAACTACTGCAGCAGACAAACCTAGCCACTTTACAAAGATGTACTGGCATCTTCGACACATGGGATGCAAAAATTAAATCCTATTTTTAAAAAATGGGATGGGGCGATTTCTATCTTCTCCTATTGATTAAAGCATAACACTTACCCAAATGGGGGATGGGAAGCCTGTACTACAACAATAGGCAGTGTGCCCTGATGAATGGCAGACAGAACTAGAGACAGAGTGGGAAGCCTTTAATACTTAGATCACATCTCTGCTGTAATTAAAGAGGTGCGACCCCAAAGGTCACAACCAGCAACTGATTCATTACATGCTGATCTTAGGCATATTCTTAGTAAGTAATGAAACCACACATTATAATTAAGTATAATTACTCCCAGAAGAGTTGGCAATTATGAACAATGGGGGTAAAATTTAAAGGTGCTAGATTTTCTAGAAAGTAAGTTTCATTCTGCATTTAGGGAGAGCGCCGTTTCTCACATTTCACCCCCTCCCCTTTCTAAGCTATCAGTTACCTTGCACGCCCTTCCAGCAGCAAAAAAGGCTTTCTATATATAGCCATCCTATTGCAATTCACTAATGTCTCTCTCTCAACTTTCATCCTAAAGTAACTAGACCTACAGGGGAAATGGGCTTGCAAATGCTTCAAAGCAAAGCCCAGTGGGAATGTAAGCCACCATGTTTGGAAACATTTTAGAAACACAAGACATTGCCATATACCAAGTCAGGCCATCGGTCCACCTAGTTCAATACTGACAACACTGGCTGGCAGCAGCTCTCCAAGGAGCCTTTCCCACCCCTATCCAGAGATTGAACCTGGGACTTTCTCCACATAATGCATCTGTGATACCACTGAAACAATACCTGGAGTATTCAAAGTCCAGCTACCAACAAGATGTGTACATTCAAACCCGGGAGTTTGTGTGCTCTTTTTCCTGTCTTGCATATGAGAAACACCAGTAAAATAATATTAAGGACAGAAGCAGAACAAATAGGGCAGGTGAGGATAAAAAATACAGTGGTATCTCGGGTTAAGTACTTAATTCGTTCCGGAGGTCTGTTCTTAACCTGAAACTGTTCTTAACCTGAAGCACCACTTTAGCTAATGAGGCCTCCTGCGGCTGCCACACCGCCAGAGCACAATTTCTGTTCTCATCCTGAAGCAAAGTTCTTAACCCGAGGTACTATTTCTGGGTTAGCGGAGTCTGTAACCTGAAGCGTACGTAACCTGAAACGTATGTAACCTGAGGTACCACTGTACCAAGTTGCTTGTCTCCAGTTCAGGACCACTGGTTAAAACAAGCTCACAGCTAAAGACAAATGACTGTTACAGCTTCTCTTAGCCTAAGATTCTTAGTCCTCTGATCAGGCTACACCTCCAACAGCACACACCTTTTGCAAACATGGAAGCTGCTGCATGGGCACACCCACATGCTACTAACAAGTGCTACCTCTTCTGAGATGGAGGTCTCGTTCTGCCATCTGGCAGCTAGCACAAGTGGAAGGGCATTTTAGCAGAATGTTCTCAAGTACTGATTCTGTTGCAATAATTTCCACTGTTACAGTCTCAGCATGGATGCCTATCGGCCTCCAAGAATCCCATTTTCTTGTTCTAACAAATCAAAGAAACACATACAGAAACAAGTTTGGAGGTGTGCAATGCATGGGGAACGTGTGGGATAGAAGGAAAGAATGGACTTTCTGCAAACTCCAGAAATTTGGGGGAGGGAGTGGGTAAGATAGAAATGATAGTGCTGAAACTAGAAAAAGAGCAAAATGCAAGCAACAGGGGAAAGAGGCCAGGGTTGCCCTGCTTTGCTATGCTTACAAATTACAGAAGTAGCCAAGGAAGCACAAACAAGGCACAAACAAGTTCAGCCTTAGCTAACCCCAACGGTAAAGACTCCAAACTCACAACGGCAAATTTCACTCCCCGATACTGCTTGCAAGTTGCAAAACATGATTAATGCAGGAGAAAGCGAAAGTGATGCAAAATTAAAAGTACAAAGTGAAACTGTTGGGAGAATTCCCAGCACAGCGTTTGCTAGCTTGGCACTTCCCCAATGTTTCGGGCTACAGTTAGCTGGCACTGAAGAGAACTGCAATCCAAAAATCTGGAATGCAGCAGGTTGGCGAAGGCTGCACTAGCAGCATGAACTAAAACCTTAAAGGAACAATCCATATAAAAGTGTACACTTTTAATTAAGCACATGCCCAGTTCTTTCATATTGAAACCAACAGAACATGCAGCAGGCCTCAAGTTCTTGGGACATGGTCCCAACTAAAAGCTGTAACCCTACCCAGAATTGAGTAAGTCCCAATAAGTCTCTGAAGTATGGTTTACTTCACAGTAGACATAATTAGGCTCCCATCCCACACTACCTGTAGGATTACTGCCTTAACATGCTTAACTTTAGCTGTTTTGAGGGAGGAATCATAGAATTTGAAGGAACCCCGGGGGTCATCTAATACAATCCCCTACAATTCAGGAATCTCAACACACGGCTCCCCATGTGATTTGAAACCATACAGGACCCTGCTTAGCTTTGCAAATGTGCTAGCAGTTTTATTGCTGCACCAGGGAATGTAGTATTTTTATCAACAGCTCAACATTTGATTGGCTTTTTCAACACTCTAGTCCTGTATCTGGATGGTGTTGTGTACATAAATTTCCTGCCAGTGCAGTGACCTAAGGAAGAGGAAGGAAAAACAAGCTGCCAATTTCTGTAACACTTTTGCTGAACACTTCTGTTAGCAGTTGTTTGGTGGCCTCTTCTAAACTCAGGACTATGTATAATTCTGAGCATTGTTAAAGCTTCGTGTAAACAACAACAGAAGCTGCACAAATAGCAGGTTCTTTTAAAAACATTGGTTGAATCTTTATCTGTCTCTTCCCCAGTTCCCATTTGCTGAGGAAGTAAAATGTTTAGGCGATTATATCCATTTGTCACCCACTGAATGTGACTGTTCCAAGCTAATTCTGGCATCAAGGGGTGTTTCTGCATGTTTTTAATCCTGTGTAGACCAGACCAGACCAAACAGAATATCATGATGCAAATGTTTACTGACAGGCTGTCTAGTCCTCAGAGCACTTCAGCCAATTTAGCACTAGCTAATCCTCCTAAAGACAGAAACTGAACTTCCCTTCTCTATTCACAAATAATATTCCCAATTCATTTTTCTCCCACTCTTCTCACAGAACCATATCCAGCTAGTCCAACCCCCCTAGCCTGGTACAGGAAAGGAGGAGCCCACCAGGGAACAGGTCCAATTGTTGAACTGCTTTTAATGTAAAGAAGGTTCTCCTATCTACATTTGACTTCAACTAGAAATGGAAGACACAACCATTTTATCTTTTTACACAGAAGCAATGCCAACTGATTATCAAGGTTGCAGCCTTCTCTTTCAGGGGGTGGCTGTGGTTGTTTATGCTGCAACAGACCCAAAAGTCTTATGGTGCATTGAAGACTAGCAACCACAATGAAAGGTTATACCACAATAAATCTGCTAGTCTTTATGGTGCCATAAGACCCTTCTCATTTCAGCCACAATACTGTTCGTACTATATGCACAAAGGCTTTGATTGCGCCATTAGCAGTGCAATTCCTTACCCACCATCAGCTGAGTGTTGGGATTAGAGTTTCTCAGCAAGGAAAACAGGTTTGCTGCTGTTTGCCGCTTTTTATTTCTTTTTTGCACAATAGGGGAATCAGCTTCCAGCAAGAAGCTTTTGGGGGGGGCGTCCCAGAAAGAAGTTGCGGAAAGTTGGGGGATGGGGAGGAAGAGAACAAGAGAAACTAACCGTTGGATAAGCACCGCAACAGCATATCCAGAAAGATTACTTTTAAATCAATAGATCAGGAAATACAAATTAAAAATTCACAAAATAGTACAGACATGAGGTGAGGAGGAGTTGTGTCATTTGGCACTTGTGATGTTACAGGAACTCACTGGCAAATATCAGTAGGAAGGGGCATCAGAAGTGTAGTTTCAGTAAACATCCTCCTCCACCCCATCAGTGACGTTAACAGAGAACCAGAGACACATTGTGGGAACTTTTGCAAATTGAGAGTCTACTTTCATCAGTGTGGCGCACTCTTCAGCAGGTACTCAAGATACTTGCATAGTGACATTCCACGCAGTACGATAGGCATGAAGAGTCCCCGTGACGCCCAGGAAACAGGCACATTGGCTTTTGGCACAAGAGCTCACTCTCTACAACTCAAGTACACAAATCACATTATCTGAGCAATTGCAGGGGGGTGATGGAGGAGTGAAGCTAGAGTTGAGCTGGATTCTTGAGAAAGTTTATAGCATTTTTATTTTCTCCACCCATCTCCCTAGAAAAAGTTGGCTTCTGTACAGAACTTCCTCAGAATACCTTCCACTATTTTGGGTGGCCACTGACATTTCCATTCCCCACCCCCACCCCACCCTCAAACACCCCAGAGCCATGCTTGGTCTGGGGCACTGTGGAAGATGCAAAATCCCAGCACTGTTGGTGCTGCTGCCACCTGCAGAGTCTGCAGCACCAAACAAGTGGTGTCATTAGGAAAAAGGAAAAAGCTACAGTGGTGCCTCGCAAGACGAAATTAATCCGTTCCGCGAGAGTCTTCGTCTAGCGGTTTTTTCGTCTTGCGAAGCAACCCTATTAGCGGCTTAACGGATTAGCGCTATTAGCGGTTTAGCGGCTATTAAAGGCATAAAGGCTTAGCGGATTAGCTGCTAAAAGGCTATTAAAGGCTATTAAAGGCTTAGCGGATTAGATAAGGGGGGGGGGAGAGCGAAAAAAAAATCTCAAGACTCGCAAGACATTTTCGTCTTGCGAAGCAAGCCCATAGGGAAATTCGTCCTGCGAAGCAACTCAAAAACGGAAAACCCTTTCGTCTAGCGGGTTTTCCGTCTTGCATTCGTCTTGCGGGGCACCACTGTATTCTCCTGATATTGCTAATGCTAGGCTCACCCCCAGTTAACAGTTGGGATAATGACTCCTGCCACCTGAATAAATTTCATGAAATGGTTCTTGTGCTCACAGATAGATGGGAGAATTTACAGAAGTCATTTCCAGATGTCAGGTCTCCAGCACAAGGACTACCTTGAAGAAAGAGGTCTGGCTGCCACCTAACAAGCAAGCATCTGCACTGATCTCATACCTACAACTCATCACACATGAAAGCTGTAAACTTTCCCCAACATGGTAACTCCCACCTGCCAAGGTCCAGAACTTCAGAAGAGCACTAGGTTGGTGAAGCCTACACTAAACCTAAATTCATTTGTCATCAGATAGGATCCTGCTCCACATCTATCGCTGGGTGGTCTTTTTGTAAAAAAGGCATCCCACAATCCTGCCACCCCACCTCCACTGTAGGCCTCTCTGACAGGGCTCCCCTGTGAACTAACATACTTGGGGGAAAGCCCTCAATGTCTGGCCACAGCCAACAGGTTCTTCTCCTTTCTTTCAGAAAACTGAAAGCCCTTCTTGAAAGAGCAGCACCCTGCTGCTGAGCTCATCCCACTTTGGCCTCCTGTAAACAGATCCTGCAGGCTTGTGCATCACCAACCCTGTTTGGCCAGATCTTTGCCGCCGTCTGTGTGCCCTAGCATCAAAGCCTCTCTCGAACCACTTCGAATTCCACTTTATTTTGCCTTGCAAGATAAGGACGGGAAGGCGAATGTCGTGGCCCCTTTCAGAAAGGCAGAAGTAGTTGTGCGCCATCCACATGCATGGGCGACACAAGCCCCCTTCCCACCTAGTCCTGAAATGGGCTTCAACGGAAGAGCCCAACACACAACCAGCCGCCAGTCTTATGGACGCGGCAGGCTGCTTCCTCCGCCAGCCGCGCCGCGTTTCCTCACAACTCAACGTCCCGAAGACTGCTCGTTTTGTTTTCCACTGGCAGCCGCTGCTCCAGGCTGCTTCGTCTCTCCCCAAGTCCAGCCCCTCCCGGCTCCCCAGCCAGGCCAGGCCCGCCCCATCCCTCGACGGCTAGCCCGCCCCGCTGCTCGGTCTTCGTCTCCCCACCGGTGGTTGGGGGCGGGGAGGGACGCTGCCTCCCCGGCCGCCGCTGAGGGAGCAGCCGAGGAGGCGAGTACCTGGCGAGGGCGCGCGGCGGGCTGCTCCTACCTCTTGGTGGGCGCTGGGGCAGTAGGCGATGAGCGCGAGCGTGGGGAGCAAGTTGAGGACGAGGCCGCCCAGGGTGATGGCGTTGGGAGCCAGCCAGGCCGGCGTGCGCTCCACCAGCCAGGCCCAATAGCGCTGCAGCGGCGGCTCCAGCAGCGAGCGCCCGGACGCGTTGTAGCGGTGCTGCTCCAGGCGCCGCAGCTGCGCCGCGCTCAGAGGCTCCGGCAGCAGCAGCAGCGCCATGGCGGCTCCCCAGCCGACGCCGACGCCCTGCTCTGGGACTCCCAGCGGCGACCGGGCAGGAGGAGCAGCCGGGCCGCCTCCCCTCGCTGGGGCGGGAACCGAAAGAGAGAGAGAGAGGGAAGGACTGTTTTCGCCCCTGCTCTGGCTGGAGGCGGGCAGGAAGTCGCAGGCAGCGGAGCTGAGGCCGCCTCGTGCAGCCCTTTCGCAAGCCAAGAAGGAAACACCTGCCCTGAGCCCGGCTATTTATTTAACCCGCTGGCTTGTGAGGCGGCCGCGACCTGAGAGCTACCTTTACGCACGTGACGCCGCCGCCGCTCCAGGGCTCGCGCTTCCCCCGCGCGCCTCTCCCTACAGCAAAGGAAGCGGAGGCGAACTTGGAAGGGGAAGCCTGTTGCAGAAAAACACCTCCGCCCACCCCAAGGCGTCTTGTGCTACCTTGTGGCGCCAATCTGTGCGTGGTGGTGGCCTCTTTAATCAACCAAAGGTTGCTGAGGCAGAAGTCCATGGAGTTCAGTCGGGCTTGCTCGGAGGTAAACCGGTATAGCAGTGCAGCCTTTGTCCTATTGTGGGACTTATTCCCAGATAAGAGAGAATAACTGGCGTACAGTATTAATTCCTGACCGTTGATGGGAGATGAAGACCCACAACATATGGAAGGGCCACACATGTTTTCTCACAGCACACTACCCACCCTGGGAGTAAGATCCATTGGGTCCCCTAACCTTAGGTCCAGTCGTGGACGACTCTCGGGTTGCGGCACTCATCTCGCTTTACTGGCCGAGAGAGCCGGCGTACAGCTTCCGGGTCATGTGGCCAGCATGACCAAGCCGCTTCTGGTGAACCAGAGCAGTGTATGGAAACGCCGTTTACCTTCCCACTGGAACAGTACCTATTTATCTACCTGCACTTTGATGTGCTTTCGAACTGCTAGGTGGGCAGGAGCTGGGACTGAGCAATAGGAGCTCACCCTGTCGTGAGGATTCGAACCGCCGACCTTCTGATCGGCAAGCCCTAGGCTCTGGGGTTTAACCCACAGCGCCACCCGCATCCTACAATAGGGTTTACTTCTGGCTAAAGCCATGTATAGATTTGTGTCATTGGGCGCCAGGCCTATTCCTTTTGGAGGAATTTTCATGGAGTGCAGTGGAAGTTGATGTAAATTGCATTGCAGGACATTTTATTTGTTTAATATGCCATCCTTAATCCAAGGTGACAGTGGTTTACAGTATAAAAACATGGATATATATAACATAATATCAAAAAAACAACAATATCTCTTTCAGTTTAAAAGGCCGTAGATGGTTTAATCAGCCAGAGGCCTGGTTATAGAAGAACATTTTCACGTGGCACCTAAAGATACGTAATGAAGGTGCCAGGCAAGCCTTCCTGGAGAGAGCATTCCACAAGTGGGGAGCCTCCACGGAAAAGGCTTGTTCTTGTGTTATCACCTTCTGGACAAGAAAGGCCTCAGGTGATGATCATGGGGTCCGGGTCAGTTCATATGGGGAGAGGTGGTCTTATTGTGGTCCTGAGCCATTTAAGGCTTTATAGTGCCAATTAAATGCTCAAACTGTCTTGCTCCACTGAGCAACCTGAACACTGAGTTCTGCACCACAAGTTTCCAAACCATCTTCAGAGGCAGCCCTACACATAATGTGTTGCAGTAATCTAACCTAGAGCTTACCAGAGTGTTTGATTTGGTAGAAGCTTTTATGATATAATACTTCTTGAAGTGTTGTCAGTTGATAGGATATATCCTGGCCCTTCTGCTATTTCATGGCTGTATGCAAAAAAATTAGTGTGTTATTTACAGTTGATTATTTCAAGGCCTGTTAGGTGTCTTGGAAGTCATTTAAAACTTTAAAGGTAGAATTTATTTATTTTTATAAAAACATTTATTCAATTTCCTTATCTTAAATTATTCTGTTTCTCCCTTTAAATTTGCAAACAATAAATAAACAATAAATTAAAGGTACAATTAAAACATTAATTTACTTACTACTTTTTAATCCTGTCATTTGTCCACTGAACTCAGGGTTCTTCTTTTCACATTGTGCTCTTTCCCATTGCATCACAATAACCCTGTGAGGTGGGTTGTACTGAGCAATACTGTTTTGCTCAGGACCACCTCAGTAAGTTTCATGACCATGGGCTTGGTCTCCAAATTCCACATTTTGTGTTACCTTGTTGGGAATAAGCACATCACAGAGGCTCAGTAATATCTTTCCATGCAGAAGGTCCCAGGGTTCAATCCCCAGCATATTCAGGCAGGGCTGGTAAAGAACCTTGTCTGAATCCCTACAGAGCTGCTAGATATACCAGTGATCTGACTTAGCATAAGGCAGCTTCCTATGTTCCTGTCGCACCTCTTGTTAGACATTACCCTTGCATACTAAATGAACTTTTGCAAAATTAAAAAAAACATTTTCAAAATTAAAGTTAATTGCTTGTTGCTCCCCAGCAACTGGTATTCAGTGGCATAATGCATCTTAAAATTGAACTTGCATATAGCCATAGCTATTAGTCACAGAGAGACCTATTTTCCAGATTGTGAAATGGCCTAATCCCCATTATAACCTTCTAAGCTATTGATCATCACAACATCTTGAAGAATGCATGTGGATTAAGTTATAAATTCATGGAGACTATACTTGACTTGCATTGGAATGAGCTAACTGTACTGAAAGAAAATTTCCACAACATATGTTAAAGGTTTGCTTGGGCGCATTGATGCAGGGAATATTTTCTGTGAACCATGTTCTCTGTGCACACAAATGCGTTTCAGGTGGTGATTCTGGAGTTTTGAAGGATCTCTGTAGATTCTGAGTCATGCAACATTTGCCATAGAAATGCATATCTGAGGACAATGGGGAGCATTATCTGGAGACAAAGCTGTGAACTAGCATTTGGGCATACCAGGCTTTCCCAAATTCAGACCTAATTGATGGAAATGAGGTCTACTGAAGACACATACGACAAGTTCATGATCCATTACAGGAGTCACTGTAAAATTTCAGTTAACAAGCCAAGATTTAACGCATGGCTTTGGATTCGCTGTCATGAAGGGCTGTGGTGCTTTGGGGCAGTGCACTGTTTTGTGAAGGCCAAATATAAAGTTTTAATACAAAATAAAACCTTTTGCTGCATTCCCTAAACACACTTGTTAGTCCCAATGAACTCCGTGGGACTTCTGAGTAAAACTTATCAGGTTTGCATTATTCATAGTGCAAGCAACTATTTTATTTCACAACTAACTGTTGGTGCCTGTGCTGTAATTTGCAGACAATGTTATTGTGCAACCACGTGCAAAAACTCTGAATGCAAGTTGATTCTTGGCATCCCCATTTATAATCTGGTATCTGTCAATGCAGTTCGAGTAACAAAAGGCAGAACAGTAATGGTAGACCAATTTGCAACAAACACAAACATCACAGATACTGAGCTAGCTCTTAAACACTTCAGCTTTATTGTACATTACATGAAACTTTTAGTAGCCAAGAGATTCACAAAGGAGTGAGCTGAACAGAAACCCTTCTAACTGAAGATACATTCCGCTGAAATAACTGTTAAATGCTGCAAATCACATGTGCCAAACAGTCCATTTTTAGCAGCCTAGGAAAGTGTTAGATCCATTATTTATCAAAAGAGGTATGTGTTTCAAGGCCTGACTGCACTGCCACTGGGTCTAGCAGTACCTGCTTCTCACAAAAAAAATAAAATCTATCTAGCCATATAAAGTACAAACTCAAATATTAGCTCCCATGCGTATTGGCATAGCTTTTTTCCATTTCTTTGCTTTTCAGCATTAGAGAGAGAGAGAGAGAGAGAGAGAGAGAGAGAGAGAATAAAACAAACACAATGATGTGGATCATTGAAACATGTGGGTAAGCTTCAACTTCAACATTTCAACTTGAAAAAAACAATCCATGCATGAATTTTCTTTCCAACAGCATCAAGAGGGAAGGGGCAATGCAGCGGGCCATGCTGTGGGAGTGCCATGGTAGGAGTTAAACTGCTGCAGTGCTGGCTGCCAGTTTCCAGTGCAGTGGCGGAGAAACACTGTGGCCAGGCTCTTTACTTTTCCTCAGGGTTGCATGCTTTCATATAGGAGTCAATGATATGTGGGGGCACCCCTTGCAATAGTAGTCTGAAGAATGAGACCCCACCTACGGACAAGGAGGAAGACAATAGTTAAAACAATCAAGTGAACAGGTGTTTGCAAAAACTGAATTCCAGCTGTAAGTGTCCTGATATCCTACAGGCATTGACAGTGGGTGGTGGGTGGGTGGAGTGCAATAAACTGAATCTGCTTCCAAGTAAACAAATTTAGGATTTGCAACCTTGATGTATCTCTGACTGCAGCATTATTTTTTTCTTCATGTAGGCTGAAATGGATCCCTTGGGAAGAGGGCCATCAAGGACTCATTGGTTCCATGTACAGTCAATGGAGACTTAGAACCAAATCAGAACCAGGGCAGACATCACGTTTGCCATGGGAATGCCGCCAACCATGGGCTTGCTAATGACAAGCCATTGTTGGCCCCGCTGTAAAGTCTGCAAGTACTCATCGGGTGAGCTGGTGCCATCGTGCTACAAGTCTCCATGCCCTCTCCCAAGAGAATGTGATGGCGAGTCACATGTATCGGTAATGGGGGCAAGAAGATTCAATGTGATGCAACTGATCCATGTGGCAAGTCCTTGTACCAGACCAGAGCACACATTATGATTCCCAGAGGGATGCAAAAGCAGATTCCCAGTGGCAATTCCTTCTCCTCTCAGTTCTTGTTGTAACCCACCGTGGGGTCCTTGAAGTGTGGAGCGTATTTATTTATTAAATAAATAACCTATTGGTAGCATTATGGTTGGACATTAAATGTGTGGCGTCTTCTGTGTCTCTTCCTTGCATCTTCCAGCAGTTGAAATAGATGTGTGACATGACATCATTGCATTGCGTCACCTGCCATTTGTCATCTAATGAAGTGCTGAATGCTGTCATGTCTTATCAATTACTTCCTTTCAATTATGCCACACCATGAAACATGAATCAGTCAAGTGTAAGGTAACATTTTGTTCAGCCCTGAGAGCTGAGCAAATGGGTGCTTATGGTGAGATAGGTGATTGTTGCACAACTCTCAACCCAACACCTATGTACTGCAGCCTGACTCGAACCACTTCAGCGGATTTGCAGTGGCATGGGGAAAATGGGGGCAGTACCAAGTTGTGTGGAGGAGAAATAAGTTACAAAATGTAAAGCGGTTTCCCCAAACCACAGCACACTTGCTTATAAGTGACATTAAAGTCAGCAGATCTTATTTTTCAGAAAACAGTATTTGGTACTGGTGTGCTAATATCAATTATTACACCTAGTAACAGTAGTAACATTTCCTTTGATGCTTTTTCAAGGTTTTAGGAATGTTCCAACTGAACACTTAAATCATTCTTTGGGGGTTTTTTTTGGTGGAGCTAAATCTGTGATTACAAAGAAATTAGGAAGCTGAATGCAGATCACTTTTGTGCTCACAGTTACAAA